TGTTTAATTATTCTTGGATTTTATTTTTAATATGGCTGCTTTCGTTTAGTGGTATCGCGATAAGAATATCCCTTGGAAGAAGGTGTTGTATTGTGAAAAGGTAACCCGTATATTCTGCTCTGTTTGCACACTGTAGATCACTGTAAATCTGTAGTAATCAGTGATATGCATGTAGTATGTTGACATTCTATGACATTTCCTGATCCGCTCTGCTGGTAACGAGTTGATTCTAAAGAACTTGACTCCGCGTACAGGTTTGCATATGGTGTCCACTATGTGGTAACAGCAGCACAGTATCCTACCTTTTGATCCCATCATCTAGGGTTGCGTTGGGAGAAATACCCACTTGTCCTGTCAGTTCTCGCTATCCCGAAGTCCCGTCTTCGATCTCAACACTACCACACAGCATGTAGCCAAGTTTAGCCCAGCCCTGTTAGGGTGATGCACTGTATGTAACGATGGCCTCGGCTTAGAGGGGACTGATGATTATATCTGCTTGGAAGTCACTTTTTAGTAAAATTACCCAAGTAGGCCACACATGATAGGAGAAAAAAAAGGTTCTGCAAGTGTTTGCTTATTAGTTTATCTGATTGATTACCTAGGTATTTACTTAGCTCCTTTTATAGGTACTTACATGCTGGAGCATGTATTAAAGTATGTACTAATGTGATACTATACTTGAGCAAGTAAGTAACTAATTTATTTTATATATGGTGTATCTTCCCCTATGCTTATGATTTTATACTAACACGGAATGGATTTGGACTTGCATATACGTGCATCAACGCGTAGTTGTCTTCCCTAATGCGCCATCAACCTAGAAAATACTTATATTGTTAAGTATATAAGCAATTCACTTTTGTAAACGTAACTATTCAAGATGCAAAATAAATGCCCAGATACCTAAATATTATGTAATTAGAATTGTTCTTTAATGATTATGAAGCACGCTAATCTCTTTAAAGACCCAAGGAATTATATACGTACAGTAGGGACCTATCAAGTATAACCAATTTTTAGGCAATCTGGATTAGGTAGGTAGGCAGGGGCGAAGACCGGCCATAATGTACCCAAGCAGTTACCCTAAGGAAGCTTGCAAAGCCTGCAAAGCTAGGAAGCTACGGGTTAACACCACCTGCAGTAGTTTCTTTCCTTATATGTAGGTATTATTAGCTCATCTTGTTACAAGGGACCCATCCAACTGCACAAACACTTCCGTCCCGACAGCCCATCCCCTGCCACATCCACCAGTTCCCTAATGTAAGCGACCTTCAGGGCTATTCTTTAATTTTTTACTTATTTTATTTTTCTGCTTCGTCTACAGCGCGAAATTGATCCTTGCGTCTTGCATGGAAGCCAACCCCAAAGCATCAAAGCATCATCCTGGGTCCTTGAATCCTACCACATTACCACACTAAAAATCCTGAACCATTGATGCCCCTGGTAACCCCGAAAAAGCTCGAGACTGCACCTAAACTCGAACTGCCTCAACGGTCGCCCAAAAGAGACACCCTGTCACATTTGTCAACTTCGTTCCTGTCGCTACCTAGGTAGTTCCCTGAAGATCCTACGCCGCGGACATACTGCCTTCCTCGTTTCGAATCCTTAGTTGGTAACCAACCGCGAATACATAATCAATTTGATCGGATCATTCTATTCGACGGCGACACAAAGTTCTGACTCGGGATTCATATCGAATCAACTACTTGACTAACTAGAAATCATCAAGGCGATTTCTATTTACGGTCAATCTCGACAAGAAGAAAAGTATTCGTCTGTGCCCTCTTGTGGGCATCTAATTATATCATTGCTTGACCGGGCCGTTTCACCCACCTTGTAAGTAACCAATTGTTCTTATTTTAAGCTTGAATTACTCCCGACGTCGCACAACACCGACGTGTTTCAGGGGTTGTATACTACTTGGATCCCAAAGAATATCATCATCATTGTCAAGACCCATTCGAATGAAAGCCACTATTCTTAACATTCAACCCGAGTGGGACTACTGAGTATATCGCGTATCTATGTAACAGTCGTTGGCTATTGTTCTCACTAAAAGCTCCATTGCGTGTCCCTGGCCACTTTCATCTAATACTCATCCCTCCACTCCCATGTACTTGGGTAAATTCACCTCTGCTGCGCGGATAAGTCGAGTTAAATCTAGATCGGATTCGCGCTGATAGAATACGCCCATTTAGTCATTGTACGCGTTGATGTTATTAAACCGAAGCATTTATATATATCGATTATCATCCCTTGTTATATAAATACACCAATCCCTTCCACGCGGAACCGATTATCGATCTAGTTGTTGGTATCGTGCGAGACACATTCCAGTGGAACGGTTAGTTTACCAAACTACAGGATCTAGGGATCTAGAAAAGAAGAAGAACGAACAAAGGAAAAGAAGTGCCTGATTAATACACGTCTCCCCTTTGGTAGGTTGATCCCTAATTTCTACTTCTTCCATGAGCTGCTGCTTCTATCAACTATCGAATCCTCCTGCGATCCAGACAATTGGGAAATGTGCTTCCTAGTGGATGCTGGCGGGTGTGCCGCCTACACGCGTGCAACGCCGCTTTCACGCCCCTGACCCTGCACCCTGTCCACTGTCAGCCACGAGATACCCTGCGAATGCGCGTGTCCTGCACGAGGTGGCATACATACCTAGACTGCTTTAAGCTTTCTAAAGTATCATACTACGTTTCTTCAAATCCACCTATTCTACTGGTACTTTTCAGATTAACGCGACTACTCATACGGCTTATTAACGATCTCTTGTTTTCTTATTTGTTACTATTCTTACTCCCTAGATTACTGACATAAAATTTCCATTTCTCTTTATGATACATTATTCCTTTTTTTTTCTTATATAATAATTCCTATTCTAGTGGGCGAATCCAATCATTGATCTGAATCAGGGTTCCCATAGCTGCGGTATCCCTGTTTGCTTCCCGTTCTTGAGGACCCCTGAGGGTTCGCTCACGATCCTGGGAACAAGACGCTACCGTTGAGAACGCTATATTGCAAAAACTGATCTAACATTTTGCTACCCAGCAGTAAAAGCATCTCGGTCTGCATTCTGCAGGCTTTTGTCAGTAATAATTTCCCACATACCTACGTTTCTACCAACGCCACCGAATTAAAAGTCGCCTGTTATTAGCAGTGCGGCACGACTACGCGCTTCTTTGAGAAAGAGGCCACATTAGTACAACGAACGCCGGGTCCAATCAAGTTTAGTGTCCATCCTGATATCTGTCGAAGCTCGTACCTCTTCACGATCTGTCAGCTTTCCACTTGATAGTAGAGCGGTGACCATTAGCTGAGTCAGAAATTGTTCTTTCAGTACTACCGGGTAATCCCAGATTAGCAAGCATCGTCAAAGAGGCTGAAGATTCACCCTGTCTGACGCATGTTTTGATCCCTGATCCTGGTCCATACACCTCAGAAGTCCCAGGCGACGGTCCGCTTGTTGACTACCGACTATCCATTTACTAGTCTATCCGATCTGGTCTATCTTTGGTAAGAATAACTCGGTTTTCATTTAGTTTATTCAACCAGTCGATGCAGCAATCCTTACAGCAAAGTTGCTGCCGACTACTCTTACGAGTTGCATTGTTATCCTAAGCTTGTGAAAAGCCCCCCTGTCTTTCAAGTTGATTACCCGCCAGTTTATCCCCAAACCAGATTTCGATAATTGCCTTATAAAAAAACCCTGGCTCGAAAGGCCTTATCGGCGCTACTTACCCATCAACTGCACTCTATGCGGAAACTCTTTGCGTACCGCTGGTCACTTGCTAGTCCTCGACCAATTATCTGTATATACTTGATTATATCCTAAATACGGCCACGTTCATTCCCTGCTTTCGTCATTTTCCTGTTCCATCACATACTGGCGTTAGAAGCGTTGCGACGCGTAGTTGGTCACCCCTCCTCCCCCCATAAAACTCCCGCGTGGAAAAATACCATTTTTCTCGAACCCCAGCAACGGTTGCTGGTCTCTACACCCCTCCACCATTCCCTTGTCCATCCCCCCATCCGACTTGGGGAACCATGCATTTGTTCCCTCGATTTCTTTTGACAGCATCTGACTAGACAAGGCTGGCATGCATGAACTAACATGGCAGCACAGATCGAATCCTGGGGTCCGGCCACGACAGATACCTTGCAGAAAAATTACGTCGGTTGACTGATTGATACGTACAGTTATCTGCAAGATTCTACAGGCATAGCAGAAGCCCGTACCTGAGACAATCGATTTCTGACCTCGCTGATACCAGTGGAAAGGTTCAACCTTGCAAACTACCACGAGGTAAACGCGGGACACTGATAAGAGCCGCAAACTAAGTAACGCGGCATTATTACGACAATTGCTTATCTGGATATTCGGCCAGATTCGTCGGTTTATATCGCAGCCCTAAGGTGTGTGCAATTAACTATTTAATTTCTTATTTTTGAACGAGAACCATCAAATATGTTGTTATGCCTACTACCTGACCTGCCTTTACCATTACGTTCACGTTCACGATCATGATTTTTTTTTTAATTACTATTTTTTCTTCTCTCGTATATACCAACCCCCCTTTTTTTTCTTGCTCTTATTTTCTTTTATTATGTATCGCCCCTAAGTGGTAGACCTCCGCGTCTCTACCCACATCTCATTTCCTCAACTGGGAACTTCAGCTGAAGGATTTGCATGAATTTGTCATTCGTTACCCTCTTTCCATAATTTTTCTCTCTTATCGATATGTGTTGCTATTTTTAATCAGGCGCTGTTGTTTGTTGATGGTCATCAATGTTGTATCCACTTCATTATAGGCCATAATATTATCGCTAACCCTATGATAGAAAAGAAGTCAGCCACCCATTGTCTCACAACCAAGTACCACAGGTTGTTATTGTTTCCTTCTCTCTTTCTGTTAGATATCCCGACGCTTGTCTGTAACCATTTAACAGACGTGGATAGCTATATTGTGTGAGTATTCCTGGTTTCATTATACGTTATTTATTCCTTAATTATAGTACATGTCCTTCCATGCGTGCGCGCGCTTGCTTAACAATGCGACGTGCATCCCTGGCTTGTCATGCGGGGAATTTTTTCCAGTGTATGGCATGGGTTTCTTCTACATACGATTGATCCACCAAACTCCCCATGTCTATTTCCAACGGCTGCACCAAGCTGGACTTTGTGGAGAAAGGCTAGCTTTGATGTCTGTAGGCTATTGTTTGTTGCTTTTACTAACTCGGGATATACATGGCAGGACCGACAAGACAACCACTACTCGCAGATTCTTTTAGGGATCATCCTCGTTCTACAATGATTATGAAGATGGGACAACATCGACAAGCTTCTAATACATACCTCAAAGAGGACCAGCATCCGGACCCGGTGAGTTTAGGTTTATCGATTTCCACCATAGTTTTACCTTAAAGCTCTGGAGCAAGTGCTACAATCGCCTGCGTAGATCTACGCGTTCGCATCCAAGGATATTCGATCAGTCCACCCGAGTCAGCGCAACTTGTGTGACGTCTTCGGATGCACCAGCGCAACATCTCATAATCGTCCCGCGCGCCGAACAAGCTGAAGCAGCAACCCGTGATTATCGAAATGCGCAAAGATCGAGCCCCTAAGTTAGGGTAGTCTGCTCTATGTCGAATTCATTCCATCTCCAGAAGATCGCGGGGCTTGTCGCAAGCCTTAGGTACCTCTTTTACTTGGCCAGGCTACCTTGAGATCAGTCCTAGGAATCAAGGGAATATTGCAGGGGAGCATCTTGTTTCACAAATGACCGGGGCTGTCTTCTGGAACAGGGCTTGTGCGGGTTACCTTAGCGTCCCCGGCTCGCGCTTCAAGGCCATGATTCCTTGCCCTATCAAGAACCCTTCAGAACTGACGTGCCCGTGATGCCCCAACTCAAGTGGATGCGGGGAGACAAAGGTGTATTTTCCCCCCTTCCTTAATTCGCGATTTACCATTTCATATACCGTGCCTCATTATGTTTCCCGCACTGTCATCATCCTGATCAGATTTTTTTGGCCCTTAATTTTTTTTCACCTTCCCTACACAATGCGCCCCCCGGATGTTTGATGGCGCAAGTGCCAAACAAGAATAGGAAAAAAACGGTCGCTGAGGGGCTAGAGTTGGGAGAGTATCCTTTCCATTTCAAGTTACGGCCCTAAGAGAAAAAAAGTTCAAGCGGCTTTAACGGGTTCGACGGAGTCGAGTCCCTTCGAGATGTGTTTTTTTCTTCTACCACATACGCTATTTCTTAGCGTTGTAGGGTTGAATTTTTTTCTGCTCCGGCTCAATTCCTACTTCCAACATAGGCCACAAGTTTGGTTAGTATGGTGGACATTTATCATTACCTTCGGGGCAGAAACAGGAAAAGGGAAAAATAATATTCGACCGAAGTCGTACACGGTACTTCTCCGTAAGCATGAGGGCTGTGGGCCTAAGAGAAAATGGGCGTTGGAACATCAAGTGGGCCCCAACAACAATTCTCCAATAGTGGATGGACTTCAGCAATCGGCTTGCTGTCACCACACCATCCCGATTCTGGTTCAGAATCCAGCAGTAATAATAGTGGAGGAGGGAGGAAGACGGAAAACTCTGGCGGCCTTAGTTGGGTTTCTTAGTCAAGCGATGGAAGACTTTAGCTGCTAAGAGAGTTTCAATGTGAGGATCTTCCAGTACATCGTTGTGCTGCTAGTCCGAACGCGTTTTCATGGGCCAGGGGTGACTCCCAATGCCTGAACGAAGAAGTTTCGTCTTGGGCGGTACTCTGGGTACTCTGGGTACTCTGGACTTGCTGTGGAACTATACTCAATGCTCGAGTACCTCGATCACGCCCCCCCGTACACACCGCCTTGCTCCCTGGGAAGCTCGCGAAAGGCACTCACCCCTGTCCTGTTGGCTAGCCCCGGGCATAGAATACCTCATCGGGTTAGGATGGAACTCTTGGCGCTCCCGCCATTGGCCACTTCATCTAAAAGCTGCAGCTGCCCCCTGCCCCCTGTCACGTTTCTTCCATGCGATGTTCCACATTTTCATCCATCCACCCCCTAACCATCCCCTAACACGAAATCTCCAACTTCCATTTCTCTTCTTCTACATTTCATGCTTTGCCGCAGGCATTGCACGTCCTTCCTCTACCAAACTAAGCAGTCATATCGTTCCTGTTAATTATCCCGGAGTGGGAGACCTTCTGGGACGTACATATTGATACACAATAAGCCCCATCCATACATATTCATAGATACATATTCATAAGTACCGCCGGTCCCCAGTTTTACACCTACTAGAGGGACAGGGACACGTCCCAGGAAGTACCTTTTACCTACCCTACCTACCTCGATATTTTCATACGGCTCGCGATCTCACCTTACCATAGCTCAAATATCGTTGGCCCTGCCAATTTTTCTTCGCCGTCGCATTTTTTGAGAATCCTCGCTCCGATCTCAAATCTGCTGTCGCTCTTTGTTTTTTTCCTTTTTATGCTCTAAAGTATAGTACACCCCCTTGTCGGCCGTGTATACCTCTCTCATAACTCTACCCGAACGTGTTCGAGGCATTGCTGCTACTGTCGCGTCCCAAATAGGCTTGAAGGAGAACCTAGTTGGTGAACTTTGAGACTTTCGGGTTCCGCTTCCGATTCCTATCCACTCCTCCCTTTTAGGAGCAAGCACCTGGTGGTGTCATTTCCTGGTACTGCAATTCTTTATCTCTTACGGTAGTATGCTTAGGCCCCCCTGGTCTTATAACCTATACCCTCCCCCCGTCGCTTAAGCAAGCCTCACCCGTTAAACCTCGTCATTAGGAGATGCTTAAGTTCCTTGGACCTTGACAGTATCAAGTAAAATAAAAATTGCCGACGCGTCCTGCTTTCACAACTTTTTCTTTTTCATGGTTGTCGTTACTATTTGGCTTTGACACACCAGAGTTCAGGACTAATGGTTGTCTCCTCTATGCAGCATCATCCCCACCACTCGCAGGGTCCGGCGCCTCCCCAGCACCTTCAGCATCCTCGACCCCCGAGTATCGTTCACCAGCAACACCACCAGGCACCGCAGCAGCAATCGCAACACCCTTCGGCCTACTCGTCGACCCATTCCATACAGCCCGCCTACCAACAAGCAACACACGCGCCCGCTGCCCAGCACGCGCAAGATTTGCCCTATTACGCTCACCAGAGCCCCTACAGCACTCCAGGGACGACAAGCGGATATACATCCGCAGGTGAGTACTCGTCGCGTCGCGCGCGTTGTTTGGGGTCGACCCATAAGCTTATACCTTCGCTAGACACCTCCGAAATGATGGCCGCAGCTCAAATGCCTCGACCGTATCCCCCGATATCATATCATGCATCAAATTCCAACTCTCCAGCGTCTGTCGCGTCGCCATCGGGGCACGACCAGCACCGAAGTCTTTACGGGCAGCCAGGACCGCAGCTTCAACCCCAATCCATGTATTATGGCACGCAACAACCGCAATACTCATCTCTGCCCCCGCAGGCGCCCTCGCCGTATCAGCAGCATGCTCAGCAACCGCATCAGTCTATGGCGTCGCAACCCAACATGATGATGTCTCACGCAGCACCACAACATCAAATGGCCCAACACACGAGTCAACACGCGCAGGGGGGAATGACGGGCAGCCCCCGACATACCAAGATGGAATCACAGATGCCCCCACAACTGCAGCGTCCTACTCCTGGGCCGCTGGGTACTTCGCAGCAACCTCAAAACGGCGGACAATTACCAACTCCTACTGGATCGACGACACCAGGGGTTAACAACAACGCGGCGCCGGGGCCGATCCCCGCAACTACCCCTCTAGTTGTGAGACAGGATAATAATGGTGTACAGTGGATCGCATTTGAATATTCTCGCGATCGGGTGAAGATGGAATACACAATTCGCTGTGACGTCGAATCCGTAAATACGGACGAACTTGGCAGTGATTTTAAGACAGAGAACTGCGTATACCCTAGGGCATGCTGTCCTAAAGACCAATATCGTGGTAATCGATTACAGTATGAGACCGAATGTAATACGGTGGGATGGGCATTGGCCCAGCTTAACGTATGCCTTCGTGGGAAGAGAGGACTTATTCAGAGAGCTGTCGACAGCTGGAGAAACAGTAACCAAGATCCTAGATTGCGAAGCCGACGTGTGCGACGAATGGCGAAGATGAACAATCGCAAGGCAGTTCAGACTCCACACTCAGCACATATGTCCGGTCCCAGTGGTCCGGCAGGGATGTCAACCCCTGGGGCCATTGGTCCCGGCGGCGGTACGCCCATGGGGAAACCTGGGATGAGCAACATGGGTCCTCAGATGCATCACCACCACGCCCACGAAGGAGGTCCTCAAGGCGGAGACGAAGTCGGTATGTTTCACCAGATGTGATTCATGCGTTGCTGTTGTTGTTGTCGTTGCTGTTGTCGTTGTCATTGTGCCATTACGTGATACCTCTTATCATTTATACCTCGTGTGCCTGTTCGGTTATTTTTTGGAATTCGGATGCCTCTTCATGTTTATATATCGGCGCAAAGCCGCGGGCGCTTATCTTTTCTTTTTTGGAACTTCAGGGGACTGGCACTATTCTGTACATTATCTAGTTGCCATGCACTTGGTAGTCCTTGCTGCTTCGGGGCGGTCTAGTCGTCTGTCTGGTAGCAAAAGTTGCATGGCCTTGCTTTGCATCCCACTGCACAAAAACACACCAAGCGCACATATCACAACCTCCTTGTATTGGAACCCTTCACAAAAATTGCAAATATTTTGCGTCGCTTCGAATTTTTTTGCTGCCTTTAGTTTGCTACATAGCATTTCGACCCTAGTCAAGTCCGCTAATTTAACTCTCTGAACAGGGGATGGAGAGTACGTGGATGGATCTCATCATCACCATCATCAAGTACCTACCGGGCCAGGATCTAGAAACGCGGACGACGCTCGTCCAGCTCAAGTCTTCACTGGTTATCCACAACAGTATCCTAGTCATGCTACATCAGGATCGTCCATGCCACCGATCCATGATGGCCTTGGCGCGTCCCATCACAACACTATCGTAGCTCGACGTATGAGCCGGGACGATGATGACAAGAATCCCGAAGGCCTATTTCCCGATATCCCGGATGCTAAGAAACGAAAATTCATATTGGTTGAAGATAACAAACGTAACTCACGCTTGCGCGTGCGCGTGACGCTGGAAGATGTTAACCCCAAGGAAATTCCTGATTCATTCCGTAAGAGCTCTGCTGTATTCCAGCGCAGTTACTTTCCGCGCGAAATGCAAAGTCCGCCTCCAAGCGCCACGGGTAGCCAATTCTTTCAGGATGACCTAAGTGACGATAATGTCGAAGTCGAGGGTGGTCGAACAGGGCGCGCTCGAAGGAGCAACATAAGGGGACGCACTATGGTCAAGGCTCCTATGTCAGATGGGAACGAAGCCGAGGTTGCTATCCCAAGGACCCGACGGGGCGCTCGCATAAAGGAAGTGCGACTTAATGACTTAGCGTACCGCATGGCATGGATGCATAGTCGTGTATTCGCTGGCAGGACCGTTTTCCTACAGCGAGCTCGTAAGTCAACCTAACGTTTTTAAGATACTGTCATGTTCTAGAATTTTGCTAACTTAATTGTCAGTCGACTGCTACCGTAATAAGACTTGCACCGCGATCGAAGGCGTCACACAAGACGTGAGAACCATGGTACCTCACTACGAAACCAGAGTAGGCAAACGAAGATGGAGTGAGCGAATGCGCCGCGGCGAAAAACGGGACGACGAGGCTTGAACCCGAAGCCCTGTTGCGTTTCTACCACATCATCTTAATGATACCCGACTGGCGACGTGCTACCGACGAACGCTGATTTCCTGGAGCTACTTTTTTTTCTTTCTATTCGTGCTGATAAGTTGCACCCTATTGTGGGATCTTTCCATTTCGTCACGGTGTGCGTAACACGATTGTTTTACATACGCTGCGCGCCGTGTCTGTATAATACTCGGGCTTGATAGATTCGCCAAAGGTCAATGACGATATACGACTGGTTTTTTTCTAGTAAAAAACGAAAAGCAAGCAAACAAACAAAAATCACCAAAATTGACTCACTTTCAAAAACAGTAGTTGAGTTCGTCGACTCCTTTTCTCTTTTAGTAGTCATTGTCACCCACCACTTTGGCTCGACCCCCGAACGTCTTCAGATCCATTCTCCGGATGAAACAGAAGACCCAATATCTCACTGTGGCGATTGCGTGTCACGGTTCGTCCGATATAGCTACATTTTTCCTTGTCAAATCCTCAATTCATGTAGAGTAATTTGTGTTTCGCATTCTTTTCAAGTACTCGCCGGGGGGGTAAAAAGGGGAGAGGGCGGGGAACGGAATTTCACCCTCAAAGTTTTCCGCAGTCAAAATGTTTATAGGGGAGATACCAGGAAGTGCTTATATTCTTTATCATAAAAGTGGTAAAAGGGGTTGAGTGGGGGGGATTTGCTGAGATGTCGCGGATGATGATAACATTTGAGCAAATGGTAGTAGATCTCATGATGAGGGAAGGAGATACGATTATGGAGTACTACGATAATACCAATAATGAATCACTTGTCTATTCTTTCTATCGTCTTAAAAATATAATAATAAGTTATAAGGCTATTACCAGTGTATTCCTACCTAAGTACCCGAGCAGGCAGTTGCCGCGTTAAAAGGGGTAAATACGCCTTTCACAAACATATCATGCTCCATTGTCGTTATCATAAGCATATAAGGTTAAACCGACGGTTGGAGGTGTCTATGACCCACGAGACCAAAGCGCCGTTGAGGTTATTAAGTTCTTTAACGGTCTTTATAGTTCAACCACATCGTGAGTCTTCCTCAACCACACTTATTTACTACTACCATGTCTTTCCATATACAAAAATATAGTATGTTTTATTAAGTAATATCACATTTAAATTTTGAAGTACGTACCTGCTTATAAATAGACCCTCGGGAGACTCAGGATAGACAGACCATCATCGGATACCCGGTCACGCGCATTTGGGTCCGGAAATAGTCATTTGACGGGATCGTCATTCCAAAATAAATTGCTCGCTCCCCTCCATTTTCTAACACCTCACCGGTAATATCAAGATTTGGGCGAAAAGCATCTGAAGACCAACTTTATTTTAATTATCTAGACGGAAAACGGGTGTACGCCTTTTTCTCTTCATCTCTATTTATTAGGTGCACATGTAAAAAAATATTGGCCCACGACTTCGGGTCTTGGTGACATGAGCACAATACGGTAGACACGAGGCGATCGGGAACGGCTACTTGCATGAAGGTACCCCTGAGTAGGCGGGCCGATGCGAGACGGGCGAACGGCTAACGGGCGGGTCGGGTACTCGCGTGTCGTATCGTGTTGTGTTATGTGACGGGCTGCCGGTGTAGGTGTGTGTATAGGTACTTGGGCATTTATGAAGACACGGGAGTGGCGTGACTTGGAAATACTCTCGAAAGTTCAGCTCATGTTCGTGATAGGGGTATTTGGTGGTATGTGCTATGGAAGCGTACTTGCTAGCAGGTGTATTTTCTCAAGCCACTAATTTCCTATTTCCTTCACAGGATTATTTATGAGCACGATCACGATGGCGGGCAGGTATTGGCAGTTGCATAACTCATCATATCCATAAAAAAGAGAAATCTACTGGGTATATCTAAGTGCGTACGTAAGTATCCATCTCTTTTTCATCTCTCTTCGTAAGTTATGGGTATCTGGCTTTTGAGTATGATGTTGAATGATCGTGACAAAAGAAATGAGCGAAAATCCAAAATAGAAAAGGCAAGAAAAGAAAAGAAAAACATGAATAGCGATGGACTGTACATAACATCTAAATATCCCAAATCCAACCGGTAATAATGATCAATTCCTTCCTTTCCAGCGAGAAAAACCCAAGTCCCGAAAACGTATTTTCCACGCGTGTCCAGCAGCGACTTGACTGTACGCCGAATGATGATGAATGGTATATACGCAGCAAGGAAACATTCTTCCCAACAACATACATCTCCACAAATGGTATTGCGTCGCCGCCTTTTCTCTTCTCTTTCTTCGCCATATACATATCATCGTAATCCATATACACGCACCCATCCTACACGCCTTAGTATACCAGGTCTTTTTTTTCCCAAATTAATAAACACCTTGTAAAGATCCGATCCCGGCAACTATATGTAGGGGTATGTTCAGAGCCGAGGGTGTATACACGGATATATAGAATAGATAGATAAATCAATGACGATACGCCAGGTCATATACATCGTATATAAGTAGATGGTGATGGCAGTGGATAGTGGCAGTAAAATGTTAGTTAGATTTGCCGAATGAGCTTATCGCCTGTCCTCCGAGGGAACGACAGCAGAGTCGTAGTCGCGGTCGCGGTAGGAACGGTGGTGGCGCGGGTCGTGGCGGGCACTGGTGCTGTTGCTGCCAGTATCATATTCGATAGCACGTCGGTCACGTCCATCCTCATCCTCATCTCTGTGTCGGCGGTGACGCTCACGGGCTCGATCTCCATCCCGATCGTCATCGCGGGGTCGACGGTAATCATACTCATCATCATAATCGCGGCGGTGGCGACGACTAGCGGTGTTGCTGGAATTGCCGTTGGTACCCCGTCTATCTTCGTCGGAGCGGTCGCGTTCGCGGTCACGACCACTTCCGTTTTCGTCCTCAAGTTCTTTTCTCTTGGCAGCTATTATCCGGTTAATAAACCATGCATCATCAATAATAAATGCATTTATAACATACCTCTGATCTGTGCAGTGCGAGTAGCAAACTCCTGAATCTCCTCCTTGCTCAAGACCCTGAGCACAATCACAAACTCATCGCGTACTTCGAAACGCTCCTTACCCTCCAGCGCCGCAGGGCTGATCAGCTTGCGGTTGACCTTAGTCCAGCGTGCTCCAGGTGGTACATTCTTCTTAGTCTTGTCATCCTTGTGCGGAGCTACGCCTTCCCGAATCGGGTTCTGGTCCTCCGGGAACTTGACACTTGGAGTCTTCAAGATACCCTTGATAGGCTTAGACTCGGACTTCTCACGCGGTGGCGAGACGACGCGGACTTGTTTCTCGCTGGTGGTAGTAACTTCGCGACCGCGGGACTCCTCGCGCGATTCGGCGGGTGTGTATTCTACAGAGGCAGAAACATCCTTCTCGGGGCTGCGCTCCTTGGAAGCTGGCTTGTCCTTGGACTTCTCTTGGTTGTCTTTGGCGGCTAGCTCGGCCTTGACATCCAACAGATCCTCAGGGTCTGTGGGGTCGAAAGTTGGAGGGTTGTTGCGCCGTCTTCGAGATGGGCCGGCGGATCCGTCGGAGCTAGGCGAGTTGTCTCTGTCATCGGCTGCAGATGAGCCGTTGATAACAGCTTCGGTGTCTCGCCTAGTGCGCTCACTAACACGGTCGCGTTCACGATCCTTGTCCCGCTCGCGAGAGTCTACATCACGGTCCCTATCACGCTCTCTTTCTCTGTCTTGGTTACGTTCCTTCTCAAGTTCTCGCTCTCTCTCACGTTCGCGCTCATAAGCACGCTCACGAATGCGTTCTCTCTCAGTTTCGCGGTCCTTAGAAGCCGGTGGTGACTCCGCACGTTCTCTACGGGCCTCACGGCGGGGCTCGACAGGAGCTTCATCTCTAGGGGAAGGCCTGCGCTCCGGGATATCCCGCTCTCTGGGCCTATATTTATCAGCAGCGCGGGAGCTGCCTACGTCCTTCTCATCATCGGTATCCCGTCGACGAGGGGATACCTTGCGGTCATCGTCCTTAGGCGTGTCCTTAGGAGGAGCAAGGCCGAAAGCAGCAGCGGCAGCACCAACACCTGCGACGATCTTATCACGGGTTCGGCCGCCGACACTGCTCTTTCGGGTAAGACTGTCGCTATCGTCACGGCGGCTACTGACGACATCATTAGGGATAGCGGCAGGCTTGCGGATATCATGGCTGCTGCCTGCATAGTCAATCGACTCATCTGAGCGACGACGCGGCTCACGCTCCACCGCAATATCGCGGCGCTGTCTACGCTGTTCATCAAGGTCCCGACGATCTACAGATCTCGCCGGACGGTCAACCGGTGGTGCCTCCAACGCCTCCGTACGAATACCGAAACCACGAGACGGCACATCTTCATCACGGTAAGAAGGCGCAGTAGGTCCATCACGCTCACGACGGCGATGCAGACGCTCATCATCGTGCGAACGGAATATTTCCTCAGGATGCGACATACGAGCGGGCGCATCCTGGTACAGTGAGACAGGGCGGGGTCTCGCAGCAGGTACAGCTCTGCGCTCAGGTGACGGGTCACGCGGGGCCTCAATCTGACGGAGACCACCACCACCACCACCAACAGGAGGCGGGGCTGGTGCCGGTGGAAGAGCAGGGAGGACGACCGAGGGACGATCGTATGTACCCTGGGCAGCAGCTCTGTTGTACCGATCAATTCCAGCGGATGTAGGTGGTGGGCCACGACTGCGTGCGTCGTAACGTCCCGCTTCGACGTTTACGGTCGGTCGTTTATATGCGCGATCAAGACTTTCGCGACGGCCACCGGTCCCAGCTGCGCGGGCTCGACGGTCGTGGTCGAGGTCGTATCTCGCGAGTTCGCCGGGCTTAGTATATTCATACCCTTCGTTTTCGTAGCCATCGTTCTTGTAGTCAATCACCGCAGTATTGCTTAAATCGTGCGCGGGTGCAGCGGTATAACCAGCGTGGGGTACGGCATAGCGGTAGAAATCCGTAGCGGTGTGTGTCGGAGCGCGAAGTCGATCGTCGCCGACTCGCTCCCTTAGGCGGTAGAGTTCGTCGTTGCTTAGCGTCGCGCTTTGACTTTGGCTGTAGCCGTGGCCATAGCGGTGTTGGCTGCGCCCTCGCATGGAATTAGCGGGTTGTGTGTAGTATGTCTCATCGCTCGAGCGGTAGGGGTCGCGTGACGGGCTCGGTGCGCGGGCGGCAGACGACGAGGTATGCGAAGTTGACCCGTGAGGACGGCTGGCGTGGTTGGTCGTGACTATGATCGGTTTTACAGCGCCTGAGTCGACTGTGGACGAGCGACGGCGTGCAGTATTGGAGGTGCGAGGCGCAGACTCCTTGGTGACTCCGCGCGCGGGGTCTGTGGTAACGTTGTAAGTGGTAATTGTAGTATGCGGGTTCGACGATGTCGTCGTTTTGTGGTCAGTAGCCGGTCGACGTGGGATGGCATCGTAACGAGCCGTCTGGACGGTATGGACGTCGCCATTATAGTGAGGATTGTAGCCAAGGTTGACGGGCATAGAGAGTCGCGCGGGGTTCGAGGTAGGCGACCTACGACCAGTGGTCGTACCCGAGTATCGGTATCGAGGCTCAGTCATGGCTGCTGACTGGCTCGTTGGCAGTAAGAAATGACGCAGTGTAGTGCCCCTCCGCTTGTCGGCAACAGTCACCCACGATTCAGGTAATAGTCTCTTAGTGTATGTAGTAGGATCAAATGAGAGAATATGTGTGTCTCGGTGAAAGTGAGTGAGGATGTGAGTCAGTAAGAGAAAGAGGGAAAATTGGTAAAAACGGTGTGAACTGGGTTGTCGGCAAGAATCAAAGTGGGACGGTGAGTAATTTTGTCCGGCTTATTATTAGATTTTTGTGGTGATGGGATTTTTTTAATATAATATGACCAGGTTTAAAAGGATTCCCCAAGTTGGGGGCGAAATATTGGGAAAAAAAGTCTTGTGGTCTCTTTCTTCTCTTCGTATGTTTTTTCTTCTAATCGAGTCATAAAAGATGGGTCTTTCTGCGACATATATGTAAGCCATTGGAATTCAATACGCCTTCGGAGCACATAACGAATTTTATATATTACATGGCGACAATAATGACGGAGAATGGGGAACCCGACGGGTGCCGCTTAAGAATACCAAGGCACGGAAAATGGAAGAACTTAGTAAAGTTGCGAATACGTACCAAGAAAACGATACTAAGACTTAACCCCGGCTTGGAAAAGAGCACAAAAAAACACGATAAGGGTCCTATCGTGGGGTAGAAGCCATAGAAGGGTAGTATCAAAACGGATTTGTGTCGTCGGGTTGGGCTGCAGCCAAGCAGGGAACCGGCGGTGAAATTGGGCCACTAAAGACGAAGGACCCTTGACGCCAGCCACGAGCCACGAGGCAATTCAGGTCCCCCTTTCCCCTTATTGACAGTTCTTGCCGGACGTCGCACTGCTGGTGAGTCCTTAAGCCGGTATGAGGCAAATTGTATGAGTTGTTCAGGACAAGATGGTCAAGTGACTCGGCGACAAATGCAAAAATGAATCCGGAGGAATCAGTCAGGGAGGGAAAGAGGAAAGGAGCAAACAGACCAGCAGCAGAGAGCGGTGATGATAATAGTCGGAGGGGGTTGCGTTCTCTACCGGTTTTTATTTGCCTGAAGAGGAGCTATGTTTTTTTCCCTACCCTCCAAGTCGCGTTAATAATACAGCCAATAATGAGCTGTTTCCTCGCTATGTGATCTGATATATCCAGTTGTGGTAGTAGTAACAGCGGGGTGGTGTCGCCGTTGTGTGCCTCGCAATCAGAGAGTGCACTAAACTCGACTCTCGCTCGACAACACTAATGGGACTGTGCTTTCTTCTGTACGCCCACTCTTGTTTCGGGACTCGACAGAGAAATACAGTATTCTATAGATAGCTCTTATTTTTGGCGTAGAATACTAAAACGGCCCTGAGGCTCTGTATGCGTATAAGCGACTGCTGACGAGAGCTTGTAACTATTCCTAGCGGGGTTGATTATTATTTTTTTCGCTCGTTTTTTTCTTCTTCCCCTCTCATGCAGCTGGGTGATCTTTAGGTAGGTTAAAAATTAAGGCAGGTCATGTAGGTGTGCTTTGCTATGCATTGCATGAGAGAAGTGGGGTTGGACTGGAGATGGTTGGCTGATGGAAGGGAGTAGAAGACAGGGCAGGATAGAGGAACCCGTTTTAGACACCTTCCCATACTATTGGAGAGTCTATGCCTGGAGGATTCCTTCGTTAAAGCAACGTAAACTGACTGACCTGATGATGAGAATAGCACACAGCCTCGGTTAGGCAGTGAATGAGGATTTGTTGTCAAAGAAACGCTAAGATGCAAGATATTGAGATGCGAAGAATCCAGGAAACTGGGGCAAACAGAGGAAAACCGCGGAGCAAACAACAGCAACAACCAGCAGTAACGTCGCGTTGGGTGAGGTATGATAAAAGATGACAATGACGGTAGTGGTGGAGGGGTGCCCACCCAGCGAATAGGATCGGGAATGGTCTGTGATGACGTCCCGTCTCGCAAAATAGAATTGCGTTGCGTCAATCGTAGAACCTGGGCTGGGCCGAGCTAGCGTAAAGTCGAGCAACGAGCGACGACAGGCACCCACCCAGCTGGAGGGGAGGGTTGTGTGCGCTGATCCGGAGACTAGGAGACCCCCCGTTCAAAGTACCAAGGAGAGACCAAGGTGTTCCCCAAAGAAGCTTAGGACTGGACCAAATACCTAACTAACACTAGGCAATCCCTCCGTATTGTTGTGTGTGTTAGGGCGCACGCTCTCGTCTCCTTCCGAGATTCGTATCCTCTAGGAACCTAGGAACACGAACCAAATGCCACCTGAATCAAGATCAGCAACCTGAGAAATTATGCCGTCCTTGTATCCGTCGTGCGTAGGATCGACTATGTAGTCGTAATGTTGTAGAGATGGATTAGAAATGCAACCGAATTCCAGCGTCGAGATATGTAATCCAGAAAGATTAAGTATGAAAAAATTGGAATAATAAGAATAATACCTAGGTATCTATAGGTACTAAGCCGGCGCGTGTAAGTGTTAGTGGTTAGTGGATATTACTGCTAATATTGGAAACTGATGTTAACTTATGTCGCTATTTGCCAACTTGAGGGGGGCTCAAGACAATCAGTCACTCAATCAACCTGCCTTTGCGCTTTTCTTCTCTCTTCTTTGTACTTTTCTCGGTTTCAAATAGGTCTGTTTCTGTTACGCCGATAGGTAAATAACTAATGTCCTTGGTCTGTCTCGTTTTCCTAATTACCAACCACATTTCCAAATTGGGTAACCAGCCCACGAGCCGAGCCTTGTTGATAGTTACATGTAACGAATAGGTTCATTCCCTTTAATTGTCAGCTTTCCGTAACACGTAAGTAGACCAGCGCATATTTCTTCCGTATAATCCCCAGTGGTCCAAAAGGTGAGAAAAAAGGATATCGTTCATTCGGCTGTGTCGCCCATCATCATCAATCACACTCTTTCGCTACGGCAACAGTTGCGACACCAATCATTAGAGGCATTGCGTCTCGTTTTTCTATATTCTCACCTTATTTCCCATCCATATTAATGCTCTTGTTGGGACGATGAAGTCTTGGTTGGCGTCTCTTATTGGTGCAGATTTTTGGTGATTCGGGCTTCAACGCTAACTGGATTGGAACCCAATGGATCCTCATTCCCCTCTCCAGCGATAGTATCTTCTTTGACTCACCATTATCGGTTTGAATTGGCTGAGAATATCTTGTAAATTTCTAATCCTCGTGGCCTCGTGGCCCGGCCCGCTCCTTTGGATCCGGCGTCTCGCCTGGTCTCACGTACGCAGGTACTTACTGTCGTAACGTGTAATTATCCTAAGAGGACCAGAAGGATTGTCCATAGGTTTCTTCTATCAGCCCAGGCGGGCTGGATTGTTGGCCCAGTCGAACGTCGCGTTTGTGTCGCCCGAAATAGCAAGTGGAATCAAAAGAATTACCTATTCATCCATGGTAGATAACTACATCAGATATTCAGGAACAATTTGCGGTCTATGTCTACCGTGGTGAGAATAACGAGGAAGGTCGCCCAAGTGGCGAATAATTCGACCGCCCCTGTATGATTGGGCTGCTATAGCATCAAGGGATGAATGGGTTTGCGACTCTTCGGAACTCCTCGCGGCACTTGACAAATTCTACCCTCGAATCACATGCTATTCTCGAGCCAAGGCTCTTGTCTGTAGTATGTTTCAAATTACCTTCCTTACATTCCTCTTTTGATGAATTCGGGACCGTCACGTCAAAGTTACCTTGGCTGCCTGGGTAACAACCGGGACGGTGGATTGTCTAAGCATCTACGACAGACCTCCTTCACAAGTGAGGGTTAGTAAGGATGAGTAAAGGCTATAAACAACGACGAAATACCTACGGGAGTTAGAGAGGAAGGTTAGGTAGATTTTTCACTTTCCCGTTCTCCTCAGTTAGACGCACCATACGTTGATACATGTGTAATTTGAAATATGAAAATCTCCGAAAGAATAGCGTAGCAACAGCTCCATCGGCGGTCGACTCCGGGGCTACGATTCGACATTGGGTACATCCATAGAACCTTCTCTGTCAACCTAGGCCTTTCTCTGTGTTGGGCGCGAATATGATGTCCCACGGACGTATGGCGCCTGGGATATTAGCAGTTTCAAGGTGAATCCTGGGTAATCACACAAAGAGAGTGTGGTCTCGCCTTCGGCCTTCCATCGTATTAAGTAATGCCCAATGCCGGAGTCGATGTTCTCAAGGCGCTGTTCTTCGAACCCTGCCCTGCTAGCTGAATACACGTGGTAGATGTTCTCTACAAGCGCATGATAAGTTTAAGCGCTGTGAAACTATGCTAACTTGTGCTGCTCTCAAGCCACCAGCCAGCCTAGAATGCTCCGTTAGGCCTTGTTTTTGATAGGAGTGTAGTCGACCAACCGAAGCACTCCCCTAAAAGCTGAGCCTTGCCTACCGGGCGACAGACGCCAGTAACAGGACCAACGAAATGAGGAATAAATATCGTCATAAATCTCATTGGACTTGAAATTTGCGGGATATAGCCGTGCTTAGTAGGTCATAGTCATTCCACTACATCCCATATCCCGAAGAGAAGATCTGCCTTGGACCTCACCGCTTGCCTCCCTTCAACATGGCTACAAATGCACATATAGGTACCCAGATTAACAACAAACAAATATATTTAGACATGGGATGATTAAGCCCCCTTTTAGCCGCAGACGCGTCATATATGAACAGATCAGCGGTTGACTGACGCTGCAGAAATGCTAATTTTCCGATTAGGCCTCGAGTTTCTACAGCGATCCTGAAGGGGTCAAGATGCTACAGGTGCTACAGTGCCAACTTAACATCTTGGAAACTTACAAATCCTGTGACCTTCTAACGATGGGGTAGCACAACGCCAGATCACCACTCGTAGCTACATGCTATTGATTATTACCGTATCATGACGAGACGAAAAGGGAAACAAGCATGATATCTGAGTAGCCTAAGGCGTACTATTTTGAAGACTACCTAGGTACCTAGGTAGCGAATAGCTAGCGAATAGGGTTTCTACAAGGGCTTCTACTAAGCATGACGACGAGCAGCACATTCGGGAAAAACATGAGCGAAAGTGCAATATGAAGCAGGCTCTGTCAAGAGCTTCTTACCAATTTCAGTAACTACCTCTACAATAGAAACACGTTACGAAAATGTTTCGTCATCTTCCCTAAGCAGTGTTCCCCTTTCCGACATCATGCCACACACACAGCGACGCTTCGGCTGCCCTATTTCCCACTATCTTAAGTCGTGAAACCCCATCCTTCGCCCCAAAGCATAACGCCGCTGACATATAGCATCCAATATAGCTCTAATAGCCGAAACGCTTAATCAAGCCATCAGGTTATCAAGTCTACTATCCGATGCCCTCGCCCTACTACTACCGACACACCCCTAACGCGACACAAATCCCAACATGTGAAGAAAAAGGAAATGTAAATTGAGAAAAAAAGCAAATGAATGCAGGAAATATTGGATGGCCGAGTCCGGCCTAGTTCAGCCACTCCCATCTCTTGTTTCTCCTAGGCCATACCATACCATGCCATGCGATGGCATGCTTATTATGCTTATGTCTATGCGGTATCACAGTGTCACTACCTTCCGCCTCGAAAGAAGCAAGAAGCACTCGTGGCGGGGCACCCGCGAACGCCGGTATCTTTCTGGATATAGCATTCGTACCACTAAAAGCTGCCTGGACATCCAGATCGGAAGACCCTTCGTGCATGCGTCTACATCGGGAGGTCCAACCCACAATTAACGACGCCGTGCTCTGACAAACGTGGACCCTTAGCATCGTAAAGATCTCGTTTTGCGAAACAGCAGGACATCGTTGGGGGTCCATTCGTATCACCTAGGATACGTACGTGGTCAGATTACCTACATATTAAGTAACCCAACTGCCTCTGACCGGATGCACAGAGAAAGTTTCCCTTTGCTGTTTCCCTTGTGGATGACGAGCCTTAGATTTCGTGATCGGTGATCTAAGGATGGAGAAGTGGATATAGAAAGATCCATTATGCCGTGACAGAGTAAACAGTGGTGTTGTCGCGTTGCGTTCATCTGTCCGCCTTAGCATGAGTAACTGGATCTACCTCGCTTCCCGGAGCCACTCCACCATCTCCGTTTGCCTCGATCAGCCGAGATGTCCCAGCCATTCCGTCGGATCGGCTTTCCGCATTTATCCCTATTTCGAGCCTCAGCGAGGAGCGCCGGTATACCAAATTTGGTCTTCCCTTGATCGCCTCGAAGCCCCCACAGAGCCTGGGTCTCAGGTGGTATACAGAAAAGAATGAACAGAATTTAATAGAGCAGGGAACAGAAAAATAAGGGTAGATTCTAGAGGGCCTCCTTGGCGATTTCGCAGCTGAGGCTTAGCTATGGCTGACGCTTCCTTGTCCTCTTATTTCCTCACTAGGCAAACAGTAAAGAGCACTCTGTATCCAATCAGCCTCCAAGGGGGGATGAACCCCATTAGCGAAAGAGTGCTACTAAGTTGGTGAGAAAATATTTACAGTAATCTAGACATACTTGGTAGCTAAGACAATAGAACCATAATCGGGATTAGGTACTCCAAAGTCCGAGCACATTAGGGGCAAGAGCGTCAACTAATTCCCTTAGAATTGTAGTTGTCTAAAGCTCAGATAGAAAATAATACCAATCAATAACATACTTACTCCAACCCCAGCATTGTGATTTCCCGGTTATTTTCTCGCGAGCCTGCCATCGATACCACCGTGGACACGTGAGATAATACCTAGGTTACCAGCTGGCCAAGCCTTCTCGTAGCAAACCGGGTCTCTGATAGAGTAAACACTCAGATTTTATTAGGCATGGTGGTAGCTTAAAGAAAGGGGAATACTTTTAACCGGAGATGGTCGCCTAAACTGAAAGAACTACGCCATTAATGGGACGCATAGTGTCATATCTGGTATTGGAATAACCGCGTGGAAGTACTGTAAATAAGCCATCGCAAGAACATATCAATAAACAATAAACCGAGTTGCCCTTATCCATCCATCGCACAAAACATGGAGCCGGCATGAGGACAATCAACATCGCCATGCCTACTAGATAGAAGGAAAACACTTAACATAAATCATTACAACCAAGGCCATCATAGCCATCATAAACGTCCTTGCGCTTCGGCCCAGATAGCTTAAGCCAAGCTACCCATAGGGTCCCAAAGAGGCAGAACAATAGGTTCCTGACCCAGAACGTCCCTAGCCTTACGTGGTAGGAACCTCGGGTCAACCACAGCCTGGTAGACAAACTCATCCATCCAGCGGTCCGTCATAACAAACCAACCCTTAGACCCAACATCCGTACCCCAGCTATTCTGCACACGCCAGCGCTCTGGGCGGCCCTCAGCATCGACGTGGACCGCTGTGAGCACCATAGCATGCGTCATAGCCGACTCGCCGACACGTAGACGTGCCGCCTTGTCTAGGCTCCTATACAAATCGACGTTGAAGCCGAGCGAGAAGTCGAACAAGTCTGTATCCATGATACCACCAGCTCTGTCGCTGTACTTGCCGACGTCAGAGCCGAAGAAGATCGGTAAGCCACTTCGAAGCATAGATATGCATGCTTGCTTCAACGTATCCATATCCACGTTGATATACGTGATGCCCCGACCGCCGACGATGTTGCCGAGTCGATCAACGGTCATGAGGCTTAGGGGTGGATGACGCGGGTCGTGTACTAAAGACACCATACTCGCGATGGTGGAGCTGCTAATGCGGAAATCTTGCGACGAGATATCTTTAGAGAAGCGGTGCGGGGTCGAAACCACCGTCCGCGCTCTGCCGTCTTTGTCCAAGAAGTTCCATTCAAACTCATCAGTTGTGCTAGGTGGTGGTCCCAAGGTTAAAGTCAGGATAAGATGGATCTCACGCAGCATCTTGTCCTTGGTAGCCGATAAGCTCGAAGCGGTTGTCGCTGAGCTATTAGCTAACTTGCGAAGTATCACTGCATATTCGCGCAGCTTGGCAATAATGATATAATTGATGGTACTGCTTGTCATAGCATTCCAGCTATCGGGATACAGCGTCTGCGGCAGAAGACCGTACTTCTCGACGAGGTTGTAGACCATGTCCCACTGCCCGCCATCGCTTATAGGATCCGCGAGTATTCTTTGAACCAATCTTTCGTCTAACGATTGATCGGCGGTCTCAATGATGTTCTCTAGGAAGAAATTGGATTTTTCCAGTTTATCATAGAAGAACAAGTAGGCTTGAGATAGTTCGAACTCTGCAAGATTGTACTTCTTCATAAGAGCGACGCGGAATACATTCGTGCTAGCAAAGAGCCAGCATCGCCCCGAGGATCGTTGGTTCGTTATAGGAGCACCTTCGAACGGGATGCGAATATTGAATACCTGCTGGTCCGCAATCTTAGCGGAGCGAGAAGCTAGTACATCTCGCGGATTCGCGGAACTGAGGGCCGAGAGAGCTAATCTAAGTGGTAGATATAATAAGCCATGTGTTAGGGATATTATTAGGAGAGGCAACGATTATAGTCCTTAGCAGTACGGGCCTACGAACCTGTTCTTGGGATCGGCAAGTAGCTTAGACTGCCAGTCCTCGGTACGTTCAACAGCCAGCTGTTCGGGCTGTCTAGTAATCTGACCGTTGGATAGTGTTCCCTTCTCGCTTTCAACATAGACAAATTCATTATCTGCATCTGACTTGAGAAACTCGTTACTTAGTTCCGATTTTAGGCTCTGCAGAACATCGAGGACAGCCTTCTTGTGAGCTGCTTCTTCAGGTGAAGTCTTGGACTGTTGCGCGCCCATGATGTTTCGATTTGGGGTTTACGAGGGATGCGACAACAGCAGGATAATGTACTTATAGGCAACTTAAAAGAAATTGGAGATCGCAAATAAGTGTAAAGGTTAAAGATTTAAGTTTCGTTTAACTTACTATGATTTTAATACTATAGTGACTTATCTAAAACATGATGCTGCAGGTTCCCGAACAAGAGGAGTAAAGAGGTATCAGCTTGACCAGGTTGAGAAGGTGGGTTGAATGATGTGATTGCACCTTATCTCGAGATTGGGGGGCATAGCTTCCCAATTGGTAAGCAGACCTGTCCAGGTGACGGATTTCGGAGCCTACAAAGGTGTAGAACAAGACACCTTGATGGCCAGGCACTAATAGAACATACTTTAGGTAGGTACTAACCTTAATGCATAGTTAATGCGATGAAGGGACAACACAATTCACATTATACACAAGATTCAGGGGACATCATAAAGTTGTACGCTAAGACTTGACATTGAATTACCAGCCATATACAGAACTATATATCAATTGATATATGCCAAAATCCGTAACGTCCATTTTTCCAATCCATAATAATTACGCGCGATAGATCTTTGAAACAATCTTGAGATCAACCGCGACTCCATCATAATCCATGTGCAAAAGAAATCTTCCCAGTTATGATGACACTAATTGACAACAGTTGATCCCATGAACCCCATGGCGACATTAAGGACACCCCACTCTACAAGTTAGAGGCGTGGATAACCTTCATGTCGACAACGAGCTCACGGCCGCCGTCGTTAATAACAAGTACACGAACACTGCCGTGTCCAGAGTTGAAGGCCTGGTTAAGGCGAGACCAGAGGTTGGATTGGTCAATGACGGGGACACCGGTCTTGACGTCACCAGTCTCAGTCATAGCGACGATGCTACCGTCCTGGATATCTAGGACACGGTACTGCTTGAAAACAGGACCAAGCATGGTCTGGACAACAACGCTGGGGGCAGGGTTGGAAACGAAAGAGGACTCCTCGTGGAGCTGCTTGGTGAAGAGATCAACACCAAGGTAGCGGTGCTGGCCAGTGGCAGAGGAGGTGGAGATGCGAATGACCTGGCAGGGACGGCCCTGGAGCATCAGGATATCACCCATGCGAACATGGTGACAGGGGATGGTAACGGTGTTAGGAACAGAAGGAGCTCCGCTAGAGCTAGGAGCAGAAGAGCGAGATTCGCGAACGATCTCTAGGCGTTCGCCCTCAGGGTGGAAGACGCGGTCGGCCATTTTGTGAAGTCCGTGACGAAAGGAGTGGTAGTGTCCTGCATCGACGGTTAGTGAGATTGACCAAGGTGAGTTAGGTTGACAGGTTGATTAACTTACCTGATTCGTCGTAATATCCCATTCTAGACTTCTGGTGAGCCGGGGAGTGTCGGTGTCGAGGGTACTCTACGGTCTCCTCGGCAACTTTGCTGTCCTTATGGTAGGAAGGACTAGCTCGGGGTGCGTCGACTGTAGATTCAGTGACGCGGACCTCTTCGTGGAATACGGGATGGGACCTGGGAGGGTCGATAGTAGATTCAGTTACGTGAACCTGTTCGTTGAATTGGGACCGGGGAGGTCGGGGAGGGTCGACAGTAGTGCCGACTGCGCTGCTTTCCTTGTGGTAAGACGGCTGGGCACGAGCGCGGTATTCGCGTTCGATACGATCAATAGAGCTAACGTGAGGTTTGTGGTGGCGGTCAACTTCAATAGAAGTCTCTGCGTAGGAGTAAGAAGATTGAGGGCGAGCAGGCTTGAAGTGAGATTCCTGGTAGGAAGAATGAGGTCTAGATGGAAGAAGATTTCATGTCAGTCGAAGATATTTTTGAAGAACTTGTTACTTGGTCAACAGAAATTGGTGATGGTCCGGGCACTGGACAGGGGCTGAGTAAAATAACAAGAGACCCGTCGCCCCATATTGGCCAATTTAATTCCAATTGGCGAAGCCAGTGCGAAAGCGACGTAATACTGGGGAGCCGAAATTGACCGACACTTCAATGCTCCAGAGCATAATATTCCACCCATCACGGGCCAATTGCCCATAGCTCTCTTAGGCTTTATTTTTCTCGCGTTTTTCTCTCGCAGAATAATTGTAGATTGTAGAATATTAAATAATAGAAATCGGGGAATTGTTAAAAACTCACCTGTGCTTGTGCTGCTCCTCGTAGTACTCGCGATGGGCACCGGGACGGCGGTAACGTTCTTCTTCACGTGTGATGCGGACCTCTTCTTCGCTAAAGCGTTGCTCTTGACGCGGAGGTAACTGAGCAGAAGCAGAGATAGAAGAGTATTGACCTTCCCGTCCGGCTTTTTCTGGTTTTCCGGGGAGATCGATCTGAACCTCTTCGTGGGTTTGGGTGGTCTCTACCTCAGCTTCCTTATAGGTCCTGGGGAAGATGCTGAAGGGGACGGGTACTCGGGCTTCAAAGTCCAGGTTGGCGACCTTATCGGCGCGAGAGTCCTCTCCTCGACAACCTTTCGACTCGTTGCGAAAGGAAGATCAAGAAGATTCCTCTTGCTCTTCTTTCTACAATCTGAAAGAAAAGAAGGGAGGAGAAGCAGGCGGGTTATGCTCGCTTCTTTACTCGATTCTCTCGTTCAGGTTCAGGCTGGAAGAGCGGGGAAATATTGACTTGTGTTGGGTGTGAAGAAAGTTGTTGGGTTTCTGATCAGGTCAAATGGGAGAAAAGGAGGTGAAGTGTCAGAAGAGTTCATTGGAAGAAAGAAATAGGAGAGCTGCAGGGAGAAGGGATGGGCGGTGCAGAAGTATTGTACTGTACTGGGGGGGACGCCGAGGAAGCGACGGAGTAATGGCGTGGCAGGGCGTTGGCCGCTGGTTGCCCTTGGTTGCTCCTGGCTTTCCTGCTGAAGGTGGTGCTGAAGCGCGCAGGAGCGACAACAATTACAGGGATTGAGTGGTCAGTACTTGTTTACTTGGGTGGAGCTACAGGGGTAATTATGGGTCTGGTGTGTTTATCCTACCCCCAATCGGGTTAGGCTTATGGAAACTGGGGACCTCTGGAAATTGAGACTGTTTTTCTCGCACGGGGGCCGCGAGTTACAATTCTGACACTGTCCTTAATACCAGGAAAGTACTAGGAACACTAAAAATTGCCTAGGTAAGGTAGTGCCGTCTCCATTTTCCGTAACCTTTCGAACCCACATGGGCCTAGCCTTTACAACCTTTGGTCAGTGACGAGTGATGGAACCCGGAGCAAAAAGAGAAAGAAAAAAAAAATTGTTCATCTCCTTCTTGATCTTTCCTCTCCCTTGCAACTTTTCTCGTTTCGGTTTTTAGGATCGTTGGTTCGCCTGGCTCGTTGGCCGGGGAAGTGGTTCCAGTGGTCTAGCCGACATTGGGTTGTTGTGATGATCAGATCGAATTCGATCCACTTCACTGGTCCAACCTCCTTTTTTGGATGGATGATCCAAACGAGACGAGAGAGGTCCGTTCGGTTCGGTCACCTACCAAGCTTACCAAGTCACCAGTCACTCAATTTGGTTGTCACGTCTCGTGTCCATTATTATTATTTGCTCGGCCAGAGTCGATAACCTAGGTGTATGTGCAGACACCTCCAGCAGACATACAGACCATACATACAGTTACTATATTTTTCGACCATTAGGAGACTTATTTTTCCTTTTGGTGGCGGCTGCATTGCTTCGTCCCGTTTCTAAGTAGCCATGGAACAGACATATGTATCAATCTCAAACAGTATTGCTTTTGCATAATAATACGATTCACCGCCGCTCTCAATTGCAGAACGTATTACACATATTACATCTACCGAAAATAAGAGCTTAATCAATTTGGATCCGGGTTATGCAGTCATCAGCCAGACGGAACAGATAGACAGCCTGCTGATTTTCCGTAGGAATCGGAGAGGTTGGTGTGTTCCCGAAGAAGACCTAAGCTCATCTACGATGGCTGGCAGGCTGGATGTACGAATGGCTGGGCGGCACAACCCAACCACCGATTTAATCAATTCATATCGTTCATCTTCAATGCAAGACGAATCAAAGCTTGGAAATGATATGATCTCCCGCCACCCTTTGCTGACCACTTGCAGCTGGGAGCAAGGCATCTCCCATTACGCGTAAAATCGTGGATGCTCTTCATTGGGTTATGCGGGTTATTGCTGTGGGTTGTGATGCACAACCAAGCTTAACTTATGCACGACCCAATGCAGCAGTGAGCTGAGCAAGCAAGTGAGCTTTGCTTTTGCGTAGTACAGCTACAAGATTATCCTGTGGGGCCCCCTACAGATTTCACCCCCTGTCCTTACTAGGTGGACCACTTTCACAAAATCTTATACAACTAGGATAAGAAGCCTAATGGACGTCTGGGTGTCTCAATAAAATGTGATTTTCGCCTACTGTTCAAAATAGATCGATTTCTTTTTCTCCTACTAGGAAATTAACCTCGGCATTCAACGACAACAACAACGTTTCGACTTCTCGAAAATATCTCTCGATTACCTTGTCTAGCTGACTCCAATTTACCCCTGATCGTCATAACTCCAACTCGTTGCTATGACAACCGGCAACCAAGACGCGCTACAGATCCTTACTTGGTTGTATTAAAGCGGGGAAGCGTGGAGACCAGGGCTTTTTACGAGATTCGCGCCTCGTAATTTGGTTGTTTGGAAGCTACTGTTTATCAACAAACCCATCGAATCGATTGTTCGTCACATGTCCGAGTTTCGAATATCCATTTTGCCTCGATTCCGATTAACTAAGCGGGTCAACATCACGCTAGGTCTTGACTAATTCGAATCGTCATATACACTATCGAGATCCAAAGAGCATTGGTAAGAAACCAAATAGACTCGACACTCGGTAGTTTTATGGCATCGACCCTTTTTGCAGTATCAAGGAATATCCACAATAGCTTCTCTCGGCTTGAATACCATCGACGGCAGTCATCAGTTATTGTATCATTATACGGTCACATTGGGGACACTCAATGGCCGATAAGTCAGTCTGGCCGCTAACACGTTGATCTACTGGTTAATAGGAATGACTATCAACAACGATAGTCACTTAGACTCGATTAATCTTCAAGTGCTATACAAAGTTGACATTGTTCTGTTATCAAGTAGAAAGAAGTAGTATCTCAATTGCTTTAAGATGATTCAATCCGTATGTCCATAGATTCGTGACGAGTAGTAGCTTGCGACCAGGAAGCCACAATCGATACTTCGTCGTAATTGGGACCAGCAGTAGTCATCGCCACCAGATCTAAAGGCTTACGGTGAATTATGTGAGAACTCCCAATGCATTACCTACCTGTAGGACTGCTTATCGAACCATTCCTTTTTCGCAATATGCTTCCTATACCAGGCAATTCACGAGTTATGCCTTCAATAGCGACCAGACATTACAGTCTTGTCGCTTGACATACTCGAAATGATAGACCATAAGCGAATAGGGGGTGTCGCGCTACTAAAGCAGGTATCGTATTGTCAACGCCAGAGCGATACGCCCGCGTAAGCTCTCACAGTTTCAGAAGCCTCTTTAGCAACTATATTACGAGCCTTGTCTTCCCAGAACTCAATGCGGCCAATTCAGGCTCCAATGCTCTCGCTCCACCATCTCCAATTAGTCGGGCATATTATCATATTCGTGGCTTGACCTCATGAGCCTATTCGGCAGCCAAGAACGCCTCAAGAGCCCATTTTACCACGCAGTTGTGTTTGTATGAGGCCACGCTGCGACACTGGCAGGGAAGGACTCCACGCTCAATGGGTCGAAACAAGATCTTGGCTGACACATAGTTGAACCTAAAGCAAGCAAACGAGCTAGAATTGACCTCATCGTCGCCACTTGTTGGATCCCTATGCCAATATGAGCTGTTCGGTCTGGTTTCGATATTGCTAGCCACGCAAGGAGATGCCGTATCAACCCGTTCTCCACGTGCTGTTTGCGTGGCGTCCGATAATCCCATTAAAACCAAAAATTCTCTCCCCGCCGTCCAGGAGGTGCCGCGAAATACCATCTCATTTTCCAGAACAGTTTCGATGCATATTTTTTTCCTCGGCTCCAACTCCACAATTGCAAATTGAACAAATAACCCAAGCAAAAGACAAATTGGAACTTTCCGTTCGTGGTAAAACGACACGAGTTCAGGCACGTCAAGCATATGCCACTTCAAGAGGCTCCATGACGCAAGGTGGGCGAAATATCTTGGATAGATATATATAGGTAGCGGAGCCGATATTCTCGTGGAAACTTGACGTTTTTTGCCCCGCAACGGGTCCGGCGGGCGGGTTCAAAATTCCCACGGTAAACCTCGTATTCCATAGCGTTGGAGTGGATGATGCTGCAGCTTCTCCACATACCTTGCATTTAGTTGGAGATGTGGATTTGAACAGTATCTTGAACTGTTCATGATAGAAATCATTAAGACTATTATCACGAGCAAATGCTGAAAGATGCTTGTTAATTGGCTTTAAAACTGTTGTAGGTTGGTTTTTGCCTCAAGAGCTCAGCTGTAACTAAGACACGTTGGCGAGAGTCGTCTGAGTGGTGGAAATTTGTCTCTATTATTAGAGATTGGTTCTGATATAGCTCCTAAAGAGGCTCCAATATCAATGCCCAATCGATCATCACGAGAGGGGTAGTCCAAGTGATTGTGTCATCGGTCATGACGAACTTGAATACTTTGCCCTACTCTCCCCACACAACTCTCATTGGCGCTTTTAACAATCACCTAAACCCAACTCATCACCTTAGGTTAACTGAGTTCCTGTATTGAATATAGTATAGCGTTTCATCAAATACCAGCTGGAAGCGTAGGCCGTCAAATCAGGCTGCTCTAGATCGCTGCTTGACCAACTTTAACCGCTCTTGGCAGCTCCCAACCCTAATACCCAACCCGAGAAGCAAGTCGTATACGCCTATAGACTATAATAATAGCATCCCACTGGTATAATATATCGAATTCCGGGAACAGATTGCCTCGCGATCTCTGTTACATCGTGTCTTCCCGCGTTTTTTGTGACACCCAGCTTCCTAGAATGGGTATACGGATGCATCCCCAAAGGACCGTCCCTCCGTTCCGGTAACATCGACCAAGGGAAAAATTGTACGAGCGACCAATTATCCGGCCAGGCTCGCCATGACATTATCCCGAGGATAGAATCACAGGGGCTGCTGTATATAATGCAAGAAAAGGGGAGGAAGATCGGCGTAGCTAGATACTGATAGTAGGCCTTAGCTGAACTGCTGCTCGAATAGATTAGTTACCACGCAAATATGAGGCTATCTTCGCTATTGTGGACATGTGCAGCGCCTGGCGTCCTAGGCGCGTCGTGGATTGCGCCAGGAGCTGTGTGGACTGATACCGATGGAAACAAGATTGATGCCCACGGCGGCGGCGTCGTCAAGCGCGGCGATACCTTCTATTGGATTGGTCATGCGGCTAGCAGTAAATCTTCTCCATTTCCTCTAGTCGCGTAAGCGAGCTGAATACTAACGATACCTTTGAGACCAAACACCGATGTTGTACTCGTCTACCGACCTCATCAACTGGAAGAATCTTGGAAAGCAGGCAAGCTCCATTACCGGGATGTGGAGGCCAAAGATAGCGAAGCCGAACGGATCGTTCTGGGTATGGTTTCCTCGATACGGAATTATCCCTTTTCTATGGGGTTTGCTGATTAGTTGTCTGGTAACAGCTGTTTGGACAGCAAGACCGTTATGTCCTTTCTCTCAAGTCTTCGGATTTCGTTGGTGGCTATGGCCAGTCAGCTAAGGTCCACATACCACCGAGCGACTACTCCTATTCGGATACTGGGATGTTCTATGATGATAGCTCTGGTGAGACTAGCATATCAAATATGGCTGGACTTTGTTTGCTAATAGAGCCAATGACCAGACACTTGGTATCTCCTGACTAGTGCGGACCACAATACCGTCCAAGTCAACCGTATCAACAAGGATGGTACATTGGGGGATAAGGTATCGTCTCTAAGTATGTTCTCCATTATAATTGAATGAATTTGTGGCAGCTGGTTAATGAAAACAAATAGCTGGTGGAGCGTATGAAGCCCCGGGAATAGTCAAGGCGGACGGCGTTTATTTCTTGATCGTGTCGGGGAAGACTGGGTGGCGTGCCAACCCCAATAAGGTCTTCTGGTCGACTTCGATCAACGGTCCATGGAGTGGCGGATCCGATATCGCACCGCAAGACCAAAAGACCTATGGCTCGCAGAACACCTTTGAGCTAACGGTACAGGGCTCGCAAAAGACGACGTACATCTACATGGGCGATGCTTGGGACTCAAAGGGAGGCGCCAGCTCGAACTATGTGTGGGCTCCCCTGAATATCAACGCTGGGTAAGTGGTCCGCGCATGTCGAATCCTGATAGAAGAAGCTCGGAGTTATTAATTCCAGCATTATGCCATATAGGTCGCACTCTGTTCAGATCGATTACCATTCGATGTGGAAGGTTGATGTCGGCACTGGTGTTGTCTCTTACCCAAGTACGCAGAAGCGTTACGAAGCTGAGCACGCGGCTCTGTCGGGGAGGGCAGGTAAGTTATCTCTGAGCTGCATTAACATTTAGACAACTAATATCTAGAAGTGGTGAAGGATTGCAACGAATGCCTGAGCAAACGTTCCGTATATAGAGGTAGGTGAAGGTCTTTTCTTCTAACGGAGTTCTGTCGCAGTTAATCTGATACCTCTTATAGTTGATCACAGCAGTGAAGTAACCTTCCACAACGTTACTGGTACTGGAGCTCGCCAATGGCTCTCCTTCCACTACCGAGTCAATAACCCCGAAGGTAAGTAATACCACACCAGTATATCTAAAATTGGATTGAAACTGACGACCTATTGCTATAGCTGGTGAGGCTCACATTTTCGTGAATAATGAACCAGCTGTCAATATCTCGAGCCTGAACTCTCGTGCTGGCTACCATGCTTCGACTCCTGTTCAGCTTACTTTGAAGCGTGGTGATGTGAATACTATCACTTTCGGAACCACAGGTAGCGATGGTATGTTACTGTTCACTAAACCTATGTTCTAGCCGTGCTTGCTAACGATAGTGATACTAGGATTCGAAGTCGCGGTGGATGGAATTGAGCTTTTTGAAGAGGATGAATAGTGTAGCTCTTCACTTCTGATGCGATGGTATATGTTCCAATTGAAAGAACAGGTCGAAGCTATTGAATTTACCTTTGTGTTCGTTTAATGATGTTGTAGGTGGTAAGTTAGCTCCGGATAAAGCACCTAGAATTGATGAGAGAATATACAAAAATAACCGATAAAGAAAATAATGACGTAATTAGACCTAAAACCCCAAATTTGAACGAAATTAACAGTATAATACGGCAATCATGTCTTTTCTTTTCACTTTCCAAGTTACTAGTTATGCACAGACTCTAACCTAAATCTAACGTTTATTGTAAATAGACGGAACCTTCAATCTTAAAACTGTATAGCATCACATACCGTTTTCGGTGTCAACCTTGCCCCGCGTGTCTTTTGAGTCACTCGCTTTCTTCCTTCTCACTTGCGAAATCAATACAAAACTCACTTAACCAGGCATACCGGCCGGTTGGAAGGGGGGAAAAGGAAAAATGAAGCAGCGTTTCTCTTCTCTCGATGTTAAAGTAAGGTCTCCCATAACTTCTTTGCTAGGCGCTGCTAATTCGCATCCTGTCTAAGGTTATCGCTCACGAGCTATCCACAAGCCTCGTGTCTCTTCGGGTTTCCAACATCTATGACTTATCCTCTAAGATCCTTCTTCTCAAGTTCGCAAAGCCTGAAGTCAAGAAACAGCTGCTTATAGATTCCGGTTTTCGATGCCACCTTACCGACTTTGAGCGAACCACAGCTCCCGCACCGTCCGTATTCGTACAAAAGCTGCGCAAGACCCTAAAAACCCGACGAGTCACGGCAGTGTCGCAGATCGGCACCGATCGTATCCTCGAGTTCCAATTCAGCGATGGCCAATACAGACTATACTTGGAATTCTTTGCGGGCGGCAACGTTATTTTAACCGACGGCGAGCTCAAGATCTTGACACTGTTGCGAAATGTTCCAGAGGGAGAAGGTCAGGAGCCACAACGCCAAGGTCTTGCATACTCCTTGGACAACAGACAGAATTATGGAGGTGTCCCACCGTTAACAAAAGAGCGTGTGCGAGATGCACTTCAGACCACTATTCAGAAAGCCGCCACCTCAGCTGCAGCGGGCAAAAAGATCAAGAAGAAGCCGGGCGACGAGCTACGGAGGGGGCTTGCTACAACTATCCTCGAATTTCCTCCGATATTAGTCGATCATGCGATGAAAGTAACTGGATTCGACTCGAGCGTGAGCCCGTCTACGGTACTCGAACACGAGGAACTCCTTGATAACCTATTGAAGTCGCTCGCGGAAGCGCAAAGGATTATCCAAGAAGTGACTAGCACCGATAAAAGTAAAGGATATATTCTAGCTAAGACCAGACCTGGCGCAGACTTTGTGCCCGCGGAGGGAGATCAACCAGAAAAGCGCAACCTCTTATACGAAGACTTCCATCCGTTTCTGCCTCGACAGTTCGAAGAAGATCCGGCTTACACTGTGCTTTCTTTCGATAGTTTCAATAAGATGGTAGATGAGTTCTTCTCTTCTGTAGAAGGTCAGAAATTAGTGTCAAAATTGAACGAAAAGGAAGCTGCCGCTAAGCGAAAGCTGGACGCTACCAAAGCCGACCATGCCAAACGGATCGAGGGTCTTCAAGCGGTCCAAACACTCAACATCCGCAAGGCTAATGCAATTGAAGCAAATGTTGAGAGGGTTCAAGAAGCGATCGATGCCGTGAACGGGCTGATACAACAAGGAATGGACTGGGAGGATATTGGTAAGCTCGTCGACAGAGAACGCCGACGGAACAATCCCGTAGCTTCCATCATAGTTCCCCCATTAAAGCTTGAAGAGAACACTATTACTGTGCTACTCGGCGAAGCTGAAGAAGAAGAGGACGATGACGACGACGCATCCGACACTGATTCAGTATCCTCGGATGATAGCGGCTACGCTGGGACGGAGGCATCTGCACGGAAAGCTCGAGAGAATCGACTCAAGGTTGACATTAACCTTGATCTTTCTCCATACGCCAACGCAAGAGAATATTACGGCGAGAGGAAAATTGCTGCTGTAAAGGAGCAGAAAACGGTTTTGCAGTCAGAAAACGCACTAAAGAATGCAGAACAGAAAATTGCAGCAGAATTGAAGAAAGGATTGAAGCAGGAGAAGCCAGTGCTACACCCGATCCGAAAACAGTCATGGTTTGAGAAATTTATATGGTTCATCTCCTCTGATGGATATCTGGTTCTTGGTGGCAAAGATGCCCAGCAAAACGAGATGCTCTATAGACGATATCTGAAGAAAGGGGATGTTTATGTGCATGCGGACCTTCATGGCGCCCCAAGTGTGGTGATCAAGAATACCCCGAGCACACCCGATGCTCCAATACCACCCTCAACCTTATCGCAAGCCGGATCTTTGGCGGTCTGCGCTTCATCCGCTTGGGACTCAAAAGCTGGTATGGGCGCATGGTGGGTGAATGCAGATCAAGTATCAAAATCAGCTCCGACCGGAGAATTCCTCGGTACGGGCAGTTTCATGGTACGAGGGAAAAAGAACTTCTTACCTCCTGCGCAATTATTGTTAGGTTTAGGTCTGATGTTCAAAATCAGCGAGGAAAGCAAGGCGAAGCATGTTAAACATCGTCTTTATGATCTTCCTGAATCTTTATCGGGTGGACAAGCTTCGACGGCTAATACTGGTAAAGCCCCAGATAACGCAGGGGAAGGGACCAGTGCGGACCACGACGAGAGTGACTCTGAGGATAGTGCTATAGACGTTGAAGAAGACGCCGATCCGAAAGAAAATCCACTTCAGTCTACAGACCAGTACGAAGATGAAGATGAATCTCCAGACCCAATTCAAGAGAACCCGCTGATCCAAGGAACTGAAGATTTCGCAAGATCTGGGGAACCCTCAACTTCGGCAGTTCCGGGGTCTGCATCTCACATTCAAGATAACGAATCTGATGACGAACAAAATGATAATACGGAGGTGGCAACGGAAGCTGATTATACAGCTGTGACCAAAGCGAATAGTCCGGTTCCCGGTTCTTCTGGCAAATCCACCCCTCAACCTCAAAAGAAGGGCCAACAACCTAAGCGAGGACAACGTGGCAAAGCCAAAAAGATCGCATCCAAGTATAAGGACCAAGACGACGAAGACCGTGCTGCTATCGAAGCATTAATAGGTGCGACAGCAGGGAAGCAAAAGGCCGAAGCCGAGGCGAAGGTGAAGGCAGAACGTGAGGCGCAAAAGGCGGCTACTCTCGAGCGTCGTCGGGCGCAACATCAACGGCAGCAACGTGAGACAGCTGAACACGAGGAAGTTCGCAAGATGATGCTCGAAGAGGGAATCGAGACTCTTGATATTGAGGAGGCGGCCAGTTTGACGCCCCTGGACGCCCTTGTCGGCACCCCGCTTCCTGGTGATGAGACCCTTGAGGTCATTGCTTTGTGCGCTCCCTACAGCGCGCTTGGGAAGTGCAAGTACAAAGTAAAGATGCAGCCCGGTGCGCAGAAAAAGGGTAAGGCGGTCAAGGAGATACTGGAAGCATGGAAGATGGCCTCCACGAAAAAGGGTGTTGTTGATGAGAAGAGCTTGGATAAAGAGAAGATGTGGCCCCGAGAGGTGGAACTTTTCAAGGCTCTCAAGCCTGAGGAGGTTATCAATGTCGTGCCTGTTGGCAAGCTGAGGGTGATGCTGAGTGGAGCGGGTGGAGGTGGAGGGGATGCAAAAGGGAAGGGGGGCAATAAAGGAAGTGCAAATCGTGGCAAGAAGAAATAGTTAACCATGTGGTATAAGTCTAATAGATGTGTAATGCCTATTAGCTCCTTGGATGACAGTGAGCTTTGATACCTCGTAAAAGTATTGATGAAGAAGGGCTTGGTAAATGCGTCTCGATAGCATACGACGTTTTTGTTACTTTCTGCAAAATTTGAACTAGCGAATTGCTATAAGTTATCACACATTACTAGTTGACGAGTTGTATACATGTATAGAAAGATTAGTTTATTTATATACTTTCATAAACAGCTACCATATGCCATGCAATGGCGGCCAATGGAAACAATAGCAACAGTAACTGAGTGGTAGTAGTTTCGTAGAGCCACATTGGCTATCTAGATGAATGTAGATAAAAGAAGTTGCACCCAACTCCCAAGAGAGTTGATTGGTGCCTAGCTCATCTTTGTCTTTCCAGATATTTTCAAGTCTTCGTAATTATCCATTCCTTTTGTAAGTACTGCTAAAGTTAAGGGCGGAGATAATGTGCCTAAACCGGTTCGTAATTAATACAGAGGACTTTACTATTGCAATGCGCAGTTAGAGTCGCTGTAGGCAATGACAACATGAGGGGACAGAGATGTTGTATCCATTCAATTGCTTTTTGTCTATGACAAGAATCACGCTCTTCGTCGCGATGAAAAGCTTAATATGCCATGTTAATTTGCTATTGTGACCAATTCTAGGGATAGTGGCCAGCAATCGAGAGTAGCCAGCCAATGAAATGGGCACCGTTCGGATTTCAACCATGGGCTAACGCCTCACATACACGCGAGGCTTAAGAACCACGAGGATTCTATTTCTTTCACCACGGAGGCCATGCATATAGTATATGACCGTACCGTATAGTATTTTCTTGGTCCTAGGTAGTGTCTTGCTCGAATAATTTCGACCTCAATCCTTGAAAGTACCTTGGAAAAGTGGCAATTGATGCCATAGCTACTAGATATGGGAGTCTTGTTGGAGCTGGCCGCCTAGCTTGCTATGGAGAGGGTAGCGACGAATACCTATCCTATTACGTAGCTATACTGTATATACCGGTTGCGGATGCTAGGCGACAGACTCAATAGCGTTAGCACTTCCGGTCCCGAAGCGGACGTCAGCCCTAGCCGAGCGGGCCACGGGTCGGATTAAATGCTATTTAGGGGTGTGCCGTCTGTGCCGTGCTTAGGGATGTTCTCAAGACTCTAGACGGTTGGCAGTGAGTACGTGCGTATGCGAGCCACCCATTCCATCACCGAACTAGATGATCTAGGCATGGAAACGTCAAGCACACGACAATTGTCGACGTGGTCCTTAAGAATGGAACCAACCTTGCTTCAATCATCGCCGTTCTTAGGCGTTTGCGCCGAATCCCGCCGGTCTTGATTTCCGGCATCCATACCGATTATTTCTAGACGCCGAAACCTATCAGCTTTTAGCTACGGGCATCTGTCTCCAGTTCGGATATGTCCGAACTGGATGATCCGTCGCATTTGTCGTCCAGTCAGGTTTGTTAATAAAGGTCCACAGAAGGCCGGGATAGTCTCGCAACGGACCTAAAATGGATCTAAACCCGAGAAAGCGTTGTTCATCGCTCCCGTCGCGGCTTCAATGGGCCAACCAATGGTCAATGCATAGATCTGGGGCGAGAGCGGTCAGTATCATGCTTGTAAACATGGGGTTAGATGATCTGTCGACATCTCCACTCGACAAAATAAGATAATCGGTGGAATTCTTGGTAGAATAAAGGTGGTAAAGACCGAGGAATCCTTGTTGAGCCGCCTAGGAATTACGAATTGGATACCTGTTCATTAGATCCATTTAATGGTCATTACTAGTATTGGTAATTAACTGGAAGCCATTATTTAGCGGAATGTTGATTTTTGGCTCCCAACGTCGGTGGGTTGTAAGGAAATGTGATTGCTGATTTTCAAGAGTCATCGGAGCATAGACTCGCCATCTTATTATTTTATTATCCGCCCACCTTCATCTTTTCCTCTTTCCTTTCTAGTCGTTGATGGGCTGGATCTTCTAGGAGTCTTAAGTTGCAAGTTTGAATCCTGATATCCATACAATGCGCGTGATGGATGCAAGGTACCCGGGGAGGAGCTGTACCCCTGGGAGAGTGCCAACTACCTAATAGACTGACGTGAGCGAGGGAAATTTGAATAAATACTACCTACCTACCATGGGAGCAAATGCGAATAGTCCGCCCCCGAGGACCGTTATGTAGTATTTAGTGAGATCATGAAACCGTAATTGTATGCAACTAGGGAATCCTTCGTAATGTCGACATGCTAAGGTCCGGTCGTGAGCACGTGTCTTCCATTTAGTAAGGATAAAAGGACTTGGGCAGATTACGACCATAACCAAAGGAGGTTAGGTACCGTGCGGCTGAGCCGATTGGATTTTCTTTTATTCGTGATTGGCAAACATAAGAAATTTCATAAAAAATTATTTAGTTGTAAATTGATTCTAGAGTTAGATTCTAATAACAAACTTGATTTTTGAAGTTGTTATTCTCTAGTGTTGTAATGATGAAAGAGAGGGAGAACAAGCTTGGGGGTTATTTGTTCCCGAAATGCTGGATCCCGCTTCATGTGTATCGAATGAGGCTGAGCTGGCTGAGTTTGGCTAAGCCCCATCTCGCATCAAACTCAATGTACCTTTGTTAAGAGCTTATGTAGATAAGAGCGGGGAGAGGACGATGGGAACGGCGGGGCTTGGAGGGGGATATTCTGTAGATAGGCTAAGCAAGTACATGCCAAGTACCATAGGTACCTGCTGTATTCATTGATGACCATGACATTAAAGCAACATTATAACCACCAACCAACTTTCAACTTTCAACCCTACATGCGTACCAATTGTTGTAATATGATGAAAGGGCCGAATTACCAAATCACGCATTTCTTATTAATTCCCCTTTCATCAAGATATGGTATCCTCATAAAGAACTTGAGGTAACTACCGCAATGGGGCGAATGAATGGAGGGAGATGATCTTTCTGTGTCTGGTATGGCTTTGAGAGCATGAATTACTCTCTTCATAGACCTTTCAGTGATATCTAAACTCTGATAGTCGCTATCGCCATTGTCTTTAAAGATACTATTCCTTTAATTTTATAACAGTCTGTTTATATAATGCAATTATTGTCAATTACATCCGAAGCGTCGCTTGTCTTGGACGTTCGTTCCGGCGCATATATATCGTAATTATCTACCTATCTAAGGAAACGCCAAACCGTTTCCATCATCTCGTATTATCTCTTTGCCTTACGAGTGTTCCTTTCGTCATTGGTAACTTCGTAAAATAAACGTTCGCTATCCATTCTTATTAGTTATCCCCTCCTGTTCATACGAATGCTTCACGTGGACTAGGGATTGCCACGACTGGGATCGCATCCTGGATACCTACTCCACGGTTATCTCTCTCCTCTCCTAGTACTTCCTAGATATCGACCAACTTAGCAAAGCGCTTACCGGTCTAAAACCATCTGGTAAGATACAGCTCTTATTGGGTATTCCATTGCGACCCTTCGTAACAAATGCCCTATCAACACACATAAAAATTTATGTTTGAACATGAGTCCTTGAAACAGTGACGACAAACCTGTGAGAAGAAGAAAAGAGAAAAAAAGTTGGAAATCATCGAATTAGAATATCTGGAGATTCTAATAGGATTATAGGCTACCTAGGTACTTAGTCCTACCAAGTACCAGGGTACTTAATGCGGTACATACATGTGCTGTGCCGGGTTGCCACAATCAAATCCTCGAAGAGTTTAAAGAGTTTATTGCCCCACACGTCGCATTGTCGCGCCGTCTCATCGTCTCATCTCTCATCTCTCTGGAGGACTGGCTCCTGCCTTACCCACTTAACCTGCATAACACTACTACTACGTACTGTACGTTTCCCCTCCTTTTTCGAGTCTAGGACTTTCCCGTCCTTTTTTATTTTGTTTTATTAGTTTTTTTTTTCTTCTTCGAGGGCGTTAACAAACTTCCCCTTCAGCCTTATTATTAACCCTGGAATTCCTATCAATGGGTACCTTACCGCATATTTCACTTACATTACATACATCATACACACAATCTCAAACTTGACCCATACATGTTTTGACTAACACTGCCCAGCTTGCATCTAGCGCGGTCAGCTCCCCATCAGCCACAGTGGAATCGAAGAGAACAAACTGCAAACTGGGAACTGGGTGTTTCACGGAACGAGCTGTGATTGATCGAATCCTAGCTCACTGTACCAAAAGTACGTACATTTTGTAATGTCCACAGCCTACTATTTTCTTACCTCCAGGGTTACTGGACTACTGGACCCCATTCACAAGCACGAGCCATTCAAGCCCGTCCCGCCCTCTCTTTATTAATCCAAGTCCTACATTGTATCTAAGTAGTCCGAAGGAACCTTTCTCGCGCAACGCTGCAGCAAAAGACACACAGACGATTGAACATCCAGGACTTAAGTTTTCTTTTCTGACAGGATTGTTACTTTGTACAGGTACATCCCATTTTTGAATCTAGAATACGACCTTACCCAGCTTGCTTCCCGATTACACTGCTTAGGATCGCATTGTATGTACACTACAATACATGCTACGGCATAGCGCGCGGTCAAACCCACGTTTTCTTCGGTTAGGCATTGCCTTAGCTCAGGCCAAGGGAATAGACCTAGACAAGGGACCACGCTATTCTGTTATCCTACGCCTCTACCTGGAAGACCTACGTGGGTAGCGGCGGTAGCGGTAGCAGCAGCAACAAGCAACAAGAACACACCGGTGGCCCCTCTTCTTGTTTCGCTTTTCTGACTTCGTGGGCAAACAAACCCGACCTGGCGCCTTCTATTTTTTTCCCGCTCTTGATTGCCTTCGTCGTTCCGTTTCTTTCTTTAGGGATTGTCAGAGCGGCAACCGTACCTTACCTAGTTCCCCTTGCCCAGCCCAGCTTGACCCAGCCCACCACACAGCCTGCCTTACCACTCACTACCTACCTGCCTAGTAACATAACCTAGTACCTGGGCATCAGCAGCCGTAGTAGGAGCAGCAAGTGCAGTGTGTGTGAATCCCACATCAATCAAATCCGCTGCAGCTGGAACAACAAAGTCCCTTCCCACCCTTCTTTGACCTTCCTTCTCTTTTCTCCTTTTCTTCTTCTTTTCTCCCCTCCCAATTCCTCGACTTCCTTATGAATTCATTGAATTCTCGGTTCAAGGGCCTAGGACTAGGTAAACGGAAATCTACCGCCAGCATTCCCTCTAGCTCGCCCGATCTTCAGCGGCCTTCTACCTCGACCCCGACTTCGACCCCTCCTACCCAGGTAGCGCAGCAGTTCCCACAGGCCCAGCCCCATCCTTATCCCGGCCATCCTTCCTCTATAACAGCCTCCTCGTCCCAGACGAGTCTCCCAATAATGAACCATCCCGGCGCTGGACCTCGTCCGCCTAGTTACACATCCAACTTTCAACCCGGACCACAACCACCCGTCGGCAGGACGAGTCCTTTAACTACAGGCCAAGCACGAACCCCGCCATCGCAAATGGTTGGCGGCCCTCCTCCCATCAACACCGGTGCTCCCGTCTCAGGATATCCTCCTCAAATGCACGTTCAGCCTGGTGCGCAACCTCCTCCGGGTGTTCCTGGTGGCCCGCCTGGATACGCTGGTTACCCACCGCCTGCTCCGGCTCCTCAACCAACCAACGCGATGCAGCCTTACGGCCGACCGGCTGCCGAAGTCGAAGGCAATAGCCGCAGTAAGGCGCAGCTTATTGTCGGAATCGATTTTGTATGTTACTATTTTCTTGACAATGAATTGACTTTTCTCCGCATTGGCGCACTCGACTAATTTACAAAATATAGGGTACCACCTTCTCCGGTGTCGCTTTCGCCTTTGCGACCAACAACGAAGCCAAGGAGGACATAATTACGGAATGGCCTGGTGCTGGATCGTACACGAAGCAAAAGGTAAGAAATAAGAAGGTTGCGATTTGATTGCAATATTACAGTTATTGATATTGAACAGATTCCTACTGTTCTGTACTATGATCAGTACCAAAAGGTTGTTGGATGGGGTCCCGATATTGCAGATGCGCTTGCGCCGACGGGATACCCGAAGCCAGGTGTACAAAAGGTTGAATGGTTTAAGCTCCAGCTTATGCTGTCCGGGAACACTTATATCGATCCCATCAACCTACCGCCCCTACCACCTGGAAAGTCGGAGATTGATGTAGCTGCAGACTACTTGTTCAAGCTGAGACAGGCCATGCGCACAGCTCTGCAAAAGACATTGGGCGAGGTATTCAACCGAGAGGAACGGAACATTCGGTATTACCTGACAGTACCGGCCATTTGGAACGATGCGGGCAAGGCTGCCACGAGAGCCGCTGCTATACAGGCTGGTTTCTTAAGAGATGAGAACGACAACAGATTGACTCTCGTCAGTGAGCCTGAGGCCGCGTCGCTTTTCTGTGCCAAGACTGGCCTACTTAACTTGAAGGTCCACGACGCCATCCTCATTGTTGACTGCGGTGGTGGTACCGTCGATTTGATCGCTTATGAGGTCGAAGACGAAAACCCATTCACCGTTGCGGAATGCACGGCCGGCTCTGGTGACTCTTGCGGTTCCACAGCTCTAAACAGGAATTTTAGTAATATCCTTCGAACAAAGATCCGCAAGATGAAGCTTCCCGATGGATCCAAGACCGCCGGCCGTGTATATGCCAAATGTATCATGGACTTTGAGAACCGAATCAAGGCCGATTTTAGGAATAACGGCCAGAAGTGGGCTGTCGACGTTGGTATTGAGGCTGAATTCCCCGAGGCTGGTATTGAGGAAGGTTACATGACTTTCACTAATGAGGAAATCTTGCAATGCTTCGAGCCCGTCGTGAACCGAATTCTGGAACTTGTGCGAAACCAGATTATCGCCATCCAAGCACAAAACCGAACGCTACAAAACATTTTGGTCGTCGGTGGTTTCGGTGCTTCAGAATACCTGTTCCAACAAATCAAGCTGCACGTCCCTCCTCAATTCCAGTCCAAGGTTGTCCGACCTATGGATTCCGTCGCCGCTATCGTGAAAGGTGCAGTCACCGCTGGTATTACCGAGAGAGTTATCACGCATCGTGTTGCCCGTCGCCACTACCTCATGGCAACTTTACAACCCTTTAAGGAAGGTTATCACCCTGAGGCATATCGCGTACCGTCGCTTGATGGCAAGGACCGATGCAAATTCACTCGGCAAATATTCGTGCAAAAGGGCCAGAAAGTCAAGATCGGCGAGCCTGTCAAGGTCTCATTTTTCAGACAGGTGGCTCCCGGTGCTACGCTCATGTACGAGGATATTCTCTACGCCTGCGATGACGATGTCTGTCCCGAGTATACCAAGGATCCACGTAAGTTGCCTAACCAAGAGATGAATTTATATCTAGGTCAACCCATAGCTAACAAATTTCACAGGTATAAAGGAGGTCGTCACCTTAACATCGGATCTCTCACGCAAGAACCTCGAGAAGGACTTCGAACGCATGGATACACCTCAAGGCACATTCTACAGGGTGTACTTCGATATCTACCTTACCCTCGACGGATCAGAATTTAGTGCTGAGCTGGTCTGCCAGGGTGAGGTTATGGGCCGTTGCCGATCGAGATTCAGATAAAGATTGGCAATGAAGGGAGCGAGATGGTTTATTTGCGGGTGGCGTCCTCTTTACTAACGTCTTTATCCGTTGTGTTGCTTTGCTTGACGTTTCGATGATACCTCTACTAAAAAAAAGAGCAACGACTTTTCGGACTAATAGACGATCTCACGATACCAGGAGGAAAGAAAGATACATATTTCTGCTAATTGGCTTTTTGGGCACTTGCAGAATTTGAAGAGATTTAATCAAAGCGATATGAATGGCATTTTTGAGTGGTTGATGGTGGATAGCCGGTTGCATGGATAGGGATTTTTTTTATATATCTTGCTATCCGCATACAGACAACTTGCAAATTCAGTAAAATATAGTTCTCGACTATGATGGTATCGTTCATTATGTTTGTGATGATGATTATATAGTAACAGCACTTGTGCATGTACCCAATCGACATCATAAACGCATCACGTGAAAAGAGGTTGTCAATCAGGAACAAGGTTGGAAGCTAAAATATACCAGTAGGAAGGGATGGACAAGGGGGGGGTTGATACCCCTGGTAGCCAGTCGCAACTGCGTCATCGCTCTTCCCCCCTCCAAACGATCAATTCAAGGTGCCCAGCGTCGATCCAGAGCAACCCTAATTGAGCGAAGGCTCTACCTTTTATCCTTTATATCACTTCTTACTCGCAGCAAGTAATAATTAAGTAGATAACAGACTTGCCCATCATGGCTTCAATCATCATCGGTAGACCTCCTTGAAGGCATCTATACCATTCCTATTACCACTCCACATCAAAATTCCAGGATACATTGACCTTTATTTCACATTAACATTATTAAATATTTATATACCTGACCTTGATCCCTCTTTGTGAATTTTGTTCCTGCTTGAACCCCGGATTCCTGTCCATTGAGAGCCTATATCAACACAGGGATCCTCGTGGGGTGTCCATTTCTTGTTTGGTGCTATACGTCACCAGCTACAAAACCTAGGTTCTACGCTGAATAAAGATACAAGTTGGTATTAAAGTCCTTCAGAAAAGGTGACTCCCTATTCATCTAAAGAGATTCACACCAACTGTTTATCAACCCGGATTTCAGAGAAGTAAATCAGAGTACAACCGCAATCATCCAACAGCGCCTAGCAATTATTTGAGACTATCAGATAACTTTTGACGGATGATGAGCTACTTGGGTACCCGTTAGAACTCACTCTCAGGATTCAACTTCTGTGGCGTGCCATTCCGTCTTTCTATTCCAGCATACCTAGGTACGAATCCACCGTATACACCCGAATTAGACGGAACCGTCGTACACAAGCGCGATATCGAGACACGATGCGTCGACGACTACGGCAATGCGACTATCGACCCATTCTTATGAGTAAGAAGACGTCATTTATATCAGCTCTTGCCGTAACATCGCAAATTCTACAGGCCAATGCCATCGTGTACCCTAGTAACCATGAGCTATACGCTTTTGACTACCTAGGTACCAACAAACAATATCAGGGGACGGGTCGTCCTCTAACAAAACGCGAAAATGCAATCCCGCTCATTATCACAAATAACTGCGGCGATACACTCTGGCCTGGAATCGGGACTCAACATGGAGATCCTCCTGATTCGCATGGATTTGAACTCGGGCCCGGCGAGACCAAATCCCAAACCGTCGGTCCAACTTGGCAGGGCAGAATCTGGGGTCGCACAAATTGCACTACCGACGGAGACACGGCGACGTGCTTGACTGGAGACTGCTTCGGAAAATTGGATTGCGAGTATGGTGTAAGTTCGACGCTCTGTAAAAGGCTATTATATCATCCCTAATAACAAAATAGGGTGCTGTGCCTGTTACTCTGGCTGAGTTTAATCTTGCTGGCGGCACAACGGGCAGGCAGACATTCTACGACATTTCGCTCGTTGATGGCTACAACCTACCTATAGGGGTAGTCTATCACCCAGCGGACAACACAACCTATATTCCACCGAACCTAGTCAATCCCTCATGTATCGGAACTACCGGGTATCTCGCTGCCTTCAGTAAGACTGGGCTGACTTACACCAACTCAACTTACCCCATGCCGTATGAGGATATTCAGTCCAACGGCGATCTAACCAACTGGTGTCCCTGGGATCTCCAGGCCTTCCCGCCGGAGAAGCCCGGAGACGGAGTATACCCGTATCCGGACGACACAATACAGCGACCAGTATTTGATCCGTGCAAGAGCGCGTGCGCGGCGAACAATGCACCGGAAGATTGCTGCACGGGCCAGTACGACGACCCATGGGTCTGCGAGCCGAGCCAGTACTCGTATAACGCTAAGGCTATGTGCCCCGACGCGTACAGCTACGCGTTTGACGACCAGACCTCCACGTTTATCATACCCAGCGGAGGTGGATGGGAAGTCGTGTTTTGCCCCGACGGTCGCAGTACTAATATCCTCGCTACGTTTACCGATCAGCTGCATCAGATTGCGAGTGGTGGGGTTACTCGGGATGTGCTGAGGGTTGCTATGAACAAGACTTATATTGAGTCGGTGCCCAGTGGAAGTCCGCGAGTTACTCCGGCGGGGTTGGGGATGGTGGTGGCGTTGGCATCGGTGGTTGGTGTTGCGCTATTTTGAGTGTGATGGAAAGTACTGAAAGCACTGTGTACGAATGTATATGAAAGACGATGAAGGGGGCACCTATGACCTGGCGTTTTGTGGAATGGTAAAGATGGTTTTCACTCGCGTATACCCAACAAGAAGGACGGATGGAAAGATAGGAATAGAGAATAGGGAAAATTGTTATTAGAATGGCTATGCTGTTTATCCGTTGATAGACTTCGGCCACTTACACAGGATCTAGATACCTTTAACATACATATACTCGTTTATGCCTACGTTCCTAGATTATCGATACCATTTTTTCCTGTTGGTTTTGAGGTGAATATTTTGGATCATGAAGAGGCTATCGTATGTACATGTTTATGTGACTAATTCTCTATACAAATGGATGTACCTCAGATTAACAAATAGAGATTCGTATATCGTAGCACAGACCACGTCATTGATTACTTAATATAGTAATAGTTGAGGGCTATTAATAGCAAGCATCACGCAAGTTAAGATTCCGATCTCCACAATTCAAATCCCCTTGTCCCTTGTTCCTTGACGCTTGACGTCGGTAATTATTATGTTCATTCCGTTCATTTTCAATTCTCCATTCTCCATTCCCCATTCAGATCCGCGACGCCAATCTTGATGCAACCCCGAACCAACTAACTACGAACACCTCCCCCCTTTATCCCGCGTCGACTCGGCCGCCCCGGCCCATGAACGCCTCTCTCTCTCTATTTAGCCCGGAACTACCGGTCACTGCCGCTTACACCATAGGGAGAGAAAGCAAGAGAGGGGGGGTTCTGTCAACAGGATGCGTAGGAGATGCCCGTCATTGAAAGCACTAGACCTGCGACGCGCTGGACTACACGCATCATACCCTTGATTCTCATCGCCTCTGTGAGCTATGCTACTTACGCTCTCGTCGGGCGAGCGTGCTGTAAGTTTTAGTCTTACATTCCAACCCAACTTACACAAACAATTAATAATCCGGTACTGTAGCGAGGTTTCTCATCAATCAGCGAGGCGAAGTTGGCACGGCCATAGCCATCCTAGTTCTATACTTCCTGTTTCTCCTGTTGATGGTATCGACCTATCTTAGAGCCGTCACGACCGTCCTACTCGATCCCGGTATTTCTCCTCTCGGACCACAAGCAATACAACGGAGGGAAAGGGCAAAAGAAAGGCGAAAGCAAGGGAATAGGGGTAGCGATATCGAGAGTCAACGTTACTATGGCAGTCCCGACCCCGATCCAGACAGTCCTGGTTTAGAGCAATTCTATACCAAGGATGTCTTCGTTTGTGAGAACGACGGTCGGCCGAAATGGTGTTCCGAATGTTCGAATTGGAAAGCGGACCGCGCCCATCACAGTAGCGAGATCGATCGCTGTGTGTATCGCATGGACCACTACTGTCCGTGGGTTGGCGGCATGATAGGGGAGAACTGTAAGACTTTGCCCTGTTCAGGAGTAGCTAGGATTTGCTAACAAATAACAGCTTTCAAGTTCTTCGTGCAGTTTACCACGTATACTGCTTGCTATTGCGCTCTTGTTCTGGGCGCCGTAGCTTCGAGTCTTCGCAAACAAGTTAATGAGGGATCATCCATTGACCCCCACTTTATACCTGCCATTGTCTTGGCTGCATTTTTCGGGCTCTTCACCTTTCTAATGACTGTAACGTCAATGCGATACATATCCCTCAACATGACTAATGTCGATATGCTGGGATCTCGGTCCAAGGTCTATCAATTAGCCGTTCGCGTACCTCGCGGTACCCAATCCACGGATAAGTTCAATGTGGTCACTTATCCTCTCTCCAAGCCAAATCCACTCCCAAATGGATGGTATAATGGAATGACGAGGACTATATCGATTAGGAGTAATGGCTCGGAACCACAACCGAACCCTCTTCCATTTGCTCGAGACGACTTGGCTACTCGTACTTTTGCTATCCTTAAGACGGCGCCTGGGGAGAATCCATGGGATCTCGGGATGTGGCGAAACTGGAAAACTGTGATGGGAACTAACGTTTTCGATTGGATCCTTCCGATTCGAAGGTCACCTTGTGTGAACCACGAGAGTTACGATGGTTTCTATCCCATGGGTTATGTGCTAGATAATATCCTAGCTCGTTACAACCTTACTGATATCGCGATGAAAGACAGCTCAGGAGTTGAGATGAAGGAGCTTGGGAGAGAAAATAGGTCTTAGACTCACGTGCGCAATACAATTGATACCCCTTTGCCCCCTTTTAGACATTAGAGTTCCGGGGGAAGCTCTTGCGATGGATTTCGGGATCCTGAGTTATGGTATTTTGTTATTCATAGTTTTAATAGTGATAGCATGCGTTATGAATTCTTCCTGTAATCGATAATACATGGTCCGAATAAGGAGACGGATACATAATGAATAAGCCTAATGTAATCGGTGTGCCAACTACTAAATAGATACGAGCACGGACCCTACAAACAAGTATGGATGACGAGGTGGCACTGCAATATATTCCCGATTAGATAACTCATGAAGGCATTGAGGACGCGGAGCTACCCCTTTTCGGCTTCGCGGCGGTGAGCTAAATGAGGTGTCAAATCTGGGGTTCAGATTTGATCATTTTTTCCCTCTTACATCTCCCATTGCCACGTCAACTCCAATATGCCTTACGCGGATAAAATATGAATTTTCTCCACATCTTGTTAGCCAACACATCTAATTGTAACAATATTTCAACCAATGATATTTCAAAGTTGGTGGTGATACAAAGTATAAGACATATGGAATACAACTTCCTTAGTCTTAGGTGTGGACGGCGAAATACAAATCCCCATGGGCAAATGTCTTAAATGGTAAGTAAGACATGGCCACCTACTATTTAGATATATCCTTTCTTTTTCCCTTTCGAACTTGACAAAAGTAATTTAAGAAAATAGTCGAACAGTGTTATAAATTGAAATTTCGATCCTCGAGGTCTACTATGAAAAGATTGTGTTCTCCATTACTTGGTCTCTGGGACGCAGTAATAGGAAGAGATGAATACAAAAATGGAAAGATAAAACAACATGAAGATAGGGCCCATATCAATAACAGTACAAACGAACGGTATCCTTTTATCCAACCCTACCCACCAACTCGTGTTTGCTGAGGCCATCCACTGCAGATACATGGAATGCCGTTATACAAGTTCTATTTTCATCAAGGCTTCTTGCACTCGCCGCACTTTATATGGCCGCAGTTCAAACAATTCGCGTCTGATTCGACGTTGACCCATATGAACTGATGCTCTCCTCCGCACTCACAGCAGATGAAAGGGCCTTCGTAGTGTACATCATTATCAGTACCCGCACCACAGCTACTGCCAGAAGATGGGGTGTTTTCTCCGTTACCCCTATATTGTCCATTAGGTAAGCTCCTCGATGTATGTAATGATTTAACTTACATTGTTATAAGGTATATAGTTAAACTTGTTGGAATTTGACCTAGTGGAAATACTCAAGAAAGACGACTTGAAGCTTGTTGAGAAGTCAAATAAAAGATTGGAAATCAATAGCAAGGTAAGTAGACTGATTGTGTCTGATTTTCCAGCCGAATTCAACTAAAATCTCCAGGAATCGACGTGCTCCTTATAGGAAAAGATGCCATGGCTGTGATACCATAAATTCTGTGGTATTGAGGCCCCAAAGTCGGATCGTGCCGAGTATTCACAAGCAATAATCGTTCGAAGCTGATTTCCGGAGTCCTAGCGAAGCAGCAGAGCCTCAGAAGTCGCATATAATTTCCTTCAATATTCGACATCTTCTGGAGAAATGCGTCCATTCGGTGACAACCGAGGTGATGATAGGATCGTTGTAGCACCTGACGTATGAAGAAGAGCTGCTGAAGAGATGATGAGGGCTGTGTTACGACTATAGACCCACAAAGGAGAAGAATATCATCGTTATACTATGGCCCTCTTTGGTCATCAGGAGCCAGCCGAAGAATGGACGAGGCCGGTCTGCGGCGCTGGATATTGCTAAGCACCAAGCTAAACAGGAAGCCAAGGATTTTGAGGCAAATCGTTCGCCAATGGGACTATAGACTAGGTCAGAATCAAGCACGTTCCCTGACGAAGGAATCCGAGGAAGAGGTACTGGGAGTGTAGGCGAAGCCGAAAGGCACTTTTGTCGGATAACTACCGTCCAGCAGGGTTGGCAGCACGCGAGAAACACGATCGATGAATGGATTACCGACAGCTTGGTTCATGATATCACTGCATGAGATAGGCACAGGCCGGTACCGCGTGAAAAGGGCAAGTACAAGGAGAGAGAACGTCGTTTTCATGCAGGCTGATCCTGGAATTATGGCGAGGCAACATAAGGCAATTGTCACATAACTCTCTCTCTCCTTCCTAGAGGAGCGTGGGATTCAAAGATACTTCGAAACCTCACCGCCATCGGACCCCCATTTACGGTTTATCAAAGCACGAAGTCGTGATAGCGTGGGTCAAGCCGCATGGGCGCGAGATCTCGTGAGCAGAAAGAAGTCGACCTAATCCGGATTTCCTTTCCTAGTATGGTCATCTTGTCAGAAATTTTGGGATATTTCCCGCTAATCGAGTACTAAATAGTGCACCTCCGGGCGAAAGGTGCTGGTATAATCGACCCTGCGCCTCCTGTACTGCCTGGATAGCTTCGGTCGTGGCAGAAGATCTTCTCAAGCTCTGTGATTAACAGCCGCTGGAAACCTACGATGGAAGGCAAGAATGCTACCGAAATCAGAGCTAAAATTTTCTTCTTCCAAAGTGCGCAATTTGGCAGAAATAACGGTTGCCCGAGCCTCGCAACAGGCAGGTATATCGACTCGTGGCCTGATATAAGATTACATTCGAGTAACATGAGCAGTACCAATGGGATGGGTTCGACTCGTTAAAGAAACTCACCATGTCGACCTGGTTCGACTTTCGACGTTGAGTAGCAATAGTGGGCTGCGCCATCGGAGACTCGGAGTCTCGATTTTGGCATGACTCCTTAAGTATGAACTTGGCCCCCAAAATTTCTATAGGCACGGCTGTATGTGCTTGTTATGTAACGCAGCTCGAGCCCTACGCGGTAGGATTGCAGCCCGTGGTTCCACATGGGAGGCTCTCTAACTAAAGTTGCCTATTGGGAAGAGATGATCTGCAAGGGACGGCTGCCAGTCATTGCGCGTTACCGGCTACCACGTTCGGGACATTCATTACTCACGAAAACCAGGGGGAAGGTAACGAATCGGTAGTACCATAAGTAAATGTGTCACATGGTGATCTTACGGGTAGCTTAGTAGGTAGCCACATGTTGTAGGGAAATCTCAGCGGCTATCGGCTAGAAATCTCAAGATGCGAGATTAGGACTCTCTCAAACCTCCATATCTCCTGACTTTCCCATGTAACCTTTTTGAATTCTTACGATCTGCCGTCGAACTCACTCGAGTTTCACTTCGTGATGAATGAATGCATCCCATTGTATGTCTACACCTACCTATTAAGGACTCACGGTGAACTAGGCTGGGATAATCGCTTCGGACGATGGTGAGCATGTTGACTTACTACAACTGTCAGTCTCCCAGGCAGCAACGGGTATCTCAAACGGGAGACGGCAGAGATCCTATCTGGGGGATCGTCAGCGAGATCTACTCCCGTAGCGAGAACGATTCTAGTGATTTGCAATCATCGCTCATTTACTGACGCCTAACTTCAATTACTAATTCCTAAGTCCGGAGAAACCATTTCGAAGTCAAGGTGGTATTACCGAACGCAATCTTATATCACCATGGCTCCGACCATTCACAATGCTGAAGTCCACCCTCCCTCAATATCACATACTCCTTTCTCATCAGCCATCGTGCAGATAGAGGGTTCATCGCATACCGCCTCATTACGTACGACCCTCCGAGAAGGATGTTGTTCGACTGTGTCGAGAAGTATCGAGAATTTCTTCTTTCAGTATCGGTGGACGTGAGTTAGCCACTCAGCTCGTTCGGCCCTAATATGTCTAGGATTCGGGCAAAACCGAGACCGCTTGCAGTGTTGCAACCCTACGCTATCTTGTTTTTTTGACGGAACACTGGCGCCTATTTCATCCAGCCATGTCTTGGAGAGTAAAACGGTTCGCGAACCACCTCCTCCCGCGTCAAAGGTTCGCGGTTAAGTATGACTGCAAGCTTAGTCATGTAATCTAGAACGCATCAATGTCAGACTTTCCGTCTTAGGAGGGGGAAAGTAAGCCCTTGATGATTAGTATTCCGTGATCTTCCGCATGAATCCTACATCGAGGGGACTGTTGGCATGGGGCAGGGGCCTTCTCCTCCAACAAGATGATGAGTGAAGTCGAACAGGACTTAGGGATGCGCACACTGTTATAAAGGATACCAGAGATATTTGAGACGTTACTGAGATTCAATGCGGGTTCCTGCACGAAGTATATAGCTGGCATGGTAACTGGATGGACAGCGCAGGGTGCGCAAGGTTAGCCCCCGGAAGAGGAGATGGGTAATCATATTATTCACTTTTGTCGACGAATGGACAGCGGGCATACACCATGACACAACAACGATGGCACGAGAAGTTCCGACAACAGATCGTATGAAGTTACATCGTGTTAGACATTCCGGGATCGGCTTTTCGGAAAGAGATGCTTGAACCGGGAATATTTATGGCATTTCTTCAACAGAAGAATGGGTGTTTTTTTGTGTATATATATCTAGGTACATACACGCACTCACATTTCATGAATTCAAAAAGTGATAGATCTGAAGGAGGGAATTGAGAATGGGTGTGCGATCTTACCGAATGGACCAATCAAGAGTTTCAATTCGCTCAAGAGTGTCTGAAAAATAAGGGACATTTGAGTCCTTATTCGCCCAATTGAATGTGATGATGAAAGGGATTGGGACATCAGCATCCAAGGAAGTGGAAAGGGGGGAACGGGAAGCCAAGGAAAGGGGAAAGAGCTGAAGATAGAGGAGGGGGAAGGCTTTAGGTACCTATAGGAAAGCGAGGGTAAGGGAAGGTAACGAGGGGGAATAAGAAAGTGCCATTTGTGTCACTCGACTGACGTAAGTTATATGCTTAGTGATGGGGTCACCGAACTCTAATATCCCCACTCTTATTATGCAGCTATGTCCTTTTCTATTATTTCTATTGGTGGAAACGCGCTCTTGGACCCACCACGATTCTCTATACGCGTCTTCTCTTCGGAGCAAATCCTTCCCATTTCATCAACTTCCAAGGTTACCATATCCGGTCTTTGAACCTCTTCCACACTCGTCCCCGGTTCCGGATATCCTTCTTATGAGACCGGGCCGGTTGAACTCCTTCTCGGTTGGGTATCATGATATCCCTGTCTTCCGATCATGAATTTGGATAGGACCCCGTCAATTCCCTGGTCGTACAGCTCCGCTGCTCCTCGGCACCATCCCCCGTCCCCGTTTCAATCCCCGATTTAATAAATACCGGGGTGGTCTGGCTATTCATACTGCCGAGAATGTCTTCGCCCCGTTTTCAGGCATCTTCGCCGGTTCACGGTACCGGTCGCCGGAAGTCTCAGTTCACATACAGGCAACTAGGCCTATTATCATCTTACTCTATCTCGTCTCCTCTACGTGTCATCGCACACATCGATTTAGACGCATTCTACGCACAATGTGAGATGGTACGCCTAGGTATCGCCGACGATCAACCTCTAGCTGTCCAACAATGGTATTTACTGCGACCCTTAGTGTACATCCTACCACTCTCGACTTACCATCTAATAGGCAAGGACTTATCGCTGTCAACTATCCCGCACGCAGTTTCGGCATAGGTCGACACTGCACTATTACTGACGCAAAGAAGCTCTGCCCAAAGCTCATCTCTCAGCATGTCGCTACCTGGAAGGAGGGTGACGAGAAATGGGCATACCATGACGACGCAGCATCTCATATTGGAACTCACAAGGTTTCTTTAGATCCCTACAGGCTTCAGTCACGAAAAATTCTCGCAATCATCAAGGAAAGTTTACCACCCAACATGCAGAAGGTCGAGAAAGCGAGTGTAGACGAGGTCTTTGTTGACCTATCCGAGCATGTGCACTCGATCCTCTTAGAAAGGTTTCCTGAACTCGCCAACCCTCCTCCTTATGACGACCCCACGGAGAAGCTGCCTCTTCCTCCGGTCACTGCCCTTGACTGGCAAGCCGATGCTCTCGTTGACCTGGAAGATGCAGAAGCCGAGGTAGATGACCCGGACTGGGACGACGTAGCTATCCTTATTGGGTCAGAGATCGTTCGAGATGTCCGCGCCCAGATTCGTCAAAAGTTGGGATACACATGTTCGGCGGGCATAGCTGGCAATAAAATGCTCAGTAAGTTGGGCTCCGGTCATAAGAAGCCCAACCAACAGACAGTCATACGGAATCGAGCCGTGCAGCGGTTCCTATCTGACATGAAATTTACTAAAATTCGTAATTTAGGGGGCAAGCTTGGCGACGAGGTCGTGTCCACCTTCCATACGGAAGCAATTAAAGATCTGCTGCTTGTTCCGGTGGAGCAGATGAAGCTCAAGTTAGGAGATGATACTGGAGTTTGGCTCTACAACACCATCCGTGGCATTGACTCGAGTGAGGTCAACTCCCGTACGCAGATCAAGTCTATGTTATCCGCCAAATCCTTCAGACCCAGCATCAATAATCAGGAGCAGGCCGTTAAATGGTTACGGATATTTGCCGCAGACATATTCTCGCGATTGGTCGAAGAAGGTGTTCTCGAGAACAAGAGGCGGCCAAAGACGATCAACCTACATCACCGTCAAGGGGGTCAGACCCGCTCACGACAGAGTAGCATTCCCCAAGGGCGGATCCTCGACGAGGCGACGTTGTTCGAACTCGCCAAGAACCTACTGAACCAGATTATCCAGGAAGGTAGGGTCTGGCCATGCGCCAATCTAAGCCTGAGCGTCGGTGGGTTTGAGGACGGGATCACCGGCAACAAAGGTATAGGCGCATTCCTGTTAAAGGGAGACGAAGCACGCGAATCAAGAGGGACCTATCGGGATAGTTCGGTAGGTGTATCTACGCATGAACGACCGGAGAAAAAACGACGGGTTGATAATCCTGGTATACAGCGATTCTTTCCTAAGAAGGAGAGTTCGTCGGGTGGAGACGCTGAGGCGGGTTTCGAGGAGTCGTCCAACGATGACAACGACGTAGCAGATACGGATAAAACCAAGATTCGGACAGTAGAGGCGTCGCCGAATCGAATTGAAAACCAGCCGAAGCCAATCACAGACTACATGGAGCTATGTACGCGCTGCGATGCAAGGCTTGAAGGTGCCGAGGCACTCCAGAGCCACCTTGATTGGCATCTCGCCAAAGACCTTCAGGATGAGGAACGTGGCAGGCACACATTTGCTCGCCACCACTCCACGGGGACACGCGGTCAAAAAACTGCAGCTGCATCGTCCTCCTCGTCTAAGAAGCCTGCAAGAGGGAATTCTTCTAGCAGTAAGCTCGAACATGGGCAAAGCAAATTGAAGTTTGGATGAATCAATAACCTAGCATGCCACTCGACTCGAAGCGAACGCTACATGTGCCCCTGGTCAACTCCATCTTATCCATTCGCCCAGATGAATTACTTATTTTCCCTTTTCATCTATGGTGTCCAACGGAGAAGTTATCCCCCCCAACCCCTAGCATTGAGTGCGCCTCGAAAGAGCAGGTCCACACCATTTCATGCACATCTCCCTATTTCGTAAGTTGGGTGATAATGGTCTGAAGCTGCCCATGGGGGTACCATCCTGCCATCCTAAGCATTGAGGGCTTATGCCGGCGATGTAGGTTGAGCCCAGGCTCCAGAAATGTTCGGGCACTGACTCGGCACGGAACCGAAAACAATCTGGTCCAACAGAAATGTCGGTCTGCATGACCCACCACCTAAGGCACAAACAAGCTATAGCGCGAAGGTGGTGCGAATAAACCTAGTGGATTGCTCGCGGTCCTGCACCGATAGCTTGTTCGAATATTCTTTCTTTTTTCGTTCTTCTTAAACCCGCCCAATCATTCGGATGCACAATTCCGTATAAGTTGTGTATAGATATTTGTGAACCGGCCTCGGCGGAACAGCCCGTCGGTCTTACGAGCATTACGGCGCACATATCTACCGGTAGTCCCTAAAAAAAGAATCACATGCAGCATAAGGGAACTACTTGGTACCTATATCATCTACGTAAGTAGGATCTCAAGATACTCTATAAGCAGATATGTACAACAGCGCGGGATGAGCAAAGCCGATGCTTGGGTACGAGAAAAAAGAGAAAGGGAATTTTTATGCTGCTACCCGCATTGCAGTTTGACAGGTACGTAGGTATTATGAAAAGGTGTCCGACTTTGAAGCAAGTAGTGTCGCAAGGCGGCCTAACAGTAAACAGCCTACCGGCCTATTTGTCTTGCTCATCTCACTAAACATGTATTTGCCATTGTCATCATGTCACAGGAATGGATCGAAGGTGGCGGAAAATAACAGTGATTGGCTGACTAGGCCTTAGGCTTAGGCACCTACGACGCAGCAACGACTACTCTTTAGGCTCGCGTGCATTGATACCCAACCGGCGAGAACCAGGCTTTTTTTTTTCTTCTTCCCCTTTCTTCTTCCTTACGCCAGCCTGCTTAGGTTGCCTTTTTTATTTTTATTTTTATTTTTTTTTTCACAGTGCCACGTCTTCATTTATTGCCCGTCATGGTTCAAGTGCCTAATCGCTTAATCGCCTGAAGCGGAATGGGACCATTCCTGAAGTGGCGGGACCCATCCTAATGTATTTGACCAGTAAGATCAAAGCCGCTCTTGATTATGTCCCGGCCTCAACAACGGTGCCGGCCCAGTCAACGAGATGATGCCAAATTCCGCCCAAAGCAAAAAACTCATCTCCTACATAATACGGTACCCTCTTTTCATTTGGGAAAGACCTTGATAGGTAGGGTGCCAACCCGAAGCCACAAAGGGATGCGAACGAAACAAGGCAGATGGAAACAAATTGCCCCTCGTATGGATAGGATTGTTTTATCTATCCCAATCCCAATCCCAATCCCGATCTCAATCTAGGAAGAGAGGGAGGGGGACGTGTGCGTGTATAATAGGGAGTGAAGAGACCTCATTCCCTGCCTGAGGAATATTTTCAAGAAGTCTCTTGGTTTTCTTTTGGGCGGATTTTCATAAGAGCTTTAACGAACCGGTGTGAGAGAAATAATAAGAGAGGAAGTCCTCGTTTTTTTATGAGCAACGCAGCCCAACCCAGAACGGGCCACCGACGAACAAATCAGATTTGCTCCACCGACGGCCTTAAGTAGTCAGGTCCGCAACAGAAAAAACGCCTCCTAGTTTTTCTTTTCCCCCCTTCAAGGACAATCTTCATTTCCCAAAGAGAAGAAAAATCCTCTGTCGGTCAGCATTAGCCTGGCCGCCACGACAGAAATCTACGATTATATGTACGGATTGACCGATCACAGCGAAGAGTTGCATCGAAGAAGAAGCGGTGCGTGTGTTTGTTGCCTCTTGATGCGCGACATACGGGCACAAGCCATCCACCCCTCTCACTTCCGGAAATCTTAGCGGGACTCCATAAGGAAATCTAGCTTGCCAATCTCTTCTTCATCAGCCACAAGTGGCCGGGCTACCCTTGGCTACCCTGGCACCTTATTAGTCTAGAATCCGATCAGGGAATTTGGATACGTTGATAGCGGACGGCCTTCTTCGATATCCCCATCCCCATCTCCCGCCCCAAAACCCCTCTTCTGCTGCAACGGGACAGATCATTCCCAGCTTTTTGGACCCATTGCTGCGCGTCACTTCGTCGCCGGGGGTTCGTTGTTGTCTCTTCCGCTCCCACCAAGAGTTCGTCGCTGTCGTCCAAGTCCGGGTGAGTTCCTATTGTCAAACTCACTCACTTGCTTGCATCTCGAACAAATCGCAGTAGGCTGGGGACCCGTAAGCTCTACTGCAACTACGTACATACATATACACATACTACATACATACGTTGCAACCTAAGGCAGGCCGCCTTCTTATTCTAGGTACTTATTCTACCTAGCTTTCTTATTATCTGTTATTATTATCGTCACTACTACTACCTTTACCATCATCATCGTTATTATTACCGGCAACTATTATTACTGCCTACTTATTATTATTACCATTATTGCCCTCACATAAGGCTCCGGTCTACTTGACGTTGGACCAACCATACGTCCCCACGCGCCGTCTACTGCTTAGCACAGTGACACCGCTCCACTGTGTGTGTCCGCGCACAAGACCAACTCATTGGTTTTGGTGCCTGTCTGGGAGAGACATTCACCTCTAGAGTCCCCAGCTGACAGATTGCCCATTCGCATCCCGTCATCCAGTCATCTAGTGGTTCCTAATTACAAAATTGGCTTATCTTCTCTCCATCCGTCCATCCACCCATCCTATCCATACAGCCATTCAGACCATAGATCCATACCATCTTTGAACGTTTTGTGTGCTTGTTATCCCAACAAGTCACAAGTCTTCGCCTCCCTCGAGTGCTACAGTACGGTTCCATCGCCAAGCACACGGTATTATTTTATTCATTTATTTAGTTATTATTCGTTTTATTCTTTAACCTACGCACACCCACAGCGGCAACCCATAGCGTACTGTACATCTTGGATCAGGTTCAGCTGTTTGTGACCACCCCTGCAAGCCCTGTAGGTCACTATCGCCACCTCGTTGAGGGATTGGACTGCACGCCACGCCACCATCCCTGCCTCCCTGTTCCCTCCCTGTCCGGGGACCAAGTTGGTGTCGCCATTGTGCCTTGTCACTTTCCCCTAATAGGTCCCCTTGGCCCCTTTGGCCCCTCCTTTCGCGCTGCAGCAGGACTTTTTTTGTGCCGCGGGTCCATCTCCATTCTATTCTGATTTTGACCCACTAAGCAAAACTGCCTGGCCGCCCTTTTCTCCCCCCCACCGCCCACCAACCCTCCGCTTCTTCTCACGCTCTCCTCTCTTCTCGACCGCTCGTCCTTCTTGTTGTTCAACAACATTCTGTCCTCTTCTTCCTCCCACCACCGTCGACCTTCCTCCTCTTCTTTCCTCCTTCCTTTCTTCCCACCTCAGCATTATCGACGTCGACGTGTACTATCCTCCTCATTCCGAAACAAAATGTCTAGAAGACCCGCACCTTCGAGTAGCAGCGCGCTGCCCCCTCAAAACCGCCAGAACGAGTACTTCGTCCCGAGAGATGGTATTGACCGTGAGGTAATCACGGCCGACATATGCCGTTATCTTGGAAACGATGCACTCGTTCGCCCCGGCACATATGAGGTACGAAATCCGGATTTCTCTTCGCAGTATCTGTCCTTTCTCTCGGAATCCTAACGCTGACAATGCTGTGTGCATTGTAGAACCCTGGAACCGGCCAGATCATACAAGGCTACTACATAAATGCCTATCGTAATTTGACTACAGTGAGTCCCTCTCGCCCAAGCGACGCCCGACGCCCACAGAAATGCCACAGTTGCTGACCAGGTTTCGCACCTCGTAGGCTATGATCGAAGATTTGAAAGCAGATTCCGCGCGATGGGATCAAGAAAGGCGGCAGCAATCGGCGAGCCGTAATAACGCTGCCGGAGGTACTATTGCCTCGAGAGACTCGAACGGCGTATATGTCAGACTCTCTAACTCCCCTATAGTCCAATACCGCAATTCGGACACGCATCAATCCCGACAGTACTACGGGCCAACCGAGGGTGGATTCGCGTCCTCAGACCCAAGCCGGGATCCGTACGGTGACGCTACTCCCAGATATCCAGGAACAGGTTCCGCAGGTTATACGGGAGCCGCTGGCTCTTACGCTTCCCAACAGTATCCTCAGGGTGGGTATAGCACTCAACAAGGGTACACTACCCAGGCGTCGCAATTCCAGAACCCAGGTGCAAGTGTGACTTATCCCATGTCCGCATCAGGATTTGGCCAGGCCGGCCAGGAACCCCCTTTCCAGCTGGTTGGAGCAGACTCGAGAGTGGCATCCAACCCTCAGTCCATGTATAATGACCCGTACTCAGGGTCAAGAGACCCCAGGGATCAGAGGACACCGTTCACCACAATGCCGCCCAGTAGGAGTACTTACGCAACCTCAGGGACACCCGCTCCGCAAGGCTACCCATCCTCGGGTCCTGGCGGCAGCTATTATCCTTCGAACCCATCGCCCTCCAACGCTGCCTACCCCGCAACTGCCCACCCTGGAGATCCGTTCCTTGGACGCGGTGCGTACACCACAGGTTTCTAATATTACCTTCTATTTTTTTAACCTCCTATTCCTTATTCTGATTATTTAGCAGCTCCTGCGGGCACATCGTACGGTTCAGCACAAGATCCACAGTATGAAAACACCCCTGCCCCCTCTCGCAGTTCAGCAGCAGCCAGCAGTACTCAACTACCAACTAGTGGACCATCGTCGCGACATGCCAGGGATAGCGTCGACCGCCATACCGGATCTAACCGTCGCTCAAATCGATCATAAAAAATTATTTTATACCACCGCTGGAGTGTGTGCGGCGGACTTCCGTCCTGCCTGTTGATACTTCATGAATTAATTGTTTCATTGCCGAGATTCCCAGGATTTGGAGTCCCAAACGCCGCATCATGGTCTTTTCCGGAATTTTGCCATGCAAAAAAACAAAAGGGATAGACCGGGATTTGAATTTTGCAGACCCTTTGTGTGTCATGCGCAGTTGCAAGTTTGCGACTTGCTGAATAATGTGTTACCCCCCGAACCTCACCGTGAGAGAGACCTCTGGACCAACCATCATTCTATTACCTTAAGGACGGCTTTTTTCCTTACGATTACTTCCGCACATGAATCATCTCTTTCTTGGGCCCAGAATGGATACGGCGTACTATGATCGGGGAACTTCGTTACGACTTTTGCATATGGGTGGGCCTCTATTGACTGACTGACGACGACCATTGTTTCTGCTATGCCTCTGTACGGAGTTGGCTTATGCCACACATTTTATACCAGGCTTTAGGCCGGCGGGGAAAAGAAGTTCTCTTTTTTTATTATCTACTTTGGTTAGTATTTTTATCTGCGGATCATCTCCTGCCAACTTGCTGTCCGGGTCCAGCCAATGGAGAGGCTATACTTTTTATTTTCCCTGGTTTTTACGAATTCCATGGCCGGTTTCGTGGATGTGCATTATGGTGAGACGCTGGAATGATTTTTACTAATAGATAGGGCTCGAGATCCGGACAGCAAGGTGAGCACTGGACGGATTGTATATATATGCCAACCACTCCTGCGAAGGATATCTCCCAAGATTTCAATAATCTCTCTTGCCTGGTATTTCTTATGGACTTTACCCCCTTTCACCGTGCATATGTTACTAACAAGCAGGTTTCCCGGAGAGGCTTCCAACAAATCCCATCTAGGTGCATTACAGGACAACCACTCCCGGGGAAATTCCATTGGAACACCTGGATTGACTATGGATTCATCGTCAACAAAACCTTGGACAACCTGTGGATTCCACTTGGACTACTTGGACTGGACACAACATCAAACCTGGATGGACTCTTACTAGTCTGAAAAGACTATTGGCACGCCAGCCAAGGATCAAAAGCCTGGTTAAGGCTACAAGCAATTCAAACCAAATGTCACTGAAATATCAGCTTGACATGTACAGGTGAGAGATCTCCCTCAGGACCTCCCAACTCCAACTATGTTTGCAGTGTGATATGATCTTACCTCAACTCCATTGAGAGAAGTGATTCTGATGTCCAACCTTCCCGGTACTTTACAACGGGTGAAGACGATGGCTCGATTCCACTGATCACAAATGGATGCCTCAGTTGATTCTACCAGGACTACTATGGATTATGGAATACGCCGGATTTCTCAATAGCCTGGTCATGACAGTACAGGCCCCAGTCGACTATGTTCACTGCTGCAATGACCTTATTTGGATATATGTCAACATCGATATAGGACATGCTTTCTCTTGCGTACCTTCCTCTGACCACAGAGGAAAGGCAATATTCCAAGGATCAATGAACTATGGGAGTGTGACTACCTGGACAATTGAGTGATGCTATCATCTCAGACTGGATTATACAACTCTGATACAATGTGCAACGACATGTCGACATCTTGATGAAAATCAACTTTGCAATCATGGATACCCGGACATCGAGGCTTTACTCATGGATCTTCTGGAGCTTGTGATGATACTACCGTCACCCAGGCCTTGTTCATCAGTCAACATTGCCAGGTTGTAGCCAGCCAACCAACCAACCTTGTGTTATCATTACCCTATCCTACCCTTTCCCTACACGTTTACTGTTCTTAGATCCCAATCTTGTGCTCTCGTGTTTCTTCTGCTTGCCCACTATCTGCTTTTCTTCTATGGCCGCTTCTGGATACCGGGACTTGCCTTTACCTTATGTTTCTGGATGATGGACTCCGGTTGAACCAGGATCTTATACGGGGATGAGGTTGTGCTTTAGGTGCCGTTGGGTGTGATGTGGTTATGGTGTGCGTGTGTGCTTATGAGTTGAGCGTGTTCATGTCCGAGCTGGCTGGTGTAGTTGTCATGGTCGCGTTTGTCTTCGGGAGCCCCGGGGTCTATATTCTCTTCAACCATGTATGATCACCTGTATCGGTTGGTGGGGATTAAGTCCGTTCGGAATTGTGTTTGGCAGTTGGGTGGGCAGGTGTGGACAGGCTTGTAGCTCAATGATGGGTTGGTGGATGGCAACCGGATGTGGTATATGGGGTGACAGTGACGATATACTAGGACGATATAAGGGTGGTGGTGGTATGAATATACGTGTTGAATTGGACCATCTATTTGTCCATCCACATGTTTATGTGTTCTAATGGTGCTATATCCCTCACTAGGTACCTAGGAGTATCTATAATGAGCCTTGAATATACTATCCTACATTCAATACTCTACATTAAACCCCATCTCCCTCCACAGACGCTATAAGACCCATGCTAGGTGTATACAACGAAAAACTAATGACATATAGTATCATGATTGCACATCGCTATCCTTACCATATGGGTATGTCAGATAGGTGTACAGTATCTTAAGTGATACTATTTCGTAAGCCTTCAATGAGCAAGACACACCCAAAGTGCAGCCGTGTCAAACCTGTAATCAAGCCACGTAAAGAGCTTCGTTAGCGAAGGACATGTCTTACTATCCATCCAGTGATAGTGATCCCCACTTTGAGTCCTCATCGTAACACAGGCATATAGAGCCTCTACGAATCGGCAAAAGCTAAGATAGGACGGGCTTTATCTAAGTAGGTACTTCGTTAAGCCATAGTGCGGATATTCTTAGTATCGGCTCTCAGAGTGTTGGTAGTACACACGAGCCGACTTGGGGGCCACGGACTCGAGGGTACGGACCGGAGTAAGTCATGCGCGTGAAGACTTTGAGTTGGCTGGCTGGTTGACGCAGGCGCAGAAAGGTGCCGGAGGCTCAGAGCCTCAGCGCCTTCCCTACTTTTGATATGTGCTGTCTTGCTTAACTATTATATTCGTCTATTACGTTACACATCTAATGCAGAAGATGCATTTACGCTCGTAGATATACGTGGGGGTTCATATGTACATCCAAGAGTTAAGTTAAGGAACAGTGATCTTTTCGCCTTGGATGATCTTGGACATATTGAAAAGGGGAATTGTTTCAGCCTGTTGATTGCCAAGGCCTGCCTCTAACTACCTCCCTATTTCGTACTTTGACGCCTGGATTTGCCTTCCAAGGCGTCGATTTGGCTTGTCTTTAGGTACATCTGTTTCGAAATCTTCCCTTTCCTGGCTCGGATCTCGCATCAGCGTCGGACATTAATCTAAATAGGCGATGAAGGGAAGATCGTAGGGGAGAAGATCGTTGAAGGCAACGAGATAAGTATATGATTCAACAACCCCAGTATCCTTGTAGTTGCCTGGTTCTACGAGGCTACCATTCATCCATGAGCCTCATCAGAGGAGTATGTAAGCATACCAACAGGCAACCAGGCAGTTAAAGCCTGACTCACCAACCCTGGCACAAGGAAACACATTGTCTTGGCTGCACTACTTGACTATATAATGTATATTATCTCACCGACTCTTAAATTGATGACGTGCAATCGACCAATAGGTGATGTTCTGCAAAAGAGCATTGCAGTTGTAAGAACCTTCTAGCTTACGATTCCGTAAGACGGCGGTGAGGCTAGCGGATCCTGACGACCTGGATATGTAATGTCGGCTGTGAGATCTTGAAATAGGAAATAAGGCTGAAACTTGGCTTGTTTTTCGTGCTCCCAGTTCTCGGGTGCTCGCAGCATAGCTACCTTGTTACTCAAAAGAGATGCCATATGACGACACATACTCTGCGACGATATGGTTTAGAGATACGCTTCGGATAAAATGCGACATCCGTGGGTGGTGTTCATGGGTCTTTGCCGAGACCCAATTGCCGAATTGCGTGTCTTGGTAGGTAGGCTCTCGCCAGGAACGCCTCGTGTATTTCCTCGGTATTGAAGTTTCGAAGAAACTTGACTTACCGTGTGGGCGCACTGGAAGGGAATATTGCCAACAGCTTGCTTACCTCAGCCGCAAGGTTGTGCTAGTAACTTAACTCCGCCTCGCGTATTTGCTCTCACATTATTCAGTTTCCTCTTGGCGAGGAATTGGCGTTTTCTATATTGTAGGTAAGCCTGTAGACTACTACTAACTGTCGCCTCTATAAAATAGGAGCTCAGTGCAGAGGAACACGTCTTTGAGTGTTCCGACTTGGAACATCTTGCTGATTAAGGATCGAATGGATGTGACCCCCAACTATGATAACCTACACAATATGTAGGCCCCTAGCCGCAATGCTATTTTGCGAGGAGGTAGGGTCTGTGCTACGTCAAAGGGTAGTTCTAGAGCCTCATCATTTCGTCCTGAGAGACTAACTCTAACAAATTGAACGAGTCGCACTTATCAGAGATTTCTCCTGCAGCCGTGGCTCCCTAGGTAGTCGCTGAGGCTGGTGTTGGCATAGGGCGTTTATTTCTCCTCCGAGGACTTCTTCAATCCGCTATGACGTGGATACGATTGCCAACTTGCATTTATCTTCACCTATCAGGGTGCTGATAGGCCATGGTCCGATCTAATAAGTAACCAGGCACGTGGACTTGTTGGTAACATTGTCCGATCCACTAACAATGCTTTCAGTTCTGGCCAAAGTGTAGTTAGAACTGTTGGTACGTAACCTGATATTGGGTTTTCGCGTCTATCGTGCCAGTCCGGACGAAGTCGGGTTGAGTGTATCAATAAAATCGCTTTTGTGATGTGACTGAGACGGACGGAGAATAGGAACCGAATAAAGGAGCGGACTTCATTCGCTTACTCGTTCTCTAAGATATCACATGGCAAAACTGGGATTGCCATATTGGTCATTGCGTTTTATTCCCGAATCAATGGTTTCATAAAAATTGATTAGTGCTCGGGTCCGAGTGGCATCCCATAAATCCGGCATGCCTTTCATATTAGTTTGCCAATGATGATGAATGCTGTTACCACGATTCGATCTGTGGCGATAAGTACTCGAATACGTCGATTTGACTCAAGATGTTTGTTGAAATTCCTTCCTGCTACCCCTGTGGAGAGGATTTGCTTGGATGTGATAATTTTATCGAAGAGGATGATCTCGTCAAACTACCATTGCCGTCGTTACAGCAAGCAGGAGGCAAAACGTGGTATGTTAGGATATTCAGAGGGGGAAGACGGGCGGTCTGTCATCCCATTGGTGAGATTCAAGATAAGAACCATGGTTTAGAATCCGGCAAAAAGTAGCTCATGATATCAACCCGCATGTGGATGGCAATTATGTTATATACGACGCGTGTAGAAGGAACGTGACGAGAAACGTGAGATTCATACATAGAAGAGATCTTCAGGGACGGGACTGGGGGACAGGGCGTCAATACTATATAATAATGGAATTACGACTCTTGCTTGACAGGGAAATGTCAGTGTTATATAGAAAAGGATCAGGCGATAATGATGAATGAACAGTGTATAGTTTGGATTTGATATAGATATATAGATGTAAGTTGATGTAACTATTCCTAGGTTGGCAGATTTGGGTGGATGTTCTTGTTCCGTTTGGAAAATTGTTGTAGGAGGAAGAGAAAATAATAATCTGTGCGGAGGTGGGGGTGTACCCACCAATCCTAGGCCAAGTGCCTTGTGTGTTCATAACCCTGGAATAATTCAATGGAGGGGATATGATAGGTACATATGTAGCACAAGGAGGGGAGGGGCGGCAAGTCGCGGTACTTTGTACATCATGTACCTAACCTTGGAAACTCTAATGTTCTCTCCAGGGCTAGTGGGCTAACTCAGGCCGCATAATAAATGTTGTTCAGTGGCTGATTAGGCTACGTAACTTGGAAAGTTTGCGCATGAAAATATAACCAAAGGCGGTGACGCCCTTCTCATCACCGCCCTCGGCTTTCCGCCTTCAGTGTATTTTTGGCTTTCCACTTGGACGGGTACAACTACGTCTATTTTCAATATCACACGAGCATGCCCTGGAGTATTTTAAATTTACACATGGCTCATTTTTATTTCTAAACCCAAATTTGTTTAATTGTCTAGTAGTATTTTTATTTATCTATTTTTAACAATTTTAAATATTTGTAAGTCAATGAATCCATCCAGTTGCTTGCCTGTCTCATCTGCTGCACATTCCAATTCCTTCGACTTCTACTATCCTTGCTGTCTGCCTGTAGGAGGCTTGCGGATCCACTATGGTTAATATATGGGTACATGGATGGGATGCAGTCATACATTTTCTATGTCAATGCCTTCGTCAAGTGGTATATACACATTAATTAGACGGGAGCACCATGCTCGCACAAGTGGTAAAAAGGGACGTAAAGTTGATGGAATATATATGTCATACCAAGCAGTTTGCTTCTTCCTTTACCTCGGAGGATATAAATTCATTTGCCATTCGATGTACCGTATGTCGGGTTGCCTTATCGAGAGAGGAAAAGCATTCCAAACACGTTTTCAGTTGACATTGAATGTTACCATAAACGGATGAGCGTGTATAGATGATTAATGCTAAAGGTACTAGCGTCGATAAATCTTCCACTTTTCAGCTTCCTTCTGTTTAAATATTAAACATTATTATATCCAAAAAAGGTACTCGGGTTCATGGCACGTTGGTAAGGTGTTTCAGGTACCTGGCGTCGGAAACTTTGATCGTGCATAGGTAGATACTGTAAGTATCCTGCTGATATAAACAAACTTTGAAGTCAATTCAATGTTCATTGCTTCGAAGCGCGTGCTGCTTGCACTGATCCTAGCACCTGGCACCTGGCGACACTGGTTGCAGTTACATAACGTGCTACGGTAGGTACCCAAAGTAGGTACCTATAATTATAACCCAGTAGGCCTGTGACACGCCCAACTACAGGACTCCATAACGTGGTTTTGCGTTACAGGGATAGGGCTAATTGTTAGCGTTAGATTTTCAATGTACTAATTCGTAGTGTTATTTGTAAGTAGGTACATATAAGTACCTAGACTAATTATCTACATAGGGCACCTAGGGGACTTTTGGGGGGTAGTTTTTAGACCCTTTCTATTTTTTTTTTCTTCTCTCCCACTTTCCACTTAGCACCTTGCACCCTTCTTTCAAAAAAGTGCCCCGCCATTTTCGGACGGCGCAAAAAATACAACGAGTAACCAAGCGGCAGTCCAACCTGACATAATTTTTTTCCACACCACAATTGGGTGCAGCGGCCGCAGCTGAACAATCATCATCACAAACTGCATTTCGGCGGACGACTGCCTTCCAAACAACCCTTTCCCTTGCCTTTTGCCCTCGTCGATTCCGACCCGGTCCAACGGGCACCAACCCGAATCCCTCGGCGAACTTTGCCTGAACGTCATTATATTTACTATTGCTCTGTTTATCAACAATAACCCCCCCCTCCTTTAACCCCGGTTTGATCGGTGAAATACGTCCAAAACGAATCCATCATGAATGCCGAAGCCGTTCGGGCTCGCGTCGTCGCCACCCTTTCTGCCGACGCCAATGTGCGAAGAGCCGCCGAGCTCGAGCTCAAACAGGTACCTCTACCTTGTTCATTGTTTGCATTTCACAATTTCGTGTCATTTTGTGCTTTGCCCTACCCTACCGTGCCCTGCCGCGTTGTCGCCTTATCATGCTACGCAATGCGATGCGATGCGCCATCCTTCACATCCCCATCCCTTTTGCTTGACGCGTCTACTCTTAGTAATTATTATTATTACATACCTACTAACAAACAACCATAACAATAGGCCGAGGTACACGCCGGCTTCACAGATGTTCTCTTAGATGTGTTGACTGCCGAACCTGACGATGCTGTCCGACTTTCATGTATGATCACGCTTTTCTCCTTATCTAAACCCCGAGTTGGTGTTGTTAACAATGTCGATCTGTAGCGGTCATCTATCTCAAGAACCGGACGAATAGAGCTTGGTCGAAAAGTGATCACTATCCCGAAGAGCCGCTCATAGCAGAAGATGAAAAACAACGCTTCCGCGATCGAATTCTTCCCATCCTTGCTGCCTCACATGGTCCCGTCCGTCAACAGTTGTTGCAGTTAATCCAGCGCATATTGCACTTTGACTTCCCTGGAAAATGGCCCAGTTTCATGGACGCCACCCTGCAATTATTGCACGCAAATGATGCTCCTTCAGTTCTTGCTGGCCTTCAGTGTCTCCTTGTCATATGTCGCGCTTACAGGTTTAAGGGTTCTCAGGATAGCAGCCGGGTCGAGTTCGACAAGATCGTCGAGGCTAGCTTCCCCAGACTCCAACAAGTTTGTAACGAATTGGTTAACCAAGAAAGCGATGAGGCTGGTGAGATGCTTCATATCGCCCTTAAGGCCTACAAACACGCAACATGGGTAAGTTGATCATTTGGATGATTAATGCCTCTTTTAAGATATCTTTCTGACTTTGAACTCCAGCTCGAACTTTCTAGCTTTCTCCGACGACACGACATCAACATTGGTTGGTGTACTATTTTCCTTCACACCGTGTCGAAGAAGATACCCGATTCTGCGATGCTCGAAGATATCGACGAGCGAGAACGTCATCACTGGTGGAAAGCTAAGAAATGGGCTTACTTCAATTTGAATAGGCTTTGGATTAGGTTGGTACTCCCTTTGGATCTTCGGTGACAATGCCATGTTGTTAACGAGCAACTCCTAGACACGGTAATTACGCGTCTATCACTACCAAGAGCGAAGAGTCAACAAGATATGCAAAAGAATTTGAAAGCACTATTGCCCCCGAGATTCTTAAGCATTACCTCCAGGAGATCGAGAAATGGGTTTCCAAGACGGCCTGGCTCAGCAAACCCTGCTTATCCTACACACTCGTTTTCCTGGATGAATGTTGCCGCCCTAAGTCCATGTGGAATTTGATGCAACCCCATCTCACTAACCTTGTTACACATTTGGTCTTCCCTGTTATGTGCCTAAGCGACGAGGACGTGGAAAAATTCGAGGACGAACCTGAAGAATACCTCCACCGTAAATTGAATTTCTATGAAGAGGTCTCGGCTCCTGACGTCGCCGCGACAAATTTCCTCGTCACCTTGACCAAGGCCCGCAGAAAGCAAACGTTCGAGATATTACAGTTTGTCAATGGAGTTGTCAACGATTATGAACAGGCACCTGAAGACAAGAAAAACCACATAGCGAAGGAGGGTGCGCTAAGGATGATCGGTACATTGGCACCAGTGCTCTTGGGTAAGAAGAGCCCTGTTGCTGATCAGATCGAATATTTCCTGGTCCGTTACGTCTTCCCAGACTTTAAGAGCCCCTTGGGTTACCTTCGCGCCCGAGCTTGTGACACGATCGAGAAATTCGAACAGCTCAATTTCAAGGACCAGAACAACCTGCTTATCATCTATCGACACATCTTGGACTGTATGGCCGATTCCGACTTACCTGTTAGAGTCACGGCAGCGCTGGCCCTACAACCCTTGATTCGTCATGATGCCATTCGTATCAGCATGCAGCAAAGCATTCCAACTATCATGCAACAGTTGCTCAAACTAGCTAACGAATGCGATATCGACGCATTGGCTAATGTTATGGAAGACTTTGTCGAAGTATTCGCCGCTGAACTTACTCCGTTTGCTGTAGCCCTGAGTGAGCAACTGAGAGACACATATTTGAGGATTATCCGCGAGCTTCTTGATAAGAACGATGCCCGCAACGGCAGTGATGACGATTATGGCGATTATTTAGATGATAAGAGTATCACTGCTCTGGGTGTCCTGCAGACCATTGGTACCCTAATCTTGACCTTGGAAAGCACCCCAGACGTGCTCCTGCATATCGAAGCTGTCCTTATGCCTGTCATTTCAGTCACTCTAGAGAACAAGTTGTACGGTAAGTAATTTTGGGCTTGCACCTATCGGTTTCCTAAACTAACATTTGCGCATAGATCTCTATAACGAAGTGTTCGAGATTATCGACAGTTGCACATTTGCTGCTAAGAGCATTTCGCCTACTATGTGGCAAGCTTTCGAACTCATCCACGCAACATTTAAGTCCGGTGCTGAGCTTTACCTTGAGGACATGCTTCCGGCCCTTGACAATTTTGTACAGTACGGCGCCGGCCATTTAACGCAGAAGCCCGAGTACGTCCAGGCCTTATACGGCATGGTTGAAGATATGTTCCAAGACCAGAAGGTCGGTGGTGTTGATCGTATCTGCGCGTGCAAACTTGCGGAGGCTATGATGTTAAGCCTGCGTGGTCACATCGACCAATCCGTTACCGGGTTCGTCACAATGGCTATGGTGGTACTTACCGGTCAAGAAATCAAAGTCAAGTCGTACAAGATCCACCTGATGGAGATGGTTATTAATGCCATCTACTACAACCCAGTCTTGACAATCGCTGTTCTTGAAAACAAAGGATGGACTAATAAGTTTTTCAGCCTTTGGTTCATGAATATGGAGGCTTTCAGCCGGGTTCACGACAAGAAGCTATGCATTGTGGCCATAGTTTCTCTGCTAAGTCTGAGTGCCGACCAGATCCCTGCCAGCGTTAGTACCGGGTGGCCGAGGCTCTTGCAAGGTATCACTGGTTTATTCAAGACCCTACCCAATGCCTTGAAGAACCGTGAAGAGGCATTGAAGGAGGACTTCACATACGACTCTAATAATTACGAGTACGAGGATGATGATGAATGGGCCGAGGAAGATACCAACTGGAACGCTGAGGAGGGTGTAGAAGGGGAGCCAACGGATGCTCGAGACGAGAGCACGGCCTATCTCGAATTCCTTAATGAAGAAGCGGCTAAGTTCAGCCAGATCGAGAACCAATACAAAGACCAAAGCGACGACTTCGAAGAAGAACTTGGCGAAGATAGCGTACTCCTCGAGTCCCCTCTCGATAAGATCGAGCCTTATCAACTATTCCGAACCGTATTAATGAGTGAGTCTCATCAACGATTCGTTCTGGTGTCACTAGCTAACTATAATACAGAAATGCAACAAGAAAACCCCCAGCTGTACACTAACCTTACATCGACTCTTTCAGCTGATGAGCAAGCTGTCATTCAAAATGCAGTGCACCAGGCCGAGGCTAATGCTCAAGCCGCTTTGCAAATGGCGGCTCAAGCAGCCCAGAACCCACAAGGGGTACCCGGAGCATCGAATGGCGGTGCCAGATAGGAACTGATCAGCCTTATCCGAAACGCGCGCCAGCGTTGATTTCGTGGCCTTGCGAAGCCCCCGGCACTACTGGCCCTTCAATTGTGGTGCCAAAGGCATAGTACTGGCTCTTTCACACTGTCAAGCTGGATATGCAAGGCGAAAGTCGCAATGGAAAGTTTGTCATAGGCTGGGATGTGATTAACCCTAAGCCATTACTATGAAGGGGGGTTGACCTCGTGGGTATACCCCGAGCAAAATAGCAATGGATGATATGCCTTCGTCGGAGGCAGATGGGTAGATAGGTAGGTAAAGACTTTTCGTCGGCAGTTAGTTATTAACAAACACCCCGGAGCATATGATGATGTTAAATGAGGAAAATGAAGCTAGGGAGGATATATCCGGAGGCATGCGACGACTATTTATTTATTTAACGACGGGCCTAGGATGGATGATATGATACGGCAGCGGGTGATAGTCTAAGGACAAGAAAAAAGATTTTAGATCGTGCAAACATAATATCCCCCCCATCATCACTGTCATCCCCTTTATCCACCCTTTCAACCCCCCCTATCTGGCCGCAGAGACAGACACCCAAATTTGATAGTGATTTTTTGGTCACCTCTTATGTGTTATGCGTTTGCGTGTGATCTATGGTGCGTGTTTTTTTTTAGCGAGCGGGTTTGTAGCAAATAAGATGCGTTGTTCGCCTGCTAAATTCATCGGATGTGTACCTTAGTCCACCATATCCTTGAGGAATTGATATTCGTGTCGATTAAACCTAGAGGACCCTGGATTATCTCTGTTGTGTAATGATAATCATCCAGCAGGGGTAGTAGTGATTCATCTAGTGTAACACAGTGTTTTTATAGTACCTACGTCATATCCTGCGACCCTATCTCAGTTTGGGGGATACCTAGGATATTGAAGGAAGCTGGTGTTTTAGCAAGTACCACTTTAACCCCCGCAATGAATGTAGATCAATACACCCAAAGATCGATACTGTGCAATAGCTGCAACGAAGCGTTCCTGAATGACAGCAACACCGCTGCAGCTAACCAGGAGAGCTTTCCCTTTTTCAAATTGGCCTTGCTGTCTACCTCGGTAACTAACCTATGAGTTTAGGGGATCACAGCAGGTTGTCATTTGTAGCACGGGACCTTGTCCCTTGCCCTTGAGCTTGTATTTTACCTGTCGTATCTCCGCTATTCTCGTGTTGGAATGTCTGCCTACTTTCCCCATCCTCTTACCTAGGTATTCATCTAGAATATAACAAATTCGATCACTATCACCGGTGCAGATTCATCGACATCATGAAGTCGATCTTACTACTAATGATGGCGGCAGCCGTTGCCGTCGCACAGACCGTACAAACCGTACCGACCGAAGGCACTGTAAGTTATCCACCCAAACCAGAATACGCAACTTACCTGGCTCTCATACGCTAACCTAAGCCTAGAGCGCAAGCATCAACACCCGCCCGATATCACTTACATCAGACGACACACCCACTCTAAGCTCGATCTCGTCAACCGTGTCAGATACCACAGCATCAACATCCTCGGAATCATCTACTAGCGCTACTAGCAGTGCGAGCGTCACAAGCACCACCAGCGACACTAGCGCGTCCACGGGATCAAGTTCGTCTCCGAGTATTACATCCGCTGGGACTGCGACGCAGACACTGGGCGGAGTTACGCCTTCGACGATAATCAGTGGTTCTTTGACGGAATCTCTTAGTGCGTCGTCGACGCCTAATGCTGCTGCGATGCCTACTGGGATTGGAGCTGGGGTGGTGGTTGGTATGCTTGGTGTTGTCGCTGCGTTATGAGGTGATAATATCATAGAGGGGGTAGTTTAGGTGTGGAGGTTATGCTAAAAAAAAATAATGGTCTGTCATTATTGCTGTTGGGGATGATTGTAATCGGAGTTTGCGCTCGTTCCTCGTTGGGGGTGTTTATTGTGTAGGTGATTTGGAGTGAGAGATCAGATGTTGATACCATAGCTAAATTGATAGGCGCGATTCCGTTAAAATGGGAATTTATATTTAATAAATGTGCGGAAAGTTCTCCGTCTAAGGATACCTGTATTATGGATTGAGAAGTTGATTCCAATCATACAATACCCAGGTAATTTAGACTGTTGTGAAGAAGCTAATATTGGGGTGGTCTGTTGTTGTAGCTGTGGAAGTGAAAATATAAGGGAACGCTTGGGGGACGAAATAGCTTGCGTTCAGCAAAAGTTTGGTTTAGTCATCCCCAATTGGAGTGCCTTGTTATCGCCTATACAAAATCCCCACACAGGCTTCCGGACCTAGCAACTTACCCTTTTCGACCACAGAACACAGTCGAGGACCGACTTCTACCAAGTTCATCATTGCCAATTCGTGTTCCATTCTAGTAATTACTAGTTTACCATCTTAATTTCATAACAACATCGACCTACGATCAACAATGGATGTCGAAATGCAACAATCCCCACCTGCCCCTCCAGCGGATGGTGAACCGAAGTATGGCGGTTTTAGCCGTTTTGAGATCGAGCTCGAGGTCTGTTATTCTTTCGCATCCGACAGACACGCTATATAATAGCTAATATTCATATTTGTAGTTCGTCCAATCCCTCGCGAACCCCTTCTACCTCAACCACCTCGCCTCCCAAAAGCTCCTGAACGAACCAGCCTTTATCGCCTACCTCTCCTACCTGCGCTACTGGACCCGACCGCCCTACATCAAGTACCTAAACTACCCCGGTCCAACCCTCAAGCACCTCGAGCTTCTCCAAGAAGAGCGTTTCCGCCAGGAAATCATCAGCCCCGAACTGGTACAAGCTCTAGCTGCGGAGGGAACCAAGGCTTCGGTGGATTGGCATAAGGTGGATTAGGAGAATGCTAAGTGGCCAGATTCACAAATATTGCAGACATTTTGTTCGTCGCGGTCTGCCCGCCAGGGTTCCGATGATTCTTTGGAGGCGAGGCAGGGTTCCCCGAGTGAAGCTACAACTGTGACACTTACTGCAGCTATGAGAGAAGCTTCTAAGACACCTTTGCCGGAGACGCCTCAGCAGAGTCCTACGAAAACTGATACGCGTGGGGAGGACGTTGCGACAGCGAAGTAGCTAGGGCTAGATTGATTTGGAGTGTTACAGCGTCGTAGAGGAACGATGCAAGAATTGCACGTCAGGGAGCATGGTTACTTTAATAGAGCGAAAACGTGTGATCAGAACTGGGTATCATGATTATTAGGTGGGAAGTCTTGCGAGGAACCAAGTATTTTAACGCCTAAGATGATAACTCCATAAACTTTTCCGGCGCCACCAAGTATTCCCAAACGCCGAGCGCAATGATTATTACCAATATGAATATACCACCGATCGCATCGTGATGTCTAGTTTTCTCTCCACTTATGACCACATGTCAAGCACTGTAAATCCAAATCAGCAACTCTTCTCCCCATAAATATGATTATTATAGTAGAAGGACATACCTTGTAGAATGTAGTCATAGGCTCATCAGCGCTACGAATTTGCACCTGGTAATACGCCGCTTCCTTGCCAGAGCAACTCGAGTTGTTGCACTGCGTGGCAGTGACATCGGAGAAGTTCTCACTGCCAAAGACATCCTCGCGTTCCTTCTTCTTGAAGCGCCATCGCGAGTAGATAGGTTTATCGATCGGGTGTTGGTACGGACAGGTGCGACACTCGAGTCGGTTGCGACCGGTCTCTGCGGCGGCAGAGATGGTAAGGATGTTGGCGCATTCGGGACAGACTAGTTTGTGGTGCTTGTTAGCATTTGTTTCCCTTATAATGTCGCCGTATGGGTAGTAATATACTTACAGAGCAACATCTTGGCAGGGTTGATGAACTCTACTGCCTAGAAATTGTGATCGTAGAGATGGAAAGTGTAGATGGATGGTACTGCAGGTAACCGTAAATGTTTGGCGATAAGAAGAATGACTATGAATTTTAGTGGATACTAGGCGGGACACTGCGCTAAATGGCTAGGTACGAATTCACTAAAGCTAAAACAGAACCATCCCGCCGGAATGCGCTGAAACAGTTGCTCCGCATAGGGTATCCTACCCGCCTACACACCCCGCAGCCCAATGGATTGTTGACGCATGGGTTTTGGTTGGTGGGGTTTAGCGCTTTGCTAGGCGTTAATTTAGGGGACTTGAGGGGACTTGGGTAGCACGTCACAGCAATACCACAGCCTCCTTTAGGCCCTGTCCTATTATTCCATAGCCCTGTTCCTTACTTCCTCAGTTCCATACATAGAAACAAAGCTGACTCTTCCTACGACGAGTACGTAACTTCGTGTGCTTATTAAATCCCGAACTACGAGTACTCTTTTTCTTGTTTTTGTTTACAAGAAATCTGAATAGTCAATTCAGCAGCATATCACCATATTTACTGCTCTCGCCCGACAACCCCACCCTACGTCAAAATACGGCGACCCAGTTGTGTTACTCGTGAAGTCAGGCCAAACAAAACAACAGAGAAGTGAATATGGCGGACGAACACGAAGTAAACCACCCCTATTCCACATACAGGCCCATATGCTAACAGTATGAATAGGGTGCTTCCGTCAAGGAGCAATTAGTCGAAGCCTGCCGGCGCAACAACGTCGACCTCCTTAACGAGATCATTTCCAACTGCAAGAATGACGACGAGATATCCGACCTGTTAAACAACACAACCACCATCATGGGGAACCATTTATACCACGAAGCGGCGCTTCAGGGGAACTGTACATATCCCTTCCTGTCCCCTTTTATATTCCCTATTTCCCTTCACGCCGTTCCACCTCCAGTCCACTAACTAACACGCCATCCCACAGACGAAATAATCGACACCCTCCTCGACCAACCAAACTTCGAATGCGACCCCCTAAACCGCATCGAAGGCGACACACCCCTCCACAGCGCCATCCGCTGGATTAACAGCGAACCGCCCGCCCAACGAGACTTCGGCTCAGCCCTCGTCCGCATGATGCTGGAAGCCGGCTCCGGCACGCGAGTACGCAACAAGGCAAAACTAACCCCGTACCAACTCGTCGACCCCTCGAACCAAGGTCTCCGCGACTTAATCCGCGAACACGAGTACGCCGAGTTAAACGCCGGTGATTTCGTAAACCAGGACGAGGCTCCCGCCGTTAAGAACAATAAACCCGTGAATAAGAATACATTTGTAGATGTACAACAAGATGACGACGATGATGATGATGCGGAATTCTCTGGGAGTGATGAGGAAGAGCGCGCCGAGTGGGAACGAAGACGTAAGACTAAGGGTCGGTGAACATAACGGCGATATTGTGAATATGTGAAAAGGGGGAGGGTGTTACGGCGAAAGACAAGTAGAGCGTTGATATAGACTTGCTTTGAAATAGAAGCTCAGCTCTACTTTTAAAGAAGCTATCAGGGGCCATGTAGGCGCCGTTTAACTAATACATAGAAGCAGATAACACATTACGTTATTCCATATTCTACGCCGAGGAACCATCCTCGTTCTATGTGAACTTGCACACAACATTACTAAGAGTTTGGGACGCCGAAACAGAGTGCAATTCATCGATAATGAACAAGCATTGGAGCTATTGATGAACTCCGGGTCTAAATCTAGATGAGAACCCCCTTGATCAATAGCAAATATGTACTAACCCACGCCAATAATAGTTTAGCATAAATGTTGACACCGGAGTAACCTTTATAACCACTCCCGAGCCCCTCCAAATCTAATCCTCGAAATCTAGCCACCGCCGTTTCCCGAAAATAACCTCTATGAAGAGGCCATTAAGTAGATTGCGGATATAAAAAGTAGCAACCGTAAATCGCCGATAAAAAACAGTTGCAATTTTGCGATCGCCGAGTTTAATGCTGAAGAAGAAAAAAAAAGATACGCCGATAACCACCGAGTGACCTAAAGCTCGTATTGTGGCTCAAGGCCCCTGGGCAGCAAAAGTCATTTTGCATAGATTCATGCCGAATTCATGTGCTTCTCGCATCTCGTTGGGCTGCAGTTGGGATATCAAAGTTGGATCCGAATTGATCTCGTTTTGGGTCCGCTGCATGAAAGCGAGGAACCTTTCTGTGGAGGGTTGAGGAGAGGTTGCGCCCAATCCGTCTTCCTCATTACTCAAGCCATCCTCCGCCGTTTGACCTTGGTCGGCCGAATCAGGGACAGCATTGTCGTTGGAAATCCCTTCATCCGGAACTGATTCGTTATAGTTACGTGCAGTACTGTCAGGCTCGCCTGAACGCCGACTCAGCTTCGGGGTGCCAGGTCGCTCAACGACCTCCCCAGTAGTACGTGACTGCAATTGGTCAATCTGACCGTTATATCGAATACCGTTCCAGTCATCCGGCATTTTTCCATTGACAGTGGCAAGCTCGCGCTGCTTCGCATCCGGGATTGTCTCCTCCTTTATCTTGCGACAAGTCAGGGCAAATCGACGTCCGCCGTAAGGATTCACCTCATGCTTTTACACGGCGTCAGTTACATGCTATGAAAAGACAAATGATGAAATAAAAGCACTCACCAGATATAGTTTTTGAATTATTTCCCCATGCATAACAAGCATGTCGCCGTGCTCAAGCAATAAAGAAAGAACCGGCTTTCTGTTCTTGTTCTCTATGTCCTTAGCGCTACCAATGTTCACACCTTTCTTCGGCGCAAACTTCATCACCGAAGGCGAACCAAGTGACAGTGATGCTACATTCGGCCCCAGTTCCTTCTCGCCGTCGTCGTGAGGCTATATGATATGTTAGCCCTTTCGAACTGAACCAGGGTGGACAGAGGACCGTACGCTTATCTTAGACTTCTCGAAATATCCCAAAGCCAGTAACTCATTATATGGTTCAAATTCTTTGGGGATTGCTCCTTCAACCACAGGGATATTTTCTTTCTCGATCAAATCTGTACCGACCTCTACTGCCGTCTTTCCCGCCCAAGTGATGCGAGAGACTATCTCGAGAATTGTGCTAGGGGCATCTATGAAGGCAATCGTGCCATCAACAACTACACCGAACTTGTACGGTGCGCCCTGGGATGTTGTTAGCTATGACCTTTTAATATTGCAATGAGCCTCGGAGACTCACAAAATTGGCCGAGAAATGCGATGTCATTTCTTCGACTCGAGCCCCTGCAGCGTGTTAGCATCCACCAACCCAGATAGCATTCCGTCACTAACCAGGATTCTTGGCGGGTCGCCTCTTGAGTCCCATGTCTAATTCTTGAAGGGCAAGAAATATGTCGTTCAGTCCGCCCTGTCTCTCTATAACATCCTGGTCGGGCCTAATCCGAGAAACAATACCTATGTTCTCGCCGTTCTCGTCCGGCATGAGATATATCGTTATCATGGCCTTTTCTAGTCTAAACTCTGCAACCCTAATGATCGGGTCGGCGAAATCCAGTTTCTCTGGGCGTTTCTGGCGTCTGAGGTTTTCATCCTCTAGCTTTATCTGCTCCGGGGTAATTATATTCAGGTCCACCCTGTACCTGAAGTCGCACTCTTTGTTTTCACAGTCCCAATAACTCCAGTGGATGCGTCTTGAACAGCACCTGCACTGAGGGCATACGATTCCTTGTTTGAATCTCTCCTCGCTACCGGACTCACTATCGTCACTGATGGGTAGCTCTGGTACCAGCGGGCCGTTTTCCTGCGTACCAGTATAGGCGGTTCGCTCCCGGAGAAAGGCATCGGCGTATGTCAGTTTATCTATATCGATGGAGTGATCAAACTCAAAGAACCGAGCACAGTCCTTGTTCATGCAGGCCCAGCCTTGCGTGAACATTTCCTTGCTTGATACTTGGCAGTCCTGGCATATTCTAGATGAGCAAGAATACTCGCCGATTTCGTATTCGTCCGCGTCGTGGCCATCACAACCATTAGGCGTCCACCAAGACTTGGAAGCCAAGTCGACCTTTTCTAACCGGATCATATAGGTTTTTACGGATTTCTTTTGACCTCCATCAGCCAGTTCACACCATATATCCGTGACGTGGAAGTAATCAAGCACGGTATAGTAATGCGGCGGTTTGACCGGCCAAAGTCTATTCCCTGCACCTAGAAGTTTGTCAGATTCTGTTCTACTAAACAAAGCATCAATTGCTTACCAGCAACGATAGGAAAACAAAGGTTCCCAGCTTTCGCATTCTCAAAGCACTGGAGGTATCTGCTTGCGCTGTTGTGGTCCTCTACCCTGACCATCTTCTTGGTTTCATTATCGCGGACACGGCCGCCGCCACTAGGTTCGCCGTTAGAGGAACGATTGTACAAATGAAATTATAAACTTACATCGACGTAATGATCACCTGGCTAGAAAAGGAATCACGAACGCCGACTTCACTGTCAATAAGTATTCCCTTAGCGACCTTCTTAGTGGAATACATTCCACCCTGGTGGGCTTTAAAGTATGGGAGGGCGTCATTCAGGGCAGCGCGCTTCTCGGACCAAACCGGCGGCGGGCCAGAAGGAGTCGGCTTATTGTCATGTAAGCCGACCGAGAAAGATGAAGGAGTAATGCTAGAGACATAGGCGGAAGGCACAGCGGGCACGACAGACGCCGCTTGGCTGCGGGTGTATGGCCTGGAACCCGATTGACGACGCTTAGCGGCGCTCGAAATTTTTGGACTGTAGTCGTCCGCATCTTCAAGCTTATGTTTGCTGGAGTGGCTAGCCATGGTGTGGTCATCTGGCGACTTGTGAGTTTTGGTGATAAGGTGGTGGCCGGCGATGTCTAAAGTGTCGGGGTTTGTGACGTGCGGCTGGGGTGCGACGACTAAAGTCGCCTCGGCGATTATCTGGTGCTCGACTTCCCAGTTGTTAGCGGTACCTTCCCTGTCGGCGCCCACCAAGGAGTCGCCGATTTCCTGGCAGCTTCCAATCTTACCGTTATCAACAATGTGAGAAGCAACGGCGACCGACATATCAGCAAACACCTGCCCGACCGCAGCCATGGTATCTACGATATCTATTATGTAAGTTTATGCACATATGATTTTTCACGCCCCAGAGTAGCCTATATATTGTGCGACACGGTTATGGGAGTATTTTTAAAGGATAGATGGGTAAATATCAATAGGTCAATAGGAAGTATTATGAAGTTTCAAATGCATAAGAAGTCACAGACTAGGAGTCTGCTTGAGATATCTGCGGTAAGTTTATGTGTAGGCCCCGGATGATCAAGCGTCAATGTAGTCAGGGGAGTAAGTAGTAGATTAACCCAGTCATAAATTACTTAGTACCTGGGTGGATGTGTTGTATATATGAAGCAGTGAATCACACGTCCTAGACGTAGTTGCTCTTGCAGGAGGGTCATTCGTAGTTGGAAGAATAGGAAAATAAAAGGAAAATAACACGACATATGAGTAAATGAAAAGAATATGACTTACTGTGCTGTACGTGACGAAAAGATAGGTGAAGAGGGTAAAGGACAGAGACAGTAGAGGGTAGAAGGTTTGGTAGGATAAATACTAGAAGTTTTATCTAACGAGACGAGTAAGGCAATGAGGTTCCTCGAACAAGACCGACATATGATGCGTTATTGGATAATCATTGATGGAAAGTTTATAAATCAAGGCTTCTACAGGCTGACGATAGATGAATACCTAGGTATGGTTGCTGAACAGTCGGATGAAAAAAGGTTGGAAGATGTGGGAGAAAAGAATTTAGGTTTGAGGGGTAAGATATATAGGATGAATATTACATCGTCAGTGAATAGCACGTTGGGGTATCTCCTTCCAAAATCAATTGATATCATATGGGGCCTTCCCTCAATAGATAGGTAAGATATTTAAGTTTGGCTATCCCTTTACGGGATGAGAATGCGGGTGACCCTCGATAGAATTAAGAGGAAGGGAAAGAACACCCAGCTACACTAAATTCATGGAGACTACTAGGGCGATGATATGCGGCGTGCGTAATGAAAGTGCGGTATCGTCACGTTGAGTGTTGGTAGCTATCGCTACAAAATCGGGCAGATGCGCTAAGGATTAATCTACATATATATATAATTGATACGCTCATTACAGGCGAAAGTCATTCAAAACCCGTGAGATATTATTCAAATGTAACATTTGGGGCTTATTGACTAGTATGGCTGAGGTTTATAGAAGCAGAGGCGTGTGTCATATATATTACCACGTACCCGGGTCGGCGGCTAGGTTCGATTTGGGTTGACAAAATTATCGTACAATGGTTCGAGTTTTAAGTGGTATATATAGGCCTATATACGCCGGGAGCTTGCAATTGTAGTCATGGTAATTGAAATCAATTGATTGTAGATGAATGTTGGATATATGTTTAGACATTTAACTATGCAGGCAGACAATCACCTGTCTGAGTATTTCTCGTGGACTATATAATGGCAACATTGGTGATGGGCGACACAATTTGGCTACAAGTAAGGACTCATACTTAGGTACATGTGCAGAGTTAGATTAGCGAGGGGGAGAAAGTGTCCAACAACAAAATGATGACCAATTATTAATTGATAAATAATAAAAATAAAAAGATGAAAAAAAAAAAAAATAGGTGGTGGGAGTTGAACCCACCGCTGCCGCATCTTCACAGTTGTGATTGCAACGGGCTCCGTTATTTGAACGGATAGTCATTATTATGACAGGTTACAGTATAGCTCGGAACAGTGTCAGGGTCCAACGTCGTCCCCCGCCGAAGCGCAGGGCGTAAACACCGTTCCGAGCCAGGACGAGCTATACTGTGATAGTATTATTCCCCGGGGCCCTCAGCTTAAAATCCTGTTAGTATTCGCCAACACCCGGAATCGAACCCAAGCGTGATACACGCTGGGAGGACTTCCCTACCAACTGAGCTAAGCAGTGGTTATTGAGTAAAGGTGACTGCCTTAGTTTTATCTACGTATATATGGCAACCAATGTGGAACGCTCAAATTGCCATGGTACCTGCCTCGTACCTGCCAGTTACTACCGCGCCTGCCCATTACCTTCATCGTACCTTCAAATTCGATCAATTCTCTCGCCCCTGCCAATTTCATCCGTACTCTGGTACATGTGGTTCGCACCTTCCCATGCAACATTTGCCTAGGGTTTTTCGCACAATTCAAATTCATTTCTGCTGAATTGAAATTTCCAATCTTTTCCACTTCTAATATAAGCTCGCACTCAATTGAATCCCACCAGAACTTGTGCATCTTCCCACTTCTTTTGCAGCCCGCATTCAATTCTCCCACGCCAGAGTTACTGTACCTATACATTCCTTCTATTACGCAATTCGCATTCAATTCTACAGCCTCCCACTTCTCACTTCTCCCTCCTCATTTCCTTCTTACGCATTTAGGTCCTCGTCAATTCAAAACCAACCACCCAATATGCCTCGAAGACGCCAGGACGGAAAGAAACCCCAGCGACACCAGGCCAAAGCAAAGCGCCTGCGAGAGCTCATCCCGAGGGTCGGCTTCGACCTGGCGGACAAGAAGTGCCGAGCGAAGCTCTCCGGCGTCGACTCGGCGAAAGTGAAAGAGCACATCCGTGCATTCACCAGGGACCTAAACAAGAGCCTAGTCGATCAGGCTCTAACCTCGATCTTCGAGCCGGCCATCGCGGCCATGAAGCAAGACCCGGAGAAGATCGCCGACACAACCCCCGGCGAGTACTGGGGACTGGTGCGAAGGGAAATCCCCTGGATCAGGGACAGTGACCTCACCAGTCACGCCATTTACGAGCTCGTGGTCGCCCTAATCATCGCCCACGAGAAGTACGACGAGGCCTACCCGTACGACAGGTACAAGCACCAGTACGGGGCCTTGGCCCGGGCCGTACACGAGTTCGCCCAGCTGCTCAAGCAGCACCACGAGTCCAACTTCCTCATCATGGGGACTTACTTCAACAGCGCGATGTCGCTGCCCTCGGACGATGAGGAAGAGGACGAAGAGGAGGAGGAGGAGGGAGGGGGAGAAGGGGGGGAAGAGGAGGAAGGAGACGAGGAGAGGTTAATGCGGAGAGTCCGGGGAATGGACATATCCGAGGCGTGCGGGTCCGGAGCAATGGACTTAGATTAGATCTCCTGTAACTTGCATGATGGATTGAGTTATGAATGCGAATGAATTACAAGCATACTCATGTTTTATGTTCTACTTAGAAGTGAGGCTCTGATCGGATGTAGTCGAATTCCAGATTAGGAATGTAGAGGCGGGTGGATATCGTGGCGGTGGTGGTGGCTCATAGATAGTGGCTGGTATCGCCAAGAACATCGTCCCTCCAATCCTAGCGGTTTGCGGGTTTTTCTGGGGCCATGGCCTTTTCGGTAAAGTGTGGGTACTTCTACCTAGGTATTCCCCCAACCGAATGAGCCCGAGGTCCTACATCGGGCCATTGTACAACGTATTGTGAAAGACGTGATCGTTATCTGCTCATAATGGATTACCTAGGTACGTACGTATTTGTAAGAGGGTCTCTTTAAATAGTCGATAGATCTGCAATGCGCGATGAGAAATCTAACAGAACCAGGCAAGCTGAAAGGATCTGATCGTATCTCCAATAGCCTACGAATCTGCTAACTGTATACTTAGATGTACATGATCGTATACCCACGGCATGGAGTCAGGGAACCTATTCTATCCCCGGCGAAACGAATCGATTATTTCCCCACTAGGAGATGCTTGAGTGGCATTGCAAGGGAGTTAGGAAGCAGGGGTTCTGCGGAGAGGTGGGGTCTAGGGCGGCCTAGCTCGATTACGACGAGGTGAGCTATACCTTAAAGGTCAATTGTTCGGCATCTAAGGTCGCACTCCTAGCCCGTTGTAACCGCCGCCGACATTGGCCGGGTTAGATAGAGACCGAGTTTCTTTTCTTTTTCGACGTCAGCTTCCTTTGTAAATACTCTTAACTGGAACCCTTTGTTCGTGACAGCTCGTGTTATAGTTGTGTCGTTTTTCCCTTCTTTCTCTCAGTTTGTTATTTGTAGACTTACCCAACCTGTCGGATACCATAGAAGCACTTGTACATTCCAGCTACCGACTAGGAGTAAATAATTGCGAAAATGGTGTTTACCCCGCCTGCTTGGGTGCCTGAGTTGCCTTTCGGTAAGTTTTACCATATCCTCTCTCCCATTGTAAGAAAGAGCAACAGTGCTTACGAGGGCATTCACAGACCCACCTGATTCTATCCCCATTCATGAATTTTGGAGCAATGAGAAATATGGCAGACAACCGCTCTCAAGGTCGCGGAATCCCTTCACATGCGGCGTTACGGGGAAGACGTACACGAGTACCGAGATGGCTGAGCGATTCCAGCTACTAGCTAGAGCATTAGCAAAGCGCATGGGTTGGAGGCCAAATGAGGAGACGCACTGGGATAAAGTGGTCGGAGTTTATTCCTTCAATTCAGTAAGACTTCCATGAGCTCTAGCGAAAATACTTGTGAAATTCTAATTCTTACTGACTTTTTAGATTGACTACTCTATGTCGACCTTCGCAGTACACCGATTGTCAGGCATTGTGACACCCGCCAACGCCATGTACTCAGCACAAGAGCTAGAACACCAACTTAGATCATCCGGTGCCAAGGCGTTATTCACGTGTATCCCGCTATTAGAGACAGCTCTGAAAGCAGCGAAAGCATGCAACATACCAGAGAACAAAATTTTCATACTGCGATTGCCCGGTCAATTTAACGCCGTTCCATTCAAGACACTCGACGATCTTATCGAGGAGGGCCGATCGCTACCGGAGTTAGAACCATTGGTTTGGTCGAAGGGACAAGGTGCGCGGCAGGTTGCATACTTGTGCTATTCCAGCGGCACTTCAGGTCTTCCGGTTAGTTCGCTCCGCTACGTTAATAAGGTGGAATAGATGCTAACTCAATTGATTAGAAAGCTGTTATGATCGCTCACCGAAATGTGATTGCGAACATGATGCAAATCCGATGGCACGAGGATCCAGGACGAAGAGCTAAAGGTGTCGAGACGCAGGTCCAACTTGGCCTGTTACCATTCAGTCATATCTATGGGCTGGTGGTAGTCGTACAAGCTGGTACATACCGAGGAGACGAAGTGATCGTTTTGCCTAAATTCGAGCTGAAGACTTTACTGGAAACCATCCAAAGGTTTAAGATCCAGGTTATGCATATTGTTCGTCTCCCATGGTTCCGATTAGTTCGCTATGTACTAATTGCATCCTTTTCTAGGTCCCTCCTATCGTCATACAGTTGTTGCGAAATCCGGATCTATGCGCAAAATACAACCTGAAAAGCCTCCGATACGTCTACACAGGAGCTGCACCACTCGGCGCCGAGACGCACGAGGATATGGTGAAAGCATTTCCATTCTTACAGGTCGGTCAGGGTTACGGCATGACGGAGACTAGCACAGTAGTCCTCAGCACAGGCGAGAACGATGTCCTAGTGGGCTCTTCAGGGTCTCTTGCACCTGGGTGCCGGGCCAAGCTGATAAACGAGGACGGGAAGGAAATCACTGGGTACGAAGAGCGTGGTGAACTTTGGGTCCAGTCTCCTTCTGTGACTCTTGGGTACCTGAACAACGAGAAGGCGACTTCTGAAGCTTATGTCTGGGACCACGATGGCCGCTGGATGCGAACTGGAGATGTTGCGGTGGTTCGGAAAGCTCCATCTGGGTATGAGCATTTCGCTGTTGTTGATCGCTTAAAAGAATTGATCAAAGTTAAGGTAAGGCATCTTCCATTTCATTTATGCTTTTCTACACACGTTACGCTAGAGATATTGACAAGGATCACAGGGTCACCAGGTTGCACCAGCCGAATTAGAAGCTCACCTCCTCAGCCACCCTCATGTCAACGACTGCACAGTCATCCCTGTGCCGGACGAGGGGTCGGGAGAGGTACCGAAGGCATTCGTCGTCAAGTCTGCTTCGGCAGCATCGAAATCAGACGAAGAAGTTTCGCGGGATATTTATAAGTGGGTTGAAGAGCACAAAGCTAGATATAAATGGCTGAAGGGTGGAATTGAATTTATCGACGCCGTACCCAAGAGTCCGAGCGGAAAGATTTTAAGGCGACTCTTGAAGGACAGGGAAAGGGAGAAGAGGAGAGCTAATGGGGCAAAGTTGTAAAGACTGTGCTGTGGGTTTACATTTAGCGGGCACATATTATTACCATTCTCACGATGGATCCTATATCATAGAGTAACTTAGAAATTTGTAGCCTTTTATTATTCATTCGTGGCCGCTATTGTTGCGAGCATCTTATGGCTAAACCCGTACTTAGCACCGAGAGGCTATAGATATAAATAGATGGTATTTATTTTTTGCCTTTTTGCTTCAAGAATTCTTCCTCTTCAGCTTGTAGATCTGCGTCAATCTTCGCGCCTTTCGATGGCTCATTGCCGTGTAGCTTTGCCTATGACGATGATGGTTAGCTGCTGAAATTGAATTGTAGCAGTCAACCTTGACTTACGGGTAATGTTGGGTCTTTCTTGGAAGCGCGAGTCTCCGGGTCGTCTTGTTCTTCTCGGTTTAGTTTGCGCTCCTCATTGGCTAGTCGGTTTGCGATGCTTCGTTCGTCCTCTGCGATTGGAGTTAGATCAAATTTCTCATTAGAATCATCTGGTATGATATAAATACTGACTGGAGTCGTTGGGTTGGTGTGAGTGCTCAACGCCTTCTTCATATCGGGGACGACCGGGAATTTCCGAGTCCTTGAGGTTTCTCTGGTCACCACTCTCGTACACGGAGCTCTGACCGACGCTAGAGTAACCAGACATGCTGAATAGATTTAGTATAAAATGTGCGAGATTGGAGTAAGAAAATGTTTAATAGGGGCGATTTAGAGTATTTCGTGGAATATGGGCGAATATGATTAAGAAAGTTAAGTAATTCGTAACTTGATTGAGCCTTTATAATAGATTTACATCTTCTACGTACATGTGTCTGTTTCTCTCACCTACGTCATTTGGCGTCTAAAACTTCCTTATCAAGATGGATCGGCTGGGTACATCACGATTTAAGGTAGTACAACATGCTGCTCTATGTAATTTTGCTCTTGAGAGCTGCTTTCAGTGAAGAAGTCGACGTCATAGATGATCCATAAGGTTTTTTGATTTTGAGGCTACGCGGCTGACGTGCTGGGTACAACGGTCCCCTGGAAATATGGGGCCCTCGGAGCTTTTGACCCGCTATTCCTATCTACGTAACCGCCAAGAAATCGACCACCTGAATAGATTCTTCTCAACTGTTTGCCAGCTGGCGCGCGAATTGCAGAAACTGCAGCAACTCCAAAACTTTCAATCTTGAATTAATTCACGACATCGACGACCAGATTCGACCAACACCGCCAAGATGTCGATGTTTCGGGCCAAAAAGCTAGATATTGGCTGTTATGTCAATATAAAGACAATCCGAGATCACTCCAAGCGAAAGGCCTTCGCTCAATTCGAGCCTGAAAGGTGTGCAGATAACCAAAATTGCTTTCCTCCGATGTATCATTTCTAACATCAATTGCGAACAACATAGACAAGCTCTCCGATATATCATCCGAAATACCACTCTTCCCCCGCGAACTCGAGCCGAAGCCCAGCTACAATTGACACAAATGCACTGCTATACCCGACCCACACAAATCCGAGGGCGATGTATTTTAGGTGGCAAGGGGAGAGGTATATTCCGTGATTTCAAGCTCTCAAGAGTAAGTTCTACTCTCGAAAAAGTTCTTATAGTTATAGATTAATATTAAGTATTGGTACAGTATAACTTCAGAATGCAAGCTCTAGCAGGTAACCTCCCAGGTGTGCGCAAAGCTAGCTGGTAGAATGAATATGGCAGCAAGAGGAGGTTGTATGATATACGGACACGCTATATCGAATCACGATAGATATTCGCGGCGCAATGGATGTATATTATTGTATTAGGACCTCACAACTTGAACGAGACCCCTATTTTATGATCGCGACTACTACACCGATTTCGGACTCGAGAGTCTTATCGTTATGTGAATAGCTCTTTCTGGTTTTATTTATTAGGGAATTATGGCGGGGCAGATTACTCCTCCTTTAAGCACAAGGAAGGGAAATTTAAGTTTTAGAATGCATGTCTTGAATTTCTGAGGTAGGTACGAACGGCGGTTGTCTGGTGTATGAGTTGGAAATCGGCGATTGAATGCGGTTTCCCTCACCATTTCTCACAAACGGCCACCTTCCATTATTCTGTTTGCTCGCCGTAATCTCTTCTTTCTCAACCCCAATTACTTTTTACTCAAAGATCGGCGAGTCTTGAGGCATTCAGACCTGACCAACTTTTAAGGATTCACATCATTGATCTTTGAGCCTGGGTCTAGTACGATCAATTGATTCTTGCCATCGCGCGACTCTACCTTTTTCCTCGCCAGGACAACCTTTCTACATACATCCTGTAACACGCCGTGTTCCAAGATGTTTCGCCGCAAGTGGTCGGGTCTGCCCGCTGATCCTCAGTTCCCGAGCGATTTGGAAGGCCTTGGGTAGGTCATATTATATCCTTTCTCCTTTCATTGCCCCGATACGAAGAGCTTCACTGATAGACTTCCTGTATAGCTACTTCGTTAACGACATTGACGAAATTCGATCCATCGAGAACCCGGAAAACTACTACAAGTACTTCCTAACTCGTAACATGCGATGGAACGACCGTCAGCGCTACGCTATGAACCGTGAGTAGACCAACACATCTATAGGGAAGGGGTAGAACTAATGCAAGTATCTATAGAGGCTGTTCAGAAAATCATCTTCGACCGTCTAGAAGCCCTAAGAATGCATAAGATTATTTTGCCTGTTGGCTCACAAGGGGACACAAGCAAGCCGCATGTCCCTATTTTTATCAGTCCCAACATTCTTAGCGCCTCGCGCGTTGTCGTCATCTTTGGCGAAACTGTTCAAGACCTGGGCGCGCTTGCGCATCGAACAATCGGCGGTCCCGGTGGCATAACTGTAGGATCTATCCTATCCGTTGTCCATGGCCTCCAGAAGCAGCGTGCTTCAGCGACAGACTCGCGTCCGCCCGGTATTATCCTCGCTAACATGGGCGAATTCATGTGGTCGCCCCAGGAGAAACGCACTCTCACTCGCAGCGCCTTTGATGCTGCGCCCATGCAAAGCGCTGTGCACAATGGTCACACTATTTCGTCTAAGAACAAGGTCCCTGGTAATGAGGACGCACATAAGCATGTACATTACATCTTTGACAAAATCATCCCGCATTTCGCGAGTGACAAAGCGGGTATTGATGTCTTGGGTGTGGGCGACGGTGCAGATATCGTCGAGCAGTACTTGGACCTGGCACCCGTGTGGAATATCTGGAAGAAGCGTATCAACTGTCTTGCGCTCGTTGGAGGCTTGCTACCACTCTGGGAGTTAGGCAATCAGGAGTTTATAAGCACATTCCTTAGAAACGTGAGTTTCTAGTCATTATCTTCCCCATTGCCTTTCCTCATCGCTGCCCGTTTTTTGCTACTTTGGCTAACATAATTCCTATTTTCTAGAAAACCCGCGCCTACGCAATCTCGGTTGAGCAAGTCGGTACGGTTCTCTCAGGTCCGGATGGTAACCCTAACACCCGAAGTTTCACACAAATGGGCTGTCCTATGTTTAGTAGTGGTGAGCCACACTACACCGAACGAACCCTCATCACCAGTCGTGATGTTGTCCTGGAATGGCTCCAAGAGGTTGCTCTAACGCCCGAGGGCCAAGACTACGTGAACCCGTCGTTCAACGTCGTCTTCGCTGACCCCCACTTTGATAATGATCAGGATTGGGGTCAGGAGCAGAACAACGAAAGTGGCGAAAAGAATGAGGTTGAGGACGCAGAGGCTAAGGACGAGCCCGAAGAGAAGGAGGAAGTTGGAGAGGCCAATGGAGAGAAACCTGGTTTAATTCTCGTGGAACGTCCTGGCTCATTGAATGGCAACACGAAGGATGGCGAGGATGAACAGGGTGATGAGAAGGACTAGGTTAAGCTGGATCTGTTGCGGTGTTTTCATTTGCGATTTGTTATCTTCATGATAGCCATTTGGCTTCCCTGATACCCATGCACAAAGGGCCACAGCTACACCTCAGGTAGAAATTAGCCGGTAGTGCAATTGACGTTGACTTTGAAATGTTCATGATATAATCTGCTAGTATAACGTCGTGATCACATTAATCGCATTCTGTGACTTAACATTTTACATATATCCTATTCTGCCGACAAGTGTTTAGATTGTCGAATAGCCTACTCTTCCATATTTTTCTGGAAGCAAGCCCGTTCTCCTTGAACGAGCGATATACATTAGCGGGGCGAGTATGATTTATATAATACACTCTCACCTTAAGCTTGGAACAACGACCCAAGCCCGGCCTTAGGTACCTCCATCTCTTCAATGATCTCCATCGCTCGTCTCGTCCTCTCCTTCACCACATTTTCTTCCGCAGTCCATCGTCCCCCGTTCGTAGCAGCCGTAATAGTAGTAGTACTCTCAGTCTTCCCATCTCCCCAGAATCCTCCAAACCAACTTCCCGTCGAAGCACTAGCGGATTCCTGCTTCTTCTCTCTTTCCTCCCGCGCGAGCCGCGCAACCATAGCGCGCCAGTTATCCAGGCCGCTGCTTAGACATTCTTTACACGTCTTCTTCGCAGCAGGTATGTTCGCAGCGGCGGTATCGCTGGTGGTTAGTTTATGTAATTGTTCTTCTGCTAAGTCGACGGCTTCGCGTGTCCATGCTAGACCGTCTTCGCGGGTGCTATGGCTATTATTGGTAGATGCGGAGGCGTAGATGATTTCTCCGATGTACAGGTTTAATCCGGCTTCTTCGCATAGTTCACCGGCGTCGCGGAGAGGTGGGGCGCTGCCATCGTCTGGGGGTGGGGGGTAGGCTGGTGGGGTGAGGAGTCGTTTTGTTACGCCCAAGATGTTTTGGAATGTCCATGGGGATGTGGATTGTGTTTCGTCGACTTCGGTGTAGAGGGGTTTTGTTGCGGATTGCGGTTGTGGGAGGGAGCGACGGGCGCGGAGGACGGATATTAGGATCGGGAGGGCGCTGGATATGTCGCTGGTGCGCGCTTTGTGTGTGGCGAGGGCGGTTAGGGCGTTGAGGATGTTTGTGGAGGGAGGAGATGCGGCGTCTTGGAGTATATAGGATTGCGGGTCGTATGGAGGGGGAGATGGTAGGGAGCTTTCGGTGGCTAAGGCGAGTGCCCATTCGTATGTGAGTTCGGCAGCATCGGTTTGGCCCTTGTAGTCGAGCCATGATGCGTATTCTAGCGCGGCGTCCATCTTCTGCTTCGGCGTGAAACCCGTTGTCGCTAGTATCTTTTGATAGAATGTTTCGGGAGCCTCATAGGCTCGCTCGCAGTCGTTCTCGTGGGGAGCGCTCGGTGAACCGTGGGATATGGGCTTCGGGTTGGGATTCGAGGGTCCTTGAACTTGGTCGGCTGGAAATACGACGTGCCGTACTTTTTCTACGACGTGGTCGTCGAGGTGTTCCGCTACTTTCGCGCATAACATCAGAGCCTCGTAATAACCCCTCCTCCATGGTTCACTCTTTGCTGTGATGTCGTACCCAGATATCTTGCCTCCTTCAGTTTTATCTTGCACTAGCCCAGCACCCTCAATTTTCTCATCCCCCAATCTTTCAAGAATATTCTTGGCATAGTTCCCGGCGAGGACCCAATCTGTTTGAGGTAGGTCTGTTCGATCGGGAGCCCATTTCGCAAGTCTAAAGCGTAACCGGGTTATGAACCCCCACTCGTGCGGCGTTGGATATTTCCTTTCAAGCCACTCTTGTTGTATACTCCAGTAGCCGGCTACAGAAAAGCCGACAATTGCCCAAACGTATACAGTGTACTTAAGTCCGAGGTAAAACTCATATGCCAACCATCGTTTCCTCTCGGTCGTTAAATATCGGAACTGGTGATTTCTCGCTAGCGGAACGGATAGGAATGGGATTTGGGGTCGTCCTCGAGATGCGAAGTTTGCATTCCTTGTGAATGGACGAGGTGCGGAAGGGGATTTCGAGGGACGAAGGAGAAGGATGCGGCGGAGTATAACGCGTGGTGACTGCATCTTGTCGATTTATTGATGCTATCCCGGATTGTCGGAGCTTCTTGGTCTTGTAGTGATGACCTTTAGAGTGGGTGTTTCACCATCGAAACATCTGCATATTGGTATGCATAATGCCTTGGTATTATAAGCTAAAGCAATAATAGCAAGTTGTTTCCTTTCTTGAAGTTATTAGAGTTTCATATTGTGAAGTATTTCGAAGCCGTTCCGTTCTTAGTAGAAATTAAAATTCGTAGCAGCCACTATCTAGAGCGGAAATGGTCCGTGCATAGCGGGAATATGCCCCGCCTTTGGGGGGTTCAATGACGATGGGAGCCAAGGATGTATCTTCTCACCAGAATTACTATGAGGTGATACATAATGTGATCATCTCAATAACCTCGATTCCTTTCTTTTTTCTTCCCTCCATTCTCTCTACTTTCACTTCTAACAACTAATTCTTCCCAATTGGCTCCAGCAAAATCAAAATCAAAATCAAAATGAGTTCGCAGGAGGAATTTAAATTGCCTGATTTATGCAGGGCTCCCGTGCGAAAGTCCATGGATGGTAAAGTCGTAGATTATCTTCGAAATTGTTCGAGAGCTCGCGGTTTGGGAGTATTAATCCCATTCTGCGTGACGGCTCGCGGCCAGCGATAAGAGCAAACGAAAAAGACTTGGATTGATACACAACCAGACCGAAGCCTTTGACCGGGTTTATACCGCTTACACGGCTCTCTCACTCCCGATAAAAGGACACTACGGGATCAACCCGAAATGGAGCTCTGTATATCCTGGTTGATATTGGTTAATCAATGATTCAGTGCTATTAATTCTTGCATTCTATAGGCCTTTTTGTGTCACCATGCAGCCCATGGTTACGCCGTAACTGTGGCCCACTATCCCCCCTGCACGTTGGACAAGCTGAAAATGATGTCCACACCAAGACTCTGAATCCATCGATTGCCCTAACTTCCATGTATCCTGCCAACTTGCTTCCCAGCTTACAAATCGTGTATGTGTATAAGGGATTAGTTGACTAGCACCTACAAGATGTCCTCTGACTTATCCGGGGCTATGGTCTGAAACCCAACAGAATCCTATTGCTAGTAGTTTACGACTATTGGCTTATACGCGGTGATCTATAGAGTTGAATCGGATTATGGCTAGGCGACGTACGTAATCGGGACAAGGAACCACAACCACTCAACGGTTGACTTTAAAAGGCCATGTATTTCTTGTAGAAGCCCCCCCAGTTTCCCTCCTAACCACCCGAGCAGGCACATCTTTCACAAACCAAAACGATTAACGGCAAGTTCTTTGTCATGTCTTCTGAACAAGATAGCAAGGCTCGTGCTACTGCGGTAGTTGACTTGCTCAAGTCTGCTTTCTCTGGGCGTGTTATAACCCCTGATAAGACATCGGAATACGAAACCCAAAGAGATTATCCATGGTACGTAAATAGTTTCGACGCGAGGACGTGGGCTATCTAATACTGTGTACTAATTCCCTACTCAAGGTCCAAACGTGTTGGGCTCCCGCCGCGGCCTATATCCAGCCAAGCAGTGCCCAAGAGGTTGCCGAAATACTCGCCGTCATTGTCAAGACGGGGTCGAAGTTTGCCATACGCACCGGCGGACATAACCCTAACTCCGGCTTTAGTAGTGTTGACGGCGCCGGCATCGTGATTGATCTGCGACAGCTAAACTCGCTGTCACTTGACAAGGAGAAAGGCGCCTTGCATGTAGGAGCAGGATCTTCTTGGGGCGATGTTTACTCCTACTTGGAGGACAATGGGCTCTCAGCAATTGGAGGGCGGGACACGCTTGTCGGCCTAGCTGGATTCTTATTGGGAGGTAATCGAAGAACTCCTAGGTGTCTTGATCTTTACCCGGGCACTAACATATTCAAGGTGGCCTTCCAGCCTTCCCTAACATCCATGGCACAGGAGCAGACGGTGTCAGAGGCCTCGAGGTAAACTTCCCGTAAGAACGTCAAGGATAGTTAGTTCTAATCGTTCTCATGATGAAGGTCGTACTAGCAGATTCTTCTATCATCACTGCTAATGTACAGGATAACAAGGAGTTGTATCGCGCTCTCAAGGGCGGTGGTTCAAATTTCGGTACGAATCAACTTTTTCCATTCCCTAACTCCGTCTCCGCGTAGAAGCTGCTTCCAGCTAACTGAATCCATTGCTGATTATTGAATAGGAATTGTCACGAAGTTCGATCTTGCAGTGCACCCCTTAATCAAGGTTCAATCTACAATCAACCTGTATAACCCATCCGACTACCCGAATATCATCCGCGCAACTGTCAAGGTACAAGAGGCTATGGAGGCGGACCCGAAAATAGGCCTTTTTACCAACTTCAACGCTGGATTCGTCGCGGTCGGGATGCTATACGCAGACTCTCCGGATGAAAAACCCAAGGTCTTTGACCCCTTTTTCGATCTGACAAGTCTAATCACTGCCGTCGCACCAACAACGAATGGGACACTCTTGTCCCTCGCGAAGGCTATGGCACACTCGACAGAACCGCAAAAGTAAGGAGTCAATTCATAGAGTCCCCGAACTAGGCAGTATATGCTTACATAATACGTGTAACACAGACGAAAAATCGGCACCGTCACCACTAAGGTCTCATATGATCTTTATCTTGGAGTCTATGAAGCTTGGCTCGATGTAACAAACAAGTTGTCAAAGAATATCACATTACACTTCACTGTCCAGCCTGTTTCAAAGGCTGGCGCTCAAGCGGGCGAGGCCCAAGGAGGAAACACGATGGGGGTGGAAAAAGTTGCTCAATGTTGTAAGTAACCTCAGCCACTACCATATTCCTCCCTATCATACCTGTAACGTTTTTGGGAGGACTTTACTCATGATTATAGGGTGAATATTTACCACCGAGTGGCCTCAAGACAGTAACGATGCAGCCGCCTCCCAGGCGATTAATACTATGACTCAAAGAGTAGAGAAGCTCGCGCGTGAGAAAGACCTATACCTCGACTTCCTTGCGATGAATTTTGCGAACTCATCTCAGGACGTGTTGCGCAGCTATGGCGCGGCGAATGTTCGAAAATTGCAGGAGACGGCAGCCAAGTATGATCCTAATGGAGTCTTTCAGAAATTGCAGAATGATGGATTCTTATTGCGAAAGACATCAAAGGAATAATTGACCCGTGTAGCGCAGAAACGAGGTGCTGGTCACAAAATCATACCTACCTGAGAATAGCTTTGACCACCAATACGCATTTGAGCTTGTTAACGGACTTATCTATACCCAGGTAGTCAATCATGATGTTGGGGCCTACCTATCTGGCGGCTATGTCTGGTTGTAAGTAGTCCTCATGCGTATTATCTGAGAGTGATTATTCTCACTTGCGGACGTGGTATCTTAATGCTTGCGATGCCCCTATTCTTAGTGGATTACCTAATACATTACCCCTGTGTGTTGATTATATAAGCAGGGTTATATCTTTATTGTACTCAACGACCCCAACATAACCTCTTTTCGGGTCGGCACGCAGGGTTATCTCTTTGAGGTAACATACCATCTTCAAATCCCCCAAAAGCATATGAGTCGTATTTCTCTTGCCAAGAGTCTGTCAGCTCCAAGCAGGGGTGCCGTGCAAGGATATTCGAAAATTTCCTATACTTGCGCGTAAAAAGGCAACATGATTACTATAAACTCTAGTATACAAAAATGATCGTCGCATTCGATTCTACTTATAGAGTCTGTTGAGAGAAATCTTGCCTTGTCTTTTCTAAGGCTGGATATCAAGGTTAGCGGACCGCGAAGATAAACATCAGATAAGTCCTCGGAAACGGCTGCGCCACTGTTCTGGGCGCATCGTAGGACTTTGAGGTAACATTGTGCATGATGGTAACGATATTTGTCGGTCTAGTTTAGGCAGCCGTTAAGCTCAAATGTCTAGCCTTACAGGCACTCAGCTATCTGCGATATGGTGCTTACACGCCGCGGCTAAATGTAACAATGTGGCACGGACGCCGAAGCCTGGGCATACGAGACTAATTTCCGACTTCCGCAGAGACTTCATTCGGTGGTATTCCGAATAAGAAATTGCATACAACACGTGGGCATGTAACCAACAGCTGATGCTTCACTGATATGACTGCCTAGTAAGGCATATATAAATAAAGCCTAGGAACCACCTCATCCCAAGTTTCCTGTGAGTTTTCCCCCTTCTCGCATCGGCCATCGTACATATCAAGATAAAAATTAGTTAACTATCATTCAAGATGTATGCACGATCCATATTCACCGTCTTGGCATTAGCCACAAGCGCCCTCTCCAGCCCCGTTACTCCATCTCAAGAGCTACAGATCGAAGCAGCTAGGAATACTACATGCGTTCTGATCGGTGGTGACGACCCATATATCATCGATCCCTTCAACCGGCCCCAGTGTGCTTGCAAGTGCATAATACAGTCTTGCCAACAAGTGAGTTGCCGAGTATATATAACCATCTTCGACCTATACTTATCAAATTGATATCATAGCCCGACCCAGCTCAAACTGAGGAATGCCTCCGTACTCCTTGGCCCTATGCGAACGGCACTACACCCTTTCCTGACACCATAGCACGCTATGGTGCTTGCGTTGGCGTGAGTGAACCTACGAACTTGACTCCGTATCAAGTCATGCTAACTTAGTATTTCCAGTCCACACATTGCGTTGGATAATTATATCAACTAAGGGATGGCAAGCTGTGGTATTACATAATAATATCCATACTTATGTAATTTTGTATTATGTAATATACTACCAAGTTGATATTATGTAATGGGAGTAATTATGTAATGAACGTGACAGAAAATGAAGATTATGTAAAGAGACTGCTAGAAGAAGTTTATGTAATGAAGACATTACGTGAGAATATATTACCTAAACGTGTTCAATATGTAATACTCATTAGTCATCTAGTGTCCCTAGATGATTCCGGCAGATTGCCAAATTTCATAGCTTTATAAGAAGCGAGAATATGCTATTGGGTCCTAAGTAGCTAAAGGGCCTCGAAAGAGCCTCGATCGGTTTACATTGTGGCCTCTTTATCAGTATATTAGGGTGGCCCTGTGAATCAGGAAGTGAGCTTGGAAACTAGGCATGGTATGATAGGAGCTGGGGGCACTTGGTGAGTGCCCCTATAACTAAATCCACGTCAAATTTTAGTTAATATGGAATTAATGCTCAAACACGGTTTTCACAGCCTCTTCCCTCGGTTACATCCTTAACTCGGTTCTCGTGTTTGGAACTTACCCGATCCGAAAGAGTTGTCAATGGTCGGGCGACTTCAAGACGGGATCTGTACCGTTTTAATAACATACTTTCATCTTCATCTTGCAGGCCGATGGTAGAACAATCCGACTTAACATACGAGCGTTTTGGCAGTGATGCAATAAACCCTATAATGTGTAAGCAATACTGCGATGCATGCTGTGAGGGGGGGACACGAACCTCTGCACAAGTGAAACAAATCAGCTAAGTTATAGTAGATAAACCGAACACTCCAAGAGAGAGCGAAAAGAGGTAGGAATACTACCGCCCCTGAGACCTGGACGATGGCCTTTGGCGTAACCACCCCCCATCTCAGGGCGCCAAATCCATAAAGAACTCGTCGCATAGGTAATTCAATGAAGAGGTACTCAATCCAAAACATAAACAGTGAGTCTCCAATATTTGGTGTACCCCGGAGAACAGCTGGTAAATCGACCTTCTCCCGTCCAACACAGAGCTCCGCATCCGGATCATTACGAAAATCGGGGTCTTTCCTAATCTGGGAGGAAAAAGGATGCTTCTGCACCTCCGAGCGACAATAACTCTCCACGTTATGAAGTTTTGAGCGAACAGCCCTGAGTGCCGCGGCCAATCCCGAGGCATTGAAGAGCGCAATTAAAGTGACGACAAAAGCTACCGCGGCACATTTGGCCATGTTGCTGATTAAAGTACTATCGGGACTCTGGCTCATGCTGAAGAGACTTGTCGCGAAATTGAGTGGTAGGAATACCGCGCTGATGTAGGTAAGGTAGAGGACATTCTGTGATTCCTTGGCTTCCCTTCGCCCCAACTCGTGGCTGAGTTGCTCTTGATGTGATTTCAATAAGCCCCTTAGTGAGACGATACTTGTGTGAGTTTGCCTGAGTTCTCTTATTTTCCTATTTGTTGTGCCGGCCAACTTATTGATAATGGTACCGTACTTCCTCTCGGCATTGCGTGTCCACCGGGGTTTCTCTGTGCCACGATCTTCCTCCCTTCTATCCCAATCAGAGATAGCGCGTAGAGCATGATCAAGGTCCTCTTGCATGAGATGCAAGACGCGTTGGTATCGTTGCCACTTGATACTTTTACTCATGTATTCTTGAGACGAGGGTTCTCCTTCGTCGATGTCCAATTTAGTCGAAATCGTTGCAAAGGCCCTCTTCGTACTTCCTGTGAGCAATGTTAACATGTGATCCACCAACCGTAGCTCCAGTACTTTGCGCTGTCTCTGGGACCCATCACTTGGCGATATATTCTTCAAGCTGTCATCGGAGATCAGGGGAGTTCCTCCGGGGGCATGATTGATGACGTAGCAGGTCCAATACTGGTCGAAAAATTCCCCGTTGAATAAGAAGCTCATGGAGACACGTGTCAGAACTTTGTCGTGGAAGCCTGGAAGGACTTCGGTTGTATAGGTCGGCAAGTTGTGGTCATAAGGAATATCAGAATCCACAAGCATGTAGAAACTGAGATGAAGTTCAGTTTCCCATGTATTCAGGAGTCTGTTGGCGTCGTCGAAAAAGTACGTCTCGTAACCCGCATGCCTATCAAAGAATAACGAAATCCCTACTCTTTCGGGTTCAGGAGTAGCTATGTAACACAACATCGCCCCATACGCATCCATTTTATTAACACATATTCTTCTTTTCTTAGCCTTTGCCGTTCGCGGTTTGCGAAGTTCGTTCCATAACATAACGTGACTATCGCAGAAGCTCACATTGCTTTCCTTTCTCTTCGTCCGCCCCGATAAATCGATGACGGCGCAATCGAGGTTAATCGCCCGAGAATGTTCGTTGAAGGCACCTTTGGCTACGGTTTTCCCATGCGACTCGCCATCTATTCGAATCCGCTCTTGTAACTCTTGAAGCTCCTCTAGTCCAATGGTCTGGTCTCGTAAGCAGCATGGAGGGATGTTGTATAACCACTCGTCGTCAAGTTCTGATATGTTTTTGGAATCTATTCCGCTGCTGAAAAGTGCAGTCCTTTTTAATCTTTTTTCGGCACTCTCGTCTATTTCCTCTTCAGCATGATTGGTGTTATGGAATCCGTGTGGACCTGCATCTAGATTAGTTTTTTCTTCGTTTTTTTTTTATTTTTTTAATTCCTTTTCAATCTTACCAATTTCTGCATGCCGTTTTGTGATAATATTCGGCTCAAAGTGGTTGGACTGATCGGAATATATCTTGCGAAGTTCGCGACCATGCGACAAGAGAATGTGGGGAATCTCGAAACTGGCATGGAAATATGACTCTATCTCACCTCGAGTAGAGAATAGGACTTGCATTCTAGTGTCTTTATCCAATTGCCCGGCGATGCACCCATTAGGTCGGATAGCTTTAATCAAAATCTCGACCGAGTTTTTGACCATGTCAATTGGAGCGCGTTCATCAAGACTATACCCATGAGACCCCATGACTATAGCCAAACCGTAGCGAAGAGATTTATCCCAATCGCTAGGTTTATTTTTGATTCGGATCTGCGCCTGAATGGTATTCTGCCATAGTTCGTGAAATGACGTGTTTTCACAATCAATGCCCATGCTAGAGAAAAGGTTGGTGTCTCTCGAATGAAACAAGAATCGCGATTCACGCACTGATCGAGTCACAGCTAACATCCTCTTGTCCGACAGATTATTCTGGGTTTCGGTCGTAAAGCGGCGAAGGAACTCTTTTTGGACATTTTTGGACGAGAACTTTTTTGCCGCCTTGTCGATATGCCTCTCGTTGACACCATCACGACTGCATATTCGGTCCCACACTCTCAGAGTCTCGAGTCGTTTGAGAGCCTCATAGATCCAGACGTGGTCACTGAGCCGAAATATATTGAAACCTTCTTCTTCAGCATGGGGCCATGCGAACTTTTCTCTCTTGTCCAATTTCTGAAGGTGGGCGACCCATGGCAGGGCTAACTGGTCTGCTAATTCATGTGCTAACTCTTGATCTTCGCTTAATTTATATGCAGCTGCAAAATCTGCTGCCTTAAGAACTTGGAAAGGAGTATCAGTCGGCAAATTGTGTCTTGCGTACGTCGATTGAGACTTGTCTTTAGTCCCATTCACGAAACACTCTCCTTCCAAGAGGCTGCAATAAGGAATAGCAACCGACTTGAGCCACAATAGATGGCCTGTGCAGACATATTTGATCCTAGCACTAAGAGACTGAAGATATGGGTGATTTGATTTATTCGAGAGATGCTCAGCGATTTGGAGGAGAAATCGAAATGCGAAACTGCGGGCCGAGTCAGCATCGCGTATATTCACGAACTATCAGCATTAAGGAGTGCTGGATGACTCACAAGCTGGCTGATGTGAAAATGCGATGTGCCGATATATCCCCACACGTTAACGCTACAGCACGAACATCTTTCCCCTGGACCCGCACTGTTGGGATAGCACAGACAGAGAGAATATGCTCTAAGTTGCGTTGGAAGATGCCGTTAAGAGATCCGGACAATTGAATAGGAAAAATATCAAGCTCTAAGGGGCAGAATTGCTCTGCCTGAAGCATGCTATCAACGTCGATCTTATCTGCTGGAATCAGAAACTCCCGCCAATCCGTATTGAAGCCGTTGAGAGGTATCATTTTATACGCAGTCGTTATCTCTATTGTATCAAATCCTTTGAGAACGTGGTGCCACGTAAATGAATCGTCCCACAGGCAAGGAATACCGTCAACAGATATAGACACAACAACCCCAACCGCGTCAGTGTCGAATGCGTGTGTGCAGGTCCAACTATAGCCATTGGGGCCTTTAGAAGAGACATTCACTTTGTCACTAGGCTGTTCTTTATACTCGTTATACCTATAGTGAACGTCTAAGTGATCGAGATCTCGAATCCGCATTTTTTTATCGAATGCGAATTTTAATAGTTCGTCATCCTTGCATCGATTGGTCACGACACATTGTTGTAAGATAATTCCTTCGGAGACCATCCATTGCACGGCCATACCAAACTGTTCATTCTCGAATTCGTATCGAGGCCATCGAGAATGGACGTACTTCCGTTCCGGCTGAGCAGCAAAATTCAGGTTATCGAATCGCAATCCGTAGCTGAATCCCTCCGAGTCACGCGATAGCGTCAAAGCTTCAAGAGTTTTGGCCCTTGCCCAAGGATCACATGGCTCTTCTGTACGTTCTTGGTCAGCGGCAAACATCCCTGTATGACCAATATTCATAAAACTGCTGAATTGCATAAGTCGCCCGAAAGCGTTGACGGTCGCTGTTGTCCCATTGTCGCCAAATGAGAAAGAACATTGAGGTTCTAGACAATCATGCCAAGCACTACTCTCCTCGTCTAGAGCTTGGCATGGTTTGGCGCTCCGGATATTGTGGTCGCTTCTGGTCCCTTAACCTTTTGTTAGTAAATCCAACTGTAGTCCTAGTTGTTGCGTACATCTGAAGGTTTTGAAAATTTCGTCGTCTTCGTGTGGAACTTGACTGTCGTCCCAAAACCGGTGGCTGGAGAGTAGGTCTTCAGCTTTAGGGTTCCCAGGATTCCGAATCGGACTCGAGTTTTCTCCAGGTATATTCATGATTCGGAGTTGATTGGCATATTGTATATCAAGTTCAACTGGCCTTCAATGAAGCCCATTTTTTTATGTTTTAAATCCCTGAGAAGGTCGGACGCTACAGTGAGGCTGAGGTATGTCCTAGTGAGTCGTAGGGTATAATGTCCTGAAATCAGCCAAATAGCGGTCGGATTGTCTATTGGCTCGGTGGTCATCGTGGTAAGCACTGACGTCCGCATATGCATCGAATATTGATGCAGGCTGCGTGCAAAAAACCCGTTTCGGCCATAATCTTCGTGAGGCTGAGGACGACAAAAGGGCGATAGTGTCATTGGCGGAACGCACGGCCACGTAAGAGTGACACACAGATCAATGCAACCATAGAAACGGATTAAAGCGTGATGAGATGAGTAGGAAATGTATAGACACCGAGCTGCCTAAATTGATGATTGTATTGCCATGTTCTGCCTTTCCTTGCTCATAGATGGTTCAAGCTGTGGTTATGAGGTCGAAACACTCAACTTCATGAGAGGCTGGGAGCGTCCACAGAGTCCTTACTCAGCAGAGGCAGGGATGGACAATTAGAAAGTCCACTATCGGAGAAACGAAACTCCTTACTTGTATTACACAGACCACTTATAGACTCGTTCTTTTCGGATGACTAATGAGTATAGAAAGGAATCTTGGCGATTAACGATAGTCAATCTGACCTAGAAAAAACATTAATTATTTCCAGTACTGCTCCTCTTTTTAATGCATGAAAATACCTAGGTAATCACTTATTTGATTCATGTTATGGTAGTGCAAAAGGCACATTACTGGCTATCTGTGCTTTATAGGTAGGACTGCCGTAAAACATTTGATGTTGGTTATAGTGAATAAACTTAACTGGAGATTTCGGTCGCAAGCGGCACAGTCAGGTTTCTATATCTGTCGTAACCTCACCGCAGTTTCTTTCGAGTTTCCATCCTATCAATCTCACTATCAAACTAGCTATTTCCTCGCTTCCTGCCACAACAATTCGTCGTTTATATACACACTCGACCCCTGGCTAGTAATTTATTGACTATGGCACAATTCCAGATTAGTGGTTTTGCTATTGTGGTTGGGGTACGCCTCCGAAACCTCCCCCTAAAGAAGCACTCCGATTAACCCTACCTAGGCCGCCGGTGGAATCGGCAAGGAGGTCGGTTTGACCTTTGCCGAAGCTGGCGCAAAGGGCGTCCTATTCGCCGACATCAATTATGAAGGCGTCACTGAGGCCGCCGAGGCAAGCAAAGCCATAGCGACATCTCCTAACTATCGGGCGCTGTCCGTAAAAGTAGATGTGGTAGATGTCAATTCAGTACAAGAAATGATTGACCTAGCAGCCAAGGAGTTTGGCCGGATTGATTACTGCATCAACGCTGCGGGGGTGAGAGCCCAAACTCATGATCTTCACGGGGAAGCGTACCTAGGTATACATGTTGACAGATGTTATGTTAGGTTGATGTCGCCGAATACGTTCCATTCGACGAGACTACCCCTGAAGACTACGACCGGGTTCTCGACATAAACACCAAAAACATTTTTCTGGTGACAAAAGCAGTAGTCAAGGTCATGCAAAACCAACAACCAACCCAGAACAATCTCGGACGACATGGCATTCGAGATCTCGGACGCGGATCGATTGTCAATATTTCTTCAGTCATGGCGTTTGGCGCTGTACCCCATAAGCTGCCTTACACAACGTCTAAACATGCCATTACTGGCATCACCCGGGCTTGTGGTACGTATAACATCCTCAACTGCTTCTAGCATATAATACTAACTCGAGAAATTCAACAGCATTGGACTACAAGTTGGCGGGCATTCGATGTAACCAAGTATGCCCGATCTGGGTCAAGACCCCCATGCTGGTAGAGGAATCAAAGAGGCTTCCAGGTGTGCCTGGACTCATCGAAAAGCTTACTCCTTTTAAGAGGCCAATTGAGCCGGACGAGGTGGCATCGGCATGTGTTTATCTATGCAGCCCCAGTGCAGTTAATATCAGTGGATCTAGCGTGATCCTAGATTCAGGTCTCATGTCTGGATTCTCTCTGTGAAGAAGTTCGCGGGGTGCATTTAGCATGGAGTATGGTATTATATCATGGCGGTGTTCTTGGAGCTGTGGATACTCTAGAATATGGCGTGAAAATGGATTCAGTAACTCTGCCAAAGATGTTTCTGTGATAGGATTTTGCCAGATACTTTTTAGTGCTGACAACCTTTCCCCGCTTGAAGCTACTCAGTGCGTTTCTGAAATAGGAAGATTCGCCTATATAGGACTCAAGATCGGCCAATTGTCCGATACAATACAATCATAGCTTCGATCCCCGCTGTTGCTGCGCCTCACCCGCATCATTCTTGCGTAGAATATTTGGCCGAAGATCCGACACATCGCGTACCCCGGTTATCGCAAGGTTTATCTCGAGATCCTTTTAGAGGCAGCTGGTCAGGCCCACCGTTCTTACGTAAATAGAGGTTAGTTATAGATACAACTTACAGCAAGTAAGCAACGCAACACATGCAAGACGCCTTGCTCACCCATAGCCCCTAGTCCGTAGACAACCGGTCGACCGATAAACACGGCCTTTGCTCCCAGCGCCAACGCCTTGGTAATACCCGCACCAGTCCGAATCCCGCTATCAAACAATACGTCAACTCGGTCTCCAACTAGAGCCGCAATCTCATGTAAGGCCTCTAGGGAGCCTTGTGCACCGTCGTACTGCCTACCACCATGGTTAGAGACGATAATACCGTCAGCGCCTGCTTGTACGGCGAACTCGGCATCAGTCGCGTGTTGGATGCCTTTCACCAATATCTTCCCGTCCCATTCTTTCCGAAGCCATTCCAATTCACGCCAAGAATGTGCCATGTCTGCTTCCCGAGTAAGCGATGATCGGACGATAAATCAGAGTTAAAAAGCTAACCTGGGAAAATAGTGTTCTCCCACTCTAACGCACCCTTCAACATATCCTCGTCGACTTCATGTCCAAACTTCTCACGGAACTTTCGACGGAACACGGGGTCCGTAAAGCCTAGTGCTGTGCTAGCTCCTTTATATAGGGGTAAGTACGCATTATCCAAATCTAGGGGTCTCCAGCTCATCGAGAAGATGTCCAGTGTAATAACGAGTGCAGTATAGCCAGTCTCCTTCGCACGTCTTAAGATCGAGCGTGTGACGTCTTGGTCAACGGCTTGCGGCCAGTAAAGTTGAAGCCAGCGGATGGCCGGTCTGTCCTCGGAAGTAGAGTCTTGGGCCGCAGCGACCGCTTCAGGGCTCTCGGAGGCAAAAGTTGACAGCACGTAAGGGACGCCTAGTGTTCCCGCGGCTCGAGCGACGCCGGACTCTCCATCCCTATTTGTAAAATGTAAGTATTTCAAACAGCGTTCTCACATTGCTTTAAAATACCTGTGGAATATCTTGTTTACACCAACCGGAGCGATGGCTACAGGCGAAGGCCATTCCTCCCCAAGTATTGTCACTTTCAAGGATATATCTACGTTTCCCCTCACCATACGAGGGACAATGCTCCATTTTCGGAATGCCTCTAGATTCCTTTTGACTGTCTCACCGGCGCCGGCGCCTCCTTTCGCATACTCAAAGTCTCTAGGTTCCATAACAGCTTTAGCCGCGGCTTCCCAGCCAAAGGGGTTAGTAGTTATGGGAGGGACTATGTTTTTAGTTCCATTCATATAAATGGTATGTTGATAGGACGAGAATGTTTTCTTCTGGCCCCTAGGGATAGCTTTGGAGGTGATAGGGGTAGAGGCGCCAATCTCGTCCCCCTTCAAGGGATCGCGCACGTGTGGGGGGTCATTTTTAGGGACCATCCTTAGGGTGTGCTTTTTAGATACCGATCCAAGACTAAACGCGGATGAGGGCCTAGACTAGAGAAATGAACATATATCAGCCGCTTTTCAGTGGACGAGGTAGGGTGTTAGGCATACGATCACTATGACTACGACGAGGTCTAGTACAGGTTTTTGGCGAGCGATTGTTGGCCAAATAAGAGGCTGAGTACCTACCTAGGTAGGTATTATTGATTAGTTAAAATCCCGCATCGCGCAAAATACCGAAATGTAAATATTGTGGGCCTGTACGTTGAAGATAATGTCTCACAAATGCAGCGCCTATTCTACCATGCAATGTATGTATCTCGCTCTCGGCATCCATCGCTACTATTAGACTGCCGGTTGTTCAACCTGCTTCCGGGCATGTATGTCTTATGCTACCTACATATTCGAGGTAAATGTATATCGGATGTAACGTGAAACCCTGATATGCCCGGTTTGACGCGCATAGCCCATGCATAACATGCAGGCAAGGACTCATCCGACAGTCTACGACGAATCGGGATAATTGCCTTTAGATCTGTGACTTATGACCGTCTGTTGCTTGTGGACTGGTAAAGAAAAAGGACTTACATCGCCTTGATCGCATAATACTTCATGTGTTACTCGAAAAGGGAGTTCGGTGTCAAGGCTTTTCAGCCCCGCGGCCCAGAATCTTCTCAGACTTAGGGCATGAAAATTACTATCTATGCTAAATTTATTCTACCAGTGTTCTAAATATAATGCCGCGAAGCCTTGCGATTTGTGACAGTAAGCACCAGAACCAACTCTATCCTGATTGTGGCGTCTTTAGCGACTGGCTAAACTTGCTATTCTCCCTCAAATGGCGGCCGAATCTTATAAAGGCGAACGGAATGACGGCCATCGCGAAACTCAAGAAACCGAGTAGACTAGTGGCCCAGTTCACACCAAGATGTCGGTACATAGGATCGGTAGCCAGAGGCAACAATGCCGATACAAGACTCCTCGAGCAGCTTGAAGCGGCTAGAGCACTTGCAGCAAATATTCTGTATGCATCAGCAAGGTAATTAATCAATGCCATAAATATTAAGAGCAGCGCAATGCCAAACGGAACACCTGCGATCGCAGGAACAATACAATGTACGGAAGGCCTCGCCGTCCAGGCAAGCCAAAATATAGTCGCCGATAGTAACGGCCCGCCGATGCAGGCAAGGGGCAGGCAGCGGTACTCCTCTACTTTGACCCAATGCTTGTCTCGCATCTGAGCACGTTGGTAAATACGGTCGTAAGTTAGGTAAATTATAAAAGAAAGAAGGGCGCCGACGGCAACTGCAGCGTATAATTAGGGGGGTTTGTCATTGAGCGTTGCTAATAGGCTTACTGGGGATAAACATCAAGCCACGTTCTCCAGCCGTCATACCATATATACCTTCGAAGACAATTGGGTATGCTTCGAAGAACAAGTAGAATATGGCGTAGATGAACGACAGGTGGAGACAGGAGAAAAATACGATGCTTTCGGTGCAGAACATTTTAATGGGTCTGGATAATACTTTGGTGAAGAGATGGTGCCAATTCTCTCGCGTGAGTTGCGCCAAAACACTGACGTCGGTATCCGCCATACCTTGTTTACGTCGTAACACAGGCCCAAATGTTTCTATAATTGATTAGGAGGCCTCCACGAAAGTACTAGCGATCGACTTATGAATAGGAGCTTGACGAACCAGGCAAGAGAAGCAAAAAGGGCCATGATGCCCCGACGACTATCAATGCAACCCAGAATGTCCATCTCCATCCCTTTTCAGAGAGATATCCCGACATCAATGGGCCCATCGTAGGTCCTAAAGTTGTAGCCTATTATTGGTTGGTCAGATAATGCTAACAACTAGGGGATTCGTCATTTACAGCCATATAACCTGCCATAGCCCGTCCCCGGATCTTCGGATCGGAGTAAATATCGGCATAGATACCGCCTGTAACGGAGGGGGGTGAAGAAGCAAAAATTCCTGCGAGCAGCCGGAAGACGACTAGGGCGGCAAATGTAGGCGCTAATGCGCAAGCTAGAGTGAAGACTGTGTAGAAAGCAAAAGTTATGAGGGTGACAGGGCGGCGGCCGTAGGTCTCGGATAGTGGCCCAAATGCGATGGGCCCTACAATGTAGCCAATGAGGTAACAAGTGACGGGCAATGTGAGCAGTTGCGGGTTGCTAACGCCGAAGTCCGCAGCGACGAAATTCACGGCGCCGCTCGGAAGAGCCGAGCCCAAAGTGCTATTAGCAACGGCGATCATGCCAATAACAAATACGAACGCTTTTCGTTTCTTGTACCCTCATTAGTCCATAACACAGCAGAGATCCCGTTTATTCCGTCCTTAATCGTTTCTGTGAATTTACATACCGTTGACCATGAATATGGATCAGCTGATACAACAACTGGGGGGGACTGAGATTCAGCTGAACTAACCAACATCCTTCTCTCTGTTGAAACGAAGACTACGATAAGTTGATTGGCATGGGAAACTGAAAACAAAAAAATTGTGTAAACTCCCCACAGATCTCTTTGTATATTTACTCGTTAGTACGTTACACAAGAAGGGTCCGAATACGACTAAAGTATCGAATACAAACCGATGAAAGGCAAAAAAACCAAACATACAGCGAGACAAGTTTTACTAGCGGCCCTTCTGGGATGCGTCATTATTCATTGCTATCTCGGGTTCCAAAACTCTGGAGTTACCCAACTTTAGGACGGGGTACAAACATTTGGACTTCCCTATTAAGACGAATCATTAACACCCCGAGAAGTTTGCGGCCTAAGAATGGATCCCAGGGCGTGGGTTAAGCAATCGTTTTCTTCCATAGGAAACCACCAGATCATCTTTTTTGATTCATATACGAAGATCTCGATTATATCATGACACCTAGTTCCTAGTGCAGAATATTAGTGTAGTCAACCTAGAGAAAGTCACCTACCCCTATCCGAACTGCTTAGTTACATATTAGGGGCTTTTCTGAGCGACAAAACGGAGTCGGATGTAGTTAACCGTAAAGGCTCCGTCGTGTTGGCGCCGACCAACTCCTTCTAACACTTGAACGACCTCTCTAACCGCCACTTCACGTTGACCTTCGGTAGCTAAGAGCGAGAGAAAATCTGCTCCGAAAAGGCGAACCCTGGTAAATGCCCTAGGTTAGCTATACGTCTTTAGGGTTATGTGTAGGACAAAGACTCACCATCCTTCGATGCCACCGCCTTCATTATTCGTAAGCTCCGTCTGTCTCAGTTCGACTTCACCCTTAAGCCACTTAAATCCTTGGCTCTCGACTAGATTTTTCATGGCGTCAAGGCTTGGGAACCACCAAGGGGACGCGTTTCTAGCCGCTTCAACCGGGATACCCTGATGTACAAGAGCTCCGATAATAGCTGCATGGACCTCGGCAACATTGCCTAGAGCACCTGACTCGCTTACCAAAAGGCCACCAGGCTTAAGGGCGTCAAAGCAACCCTTAATGGCGTTCGTGCGTGTGTTTTCATCACGGAGAATCCAGTGTAGAGCTGCATTGGAGAAAACCTTGTTGAAAGAGGCGTTGCAGAGGCTTTGATCCTTGTCCAGGTGCCGACAGTCAACCACACGAGCATCGACTCCCGGGAATGTCTTGTTGAAAGATTCGATCATATTGGGTGAGGCGTCTACGCCAACAATACGCTTTACATGTGGCGCAATCTTTGCAGTTAAGACGCCTTCTCCGCAGCCGACATCAAGAATTTCATCTGCAAAGCATCAATGATTAACGTTGCATGAGGTTGTACTTGGGAGTGTTACCTTGTGGTTGAGGTTCCAGCCATGCGACAATCTTGTTAGTTAAAGCAGCTACGAAGGGCGCAACAGTAGTCCCATACGCATCTGCAGACCAGATGTCAGTCTTGTTGGAGGGTGTCGAAGTCATTTTGCCAGCATGTAAGATGGTATCTCGATGGAATGAGGCAGTTTACTAAATCGCCGTAAGACCTAGAACAGGTTTCCAAGCTGTCTCGCTTTAATAATAAATCACTAGGTCCGAAAAAAGGGGGGTATGGTTACACCAATGAGGGGTTTCGTCATACTACCTAGATCCTAGTTCCTTGTAGTCGATGGGGAAGTTTTCATTCACCTACTTAGGTACATACGATTAGATAGATGCTCTCGAATCCTCTCAACGCTTTGAATGCGACCTCCGCGGATATGGTTAATCGGATAATGTAAGGGATGCTTTCTGCTACCTAGGAATTCGTTACTACGGTAATATGGTATTGGTAGCTTAAGTTAAGCGATTGTTATATATGCAGTAAAGGGGTATCAAGTATCTAAAATGTTCCACTTATGAGAGGTACATATTATAGGTCGTAGATATAGATGTCCCTAGGCAGTCGCTTTAATCGCCATCATGTACGAAAGTTTCACCCAAACATGCTTCATATTGTATTCAAATATACCTTTACTTTAGGGGTGTTCCGGGTTGTTCCACTAGGCCTCCTATTCCTAGCGCTTATTCGTGTCCTGGGGGCTGCTGGACGCCTCTGGAGACCATCCTATACCGGAAAATCAAACCGGAAACAACACTCAGATCAAAAAATTGAACCTTTATGGGACTTTGATTTCCGGAAAGTAGACCCCATCAAATACCAACCATATAAGACACAAGGTCATGTCACCATGGGTAATGAATATCTTAGATTTCTTCTTAGGGCCTATGGATTAATTTTATAGTAGGAATCCAAAAACGTACCCGTTCAGAATGGATTCGAATCGACCGCGGCTATGTAAATCGCATTGAGGAACGATTACCTCTAATTAGAGACAAGCACGAGTTTACCATTGGGACAGGACCGAAGGTCAACGCCGCCATCGCAGAATTATATGAGGAAATCATGATTAAATATTTGCCCGTTAGGTTCCCGACTATTTTCAAGAGATACAAAGAATTGGTGAAGAACTTGGCCACAGGAACTGCCTATCCCCTTACCACGTCGGGATTAACACCCGATCAAATGCTGGCATATATGGGCGAAAACGTCGAGGCAAGTGTCGGCATTTCTCATTATCATCAAGGTATACTAATTAGACATCGAAGAGTAAATGCTGACTTTGGGATATGAAATAGGAAGATTTCTATTTCATGTGCCTGGATTCGGACGGGCAGTATCGTTTACAGGGCTATATCGCCTGTTTCCCCGGCGGGTTTCTAAGCCCCGCGCGAGTTGGGGAATCTGTGCGAGAAATTCACCAGCCAGTCCCAGGATATGAAAGTAAACTCGGGCTCAGCGTAGATCGGTATTTTTCCCGGATGCGACCAGGAGACTTCATAGGGCGCATGAACGTAAGCAATACACCAGGAAATATGTAATATGTCGAATGCTGATTGAATAGAAGTGGTCTCTGCAAGTTGATGGTGTTGACTTGTTTCGTACCGATGGTAATAATTACTATCCGGAAACCGAACAAGCCATCCTAGAAGACAAAGCAGATCCTTCCCTTGATGATTGCTATTTGCGTGTAGAGCACCAAACACTAACTAAACTCCCACGTACAAATGCTATAATCTTTACGGTGCGGTCATATATGACATTGCTCCATCAAGTAAAAGCTGAGGGGGATGGGAAGGCTTTGGCACAAGCTATTAAGTCCATGCCTGGAGGACTTGGTCATTACAAGATGGGTCAGTACTGGGGCAAGAAACTACTCCCATGGCTAATGGAAGACGCCTAATACCACTAGGAGTAGGCACCTATATAATCAGACTGAGACCTAAAATTGCCCCCAAATATTATAAATATAAGGCTCTTTTATTCGCGGTTTTTGAGCGCCCAACGCACTATAATTATAAGGGATTAGCTTCCAAAGCTCGCTATAATTCCAGTACCACTTGTCTTATCTCCACAATAATTAAGCGGATGGCATCAAGGTTAGGACTGTATTTCTACCCCGCTATAGATGTAGGGCATGAAGCACTATCTCAGTGAGTTTTAGCGGATTATTCCCTGTAACTATAGCGGGTAAACATTCTTTCCGTAAACGGTAGGTGGCATGAAATTCATCAACTCTGATTGGCTAGCTCTTGAAAGTGATCGCTATGCGCCGTTTAAGGAAGTATAGGGTGATTTTTCACTGTATATCTAATATGAAGATCCATAAAGTTCCCATATAGGATGTTCATGGGTATTTGTAAAGAAGATGCTGAAATAAGGTGCGTAGAGAATTAGGATTTCACAGCTGCATGAGTGAATAGAATCCTTTTAAAGCCATAACCCATATATACACGCCCGAGTGCCATGCTACGCAGGAAACTTGTACTCACATCCTACCTAGGTAGGGTTAGCGAGCCCTTCCGTATTTTCCATATCTGCCATATCAACTTCTTGCTGCACGCCTGCATTCGCATCCTCTATCCAACTCATTGTCATAGTCGCCCACAGATCATGAAATAACATTGGCTTGGAACCCTCATCCGTTACTCCCGCCCCAGCCCCAGGCGGCAATGTAGAGTCCCCGGCAAGTGTAGGCGTCGCATATGAGGCGTTCGTAAAATTGCCCTGCTGCCCCTCCCACAATGGTAGGTATTGGTCCAAGCTCCCATCGAACATGGGGCATTGACGAGCCCTCTTGTCCGCTTCCTCAGCTGCCGCCGCCTCTAGATCCGCGCTTTTTTTATCATACTTAGCTTTGAGTGACCTGAGGACTACCTTCATAGCCGCGGCAACGTCAACTCGCTTAGCGCTGGATCCTTTATTAGCACTATTAGGTTCGTCACTTCCAGCGTTATCCCCACCCTCATCCTCAACAGTAGATAACTTCGTAAGAACTGTACCAAAATCCAAGACTCTCCTGCCTTGAGCATAGTCGTAGGTTGGGCAGGCTGGTACAGGGAACGATAGACGATACCCTAGGATAACAACGACAATGAAACGCCCAATATCGGCACCGCAAAAGTGACCCATATTCTCTGGTGGGAGGCTCAGAACGTAGTCGAAGAAGGCTCGGATCGTGTACGTAGCTGCTTGAAGCTTGACCGGGTCAAATAGGGGATTTTCAATATCTTCAGGACGTGGACGGAGGTTCTGCATTAACGGGGCAGCCAAAAGATAGGCGTCTACTATGAGCGAAGCTATTAAGATATTCGCTATTTCATGTTTTCGTCAGCGCTGGCGACTTAAGTAGGGTATTATAAATAAGGGGACTCACGCGTAATTGAGAGATGGCCAGGAATTTTAGTCTGAAATTCTCGTAATTGTGTCTCCAGCCCCATGCGAACGAGACTGTGGTGGTGCTCGCTCTGGCCACTAAAGTTCATCTTCTTATAGTTCCTATCCAATTCGAAGAACTCGTTTAAGATGTACTGCAATCGCACAAGCCAGACGAGTATATGATCTTGCTCGAGGTCACTATACTGCTCTAGTGTATCACAGCATTTCGCCATCCACATAGTGTATCTTAAGCTAGAAGGCTTGGACCATGCCCATGAGTGTCTATATAGGCGTTAGACTAATTGGAATTGCGGGGGAGGGGGAAATTTCTGTGTAACTAACGTCGAAACGTTGTAAAAGCAGGAGATATATGCTCGGATAGTCTGGAATCTGATTTCTCTCCTTTCGGGTGACAGGGCTGCAAGATCCAAATTTGTCTCCTCGTCTAATTCTAGGTCGTGGACGATGTCTACGGCCATGCGCATATATTGCCTTGATTGCCTATTCTTTGGACGCAAGTGAAAAGGGTACCTAGCACAAAAGTTTTATAACATTAGGCTGTTTTCGTCGCATGTGTAACGTCGCATAATTACTAGCCGATTTGAGGTCAGAAGAAAATGACTTACCAAGAGCAATAGACAATCAGCCCCTGTAGCAACTCAAGTGACCGTTCACCTCCAGTTACGAATTTCAAACCCAGAATCTTCCGGAACTCTTCATCATAAAGGCTATGGCCTTGCAGACTTGTGGAACAGCTCGCTACTGCAAGGATAGCCAAAAGGACGAATGGCATATCACGAGCCAAGGATGGGACATCAGCGTTAGCGGGCAGCATGATACATGGACAATACGGCAACATCGAACGGAACGTGTCGAGTAGCTTAGCTGCAGAGTCTAGATTAAACCGTGGCTGAATGCCTAAGCTACTCATAGGTCTTGAGCTTGACGAGACAGTACTCGCCGCCGTTAATGATGGAGTGCGCATCGAGAGATCGTTGAAACTGAAAGTCTGCCCAGCTGGCTGTGAGGCTATTGCTGAGTCTTCGTCTAGTTCTTCCTCGCAAGACGGAACGAGTTCTTCGATGAAGCGTTCGTGTTTTTCCCTCAGATCGTCGAAGTTATCACGTAAGGCATCATCGGTTGGCATGGCGAAGTCGATGCTGAAGGTCTGGCTAGGACCAGGGGGAGGGGGTAAAGCCTCTGCGTCACTGTGGTAGAAAGGGCATTTCTAAGCCGATTTGATATATATGGCGAATAGAAAGGGGGTATTGTAATACACTTCTAGAACTAAATTGTGGGGAAAGAAAAGGTAATACTTACGGCCGAGTGACTTTAGGTCGCCGGATTCTTGGGCCAGTGCGAAAGATACATTCCCGCTTGAACTCGGAGCAACTACATCACGCAAGGGCACATATAAGTCTTAGCTCCCAAGTAGTGTTTATGAAATTGGGGCCCTAGGTTAATAGATATGGTACCATACCGCTTGCAAATCCCTGGTTGGGGCCCTGACTGGCACTTGACTTTGGAAATCCGACATGCCTCGCAGGCATAATTCATTTTGGTTGGCTTTGGCTGCGATCGCGCCTGGGTTTCGCTTGGCTGATCCATTAGGATAGTGGCTAGAAGACTGAGAGACCTGTGAATTCGATTTTAAGTAAGCTAACAAGGCAGAATTAGCGCTACTATGATTAATAAATACCGAAAGGTCTTCCAATCGATTAGTAATTAATATGTACGGATATTGAATATATTCAACATAATTTACTTAATTGATTGATTACCTGAGGTCTCAATTGAAGCTGGATGAGTTGTAATGGACATGATGGAGATGGTCAGCATTACTGTGTCATGGAAGGAAGGAGAATTCACCGGCAGTTAAGGTCCGGACTGGGTCGGTGTTATAAATGACTAGCAGACCCGCCCGGAGTTAGATCATCCCGAGTATGGCAATTGCGGATCGGGCCTCATCGATAGCGCCTACCTCGCCTAATAAGTAGCCTCACAGGCCTAGCTTATAGGTCGTACTAGTCCCCCATAGGTATCGCCAATAGTGTTTATAGACACCTAACGCAGGTCTCCAACCGCTAATCCCAACTCAACTATCTTTGGTCGATCATGGTTGTTACCCCTCATCGGCGTTTATATATAGAAGCCAGATCTTAATCTCACATACAAACCATCATAAAATCATTATTTTAGGTGAGGGTGTATATTTTGAGGTATATAACTTACATCAGCTCGTCACGAGACGAGGAAAAAACGGTGTGCGCGTAAGCGCTTTTGTCTATCTGGGGTGGCTCTAGGTTGCGCGCGCAGCCCAGTCAAGTCTACATACGTAAACGTACATTACATACATACATGCATCATTACACACACCTACCTCACTCAATCTACCTTCCTCACCTTCCATTGCCTCGGCAGGTGTATGACAATGGAACCTCCTATATTTTCTGATAGTAGTATAAGAGGCCAGGCACCTGGCCTATATTGTGTGGGCACCAGACACTGCGATGTAGATGCCCACGGCAACCCCGGCAATGACCATCAATAGGGCTACCGTTGCCGCTCCCACGGCGGCCACCATCATCTTCCTCCTTCTCCCCTTTGGTCCTGTCCGCCATTGCCGAATGCGCGCTGCAATCCCACCCTCCTCCGCATCACCGCTCTTTGTCCTTCCGCGCTCGGCTGCAGGGGTACCCTGGGGAGTTGCATCTTCAATTTCAACTGGCGGCTGATATGTCAGCGGCGTTGTAGAGTCGACGCGAGTACTTGGCACGCTGGTATTGCTATATCGCTGCGGGGTGCAGTAACCTGGCGAATATGGAGGTGGTAGTGATGACCGTGGCGGTGGTGAGAGTGGTGCATCTGGATCGATTATTGATTCCCGAATACCTTGGGTATCTACGTTGTAGTTTGTAGGCCGCCGAGGTGGAGTGCTGGGAGGCTCTGGTGAACATGTCAAACTGACATCTGGTATCGCGGAAAGAGGTGTCTTGACCACGGCAGTGGGCGGTACTTGAAGGCTTTCAAGGCCATTTGTGGCGGCAATGAGACTGGCTAACCTCTTCTGGACAGGTGTTGGCGGTAGAGGTGAAGAGGGAGGCGGTGACGGGGGAGAAAACCACGAACTTATGGATGTCTGCGACCGCGCGGTCGTAGGTGGCGAGTCAAAAGTTGTAGAGTGGGAAGTGGTCGGCGGTGAGGCGGCGGTTGGCGGTAACGGAAAAAGTGATGGCGAAAGGGACACAACACTACATCGGGACGACAGTGAGATGTCCGAGCACGGCGATATGGCTTCACCCTTGACGCACTGAAAATCGACACTGAGGGCATGAGGTTGGGCGGAAAGATGGCTACCCGATGAAGTAATGCTATTGTTCTCGGTCGGGGCGGGTACCACCAATTTTGGGAGGGCCGACAACTCGAGGCTCTTTCGCTTCCCTTGCGTCGCCTCGTTGCCCGCCATCATCGTGAATATTGAATAATTCTATGTAATAGTAGTTCGCCGGAAACAACGTAACGATTGTATGTTCGTTGGTCCGGAGAATATGTTTTGCACCGATCTTGCTAATTCGATGGGCGCATATACAGATAGCACAGCTACAGGTCGATTCCGTAATGAATGACAGGACTTCGGCTGACAAGCAGGCGGTGCGTAGGTATACGGAGTTCTAGACGGAGGATTTCGGAGATTTGTATATTTGGACCAGCTAAAGCGAAGGACGGATCCAAGAAAGAAGCGTAACTCATTCAAATGAAGGGCAGTATGACCATATTCATCATTATATCATAATCATAAAAAATAAAATCGTAGAACATCAAAAGAACGTAAATGGTTAGGTGTGTTAGTTAGTCGGTTAAGCGGTGGAGGAAGAGTTTGGCATAACTCGGATTCTGCTGTATTTGGTTAATTTTTCTTCTGACTCTTCCTCGAAACCCCTCAACTACAGACTGGTGCCAAATTCCCGGGAAATCTAAAGATATAAAAGGCATTGGAATTCAAGAGCCTTAGCAGATCGACCCGTGCGACCGCAACTCAATCATGCAAGGCACAGGGGGGGAAAGCGGATCGTACAGAAGAGAAAAGAAAAGGCTAAAGGTACGGTGAGGTATCTTTGCTCGGAATCCTCCATTCCTACCACCTCCTAGTGCACATACATTATTCTCTCACATCATCAATACTACGACTTATTACGCACAGTACGATAAAAGGGAATAACGGAGAGCATAAGAAAAAAAAAAAAGAAAGACATGTGGTCATCAATACGTACCCAAGTACCGCGCAAGACCCGGTAGTTGTCGATCCCTCAGCGCAGGCTGCTGCCCAGCCCACGCGGACCACGCCCTGCCCCTGCCTTCAGCCCAGAACCCAGGCCGGACCCAGAGTTCCCAGCCCAGATCAGTCAATAAAAAAATCGTAAAAATACCCCCAGTACGGCTTCCAGACCTCCCAGTCTTCCGGGGCACCATAGAACACACCGCATCTTACTCTCATCTCTTCAGCCCTCCACTCCTCCACTCTGCCCTCCGCGATATTTTTTTTTTCTCGTTTCGTTTCTCTTTCGTCTGTGTCTCGCTTCACGATTCACACCGAAAGACGCCACCCGATTGGATCTTGTAAGCCTCGTAAGCAAGCAAAATTCCCCAACCCCAAAGCTCTAATTAGTAACCACCTCGGTCTGTATCAGAACGAAAATAAAAATGAAAAAAATTTGCATCTTTACCCCCCGGGGTAATGCACAATCCGGCATACTGTATGAGACCTACCTACATTGTCTTCGCACATAGACATACATACATATAATGGATGCATCCTAAGACCTCAACTTACTATAACGCATGCACAATACCGTGCCTTGCGTCTCGTACCTTACATAACAAATCCACCAGCCCACTAACCCACCTAAGATAGACAACCCAGCCAGCCATAGGTAGCTACAGCCCTGGGAGAGACCCTACTACATACGCACCTTGCATTTCAGGCGCAGGTACCTAACCGACTAACCCATTCAGCAGCATCCTACCAGCCTACCCACCCATCGGACCCAGAATTCGCGCAGGGCAGTCCCCGTTCCGGTGCAGTTAGTCAGTGCATCGCAGGGCCGTACCTGCGTCAAGACAAAGGGAGTCCTACATATAGTCTAGCTAACCTAGCGCAATATGCAAAAAGTACCCAAATTAATATAGGGCAGGCTCCCGCCCCAACCTCCGCGAATCGTCGTCGCCATCACTTGTCCCATACCCTACATACGTACTTTTTTGGAAGCAAGCAAGATACGAATTGCATACTAGTATCTAGCGCATCGTATCTACCTACATACATATATTCATCGACATATCCATATGTTGATGTTCATATGATGTATGTATGTACGCGTGAGTATATATTAAGTATGTACGTACGCCCCAAAACGTGTGACAATGCAACCAACTGCGTCATTGCTATTGAATTAAAAAAAGGACAGATTGAATTTGGGACGGCACGGGACGCTACGGCAAGCTCGCGAAGGTAACGCCGCTACGCTGCCCAAGCCGACAAGTAAGAACATTTCCAACCCTCGCCGATACTTAGGTACATACATGAGGCAGGCTGGCAGGTACGTACGTATTTAGGTATATAAGAGAAAAAAACCACCCACACTGTATAAACGCCAAGTTGATCGCACGGGGTGGTATGTGGTTCCTCGTATCTGATCTTCTTGCGGAGCCATTGGTCCACAAGCTTGCGCGGCGGAGCTGAGCACAGAGACGTGCTGCGAGATTTTTCATCAGAGTGGAAACTCAACACGGACAAGTATGCATACTGTGCTGCTCTGCAACCTGCCAAGTACATAATCAGGGCGAGCACAAAAACCAACCCCTCTAAAATACTGCAGCTGATCCCCGGAGTTCTCAAATCATTTTTCTGAATTCATTTTTATTAAACATTTGCCTCGAAATATTGCTCGAGCTATGTACGAATTTTCCCCTTATCTACGCCGGCGCTAAAAACGTCATCCATACACAATGCGAGTAGTCTCTCCGGTGCTCATGCGTGAAAATCAATAAGTTATTTTGTACAGGAAAGCGGAACCCTTTATTTGGGTTATCTTCGGGTTTAGAGAGTATTGAAATAGTAATTCGTTCGGTGTTGATGACCCTAATAGGTCCATAACCGTAAGCGACTCTCCGGTCGCTTCGGGATGTTTGAAATGTATAATGTGCCGAGTTCAATAGCGAAACGCCCCTAGCCAGCACGACCCCCAACTTTTTGTCCGGTACCCATGTCTACGAAAAGATTCACGAAATCAATCGTATTCTTTCCCCCAACGGTAACATTACTTGCTTGCTCCATTGTCGTAGATGTGGTATTTTGACCAGACTCCACGCCGGCGAAAAATTTCTGAACCGATGTTTGAGCGGTAGATGCATCGGCGAGTGTCTCTTGCTGAAAGATGAATAAGACTGCTGCACGCGCGAAGTCGACTACTTCTTCGGTCACCGTGAAAGTTGCTGTCGGCGTGGGTGCCGCGCTAGTACTGCTCAGAGTACTGGTTGTTGATGCTGATGTCACCGCAGGGGCTGATGTTGGATACTGAGTAGGCGACGATCGTTTCGAGTTACTATCTGTAATAGTTGTCGCAAATATCGTAGAGCCAGAAAATGTAGTTGGAGTAGTCAATGTTGTTACCAAGAAACTACCGGAAAATCCGCCGGTTCCTGCTGGATTCTCTATCGTCAATGTTATGTCGACATCTGGAAGAACGCTCAGAGTAATCGGTACATTGGCCGCGGCTACGGCGGCCTGCGCGAGATCTGAGTCTGAGCCTACATCCAAGACCTGGGCCGAAGCATCTTGCGTTCCCAGAGACTGTCCATCGAAAGTAACCAAGGCATTTTCTGTATTGCAAGAAAGGCTTTCCTTATTGAATTTCGACTGTATCACGGTAGCAATGAGAGGAATTGAGAAATTAGCTTGAGCATCTCGTATGATGCGGGGTATCGCCTGGCCGATGGTGACGTTATTAATATTGGAATCGGCTGTGTTGATCGACGTCGTCGTGCAACCTTGACTGGTGGGGACCGTACAGTCCGCACCAGTGAATCCGTTGGAGCAGATGCACGAACAAGTGCCCTGCAGGACAATGTTTGTGCCCCCATTCGCACAATTCAACTGTGCCTCACAAGTTGAAGTGTCTGGCTGTGCTTCTGCGTTCTTCTGAGCGGATTTATCGATCACGAGGAACTTGATAGGAACCACAATCGCAGCGGCTATAATACAAAGCAAAATAATAAGTAACGCGAGGCAAGTCCATATGGGCAAACCGCAGCAACGACGGCCTTTCCTCTGGGGCTCCGGTTCTGAGTCGACAGCTCGATCCGTTGCAACTGGAGGTCCACGGAAAGATCTCCGTCCCAATGGCCAAGCAGTTGATGCTCTGCTTTGTCGCAGACCATTCCGGCTCGCCGGGGGTGGGAACGCTGCTAGCATATCAGATAATCCCGACTGGTGCTTCGTATCATCTGCAAAATAGTTAGTACTTGAAAGTTACCAAAGAGGAGCACAACGCACAGTAGTCCTTCTCAAGATCCCTGCCGTAGACGTCCTCCGGGAAATCAAGTTCGTCAAAACGACTCGCTGGTCTACGCCCTCTCTCCATCAACGCTGCTAATCTTGTTGCACGCCGAATCAAGTCTGGTAAGCTTGTCAAACTTCCTCTAGCTTCCGCCGTTCTCACTGCGTCCATATCCAATCGCGGCGGTCGTCGAATAGCGGAAAATCTGTTCGGCCTCGGAGAGGGCGTAGCTTTTCGTATTGACGAAGGATCCATAGCACTAGCACTCTCAAATGCGTTCAACATATTGTCGGCAGTTAATGCGGTACCAACGGCTTCTCTCGAAAGGTTACCAGATGAACTCGATGAAGCATCAAGGTACCCAGTGCCTTCGCGAAACGGACCATCTTGGACGGGCCTTGGCCCTGGCCGCAACATCGCATCGCTCCTTTCTGAGCTTCCCGTAGTAACTAGTGCTGGCTTCCCTCTCTTCCCGACACTTGCGTCTCTGACAAGACGGCTCTCGTCCGCGTCGTCGCTAATAACGGATTCCTCTGCTATTGTATCGTCAACAGAGGCTGCATGAGGACTATAACCCGGCGATAAACTGCCAAAGCTTTCGGGTATAGCTGCGCTTGATGCGTAGGAAGTATGTGAGCGTGTTCTAGGGCTTTCTTCGGGTATCGGTGAGACGAATGATGCTGTGGAGTAAAATGACGAGGCACCCCTTCTAGAAGAGGGGGGCGGGCCCAAATTCACACTTCTCCTAGCTGCCGGTAACGGAGGGGCGGCCACAGGTAACGGGAAGTCTGGTATTGATCCAACTGAAGAATTAGTTGATTGTCTCGATGATGTACTTTGAATAGTTTCAGGTGCCGAGAGCTCGGATACTCTAGCATTTTGAGGCGTATATTGGAATACCGGTGTATGCTCCTGGATGCGAGAGCCATCTAATATCGACGGTACTCTACTAGGACGAGGAGGGCGCTGAGGTGGTTGTGACTTTCCGGGTGGCGGTCGGTATGGTTCCGAATCGGTGGATGGGGTCGAGATAGGCCCGGCAAGGGGCCACTGTAGTGGTGTCGGCCTCGATATTGCCATTCCTATTTGACCTTGTCCATCCCTGAATTGCATTCCCGGCGGCGCCTGAGGTCGTCTTATTGAAGGAGGTTCCGGAAAAGCTGATATAGCCCCTCTTGGTGCACCCCCCTCGGCCCTTTCCCTTGCTCTTCTAACGGATCCCCCCATGCCGGATGATTGACCGGTATTCCGCCCATTTTGGGATTGACTCATTTAAGCAAACACTATAGGATGCGTAGGATTCGAATCAGTTCACTGCATTCCACTCGTCCACCTTGTTACCAATTCCTTCACGGCCGTTCGCGTTTAGATGAACTGCATACGCGAGTCTTGGGTCCCACGCCACAAGCCTGGGTCGATGCAATGCTGGTAGCCGAAGTAGACCAAGAGAATCGAACGGAAACGCGGTCGAGGATTATGGGCCTCGTGTTTAATCTTTAGCAACACGGGTGCCTACTTCGACGCCAATAAATGGGAGGTATCACAAAGTATTCAGCTCAGCAGTCGTAGAACCAATCGTCATCCACACTATCCAGAACAACCAATTGTAACCCGATCCTAGCTTCGACCAAAACGAATAGTAAGAATGGAAGCGCCAATAGTACTAGACCCGCGGCAATATACAATTAAAAAGTAATCCAGTCACTTTTAGCGAAAGGTATTGTTGGGCGAAGCTAAGGTTGCAAGTTAGCCTATACTAAACAGATAACAAATAGTGAATCTGAGTAATTAGGGTTGTAGGGTGATTGTGCAACAATGAATAATAGAGAACGATAATTCGACAGCCTCTGTAATTTAGCAAGGCCAAGACGATGTCACGAGTGCCGACTAGAAGCTATCCAAAACTCGGGCTCGATGCGCGAAATTCCGGTGTCTAGTGGCAGCAACAATAACCGGCGAGGCATCCTGACGGGGTGATCAAAGATACAGTATACAATGGGAGATCACGTACGCTTGATGTTTCGAAAGGTGCTGGACCTTCCCTTGTACCAACCCAATACGGATTGGAATAATTCAGTAATGAGTTAACTTGACCCAGAAAAAGAGAGGCAACCCTCAAGATTGATGATAATATTCAAACGAAGGGATTCCTATGGCTCGACCCGAGGATTTCCAAACAAGCCAAGAACCAAAGACACGGTTAGACGCGAGATAATTGCCGTCGGGTTGCTAAATGCAATGACGAAGCTGCCGTGGTCGTCATACAGCGTCGCTCCTAGTCAGACGGGAGTGGGGTGGTACAGCGAACCAGGTGATGCGACTCTACCGTCTCGGATACTGTTCGCGTTTCAGATGCGTGGACGCAACAGGGTCGTGAGGACGAAAAGATAGCAAAGGCTGTAAGGCGAGAGAACGTGCGAGGTGTCTGGAGAATGGCGATCAGGAGACAATCAAGCAAAGGCCTATCATACACACTTGTTGAAAAGGCTAAATTGGAAATCCAGCTTTTGTCGGCGCGGATGGCGACGGTAAGATCGGAGATTCTGTTGAAAAAAACGAAAGGCGCACAGGAAATCTAGTGTCGTCAAGACAGGATAGAATATCCTGCAAGAGAATGAAAAATGAGAAAAAAACGAGAGTAGAGAAACCGAAGTAAGAGAAAGAGCGGTAATGAGGCAATTACAAGAATTGCGGCACTATGAGACCAGACGACACTTGGTCGTGAAATTGTGATATCGTGAAGGTGGCCGAACAAAAAAGTTGAAGTTGGCAAGTAGTCAAACCAGTCGAGGCGGACGAAAGATTCCGAGTACCTAGGTAGGCAAGCAAGTTGCACAGCAGGACAGGAACAAACTCAAGGGAAGGAACAACAGCAACGATGAAGGATGGCGGCAGCGACACAGCAGCGGCAGCATTACATAGAGAGAACCTTGGAAGGAAGAAACCGAGCCGATGGTCAGTCACGACCTGTTTGATTCAAGGTACTTCGGAAGGTAGTTTGTGCTTCGCATTAGCCCATTATCCCATGTCGTTTATACAGAATTATGGAGAAAAAGGGGCCAGGCTTAGACTGGGAGAGCTTCAAAATGGTACCGGAAGGTCAGTGCATTATACCGTCGACGAGACTCCGGCCCCACGTTCTACCATGGGAACCCCGGTAACCACGGCCAAATCTGAAAACCCTCATTCTAAATCCTTACCGTCAAAATCGATCTACATGCAGCTTATTCTCTAAAAGACATACAAACTCATTTAAATATTTGACACTTGGACCTTTAGAATTTAGAATAGTTATGCGCAATCCTCGAGGATGGAATAGTCTAATAGTACACCATATACATAAATTGTATAAGTCGTAGTTATACGTAGTAAGCTAGAATATAGCTATAAGGTTGGACTTTATCCAGAGCATAATTCAAAGGAGTTTGAAGTGATTAGATTCAAACAGAGGCGACGGGCTGGGAACCCCTGTAAGTGTCTAAAACCCCTGCCACTACGTAAAATTTCTAGCGAATCAGCAGATAAAGATGATGAGCTTCACCAATTGGAAACACTAGCGTCCTTGCTTGCAGACACTTAAAAGTTCGTCATCCTAGATTCAATTAGTTATGTAGTAACCTAAGTACTACATATAGAGATTCAAAACAACCTATCAATTTAGAAAATGAAGATATCTAAATTGACCTAATAAGACAAAAAGTGAATAAAGATATTTATGTAACTATAGATGAAGAGGGAATTAAAATAGTATAGAATTGTGTACGTGTTTAGTATAAGATGAAAGAGGCGACTTCAATGTTCTGATGATACGTACCTAAGTATGTACCAGCGGCGCGTACTGCCTGCCACTCTCCTTTCATCTCGATAAAGTAGCACATTAGGTCATACGAGCATACAAGCTGACACATTAGGTAGGTGGCGCTTTTCTTTTCCTCGTCGTTTGCAAAGCAAACCATCTTAGAAAAAAAAATCAAAATCAAGCATTACATCTCGGTCAAGAATTGCGACAAATAGATGTATGTATCGCAAATATCGGGCCATAATAATGGATATCCCGATGTACCCCCCATTAATTGGAAGATTAAGGTGATACAGATTACTCGGATAATTTTAGCCTTTTCCACGATGCCATGAGCTCGGATACTTGGGGGATATTAGTTATCCGTCCGGAGAGTTACAGTGGTAAACTTGACCACGGCCCGTCCTCTTCCATTAATATTGCTACCTACGATTGTGTCATCCCGATAAAACGACGATATGGTACATCGTAATAATATCCCCATTTCATCATAGCGAGCGCGATCGTCACACTAACCTGTTCAGGGGTTATGAAATCGCCTATTGGCGTACGACTCCCGAATACATACCCAAATAGGTATGTACAAATGTACATATTCCTACGCGGACTCTGATTAGGTAGCAAAAGCGCTTGCTTGGCCACTGATTCTTTCTCCTCAGATCACAAAGAGACAGCTTGCGCGTAAATTTCCAAGTCGATCCTCTTGGATGAGGAAAAGCATGATGAAAGATGATCTTCACCAGCCTTTTTTTAATATTCTCCAATAATCGGTCGCAGTTCACATCATACGTAAGCTCTAGTCTGCAACATTTCGCACATCTTGCAGAGGATAGTCCTGAGGCGATGGACTCCACACAGGTAGCTGCAGGGACGGGAGGATTGGTTCTGGATAGGATTAGTTTCAGATTAAAATCGTTCCAGCCCCTTGCTGAATTCCAATCTATCCAATTAACATATCATACTCATTTTCATTTTAGACCAAATTGATGAAAGATGGCTGTCATTTTTCGTATCCCTATGCATCACATTAAGCAAATGGCAATTGGGACCTTTTTGAACTCGCATTTAGGGCTCGGGTGATGCATACTGAAATAATCACATGACCCTTTCTCAAGTCAACCCCCGAAGTTCTACCTAGGTGGTTGATTAGAATAATAGGAATAACCATTCCTATCAACTCAAAACCATTAGTTACACACCATCGATACGCCCCTTTATTGGAAGGACCTCGCGTCTTTATCGCACTTATGAGTACCTAATCTGGGGAATGAAATCGTTCTTCATACATTTCTCAATGTCAATAATACCCGATATTAGTCCTTAGACTACAGATAGGTATCTCATATATCTAGCTTCTCTCATAGTATATTTCCTTCTATTTCTTTGCCTCCATCGCCATAACATAATCTAAGAGTTCAAAGCCCTTCGTAGCCATCCCGCACTTTATATATGCGTTCCCCAAGATCTTCTCTGCTATAAGTCGGCGAGGGTAATCCTCTGGTTGAGTTCTCTTATACACATCTATGACATGCTCTAGCATCTCGACGGCCTTCTCAACCCGGCCATTATTGATATAAATATCAGATAGGTATGTCGCCGTGTATAGTCGCGTCATGTCTTCTTCTGGTAGTGTTGTCTCAGCTATAAGTTCGACGTGGTCTAGTAGCTGAGTCGGTTTCCTAACATATCCGCGGTCAAGGTATGCAACTGCTAGCTCTAACTCTGGGTCGAATCTGGAGACGCTGTCTGGTGGAAATGTTTTCCGCATAGCCACTGTACGTTCCAGAATATTCATTGCTTCCCTAATATGTCCGCGAAATCGATATGCCCGCGCCACAAACTCGACATTGAACAATCGATCATGGCTATCCTCAGGAAACATAGCCCTTTGTATACTCTTAACCCTCTTCAATAAAACCATACCCTTAATGAACCCTCCCTCCATCACGTATGCCCATCCTAACAAAAACCCTAAATATAATAGTTCCCGGCTCTTTTTCGTTCGTCCTATCTGATCTATAGCCACGACGTCCTTTAATATTTCGATCACATTTTTGCTCAGTCCCAGTGACGTATACGTGATTGCCAGTTGAACCTCCACCTCAAGCCGGAAGCTATCATTGTCCAGAAGATGATATTTGTTCCATTTATAACTCTTTTCCATTGCCTTCATAGCTTCTTTACACCTGGATTCTAGGAACAGGCAGACCCCAAGCTTGTAGAATAAGTCAAATCGCTCCTGTAGTAGTTGATCCTTGCTTTCATCAAGGATACGAAACACATGTGGAAAATATCGCTTATATTCTCTTCGCTTCATTTTACGTGAGAATAGTTTTTCGATGTGGCAAAGTGATGTAATAGTGACTTCTTTTTCGCGCCGGGACTGTCGAATCCAAATTCTTGTTGCGATATGTACCAAGTTGTGCATGTCAAATACGTTGTTTTCACCTCGTCGTACTAGAAACGTGTACCCACATAACGTCCCAATAGCATATTCCGTTTCTTCAGACTGTGCGCCGGGGAGGATAGACTGGGGTATAGCCTTTGGCTCGATGCAAGAAAGGAACGCGAGTAGGTCCGCAGCTACCCCATCAGACTTGCGGATCTGTTCGAAAGACAAGATCTAGGTAGATGCAATAGCATTTTGTGAATTCAGATATCGTGTATCGTCACAAAACTCCCGAGTCATCAAACTGATTACATCCTTTTCTGTCCCTCGTAGAAACTCTAGATACTTCTTGACTGGCATTTTGTTCCGATTTAGATATGCAGCAGCCTGTGAAATCGCTAATGGAAGACAAGTTAGCTCATGAAGAAGCTCGGATATTTCGTTCTCGTCTGGGCGAACTCCCCCACGGACTAAGCACCTCTCAAACAAAGATCTTGCCTCTTGCAAATCCATTTCCTGTAGGTTGACCACATCATTCCCGGCGACAGATATGGCAACTTCTGTCGATCGCGTAGTAAACAGGATGATGCCATTCTCGCTTTGGGGTAAGTATTTACACAGGCCACTTAGCTTGCCAGAGGATCCCAAAACTAGCTCGATATCATCTGCGTTATCCAGAATTAGAAGCCACTTCCCAGCTTCATCCGAGCTGAAGTATTGTTGCACTGATTCTTTCAAGTCCTGTTCATTTGGGCCAACCTGTATGTCAAGCCGCTTGGCTACTTCTGCGTAAGCTTGCTCAAACGTCTCGCTGCTGAGGGCAGGCACCCAGAGGATAGAGTGTTCGGAATGCTTGGCTTTCACCCAATATGCAAATCGGAGGGCAACTTGAGTCTTGCCTATACCTCCCAAACCAACAATAGACAGCTTCCGATATTTATCTCGACAGAGGAACATTTCTTCTATTCTGTACAAGATGCCTTCTCGTCCAGTGAATCGTTTGTTCTCGGCGAGAGGGGTGTAATGACAAGGCAGATGACTATCTACCATATCAATGAATTAGTCTTTCAAGCCTGATTGACTCTTCTAGGAGACTCACTAGGAACCCTGCTTCGTTCGTCGTTGGAAGTTGGTCTACCTGACAGTAACCGTAAGCATAGTCCATCAATGGTCAATATTAAGCTTTTGTGAAATATACATATAATTTCTATTACGTGCCTTGGGGTTAAGCCTTATCTTGCAGAGTTAGACTCTGACATGGCCGCCCGTAATGCTCCATGACTGTTAACATAAGATAGAGCACTAGACTTACGTTTCTTAAGTACCTCCTTGTACATGTCCCGAAGATTGGCACGCACAAGTTTGAGGTTATCCAGATCGGTTTGGCTTGTTCCGAATTTACACACACCGATGTGGTCTGCGTCAAGTTTGATGATATTCTCCCGATCGCCAGGTAAACCCAGTCGAGCACTCTCCCTTGGAACGGCCTACAGGTTAGGATACATGTCAGACTAGACTCGAAACCTCATTTATTGTATCACTTACGTCGTCCAACGAACCCCAGAAAGAAAGGATGCTGTAGTCTAATAGACGGTGTCGCCAATGCTCTTGCATGATATCCGAAAACATACTACCGGTTTTCAGTACCTCAATAATGTTGTCGCCCTTCCGGAAACCCAATGCTCCAGCAATCTTAGTAGCTATGCCCCCCAGGCTCACCAACTTCCAATCCCCACCATTATGGGGTGTAGCAAAGAAAGCTAGGCCCCATGTAGCATCTTTAAGAGTCATGTACTTTGGGTTATTATGAGCGTTAATCAAGGCCTGCTTAATCAATAATCCGCCCATGCTATGGCCTAGGAATATGATGGGCCTTGATTCAATCTCCTCCCTTTCAATTCGGACTGCTTCAAGTAACTCGTTCGCTTTGTCGATGAATGTATCTCGATCTTGGCTATAAACTGCCGTAGCATTGTATTGGTATAGGAAGATTCGTGAGTCGGGGAGAGATTGGGGAAGGACATCTCGAAGCCATAGGTGCCCTATTGGACCATAAGGTGTACGCCATGTATCCCAGGCATGTTCGGATGCATTCTTGTTTCGAGGATTCAGACCATGTACAGCGATGATGCTATACATTATTTGTATCAGCATGGTGTTCTTCAACTGAAAACGGTGGATCGTCCTCTTACTCGACTCTCGCAGTATTTTCGCCCTCAGCCGTAGCTGGACCGGGGAATAGTTGTCGTAGTGGCTATCGTCTCGAGTAAGCGGACGCCTGCTCAAAGAGCTTGGATCATACCATCGTATTAAACCCCCTTCCCGTAACGATGTCGAGTCCCTACAACATTATTTACGTGACCGAAAAACCCATCAAGCATGTCGAAACGCGTCGGAACCGGGAGTCTAATGGGCTGTGTTGAATATTGTGGCTTGACCCCGCTCATTTCTTCCCCAATAAGCATCGACACAATCATCCCAGGACGTACAGGTCAGTATTATGACGCCGGTGTTGTCCAGACGATTTTGTCAGCTTTTACCTTAGTTATCAAAATGTAGCCAGTATATTCATATATGCCCCCACAGTCCGCACCATTGGTGACAATCTTCTGTATGATAGGTTGATGTTCTAGACTTCGGCTCTTCTACAGCGGGTGTGAGTCGCTAATTACACACAGGATAACTCTTCAGCCACCCAGCGTCTTGTTAATCGTTTCCACCAAATCCCGCGTAGCCGTAACATTCGGACAATGCCCCGTCGCAATCTCCCAAGTCCTTACCTCCACACCCGCCTTCTCAAGCTCACCAACCATAGCCTTCTGGTAATCAATCGGCACCGTCATATCAGCCGTAGTATAAACATAAGTCACGGGGATCTCGCGCCAAGCCGAGTGTTCAAGCGGCTCATACATAGCCCTCCCATTCCAGCGACTGAGCGTCTTAACATAAGCCTCGGTATCCGCCTCATCGCGGCCGGGCCCCACAACCAAGCCCTTGAAATCCCGGGATAGCGCGGTGCCGTCGTCGGCGAAGTCAAAGGCTATCGGCACTAAGTGCATGTGGCCGAACTCCTCTACTTTATCCATCATACGACTGCCCTCGATGCCGGCGTACGCGGTTACGTATATGAGATGGGAGACCCCGCCTTTGAGACCTTTGGCGGATCGCACTTCGAGACCTAGGCCGTGTAATGCGTTGGTGCCGACTTGCCCTCCGTATGAGTGCATAATGGCCGCGACGTGACATCCGGCTCGCACTAGGCTACTGACGTAATCGCGGATGAGTGTTGTATCTTCCACGAGGCCGGCGTTCGGTGGGCGCACTTGGTTCATTGACGGCATGCGCGGGACGTGCACCTCATAGCCAGATGACTCTAAAGAGGTGACGAGGTCCTCGTAGCTCTCGGGAGTGTGCCAACCGCCATGGATGATGACAATCGTTGGCTTGATAGTGGTTGCCATAGCTGTCAACGTTAATTTTGAATACTTAGATGAACCAATTCAAGATTTGGTTTTATTTCATGAAAGCATGTATAGCGGCGAGGGATCTAATAGTTGTGGATTGCTGCAATTGTGCGTAGTGTTGGTAATCCCATAACTTGAAGGTTAGGTCTCCCTACCACTCAATTCCGCAGTAATTTGCAGCCGGAGTTAGCGGGGTTGTCGTAATAGGTATTTGGGCTTATGGTGGAACCGTTGGTGTCCTTGATGAGAATGATTGGTTCAAGTGCTACATAATTCCTTCCTCACTCAGAGTAAGAAAAGAGTGTGTTTAGATTTCATTGGTTGAAGGATCCCCGTTATGATGGTTCTAAAGAGGCTTGAATGTTTCATGGATGAAGCTGCGTTGAAGGGAAGTTGATGGCGAGTAAGGGCGGAGCGCTTGTATAGTTCAGCTGGTGAATAGGGAATTCGCTGGGTTGATGCCTGTATAGTTTTCATCGAGGCGTCGGACATTGAGAGATCTAACGGGATAAATACAATAAATATTTATATACTCGGTAACCTCGACCGTAAAAAAGCATCCGGTCTCATGGTATTATATATAAGAAATTCGGCTGGCGATATCGAAGGTCACATCCAATAAGAAAAAGACTTGATGGCTCATCTCAGCGAATAGTTCGCCAACTAGACTCTCGCTTCTTCTTCTCTTTCATTGCCTGCTTCTCAGCCTTTGACGCCTCCCACTCATCTAAATTTTGAATCAGAATCCAATCAAGCGACTTAATTCGATTCTTTTCAAGACTATTTTCCTTAAGCTGTTTGCCCTTAAGGTGCTTCTTCCAAGCACGCTTCCTAGAGCTCTTGGCTTTCTTGTCGGCTTCCGAAATTTTACGCCTGACTTCCCAGGCGGCCATCCTCCTAAGCATATTCGTCTGCGGGCTTGGGGCGGGTATATCGTCGAACGACAAATCACACGACCATTGAGAAAGGTACTTGAGGCACCTCTCCTGGGAGCTTAAGTCAAGAGTGTCTTGACTAAGGGGAATCACGAGAGGGTTCTTCTTTTCGAGATTGAACATCTGCATCATCCGCTTGGATTTGATAATTTTAACATGTAGTTTACGTGGATGAAAGTAGTTCTCGTTCATCAACTCAAGGTACTTCTTACAACGTTTATACGTTGTAGCGAACGTGGCGATGACAGCTAAGAGCCCTAAACCGGCTGCGACCCCGTCGGCTCCCTGAAAAGGAATGCAGCCGATGATGAGTGCAGTAATTTCAACAACATGAATTGCAGGATGTGGGCTTATCACGATGTTGAGATTGTCGATGAAAGTTATGAAATCCTCTTGAGTGATGGCATGATTGGCTAGTTCGGGGACCCGCGCTCGTGCGAACGGGATTTGAGGGCCTGGGTTAACACGAGGGATCAAAACCGGCTTTGGCAATGGCGGGAAGACGGTATCGGATGGTATAGGAGGAAAATATGATGCGGCAAGGTTGAGAATACGAGTCTCAGTGGATTCGAGTTCTTGGTCAGGGTGTATGTTGGAATCAGGCTGCCCATTTGATTTTAACGCGAGAGCTTCATCCTCCCTAACAACTGTCGTATACGATGGAGGTCGCGAGAGTGGAGATATGGCATCTTCCGTATATTGGTTGGAGTGGATATTGTAATCTTGATTTGTGCCATTTGGTGAACTTGTTTGTGAGGTTGATGGTGATTGTTCTAATTTCTCGTGGCTGAAATTAGTACTCTTCTTCCTCAGAGCGACCATAATATCACCAAATCCCCTTTTTGATGACATGATCAAATGGACAGAATATACAAGAACTTAACAATAGAGTTGTTAATTATCGCATATAATCATCGTGTACCTTGAGTACCAATTGATTGATCAATTGACTACTTTGTAGCTCAATTGAAAAAAAGTGAAGAATTCATTCGGAAGAAAATGAAGACTCGAAATCTACGGCAATTACCTCTAGTCTTGGCATTCTGAGCTGAAGCTTAGCGTCTCGTGATAATGAAAACTAACCTATTCAGGAAGCCATAATGATTCTCATATTATACGGCGTATTCTCTCAGAACAAGAATATTTGAAGCTGGTGGTTGAATTTGAGATTCAACTCTGGCCATATTGAATGCATCGTGTGTTATGTTGTAAGGAAAAGAATTCAGTTGATGGGAGGAGTGGGTAAGGTAAAACCCACGTACCCGTGGGCGCTAACAAAGGATATAATTATACCTTCTAAATAGAGCTTTGTTAGTACTATATGCGGAATACAGTAAGGTTTGGAAGGCAGGACGCGTTTTAATGTTCCTATTGGATCCACCAGGAATATGTCCGTAATAACATTGTGCATAATGAATTATGTTAGGTCTTGATTCAGAAATAAGAGGGCATAAATCAACATTAAATTCATCCCGCTGAGTCATGTGACATGACGTTAGCCGCCTAGGGGAGGTTGGTTGGTTCTCCGGCAAGCTCGGCCTGTGAGTGTAGATTCTAGAATCCACTTTATCCCTTTTAGGCCTTGTGCTACGCTTTGTGTACGTGACACAGGCTGTTATTACTCCCTCATCCCCACCTGTCAACAGCTGGGAAACGCCAGATAACAACTGACTTAGGTACCTAGATATCCCCGTAACTTATGCCCACTAAGGTCGTCATCAGGTTCCGCAGGGTCCGCAACAACATCCATCGACCTTTCAACAAACTCCGTCAACACGCCACGCACCCCGTCATTCCTTTCTTTACATCTACATATCTTTCTTTTTTCATCAACACCAATCAATTCCTATTTCTCTTCACAACCTGCGCTTCCATGAAGCAATAAATATTTTCATTTTGTCTACTGCGCTATCGCGACATCATCAAAATGCAGTTGACTTCTCTCTTTGCCGCCGCGGGTCTGGCGGCCTTCACTACCAACGCCTTTCTTCTCCCTCCTGACGTCTCCGATGTTGGAGACCACCCTCTTAGCATCCTCCCTGTTCCCGTCCCTGCTCCCGAGACCCTCCCCATCTACGCTGGCACTACTAGCTCGTTGATGGTCAAATGCCCGGGATGCCCCGTCCGTATCCCTCACCACAAAGAAGCCAAGATCGTCCACGATATCCCGAGCCATCTCGAATTGAACTTCCACGTCAAAACTGGCTCCGGTGAAGAGGCCGACAGCTTAACCTTGAACGGTTTCGAAATTTACCCCAACCCTGAATTCACACGAGGTGGCCTCGTCGCCGGTGTGCATGCCGACATTCCGCGCCGACAGATGAAGAAGTTCCCATGGGCTAAGGGACCGATGCCAGTCACTGTCCAGAAACTTGGTTTCGGCATGCAAACGAGCCGCGTTACCGAAGAATCCACCGAACTTATCTCGATTGAACTCGATGTCATTGAAGTTGGTGATGCCTTTGTCGATGGCATTCCCAATGTTCAAGTCAAGCTTTTGAAGACCCCTGAGAACAAATTAATGATTGCCGATGTTAAGGTAGTCGAGTCTGAGGCGAAGCAGAACAACCCGATGGATAAGCAGGAAGAATGCGCTACCATGATCTGCAAGTGGAAGGCAGTCATGATGCAGAAGCTTGCCGCGTTCCGTGCCCACAAGGGCTGCGGTGGTCGCCCCCGCCCTGCTCACGTCGAAAGCAATGAAACAGGACAAAGCGATGAGCAAGTTAAGGACCAAGACAAGCCCCAAGATTTCCAAGGCAAGCCACTTTGGAACCCTTACTGGGACGGTGAGCGCGGTGAGCACCATGGCCACCGCCACAGAAACTGGGGGTTATTGTTCAAGAACATTGGTTCGCACATCCTGCTGCCTGTCGCTATTGGCATCTTGGCCGGTGTCTTTGCCAGCATGTAAGTTTCAACACTGCGATTTCTTTGTTAATTGAATGGTTTACTAATTTTATAATAGCCTCGGTATGCTAGTTGGCACTTTTATCGTCTTCCTCTGGCGAACCGTTACCGGCCGTAGCAGCTCCCGTCGACACCACAGACACGGTCACCATCACAAGGCTTCCCGCGCTGAGGCGGCCGCGCACGATGAAAAGTCCGGTCTCATGACTCACCAAGAACAAGAAGTTGATGCCGCGCCGCCCGCCTATGTTGAGGAGGGTCTAGTTGTCCTCGATGACAAGAAGAACGAGAATGTGGCCTAAACAATGATACCCCCACCATCTACCAACAATTCCTAATCTGAATTCGATACCGGAGTTTTTCGATAAGGACCGATGAACAAGATTGTGGTAGCTAGCTAGCTGGCTTGAGATGATTGCAAAGAGGTGTATGGCGTTGAGATAATGGTTCCGAGACCGTTACTTAGGTACATGAGGACAAGAAAATTCTGGACCTGGAAAATTGGCCAGCTTGGGATCACTCTCCTTTTAACCCCTTCTTTTCCTTTCTGGTTGTAGTGTAACAAGTACTCGGCGGGTAAAATACCCCAACGTTCCTTTGAATTGACAATTGTATCGGGGATTCCATAGTTTATTATGTTCTTACTATCATGCAATGTACCCGTGATCTGCCTCTTCATCTTGACTAATGATACAGCTCCGAAGAATAAACGATTTAGAGTTGCGGTTAACAGACACTACCTATCGCTCGAGACGGAACTTGAAGACTAGTTTAAATCGTACTGATTGCCAGTGGAATATCAGTCACAGTGGTTTAGTGATAGACGCTGCTGTGTTACCCAAATGCAGCCACCTGATCATCAAACATACTCCGGATAACCCCACACGAACGCCCGTAATAATTCAAGTAGCATTGAAAAATAGTGTAGAATATCAAGTTCTCCCCATTTATTTATATTCCTTCGGCCTTGAAATTACATTAGGTATGACCGTACCAAGATAGTTACCACTAACATATAGAACCAGTGATAGTAGCTCGAGATCGCGAACGGGTAGCTAGCTACACTACTAGGTACTTAGGGCACTATGCCTGTCAATACACCGAGGACAAGAAAACATCCCGCAAAGGCGCATCAATTGCCATCTTTCGAGGGAATTTAGCTAATGTTGCAAACTCACGCTTATATACGTGAACACCAACCGGCATTCCCTCGACTCTATCATACTCATGGAGGAAGAAGCCGACGACACGGTCTGGATCATGCAGAAGTTCGCATTCCAGAAAAGCGATGTGTGACTCTCGCATGTCGGGCCTCGCCGTATTCTCCGCAACTCTCAACCTGATGCGCAAATACCCATCATTTGGGAGAGAAAACTCAGACGACCACGCCAATCCACCGTCGTTGCGCCGGAGGGGTATGATATCCCCGCTAAACGAGAAGCGAGATGGATGCTGTGCATATAGGGAGCCTCCCACAATAAGCGCGTCCTCAGATATGTCGTTCGCCGACAGTGGCCATCGACCCCAAGCGAAAAGGGACTGATCATTTGCCAACTTCGCGATCTCACTTTGAAGCCGGAGGAATGCGTTTGTCTCGCCCTCGCCATATAACAGGGGCATATGGATATTAAACAGGCCTATCAAAGAATACGCCAAATCCTCCGGTCGTGTGGTTCGTCTATTCGCCGCCCACGACATGCGCTGGGCGACGCTATACTGACGCTGGCGCTTCAAACCAGAGAAATACGGCTCCTTGAGAACAGAACGATGGATTCCCGTGATCTTCTCGATGGTCGCAGCGTACTCCCACTTAGAGCCTATGCGCACCCAATTCGTGCTATAGAACTCGACGGTCCGGGGCGCAATTAGCTCTTGCAACGTCCAGCCCCGGGTAAACCAGATACTTCTAGCAAAACTAGAGTCCTCATCGACCGGATCGTCTTTATCCGACACGTCGCGCATGTACGCGAAGCATACCTCAGCAGCCTCGTACCAAGCGTACATAGAATTGATAGCTTCGGTTAGCTCGGCACTGCTAGATTTATCGATACAGCACGTATCAATCCATATCCAATCGAGACCACTATCCCGTGCCAACTTGCAACTCCAAAATATCTTAGCATATTTCCTCTTTTTTCTCATACGGGATATGTATGCCGAAAAATGCTTCCGCGGCGCGAAGGCCTCGAAGGGAGGTTCATGGCGGGTCCAAGTATGCGATAAGATCGCGTAAGGGGGTCTGTCCTGGCCAAATGTCCTCAATTCCAGCGTGCTGGTGTTGAGAAGTCGCATTGCTATGTACCCATGATTCTTTGCCGCACGAATTGCCTCGACGCAACAATTGTGGAAATTGATGAGATGATGCTGAATTATGTGACGCGTTCAGCCGCAATCGAGGTACTTCTAGGTATGGAGACTAGCACGATACCACAAGCCGGCGCTAACCCCACACGGCGATGATCGCCATCACCGGTCCGAGCCTAGCCGCCTTTTCAGGCTCCTATGCACGATAAAGGGGCGTTTTGTTCCTTGAATAGGGGTTAAGTTCAATATCTACTATACGGCACACACAAATAGCATCTCTTTTGCTGCAACTGTGCGTACTTCTTCGAATATATCATAATAGGAAAAAAGGAGACAAGAAGAATTAAAAAGGAAAACGTACAACATCGAGGATTCGCTGGTCGTCACCGACCCAACTACTGATTCGACGGTATCCGGCTTATCTAAGGGGGGAGCGGACGGGACCCCGAGTTCTCCAGATCCTATGGTCGTACGTGATAGATTGCTGTGGTGTCTTAATTTATATGTTTGGTCTCCTTGAGTTTACCTAGGGTCCCACAGTATTCTAAGCCCATCTAGTCTAGTTCTTAGATCTAGAGCGCTTTGATCAGAATCCATATTTTAGACTGGAATACTCCGAAGATACATGTTATTATGCTGTTGTCCTAGTTCGGAAACTAACATCTCGTGTAGGCAACGGTCGACATACAACCTACAGTGCGCTAGAACAAGGCAAGGTAGTTTTTCCGGGCGAAATTCGCCGACCTACTCCGTAGCTACTTCGATGAGTCTTCGGCGGTAATGATAGCAAGCTGCTCATGGAGAGTCCGGGCCTGTTCTCGCCTTTTCGTACAGATAAGACTGAATGCTAAACGTGTATGCGGAAAGTGACGAAAAGAACATGCCTTTGTTAAATAACATATTCTCATTCAGAGCGTTTGCCGTACCCCTCTTCCAGTTTGTAGAGGCTTTATTTCTCATTGACAGCTACGAAGTGGTGGTTTTTCGAGTTATGATAGTTGACCTGAAATGTCTCAGAACTAACACAACGAGCATACTTAAGTGATGTTACACAAAACACATTAGGCTGGGGGAAAAGAACCTTATAAATACGTAAATATATCATATTTACCCATTAAATAAGTGATAATAGGCTACAGGTGTTGTCTTTATATGGGACATATATCTACGCAGCGGGAACCACCAAACATCGAAAGAAACACCACGGGCAGTATCTTCAGTTCAAGCTTGGGCGTTATCCAGACTACCAACCCAACCTTAGTAGCTTCTTAAACGAGCTGAGATCCTAAAGTTAAAATGTTGGCAATGGCACGTAGGTATCACGCCGTGGTTAACTCGGGAGGTGGCCGAGGTAGCCCGCGCCGACGAGGTTCTGGACGACGGCATAACTTGGCCCAATTAGGCTGCCCCAAAAAAACCCTAAAGCACACGATGTTAGAAGCCACTTTACTACTTCTTCCAGTAAAAGGTTAATTAGGCCCACGAAAAACACGTCAACAAAAACATTTGTTCGTGGGCTATGAGGAAAGGCAACAACCCAGTGATTCCATACTTTCACTTTCATCATTTTTTCTTCCCACACCTTTCTCGATTCTAACCACTTTTCTTTTCGAGATCTCAATCCCAATTACACTCAATCCTACTTGATTAATTTTAGGGATCCTCTAGTAGTTCTAGAGGAACCATACGACCATGGATACCAGAGATGTATCTGTTGTGGAAGGCTACATCGAACTTCTTGACCGGCTAAAGCAGGATGCCGAGAAAGCAATGCTTCGAAAGGGAGAGATACCCCAAGACCACACTCATCCTTTCTCTCTGGTCTCCAAGTTCATGACAAGGCTAGTTGCTCCGTCTAGAATTCCCACAGGCGAACACATACTTCACACATTGCAAGTGCCTCAGTATTATCATCCTTGTGTCCTCCCTCTAGATCAACTCAAGCCTCTAATGATATCGCAAATGATGCTTGAGACCCATCATCGAGGAACCCAGACCATGGTTCGCCTCCTGACACCGGCCGACCGAGTGACTGCTGTCATGGCTATCGCTGAAGATGAAGAGGGCACCGCAGTTCTACTCCAGCTATACAGCCAACCTGATGAGTCCAAAGTCAGTAAGGATCTTATTCTCCGAGATGGAGACGTCTATATCATCAAGGAAGCATTCCTTAAGGCCAATATCGATGGAACATATTCCCTGCGAATCGATCATGTTAGCGATATCGTATGGTTGGAGGAAACCGACAACCGCATCCCATTGAACTGGCGAAAGAAGATCCTGGATCTCAACGGCAATTCCAACGACTTTCGCGCGCAAGGAAACGAGGCAATCAAGGTACGAGATTGGGCCAAAGCAGAGCGTCTGTAAGCAAATATGTCCGTGTTCATAGACCTAATTAGGTACTAACCAAATCACAGCTACACCGACGCCATTCGTTCTGCTGAGGGCCCTTATGAGAGATTTCTGGCTTATCTGGACCGTTCTTTCTGTAACTTCCAGCTCGAACGTCCGGAGAAGGCACTCGGCGATGCACTTAAGGGGAGTCCTAGCGGAATCCCAAGCGAGAAGTCACTCTTCCGACAGGCCAAGGCCCTTTACGCACTCAGGAAGTTCAAACTCTGCCAAGAGACACTTCTCACCCTCCTCCGTTCCAACCCGAAGAACTCAGGCGCGTGGGCCGAGATCAAGAAAGTCAGACAACGTCTCAACGAGGAAGAAAATGGAGCGTATCAATTCAACGATATGTACACACAATCCGAAGCTACCCTGCCGTTGATCGATTGCGCGACGTACATCGGACCGGTCGCCGTTCGCGATTCACCTAGTCGAGGCAAGGGTCTCTTCACCACCAAGCCTGTCAAAGTTGGCGAGCTTCTATTTTGCGAAAAAGCTTTTGCTTACGCATACGCGGGTGATGACACTCCTGCGGGTCTAGCCAACGTAACCCTGTTGGTGAACATCAACAATGGATATATGACCATTGGTGGACAGTCAGATCTGATTAGGCAGATCATTCAGAAGATTCTCCACAACCCTTCCGAAGCAAAGCAAGTCACCGACTTGCACCACGGCGATTACGACGCCGTTACGACATCCGAGGCAGACGGATCTCCAGTTGTTGATACGTAAGTCATCCTTTAGATATAACTATAAAATTACAGGCAAGCTAACGAGCAAATTATAGGTTCCTGATCACGGAAATCATTCAGCAGAATGCTTTCGGTTGTGGCAGATCGAGCTTGAAGACCAAGATGATCCCCATGACGGGCACTCGTGGTGAGATACTTGGACCATCCGAGACCCACACCACCTGCGGTATCTGGCCCCTAGCATCGCGCATCAACCATTCATGCGTACCCAACTGCCACCGTTCCTTCATCGGCGACATGCAAATCGTCCGAGCAAGCGAGGACATCGAGGCAGACACAGAGTTGCATTTTGCGTACCACATCCCACCTTTCAACGAGAAGTACGAGGTGATTCAGAAGAAGTTTGCACACTGGGATTTCGTCTGCGAGTGTGCGCTTTGCCTTGACAAGAAGTCCACACCTCGAAAGGTTTTGAAGGAGCGCAAGGCTTTGTTCGAGAGCATCGAGCCGCTGTTGAAGCGAGATTCGCCTATGGCTGCTCTGGCGCGAGTAGGGAAGATTCTCGAGAAGATGGAGAAGACGTACATGGCCGGACAGAACGGAGCACCGCCGCAGCGCCATGAGATGGTGGAGCCGAGCTTCGCGTTAGGAGCCTCACTTGCGGATAAGGACATGTTCCCGGCTGGGTTGGACATGCTTCTCAAGGGTCTCGAGGCACTTGGGTTCGTCATCGCCGCTTGTCCCCCGAGAGACCTTGGGGATGGCAAGAAGAAGAGGAAGAAGGGAAAGGCAATCCTGGAGATCAAGCGCTGGGGTTACGCCACTGAACTTAACGTGATAGCTTTCCTGCGCATGATGACAATTTACGAGAAGCTGGCTCCTGAGCTTTGCAATGTCGCCAAGGAGTATGCCAGAATTGCATACTGCATTTGTGCTGGGGAGAGAGACACCGCTGGTACTTGCTTCCCGGAGCTTGCGTAGGTGTGAAGTGAGGTACTCATCCTTTACGTGGAATTAGGGGACAAACGGCGTTAGTACTGGTAGCTACCTAGGTAGTTTATGTTAGTAGAAATGATCAAAAAAGAGAAGGTGGTATTTCAGTGCTTCTGTAAATTTTACGACGCAAGTCATCCACAACTAGTCGGTATCCCGTAAACACTTGACCCACTACTTACAACAACATGTTGAGAACTAAATGCCCAAGAACCCATTAACAAGCTTCGCAATTTGCGCAGCTAACTTTTCCGGCTGGCTGACGAACGGCATATGCCCCGTTTTAAAGTCGACCACATCCCATTTGACCTTCGACTTCTCCAGCCATAAATTCTGGACAAATGTAGGATTGCAACTATCATCTACGGTGCGGATATACGCCCTCTTCCCATCAAATGCTTTATCCGCCCAAGCAGGCGCCGTAGCTTTCGTCTCAAACGCCAAACAAGCATGCGGCGTCATCTCTTTCTCCAGTTTCGCAGCTAGCGCAGGGTCGCAGTCGTTATATAGGACCTCCGTTGCTGGCTCAATCAGAGAAAGCCCTTTAGATGGCTAAAACCCGACGTATCAATATTTTGCTCTACCCAAGAGGAACCTGGGTTGAATATACCTTGTCCACTTTGATAAACGGGGGATAATTACCGCCGATCGCATCGAACAGGGATTCGTTTTCAAGTGTGATGTTGCCCGCAGCGTAAATAAGCCCAACAACCCCGCCGGTCTTCCCTTCCTTACTGCGGGTCTCTTTGTCTAGGTTCTTCGCTGCGCCGCCGTAAGAATGGGCGAGGATGACAACATCTCTATTCTCTAGAAGAGGGAGGAGAACATTGTCGCGCAATGAAGCAATATCCTCTGCGCAAGTTGCTGTAGTCGGATCTGAAGGGTTATTGCTGGGGTACGGTCCTGGGTGAGTTGAGAGCCCAGCTTCTTTCAAGTGAGGGACTATCGGGTCGAAGCCTTCAGCCGTGCCAAATGCACCCGGGACGAGGAGAATAACTGGTAAGTTTGCAGAAGACATGACAGCGATATGAGAAGTAATTTCAAAGAACGGATTGTCGTGACCAGAAAATGCGTCAATTAAGAATAGAATGCCTTTTAAGGGTGAGAATCCCGGGTTACACATCTCAGGTAAGGGATAACATCTCTTGCAAAAATGCCATGCCCCATCCTATGCTGACCGCAGCAGCAATTTAGAGATGTTGAGATGTCTGACCAACGTTGAAAAGCGCAACTAGAAATATGTAAGGTTAATTACCTATATTTGCGCAAGCCATATCCCTTCGCTTTTCTTTTTCTACCTGAACCTTTGGTTCGAGTTCGAGCTGCCGATACACCTAATATTTTTCGCTATCCGGGCGTAATCTCATCGCATCTCGTGGATCTCATAGAAACTTGCCAGTGTAGTCTTTATGCTTATGAGGCTATTCCTTACTTTTCCCCCGTCGTTTCGTTACACTTCAGTTCTGATGCCGCTGGGCAAAAGGAGTAGGTGTCCGGCTAGATGATTGGGTTGTCCTTGTCGCCTTCACCAGTGAGCTCTCCGCACTTTGAGCCGAGGATTACTGGCTTGCCACCTAACTTACCTAGGTCTATGCCATCCAACTTGCAACCAACATGCTGTGATGTAGGACGACACACCATCAACTCGTGTTCTGAGCGAACCGACATATCTAGGTAGAAATACCGAGCTTCCGTACTCTCCGGATAAGGCGACGCGTGTCTACGAAATCGTATTATCAGAATTGGAAGCCGCACGAGATAATCGGAAATGCACTAGTACCTAGGTAACATGCCAACCTCAAGATAGTTATAATCATAAATGATTATAGGAAATTTTAGATATCTTGTGAAAAGTTGCTCTTGGCGAGGCCCTGGACGGAGATGGATTACCGCGTGGCCAACAGCCACTTACATCACTCACCTAACCATCTAGCCGAGACACAATCCGCTACCCGAACCCCCAGACCGATTTTCTTTTTGCACCTTTAGCTAGCTAATGGCGTACATTAGAGGATGGCGATAGTCAAGACACTACGACCCGCTAAAGAATTTCTCTTTGCCTAGAATCATAATCTCCATCGGGCTGTGTTGAACTACAAGATTTCCCCCAATTAAGACCTCCTAAATGGACAGCTATGCATTGAGAGACGTACCTCAGTACCTAGGTACATCAGTATAAGTATCTATTGAATGTTGGTGAGATGCGCCACCTCCTATTGACGTCGCGTAATACAGGGCTGGGCTTACATGCTTTATAATCTCTTTTCTCATACTGTACACATGATGTATACAAGAAGTACCGAACGCCAGAGCGATAAGGTGAGAGGCAAATAATACAAACGGGAGGAAATATTCTCCTTTTCTTTCCCCCATACATCCCTAGAGTAGGAATCTAATCAATTATCGAGCCATAATATCCTCCCATACGTACGAACAACCTACTGTCCAGCCATCCCGAAGAAATCAATACATCACCAATATAAAAAAAGAGTCCCGATTAAGTAACAAAAAAAATCGCCACGATACGATAACACGCATACACCAATCTACCTCACCGAGAACGCCCGAAGCAACGGGTTCCTGCAACCCGACTCCCCTCGCCAATCGGAAACCCAGCCCACCACCAACCAAGCCACCACCACCCTATCGTCTAGAACGGTCCAATTCATAGGCTACATCCGTGCTACCCTACGCATGCATCTAATATGGAGCCCACCAGGCCGGAGAGCTTACACCGCGGCCTTGCGCCATGCATGTATGCACATGTACGTACATCAGGTGGTATATACAACATGCATGGCTAGCTCCCTTGCCTATAGTATCTATTAGTATTAGATACGTTAGGTAGGCATTAAGAACCCTCAAAAAAAGAGAGACAATGCAGCCCATATCACGGAACGGCACGGCAAACGCGCCTCGCCTCCCTCGCAGAGGTGTATTTGTCACCTTATGCGGAGAGCTCTCCTAGCAGAGCGATTGGATGGTCCCCTTGCATGAACTGTACGTGTACCGCGCACCGTGCTTAAATAGCTGTGATATATCTCTATTAGTTCTCTTGCACCGGGGGTGTTCCATATCGAACATAGAATTTCTATACATGGGTTTGGGTAGGTAGGTATAGTAGTGGAACTTCGACGGATTGCTAACTCCCTACATATAGATACATATGCGCTAAGAAATACGGACGTGCGTGCATGCATTTGAGGGTACTTCGTTGAGAACGCAGAATATCTCTACACACCCCTTCCTACCCGATCCCTATCGTCAAATCCTCCTCAAGCACCTAATACGAAGGGTCTAGTCGTTCGATATATCTATTCGATCCCTTGCCGATTAGGTGGGGGACACGAACCATAGATGGAGATCTATGGCACGGCTCCTCCTCACGCCTCTAATAGGTTGAGCCAGTTCAACACCATCATAGCTTTTAACAGGTTCCCACGCATGTCCATATGCACTCCGTCGTACATGGTCGCTTGAATGCTCATGTTCCACGTCCCCAGATGGTCAACTCTCCTCTTGGCCGCCTGGACCGCCATCGCGTGCTCGAACTGGACCAGGGCTTTATTACCCTGGCTGACGATCCACTCATCCGGCTTCTTGTCTCCCGCTGCGTTGGGTGTCATCAGAAGGATCGGCAAGTTTTTTCTAGGGCTGCGTCCTCGTAGTCGCGTACGCGCTCCCGTCTTAGAATCGATCGTGTCTAGCACCGTGTCCAGCCAATTTACAGCCTGGTCTACCTCGAGATTGTTCCAGAGTCCGTGCCCAAGGATAAAGGCCTTCTGCTGGGAAGGATTGGGATCGATTGCCTTCTCAAGCCGGCGGCGCTCATCCTCCGGTATAGGGTACCGAACTATCTGCTCAACTGCCGTCATACGTCAACCTGACAAGTTCCTGATTCCATATTTTCAGGGCCTGCCGTGATGACCTACTCCGCAACTCCGTAGCCCACTCTGGGATCACTTTCGGGCATATGAAACTCAGTGGGTCATGTTCTATAACGTCCGCCGTACTAAAAATACCCTGAACTGAACAATCACGAACGTCGAACTGGTTGTTACAGAAGCACTTGCGTCTGTGGGCTTCGTGTTAGTAACGAGGTAGCTGGATTTCGAGAAAGGGTGCTTGTTTCCACATCGTACTTTTCTTGTTCGTTGAAGTTCCAGTCAGTGACTCCACCATATCCCAAATCCTCACGAACCAGGATGTTCAACGCTCCGATAACGTGTCTAAGCATAGAGTCGCCCACAAGAATGACTTGGGAATATTTGCTTAGTATCCTACACACGTCCCATGTGTCGAACCACTGCATGTCACATCCACGAGGTACGTATGGTGCATCCTTCCCAATCCGACCGCCGGTGGACATAGCCGTTAGCATCGAGTTCTTGTCCACGCAGACATGTCCGAAAGGCACGTGAAGGTCCAAGGAAGAGACATTACACGCTTTTCCCCGATGCTTATATCCAGCGAGTGTGTCTCTCAATTCTGCAGACCGTGACTCCGGTAGGTAACCAAGTGGAAACCCACACCCTTGGGGCGTATTAAAACTGGGGATAGGGTGCCAATAGGAGATGACCGTAATCGCAGCCACGAAAACCAGAAGGTATCTACTAAACCTCCTAGCTAATCTCGGTGATGCTGTTATATACGTGCTAGGAGGATTTGTTGGTGGTGGAAAAGACGAGGAGCGATTGTCAAAACTTGAAAGCCTAGACATCGTTCGTCCGCGACGGTGGCTTTTATCCGTGGACCCCCTAGAGGACTCCCCCTGAAATGCAGGGTCGTGAAGATTATCGCCGAACATTATGTCAGCAACTTTTCGTTTCTTCACCGCCGGACTTTTACATTGATCAAAGCATGCATAGTTGTGCTCTTCTGGCAGGCAGCGGAAAAAGACGATGTACGATGGAAAATGGGAACGTGTTTTAAGGTTTAAGGCGAAATCATATTGGTCCAGGTAAGCAACCTCCAGTAGTTGACATTCTGATAAAAAGTGCGGTTACACGATAGCAACTTCTTCGGCGGGCATAGGAACTCGTTATGCTTTCGATCTAAGTCAGATCTAGCTACAAGGGAAGTAGTAGACTTTACCACTGCATACTAGGTATCTAGGCGCATGCCCTTCGAACTCAGTCCCTTCATATTACGTAATGCATCGTTAAAGGAGATCACCGAGTCACTATATCTAAGCAAGTCACAGTTTCAAACGGAAATAAGGCATCACAGTCGATATTTTCCCATTTCCTGCCCACTACTACTCCAGCAATGCTTATGGGTAAGCCGAAATCACGTTTATCAAATCAACGCCGGCGTACCGATTAGAACCTTAGGAACAGTATTCCCATGTACCGTTTCCCTTTTTTCCGTTTGAAAACCTTTCCATTTCATTTTCTCAGCCGCCATCACCTTGGCCTCGAGACTTTTTTGCGAAACTAAAACATCACATCACTTCACCTCCCACTCCGACTTCTCCTAGAGGTAGTCCTCTAACTCTTCATCCGACTCAAAGACCCAAGGGGGCAGGAACTGGTCGCGCTTGACCCTGCGCTCCTCATTGATCGCCTCACGTTCGTGTCGGTAAACGATGAAGGGCCTGACGATGTTGCAGCACTTATGGCGAATGCTCCTGATGAACTTGTCTACCGCCTTCGCCAACTCGTCGGTGTCCTCAGCTAGCAGGTCCTCTAAAGCATCTTCGTAATCACTTTCGCTATCGCTATCCTCGTCGTTGTGGTCGATATAGCGAAGGAGCTTCCTCATGCTCTCAGCCGTCTTCGCGGGCTGCTCGTCGATGAATTGCTGTCGCGCTGCCATGGCCTTGATTGAGAAGTTGAACAGGGTCTCTTCGTGAATGTCGCGCAGCCAATACCAACCTCCCATGTGTTGGGCAACCTCTTTCCAGAACTGGCGGGGGTTAAAGTCACTATAATGAAGAATGTTAGTGATAGTCACATCGGGCGACTGTCAAACACGTGAGTTCCACCAGGTTGGAAAGGGTAATAAATGATTGTTTACGTACCTGATTCGAAGATGTTTGGCCAAATAGGCACCTGTCTTGAAGAAACCCACGAGCCAGGAGAGTGGAGCGTGTTCGTCGCCCCAGAACTCAACAAGTCCCTCGAATACTTTGACGAAGTCATCGCACTCTGAAGTTGTCAAGAGGTAAGTACGCGCGGGGTTCAGCTCCGACTTCCATACAAAACCTTCGACGGGTAGGTACTTCTCGAGAGATTTGTTGTTATGAGGTTCGCGTTTTCGCATCTCCTCTGCCATCTCACCAGTTGGCAGGTGCTGCTTGATTGTTTGAGGTTCTGCCATCTAAAATCTTGTTAGAAGAAAATAGATATGCCAATAATTTACATCGCAAAAAACGCATCAAAATACAAGGGGAGAAGGTGAAATAAAATCAAATAAAGACCAAGAAATAATAGACCTACTGTGGAAGATTCTGCTTCAGGAGAAGCCATGCTTGGATGTGGTTATCCCCGGTGGGGGAAGAGGAAAACAAATTTTGAGCAGTGAAAGTATTGTGTTTGGTAGAGTAGAAAGAGTGACGAAGAACTCACTTCGAAGGGCTAGGTGAGAAATGAAGGAATATGGTGAATCATTTTAGCAATGTACATGATCGTTGCGGTAACTAGGTCCACGATAGCACGGTTTGGTTCAAACACCAGGACGTGGTAGACCAATGAAGTACGTGTAGCTCTCGCCCCTCGTAAACTTAACTAGGCGACTACACGCAGAACATTGAAGCATCCACACACGTATGGCAGCTACACGCGCAGCTCCAGGTCAGGTCTATTCTTTCCCATACTACCAAAGCAAATTTTTTGTTCCTGAGTACGGTCACGTCCTGACTATCAAGCTCCTAAGAGCTTTCTATTACACAACTGAATAGGATGTAGACGTGTCAATAACAACCGCAGGTGCGACGTCTGGAACAATTACCAACTTGTGTAGACACTCAGACGGCGCTAAGTAGATGACTCTTGGTGGTTACGGGTAGTAACTGCCACATTCGTGTTGTGTCTTCTGGCTTAACTCGCCGTTCCTAACTATTCCTGGCTTAAGATCCGTCTCATTGTTAACACCGCTTGTGAATGATGACTTAAGTAGGAAAGCTGTATCAAGTATGTATTGGCTCTTATTCATATCTCCTTACGAGGACATAAGTCAGTGGACGAGGGTCTATCAAAAGTGAAGTTGAAGATATTCAACACTCTATAAACAATAGATAACTAGTCATTGACGACATGTAGACAGACTAAACTATAAGAGCCTCGATCTGCGCTCTCTTGGCACAGCAGGACCCTTTCAAATGAAAATAGTCAGCGGAGCGGATTCCGTCTTGGCAGGGGCCCCGTCGAACAAGTCCAGGCCACCGAACTTGCTGCTGTATTACATAACGATCTCTGCGATCGTCCTTCCCCATCATCGGAGAATAAAAATCGAGTGGCCAAAGTGGGCGCATGAGCACACACAGAGTGGGGAAATGGGATGATCGTTGTGATTTCATTATAGGAAAAAGATTTGAGTGGGTTTCGTGGGGTTTTTGAAAAAAAGGAGGCAAAGAGTAGCTGAGGTAATATTTTCGCCACTCCCTTTTTACTTCCGAATGGATGTGCACATGTATGAAAGGGGCGAACTGGCGAGACGTTAGTAAGAAAAATAATACTGGGAAAAGAAAAAGCGGTAAGGATATTCATCTTATTAAGCTGGTTTTGATCATTCTCGGTTAAGTCTAAGTAATATGTACGGAGGGCCGATTCGTCGGGGAAAGGCGGGGCTCATCTACGGAGGAAACAAGGCGCCAGACGTTAGACCCGGGGCCGCCTGCCCTCCGAGACTGGTGGGGGTGGAGCGGGAGACGATGAAGTTAGTGCAGTGCCATGTGTCGCTTCTCGAGGCTTGGCGGAGTATATTGAGATCTGGTCTGGGCCAAGGGATCTACGTAGCCATGTTAACAATGCTTAGATCACTACCACCCTTTTTTTAAAAAAAATCTTAGTAGATCCGATCTGAAGAGTGCATTAACATGAGTAAATCACCTTGGGTAAAAGACCTATAGGCTATCATAGGGATGCGTGATTTCTTGATCCGTGAATTCCGGGTCTCATGCTGTTAAGAAGATTCGGTACGGAAATGAATAATGCCCTGTCTGTATATTTGTAGAACTTTGGTTTATCCTTAACGTCATGTGATTTTGGGAAGAGACCAGTGTCGAGCAACGCATGCAAGTGCAGCACGTAGGGAGCATGTGACTTCAGCAGTACGCGGGTCACCGCTATTCCCATTTACCATCGATGCGTCTTTGCCGGTTGGTAAGGTGCTCACCTTGCAGCCTTGTTGGGCCACAATCGCCCTACAGCAAACCGTGCACCAAACCAATGTCCACAGTTTATTAAAACATTCTCGCCACGGTGGACGACGGGCATGAAGTACACGTGTACGAACACCTTGTACCCCCAGAAACAAGGACCCACGACAATCGCACGGACGATTTTGACTACCGTGCATATCCAAAGGCATCTGTATAACTGGTCAGCCCATTCGAGAATCATTTCCTTTTAAACCCGAGGTGCATACCAAGCGATGTATAAATCGAGTATTCGTTAGCACAAGACGGGTATAGATACCTCCTTGCCAACCTGTCACCTATTTATCTACCTACTAGACATGGGCCGTAAGCAAGGGAATTGATACGGCACCCTACGACTTGCCATATTTGAAAGCGACGATCCTACACCGGGACTTTCGACTTTCTCCCGAGAATATGGTATCATGTCTGCGACTTTTACTACCCTCTACAAGCCGGTTTGAGCAAGCAGCGCCGCTTGTGGTCATGCATTTCGGAATCATGGAAAGCTGTCTGAAGTAAAACGTAAGTCAATCACCATTTGATGAGGCTGTCTGTCGGTGAGCGCAAAGCACGGGGCCTTATTGAACCAATGGTTTTCTTGCTGGTGATAAGCTACACTTAAGTGGCGCTTCGTCACATTGTGGAAGTCCCTGATTGGAACAGGGCTGGCTGGGTAAGACGTCGATCTGGAAAAATTCTAGACACTTCAAGTCTCATGGAAGACTCATTTGGTAGTGAAACATCGTGGGGGTCGTTGGGCAGTGCATACGATACTAGGCAGTGCGTCGGTAACGATTGATAATCGCGTTTCAATGTCAATTAAACTTCGTTTCTCAGACGAAAGGGTCAGTAACCTTGGATGTATCTTCATTCCTTCGTAAACCAGGCCTTGTTCGTAAGGAGAAATATTGTTTTCGACCAACAGGCAGTCTTGCCGGGAGGAGCTTGGACCGCGTGTAAGCACGTAAAAAGTCGAACTCGCAAGGCCTCAAATGTACCATGAGAGTTGAAGTGCGTTTTCTCTGTATGCGGTCATCATGGCTAGGCGACGGACAGCACCAGCGAGCTGGTTGCAATCCTTTATCAAGATGGATGTGTTTGACGTTTGCATGTCTTGGAAGATTAGTTGGAAAACCCATTTCTTTTTCACACTCGGCTAGGATTTCAACAAGGGTAATCCTGCGGTCAGCAGCAAGTATCCAAGTAACTGGAAAGGCTCTTCTAGATATCCAATACAAGTAAATTAGAATTACCTAGGTTACCATCTAGTTCCAAGATTCTCACATCAATCCACGATAACACTTGTTCTCAGCTATTCCGTGAATGTTGGCAAGGTGGGTATGCAAACTCGCGAAAAGTGTCCTCGGGAAGCCCCTTGTTCGGTTTCAGGGCACCCTACGAGACGTGTGTGCCTCTGAAGCCGATTGTAATAGGTAGACGGGTTTTAGCCCACCATGTTGCTCTCAATGGCGCAATGCAGCATCAGGCTTAGGGGGGGCGTTTGCCATTCTGACGAATGAGATAATCCCCGCAGAATGCATAAATCTATTGGTCCAAATGATTAATGAATGCGACTAAGTTGCCTCGATAGATTAAACCCCATCGAGGACCCGTACTGCTTACTCGAGCAGTCGAGATGCATCTGCTTGGGTGTAGATGCGTGCGTATTGCCTACATATTTGCGTTGCATCTCTCCTGCATAGGGGCATATAGGCGTGCCATGTCGGGGGGCTGTGAACAGGTATTAAGGGCAAGTTAGTTTACATCTATACAGTATTAACTGTGGTGTAATACACCTAGAATTGTCGAAGGCCAAGCTTTAGTCCAGGTACGATGGTTGCTCTTATAAAAGCACGAATCGGGATCCGTTCCATGTATTGTCTCAACGCCGGCCAACCACCCAGTTGTGTTGTTTTCTAGCAAGCCGAAATGTCGAGAAATGTCGACCATTTTCTTATAATGGACAACAATATGTGATGTAACCCATCCTGCAGTTTTGCGATAAAGCCGCCTTACCCAGCGAGTGATGAACGCCGAGAGAAAAAATCGTCAAAGGTAGGCAAGATATGCGCTGCGTGTCCATTCGAATTTGAGGCTGATATCTCTCTACCCACCATCATGGATTGCAAGATCCAGTGGTTGACATGAGTTTGTAGTAGTCTTTGATAGAATGCCAACGAAGCTTCGATGAATAAGTTATCATAAGAGATCGGAGAACCTATGATAAGTACCTACCCAGGTAGGACTTATTGTATACCTAAGTCTTCGAGTATTTGCTCATTCCATAAGTGATCACGGCCACGTCCGAGAAAACTTTTCGTCGCTGGTGACGGGAATGACCATGTTCCTAACCGAAGCGAAATGGTTCAAAAGCAATGCCACAGACGGGGTAAGTACAACCTAGCCAGCCGATGAAGACAATGGACGAAAATATTTCAAGCTACCTAGGTACCTTGTTAAATATTCCTTATCCTTGATTAGTCTCTTCGAGTTGGTCCGGGGTGAGGACAACACGTGGTCTAGAAAATAGCTGCCAATTCTGGAATGCCTATATACATGTAAGACGAAGACTTACAGCCATATACTTTCTGTGTGCCCCCATACAAGGAAGGGAAGACCTATTCTAGGTGATCTCGTGCTATTCGTGAAAGAGGGGAATAGGCGAAGAACAGTTCGAGAAGCCCAGCAGGCACCCGAAAAAAAAAGGAAGCCAAAACGCTATGTACTTCATATTCGCTTCAACATGGATCATCGAGATATTTCTATCCATTTGTTGTTATTTTAGTGCATCAATACGGCTAGCCATAGTGTTGCTACCTAGGACATGGTAGCTAATGATAAGAAGAAAATAAAAAGCAATACCCTTAGATGTAGAAGAATGTACATATATGATGTATGGTGTATGATGTATATTGTTGTTGGGTTAGGTAGGTGAAATAGACGAAGTACCTCTCTATTTGTTAGGACGCTAATAAGTTCGCGTTCGTTCCAAATGATGAGAAAGTAGAATGGCGGAATGGAGGGGATGGAGGGGCCATCATGCCCCATGTCCACGCAATTGCCCTTTTTTGCAAGGCCAGATAGTGGGTTCTGGGTTGTGTTAAGGAACGGTGTTTCTGAGAAAAGCCGCTAAGGCTGAAAAGCGTCTAGATTCGCGGCATGAGCAGCTAGCACGAGGTGGGCTGCTGGGATCGAGCTTTTTTAAGTGGGGATTATGATATGCCCCACTAGGTACATATGCATCTTAAATAGGTACATTTGTACGTTTCTCATGTAGCTTGAACACCTTAACACCCATACGCCTATACGTAAGTACCTACAATAGATATATACCTAGGTAGATAAACATAGATAGTTATATAGAGAAAATATTATGGATGGATAATGGTGTTCATTTTGGTTGAAATGAGAGTTGAGACTAAATAGAATCTATAAGACTTATTATCGATATCTAAACATATTTAAGGATTATAAAGCTATCTGAAAAAAGATACTCTTAACTTTCTATTAATTAGAAAAGAAATGCGTGCGGGCTACCTAGGTACGTATACATAATCTGGCGTATCACATTAGAATACGTAACGTGGCTTAGGAAGTACATTATTTGGGTATGCGGTGTAGTACTACTACCAAGTATTTGCACATTGATATTCAGTTAGATACCTCCATTTCATATACTCAATTTGTTTGTACAAAAGAAAACACAAAGATCCCATCTCCCTTTGCCCTAGCCGTTTTAACTTTAAACCGGCAGCATGGTTCAAATGTTGAGCATGAATAAAGGATACTCCGTTACGCGTTCTTTGAAGAGAAATGGGTGAGATTCTGCTGGAGTAAGCCTTCACTCCCACCAAAGCGAAACCTTCTTTAACGACCCCCCGACCCGCGCCATAGGAACAACTCTAGATCCATCCATCTAAATGCTTGCTGATATATCGATAGAGAGAGGTCCACTCTTAAGTGGTACCTAGGTAGTGCCATCGTATCGAACAATCCACCTTCGTGGAGATACCTTATTTGGTAGCTGGTTGGATATGTCCTTAACGACCCACACAGACCAGACAGACTGAATAGAGAGCTCTTTGGAAAGAGCCAAGACTTGTCAGAAGTGAGCCTAAAAGAAGATAGTGGGGATAAGTAAAGTACTTACGTAGGGGGAGGAAAGGGATGTCGACGTAGCATCGGGCTACATTTCAGCTATCTGCATTGCTTGGCGCTGTTGCTGCTGGGGGCCCCCCGGTACTCTTCGCCCAGTTCCAGCCAATCATCTCACCCTCCGGCGTCCGAACCCTCCATCTCGATGTAGATGCCTTGTTGCCTGATCTTCACCGGTCGGTCTGGCACATGCACTAGGGGGAAATCTGATAATGGACGAATGCATCCTCCTTGACATAATTGGAATGCCCTCTTGGTATTTACCTATCTAGATGTAGCACAAAAGAAGCTCTTGGATGCCGGATTTAATACTCAAAGTAAAGCCTTCTCTAGCCGGATAGATCTACCATTCGAAAGCCGGCAAACCTCAGGGTTAATGAAGCCTTTCCTTGATTAGAACATATTTCGCTTTCCGAGTCGAGGTTCGGAGTTGCAACCCGAGTCCTCGATGCTGGGTCAGTAACACGCCAGCCACAACATCCAACCCTTGGGGGTGGACAGCATCGGCCCCTTTGTTTAGGGCAGATAGTTGGTAGCCTATCTCATGGCGGGGTCTTCTGGGTAAAGGGAAAAGATGTATTGTATGTATCTCCTTACTAACAGAGACTAATACACTAGAAGGAGATCACGGAAACATTAGATTCTTGCACTTTGATCGGATTTGAGCGTTTTTAGTCCACCATCTCCACACAACCCTCCCTCCTTCGAGTTACCACGCGACATATTGAGACGTTTTGAGAAATTGTGCAAACAAATGTCGAAGGCGATCCCCCGAGGCTACTACTACGCCTGGGCAAGCAGCATGACGTTCCTGCGATCCTATCGCTTAAACACCTATACCAACAAACAAGCGACAACTGCCGTAGTTTGTCCCCGTATATCTTCGTACATCTCGATCATCACTCAGGACTTAGTCGGCCATTCATAATCTTATTAATTCATCGATCTGATTAAACTATGCCAATCTGTCTTAACCGATCTTGGTCCTTAAAAAAGAAAAGCTCGGTACTGTATCGAATCTTCATGTCCTGAATTCTCTAGACCTCGGTATCACCACCCCAGTCTATCCCCATCACACCGGTCACTTTACACTCCAGGGTCCTGATTGGTACGATACCCATGTGCATCGTGGTACAGAAGAAATCAGGTCCATGAGGTCCGGGGTCCTTTTGTGTGGGTCGCAAAAAGAACGAGACCTACCTCTTAAAACGTTCTAGACAACCCATCAGACCTAACATTAGGAACTTCGCAGCTTCGTTTGCTTTGCTTTGCTTACATAGCAGCATGAATTGATTCAAGCACGTTTTTTTTATGTCTACAATACCTAATTATATGAAGTCCTATATCATATCATTATTCTGTTCCATATATAAATAATCAACATCGTAAACATTTTCATGCCTGAATCATTACTGGTTCTTTATCTATGACTTGATTTTCATCTTCTGTAATATATATCATAAGAGAATTCTTAGAAAACACATGTTTGCCTTGGCTTACTTAAACCCTCTATTCTATCTGAACTTGATATTTTAATATCATCACTAAGAAATGAACACGCCTTTCTTAAAGGGTGTGTCTCTATTCCTATCCGCCTAGTTCAAAATAAGTAAACAAAATAAAGTAGGGGTGCTTTATAGCAACTTACTTACTATACCAACACATAACATCTCGATCGTGCCATATCTTCCACGCTTAATAGGCAACCCTCTTCATTTTTTTCCCCTGCCCCCCCTCCCCTTCACCTTCGCATGCATCTTGCACTAGCTAGCGTAAAAAACCATACAAAACGTCTTCCCCATCTAATCGTCCCATGTTTCGTTGTTTAATATTAGCGAATGGGAACGAATGGGAGCATGTGGGGAATAAGGCAGGGTCAAGGAACTGTAATAATTTAGGTGGAATACGTACTCTATCCGTATAAGTGCTAAGGTCGGAATGGTGCCTGTCATCAATTTTTTAGAGAAGAAACATTTCAACTAACACTAACGCAACACCCCAGTCGTCACCCGCATCCCATGGATCTTTTTTTTTTCTCTGGTGCTCCTTTCCTGTTGCTGCTGCTGCTGCTTTGCAAGTCCCAAATCTGCAAGAAGGCACTGCCACACCCACAATATCCACACCCTTAACTCTCATCCCCCGGCAATTAGCTACTTCTAGCGGCGCATCGGCGTGCGTACGCTACAACCGCGCTCCGGGACTATACCTAGATACATATATAGTATAGACTACCAGACTACCAGACTTAGGTACATATGTATGTACTAGCAGCTAGCTTCATGCTAAAGTTTAGTGCGTGCACATGTCCCGGGTTCCATAGTGGAGGGTCTGGGTCGTCCAGTTGCCTTGTCATTGATTAATCTGGGTTTGGAACCAAAGATAAAAAATATGTACGAAGACCAACGCAGCTATTTCCTCTTTTTTAGTGTTCCTGGAGGGAATGCTCTCCATTTTACCGTGCGTATATGTATAATCCTATTTCATACTTATAACCACACAAATATATACCCAGGTGATCAATCGTGATTCTGGCCTAAGTTTAAAAAGAAGGGGAAATCTTACAACCCTGCGCACCATTTTCTTTATACGTTGGTCAATGTCTTAGCACGTATCTAGATACTTAGGTACCCTGCTCGGATAGATACTCAGGTACCTACATGCACACACGTATGTATTTTACGCTCCTTTAACGTTCTAAAGGACGAACAACCCTAAACCCTACATCTGAGTACCTAGCCTGAAAGAATCGAAAGCTCGGCCGGTAGATCTTATAAAGTTACAGTACCCACATACAGACGTACAGGTACCTGACGCATCGATCCTACCTACCCGCAAGGGAGTACCTAATGTAGGTACCTTAACTTAGATATGTACGTGTACAAATTGTACATATAGGTGGATGTAAGTACGAGTACTAACAGAAGATAAGTACAAAGTTTCCTAAGTTCCCAGACATTCGTTCGAATTTTAGGAAAGGACCATTTGGAACACTGACCATTGGGACCATTGACCATTCACAGACTCCAAAGTGATCAGTCAATCGACCCTTCCCAATTCTCTTCCCATCGAGGGACCTAAAAGGCTAGACAAACTTAGGCACACCATCTCATCCTCGCAGCTCTTCTCGTCCACCTCGTCCACCTTTTTTTTTTTTCCAAGTCTACCCTGTCTACCCACGTCCCCCCCATCCACATAATTCTACATTCTGCATCCATCCATTTACTGGCCAGATCAGGAACAGCCCTTTCTCATCTATTCTCTACTACTCTACTTCACTACATACTCTTCTCCCATTTTTTGTTTTTCGTTCCCCCCTACTACTCCCCTACCCCCCCCCCCCCCCGGCCTGCAACACAAGACAACCCATTTTACATACATAGTACTGCTAAATACTACCTACTTTACTACTTACTACTTTCAAACTACATACCCAGACCAGACACTATACTGTATAGCGACACAAAGCCCAAAGAGATTTGAAAGGACTGGGACCTTTTTTTTTCTTTTCCTTTTCCCACACCCCCCCATCCCACCATTATCTGCGCCCAGACGGTTGTCTTCTTTCTCCAAACCCCCAACTCGTCGTTATTATTATTCCCAAATACTTTTCCTATCTACCTACTATTACCTACCTACCTTTTACTTACATACATTTACCTGCCTTACCCGCCAACCCTTCTAACTACTTACATCTTACCTGACAATTCTTTTTTTATTTTTTATTTTTTTATGTGTCTCCTTGAGGCGACCTGCAATCTGCACTCCTCTGTCTTGCCTGGTCAGGCCTTATCGCGTCGCCCGTTTTTAAAGAATCGCCATTCTCCATATTTCCCCTCGGTCGCGTCGTCGTCGTCACCCCAAGCCCGAGATTGGACAATTCGCGGGTGTCCAGTAAACCGTCAATCGCGTCGACTAGTAATACACAACTAATATTTCTACTCATCCATCCCGCGCGCGCGCCGCAGCTCGGGGGGCGCAACCCACATTTTGACACTGCTAAGCCTACTCATCGCATCGCGACTAAGCCCAAAATAATTAAAAACAAAAAAGAAAAAAAAAAGTTTAAGAGTCAGCTCGCCTCAACTCTACGATATCTTATCCTACCCATCCCACGATCAGCGCGATCGTCATTTTGAGTGTATTATCGTAGGGTTACTAAATCTCAGGCACCTCTTGTAGGGCAGCCTGATTGCATGCATCTCTTAGCATGAACGTGGACCTGAGTACCCCCGGTGTGGTTTCAAATACAGCTACTAAATCCACTTTCTCTCCTCCCCCTTTGTCCTCGAACCGCACGAGTCCTTTTCCTCCCACCACGGCTGCTGCCACCAAGATTATCATGGCTGCGCCTGGCTTTCTTCCACAATCGCAACCTTTTAGGTCCGCCGCGCCTGTTCAGCCGCCGTATCCCCTATCTATGGCCAACATTCATCCCTTCGACCGCGATGCGACCGCTAAACCTGTCGGCACGCCCTTTGCGACAACACCCTCCCCCGTCTCGGCTGCCTTGATCCGCCGTCTACCCGTCGATACCACCGAAGACAAACTCCGCCTGATGCTTCTTTTTTCACAGGAGCTGGTTGACATCGAAATGATCTCCATAGAACAGTCAGAAGATCCAGGGTTCCGGTCCGCGATCGTCAGGTTCAAGACTCCTACCGGGGCACAGCAAGCCAAAGACATGCTTCATGGCAAGTCAATCAGTTCAAGCGACGTCGAGTTGATTGTTGAGATTGTATCTGGCAGTCCTACTGCATCCAGAAGACACCCGATCGAAGCTGCGACATCGGCTCCATCCAGTGGTCCCTCTTCGACGACTTCGTCGGGGCCAGCCTCGCGCCAATCGTCTCGATTTAACGGAGGTTTCCAGTCCTTGGAAAACATTTCACCGCCTATGAATGGTATATACGGGAGCAATGAGTTGCCGAACCCTGAATCCAGCGCGCATTACCAAAGCCTCTTCTCTCCGCAATCGCCAATCGGTAATCACCTCACCGAGCGCACGCGCATTTCCGGCAAGACACTCATAAACCACGATGTTGCGGAGGACGACGAGACACGCGAGCTTCTAAAAGATCCAGTCGCATACGCCGAAAACGGTGCGACACAGCAGCGAAGAGCTACTGCGCCTCAACTACCAATCAGTCGTATGGCCAGCTTATCGCTGAATACTGCAACCAATGGGCCAGCTTCTCTACCGCAGTACGGACATCCCAGCATGACTCCTATATCCGCGCATGGCAACACTATATCCCCAACTGTAATAAACAGTGCGAGTCACTCAATCAACTACCAGATGGGCGGCCAGCACTACCAGAGGCATAGTAACTTCCCGCCGGTTAACCCCGCCGACCAGAATCCGCCATGCAATACGTTGTATGTTGGTAACCTACCGATCGATACTTCAGAAGAGGAATTGAAGGCCATGTTTTCGAAGCAACGGGGCTACAAGCGCCTATGCTTTCGAACCAAGCAAAATGGCCCCATGTGCTTCGTTGAGTTTGAAGATGTATCGTTCGCTACGAAAGCTCTACATGAACTATACGGTACTCCCCTCCATAATAGTATCAAGGGAGGAATTCGCCTTAGTTTCTCCAAGAATCCCTTGGGAGTTCGCTCGGGTCAGACTCCGGGGCAGTCTGGTCCCGGGTCTATGGCAGGCATAAACGGGATGATGAGTGGGCCTGGTAACGGTTTTACAAGCGCAAACGGCCCTCCGCCGGGTCTTGCAGCACCCCCTGGCCTCACTCGCATAAACTACAATGGCGGGTCAACAGCACCCAACAGCGCGAGTACTCCATACTCTTCGGCGAGTTTCGCAAATACCAACAGTAACGTATGGAGCAGTTCTTTGTACAGTGGGCCGCTCTCCGCTGGTGGCTCTTCCCCAGCGACGAACGGTTCCACATCAGCATTTCCACCTTATATGATGGGGCGATAGATGATCACCAAATTGACCATAGATGCATGCATTGTGTGTTTTAGGAATGGGTCACGGGCGTTTTGGAAGATATTCGGAACGGCAATGTCGAGTAAGCTGGATTCCCGATTTACGAAGCGTTGTCCAATCGATAGGCAGCGGGCCGAAAACCGTCGCATTTACTTTTAATCCTCGAGCGTGGGACTGCTTGGCTAATGGCTGCATATGTACTGGCATTTGCAAATGGGGATGGTGGTCGTGCATGGTTTTTTTAGCGTTGGCGTCGATATTTTCACTACAATGATTCCCCCCTAGCGAACCACCGCGTGGTTCCTAATTGCCTAGGAGTTTAGAGTCATCTCGGTGTTCTATTCAAGACTTGGTCACAGGAGGCATCTATTGGTGTTTGTTTCACTTTACTTTTTCTAGCGGGTCATCAGCATTTGCATTTCTCTATTGCGACCGTTACTTAACGATGTCGTTCCTCTTATTTCCGAACTCGAACGCCGAACAGCCTCCCACTGGATATAATACGAACTATATCCATATTCTCTGGGTCTGCGTTTGCCCAGTTTAGGTCCGGAGGAGCATATAAGGCCAAGGCGACTCGGCTGATGTATTATCTATTTGGTCCCTGTTCTATATCCGCAGCATGGTGAAAAGAAAGAAAAAAAAGACGAATATGTGACACCCGATCTACGACCCAAAAATACACCAAAAATTCAAAATGCGATACCATTCTTTTACGTGCGGCATTGTCCAAAACATACCTTGGCGAAAAAAAGGGGGCAAGGACTGGTGTCAGACGGAGGGAAGGGCATTTTATACACATGGGGTCCTTCATTTCTTTAGGAGCTAGGCCGGCTGGCATTGGTACATTTTGGACGGATACTAGGGCAACTAGCGGTGTCACAAAGCATCTAGCATCTGTAGAGAGGCCGGCATTTGATCTCGGGGGAAAAAAAGGAATGGCCTCTCTGGCACATCGGCATCCCTGATATTTATTAGCATTGATCAGCGTTCTTCCATTCGATCGGCGCATCATCATCTCAAAGAGGTCTCTTCATTTTTTTTCGATGGATTTATCCTCCTTTTTATTAACGCGGGCCGATGGGTTGAGGGAAAATTAGCGAAGGAGTCTCTGAGAACGGGTTTTCATTGAATATTCGTAGGGAACTGAGGCAAAGGCAAGGCAAGGAAAGGTTGGAGACTGGCATAAGGGACAGAGAGCGAGGTCCAACAAGCAAACGAGCGCAAATAAGAGGAAGGGAAAGGGGGGAGTTACGTTTTGCGGGTTTGGGCCATATCCCAATACGCCACGGCCGCCATTGTCTTATTTTCTTTTCTTGCCTCTTGTGTTCCTTTCATATTCTGGCTGACGGAACCCATCAACCACGTTTGGTGTTCACTTATGTGTCTAGGCGAGAAGGGGAGGGGCGCGTGGCGGACTCCTATATCTTTTTTATTTCCTTTTTCCTTGATTCGAATTTTCTGTGTCTGTCACGTAATATAGCTAGCGATTCTTTTAGACGGCCACCTCGATTCACATCCATCGATCTATTATCCATTTATTCGGAAAGGAAGCATCTATCATATCTATTTATATCAATACTTATTCCTATTTGTTCATGAAAATTTTCCTCCCTTGGTCTTCTTGTCTTGCTTGAATAAGTCATCGTTGTCAGCATTTTTGTTGCATATTATATCTCTTCTTTTACTTGACTAAAAAAAATCATCACTATTATTATTACCGAATATTCTAGTTAAGATTTCATGTGTAACAGGCTGGAGACGAGATAAGAGCTATTGGCTGGTTGGTTGGGGTTGGGCTATCCTATCAGGTGTCTAGGGAGTCAGCATAATGGCCGACTGCTCTACATATAAGGAGTTCTTAGCGAGGTTTGGGGGGCGCTGGGCTTGAGCGATGTGTGGGTAGTATTGTTGCATGTACGAACGGGCCGGTATTATTCACTAATTCAGCAGTCACTAGGCGATGGCTTACTTGTTCCTGTATCGACTATGCGGTTGACTATGTATAGTCATAGGTACATACTTAGGTTCTCACGTATTTACTGAATGTCCATGAGATTATACGTCTGGGTACTCATTATACGCTATATGAAATACGCCATCTACTACTCATAGATAGAGTGTGCCTATAATGTTATGCCGCTGACAAGGGGTAGACGGGTCGGGTACCGTCGGGATAGACTTTACCGCGCTGATCTTAATGCCTACGGGAATTCATAAAAGAAAAAAGACACAAGCCCATGTAGTTGAAGTCGTGATAGAGGGGACATGCACAGGGCCGCTTGCGGCGGCGTGGCGGAAATAATGCGATGATCTGATCTTGCTGGCGATGGCGTAGTATCTAGATCTCGCATTGGTTATCTGACCCTAATGTAGGTACTTGATCCGATCGTGGCTTGCTTCTCTGCTTAAAGGTAGTATTGCTTTACTGGGTTATGTTTGGGACCTTTATTACGTTTCGGAGGTTTATACATAGACAGTAATTATGATGGAAGTACGGCATACGCTTTGGTGTTTATGTTGGCGCTGTGTTTTTGCCGTCTACGCTCGGGGTATGGGATAGAAGACAAAAGCCACAGATTGGAGCTATATAGGGTAATGGCTTTCTTTTTCTAGAGATATTATGTTCTCTTATTCTGACCAATACGCCTTTCACTTCCCCACGCGCCTGGCTTCGGGGCGGAGAGACATGCAGCATGTGTTGTCTTTCTACGTCCTCCTAATTCTAATGATGGTGTAGGTCTCCGTCTTAGAGACTGTATTCCCCCAAATATCTACGGTATTGCTTTTCAGTCACATATAAAGAGTATCATTGCTTTTGAATATGTTATCTTCGCTTTGATGGATGGTTGGAATTGATTCGTAATAGAGGTCCGCTGGAAGGGCAGAAGGGTAGACAAAAAGCAATCACAGCTTCATTCGACGTCTCGTGTATCGGCATCGCCCGTGATAGTCGGTCGGCACGCGTCCGCTCGCTCGTAGGTATGTCTCGGCTAGCCTGTATGTCCGATGCAAGATTACTCTTCGTATACCTGATAACGTCGGTGTAATACTCGTTCGTATCGACCCAATACCAAGCTACCTAGGTAGGTATAAGGTGCTGGAAGCGATGCTAGCAAGGTACTGCGAGTTGGGTTTGCTTCGTATCGTTGGTTTCCCCTATGCTAAACTTGGCAAGCTACTCGCTCTGCCTTCGAGGGATTCTTTGGTTAGTCGGACTTGTTTGAAGCTCCGTTCCGAAGCTGTTAGGCTGCAATGTATAGGCTTGCGGAGGATTAGAGCCTTTGGCGGCACAGGTAGGTAGATACTTAGGTACCCAAGGCCTCTAGGCACATCCCCAGAAGAGTGAGCCTCTTCCTACGACTGAATAGAAAATTTTACAGGTGAAGACCCCGACGTATGAAGGATCAGGTAAGAATCAATAATCGCTCCATTAGAAACATAGGCTATGATCGGCTCTGTTGGTAGACAGAGTTGAAGACAAGCCAACGAGTTAGCTGAGGTTAGAAATTTACAGGCAACACAATAGGCATTGAAGGACTTGTGCGAGCTTGCCGCGTGCCTCTTGTGAAACAGCAATGCCCTATTTGGGTCAAATCACACAGCGTAACTGAATGGCCTTGTACGATCTAGGCCACTAACACCTAGTTAAAGTAGGTGATTTAGTAGGTACCTTATAGTGCTACTGGACCCGACGGCTTATAATAGCACAGTTAGTTTGGCAGAGTTTTCAACATTGTCTACGATCTTATACCAAGGAATCAAGCGTCGTCACCAACAACAATTAGGTGATATACTTTCAGGGATCCGCCGATTACAAAATTCAATTCCAAGCTCACCTGCTCTAACATATGGTATTGCCGCCAAGTCGGTAGCGCATTAGATCAATTCATGAAACCAAAGGCAACCCCTGGTATAACGTCGCTCGACTATGAGATCAAAGAAGGTGTCTTAAACCTTATAGACCTTATAGAGTCAGTGCTCTCCGCCACCATGGTGTGATATATCAAGAACAGGGCAAAGTAGTCACGAATCCCTGTTCTAGACCAGGCGATCGGCGACGGCGCAAAAACGTGGATAAGGAAAACGACGACGATTACAACAAGTACGTAAACACCCCACGGAACCATCTAATAGACATAACTACTAAGTAATCACCATTCAAAAGCCAGACGTATCATCCATGGGCGAGCCTGCCAGACTTGCCTTACTCGGCACGAACCGTGATAACCTCTTGGCACGCTGGCACGCAATAGGTTGACTCGCGTGGGGTACTTAAGACAAATGCGAACAAATATAGATCTCTACCATGTATTCGATATAGGACCCTCGGACTTAGAGATCGACGCAAAAAATAGACCTTTCTCCGCGAACAAGGTTGCAACGCGCAACCGGAAGGCTACTGTGTTAGGTAGAGGATCGTACCTCGGTCAAGCAAAACGGTCTAGTACCCCGTGGTTTTGGGGGCTGGGTTTACGTCTACTTGACACGCGGACGGTTGGGATATTCCGCCTATGGAAGGAAAATGCGAACGCGGTATGCGACGTTATCGAAGTTTTTCCGATGTTCGAGAAGGAAACGGTGTCGATGTTGTTGGCATGTGCCCAGCCTTGCGGGAATCTTGCCATATATGGTGCCAACAACAACATCAGCTCGAGTGAGAAAAGAGTCTTCCGCGTGCTTGTATCCTCAAATACCCAAGTAGGAAATATTGAAGTTGGTAGGCAATAATGAGGCAAGGCCTAGTGAGAGGTCTTTAAATGGTAAGTGTTCCTCATTCCCACATCCTACATGAATTATTGGGTGGTGCATATGCCAAAAGGACGCAAATATCTGTGCGTCGTAAACAATGCGGCTTAGGAAGAAGGACGATAGTGTTGCTCTCAGCTATATTGGATTGCTCGCCTCGTCCTACCTCAGCTAGCGAATATCGATAAATTTTCGTAGGATATATGCAGGCTTTGAAGGCTTTCAATCAGGTTAGTTTTCGTCCACGGCGAGGTTCACGAAGTTCCACCGCCGCATTCTTAGTCCTATGGATTGCGCGCTACATGATATGATAGGTAATAGCGGAGCGGATGTGGGACATTGATAGGCGCCGGTCTCTCGAGTCTAGTTCAATCGGAATCCGACCCGTTTGACGGTTCGGAAGCGGGTTCAAAACAGAACACAACTAAACAAGCCATATCCTCGTTCGTGTATGTATACCAAGAATACGAGATTAACGGAATACCTCCGCGCCGAATCTTAGGAGCTAGGGTAAGTTGGGTCGTAGTGTCCATTGGGTTGAGGTTTACTTCTCTAGAATGGGGATTGAATCCAAGATGTGACAACGAATAAAACCTGATGAGACCTTATAAGTATAATAGTTACACTTATTGAGCTGGGTTTTCATTAGTAGCTTCGGGGGGTTGTCAAGTTTCACCTAGCTTGAACGTGGGTAGAGTGGGGGACTTACTATGGCACTAACAAGACTCCGGGGAGCTGGATCGTCTACTTCCGAAGGGGTCGTTTGACAAGGATCTTTCTTGACCTGGCGGTGGAATCCATACCGAGATGTCATAACGCACGTTTGTATGGTATATCTTCCAACAATTGTCGAAGCCGCGGAAGAACTTGAAACGCATGGGCTGCAAGTCGCGCAGCTGGTATCTGTCAGGTGATAACGGTAATGCACAATGCATAGGACCGTTTGTACGTAGGACTAGGACTAGGAGCTCGTAAAAGTGATGGTGGTGTCTTCATCTATTTCTAAGCATCCGATGAAGAAAATGTAGATTGCCCTTTCGGAGGTTAGCCTCGTTTTTCTTGGTCTCGGGGGGACCGTTGAAGCGGGATGGATCACGCAGCTAAGACGCTGGTCCATTTGCTAGATCGGGAAGCCTCGGGATTGGACAGGCAGCTGGACTGCCAAATATTTTCACCGACATACGTATTCGATGATAATGTATTAGCAAATGCGATTTGCACCTTCTAGCCCAACCAGGACGTTGTGCAAGGCTTCGCCGCATTAAGACTCAACCATCGCATCCTCCAGGCATTGGCGGACTTGTACCCGGCGATTTTTCGAATTTCGACTGCCCAATACTACCAGCAGGCTAGCAGAGCTGCAACAACACGGACAGCTGGGCCGTTATAAGGAAACGAGAAACAGAGGAAGAGCAATAGCATCAAAGCACTAAGCGCAAACATCGGCTTGTTCATGCAAGGCCGACCCGTTCATGTTCCTCTACTGGTTCCCCTACTTGGTTAAGCGGTCCAATGATTCACTTGCGACTTTGAGTTGGAGCCCTGCACGAGATCAGATCAAACACAGATGCATACATATTGGCATGTACAATGCAATATGTATGAACTGATAGCATCGGCATCGCGAACGCTTTCATCCCTAGCATCAGTACAGTTTGTTGGTAGGTGGTTTGAAAATAAGAGCGAAGGAAACCCCAGGAAGATTGAGTATCGTATTGTTTTACGTATTGATTTGCAGGTGATTCGAAAGCAACGCCAGAGTTCTTGGAAGGATCTGAGGAAGAATCAATAAGTTGGATGGAAAGGAAGTGGTACTACAGATGAGGATGGGAAGGATAGGATAGGAAAGGAAAGGAATGGAATGAAAGAAACAAAACGTATTAATGCGGCAACGAACTTAAGTCCCTACCTGCGTAACCTTAGATAGGCTCGATCGCCCATCTACATAATGCGACTACCTACCTAGGTAGGTATCTAGGGAAGTAGGGAAGGAAAGGAGGGGGAGGGGCACGATTTAACGTTAGGGACTACATATGTACCTACATGTAGGTATTTACTTGTATGGAAGCGTGCACATGTGTACATATGCGGATACTAATGGGATATGGAGTCGGGAAGAAAAAAGAAAAAAGGCGGGAGGATTCGAAAGAGCCACGAAGAGAAAAAAAAAAAACATCGAAAAAAAGTCGAGAGGAATTCAATTATGGCTTCATCTCTTAACCTATTAGGTCGTCGCGGGGGTTGTACAACAAGCACATGCACTCCAAATCCACGGAGTACTACAGTGATGTACTCATTCATAGTACATTGCACTTGCAGCATGTAGGGTCTGGTCTGCCATGCCATTGCTCATTGCCCATCGGGCAGCGCCTGCGTCTATGTACGGGCTATACGCCCGCCTAAGCATGTCTATCTGCAGGCGCAGGAGAAAGCTAGAAGCTGCATCTGCCGCCATTGCTACCCTACTACGTTATACTAACTGACATGGATAGTGCGCATGTGGATATAGTGGACAAAGTGGATAATGTATACATATTATAGTGGGAGGGATACCTAAGGTTAGGTAGTACTGGCAGTACTAGTAGTACTAGCAGTTAGTACGGTAGTACGACTTACCTAGGAGAGCCTAGGAAGGAAACATCTGAAAGCCTAAACAGCCCAAGGCTCCCTCCCTTCAACCACGATACAACATCAATAGGGTAAACGCGACCGCCCACACTTTCCCATATGTCGCCCACACATGCAAAAGGCGGGCCGACCGTTCGAATCTATCTGTATGATGATACATGTCATATAGAGAGATTATTCACTAAAGAACATGTACCAACAGACCTCCATCGTTCTTGACATAAGAAAACCTTCGCCTCAGAGCTACATGTACATATACATACACATACATACATACATACTACTTGCATCTTGAAGAAGGGAAGGGGGGAACGAACACCAAGACATATAATAATTCCTCGGCTCTCCGTTCCGACATCTCTTATCAAAGATCTCTTCTTCTTTTTTTCCTTTTCCTCTTTTCTATTGGCAGCCTACTGACTACTTTGCTCGATGGCTTCTTGTTTTCAAGCTGTGTTATCTTCCTCGGCTCTTTAAAGATTTAGCCTTCTTTCTATTAATGAATATTTGGTCGTCTAAATTTGAGATCTGTCTATTTACCCATTTATTCTTCCCCCACCAACGAACAAACATCTAGATACAAATCTAAAAAATCAATTGGAACAAATTCAATTCCCACTTACACATTATTTATACCTAGCCTTCCTAGCCTTAGCCTTAAAGACCCAGGTTTAGAGGTCTAGAAAGGTAGCCAGCCTGACCGATCAAATCAATCAGGGTTGCATAAACTTTTTTTTCTTTCCTCATTTTCTCTTCTTGGTTGCGTTGTTGTGCTGGCTGCATACATATGACATCGTTATATACATATGTACATGTATATATATATGTATATTTTGTATGTATAACCCGCATCCGTGCTTTGCTTTGCTTTCCTTAGCTTAGCTGTGTTATGTATGCTGCTGGCTTGTCGCATTTCATCCGCATCTAATTCATATTTATTCCATTATACCCCTCTTTTTTGGCCCCCTAATTCATCGTCAATTCCGAGTTCTACCTACCTTTTTTTACTTGCCTACTTTGCCTACCTAACCTACCTAACTCTATTCAGTACCAGTACCAGTCGACTTACGTAGCTTTGCATAGCTACGTAGCTGATTTCTTGTCCCGCTCTTTCTTCTCACGGGCGTACCGAAGAAAATCGCTGCCTCCGGTTTCCCTTCCCTGGCTCATTCTGGCTCTCGTCTAGTTCCTCACTACAATAGGAAAGGGGCCAGCCGCGTTTTTATTTTTTTCATCGACCCCTCCGCCCCAAACTTCCACCAACGCGGCTCTTTTTTATCGGATAACTATTTCCCCCCCTTGACTTGGCTACCTACCTATACCCATTGGACCTAACCTACCTAGCTAAGCTACCGACGTCAGCTCTCTTGTCTGACGTTATCCCCCGGCCACCCCCTGGGAAGGAAAAAAATACATAAAATAACATTGAAATCCCACCTAGTTGGATGACGATACCTTCGCACAACACGACTAGCTAAAAGAACCACATCCCAGCCGCCACCACCGTTTCGTTATTTGTCGCATCAGTGGCAGATAAACAGATACGGGCTGACGGGCTGTTGGACTTCGCATTCGCATTGTTGGTTAATTCTTTACTTCGGCGCCTCTGATGCGCCTTCGTGAGATTCGGAGCTCCTCGAAGCTAGCTTGGAGCTTTATAAGCTGAAGCTGGAATCAAAAGCTCAAATTCAGAACCATGCCTCCAAGACAGGGTCGTTTTCAACCCGCGTTCGTCTCCCTTCTACCAATTTAACTATTCTTAATTATATTCTTATGTGTTACTATCGTTACTATCATTCAGAGCAGCTGACATTGTCACTTCTTTGTGTAGCCGGGAATTTCATGTTGTTGTGCTGGGTGCAGGTCAGTTTCATCACCACCGCCAGCCCCGGCGTAGTTTCAACTTTTTTTTTTTTCAGGGTCCCCTCGTCTATATCGAGACCTGGTTTTTCCCGATCATTTTTTTTTCTTCCTTCGCTTATGCCTAACCGCCGCTAACAGTGACTAGGCGGTGTCGGGAAGAGTTGTCTTACAGGTAACGTTCCTCCAGAACTCCAAAAATGATTCCGATTGGATTATATCGAAATGGGACAAACCGCGATCTATCCAAATAGCATGCGTCACTATCAATTTAAGGCGCATAATTGCTGATGGGTGTTTTTGATTTGTGATAGCTCAGTTTGTTCATAACGAATGGATTGAGAGTTATGACCCAACCATCGAAGACTCTTACCGGACCCAAGTGGCTGTTGATGTAAGTGCGCTGAGCTTGCCCGTCTATCCGATTGGTTTAGCGACAAAAAATGGCTGCTGACATATCCGGACCAGGGTCGCCAAGTAGTTCTGGAGATGTAAGATTTCACCAACCGCAAATCCGATTCGACTTGTTAATATCAACTTCCCCTCCGGCGCTAGTGCTAATACTTGAGACAGTCTGGATACCGCTGGAACAGAGCAGTTCGGTTGGTCAACTTAGAAAATACGTAACCTATCTGTCTGACCATGCTAACTCGGCTTCAGTTGCCATGCGGGACCTGTACATGAAAACTGGTCAAGGCTTTCTTCTAGTTTTTAGTATTACCTCAGCTTCGTCATTATCCGAGCTAGCGGGGCTCCGCGATGAGATCATCCGCATAAAGGACGACGAGACTGTTCCGATTGTCATATGTGGAAACAAGGCAGATCTAGAAGACCAACGGTCCGTGCCACGTACCAAAGGTTTTCAAATCTCTCAGAGATGGGGCGCGCCGTACTATGAAGCTAGTGCTAGGACGAAGAGTAAGTTTGCATTTACCCACTCACCATCTTTCTCATATATTTTCTCCCTTGTTCTTTATCCATTATTTTTATATTACAAGCTAACATTTCAAAGCAAACGTCGACGAAGTATTTGTCGATTTGTGTAGACAAATGCTCCGAAAAGACGATGCTGGGGAGAATTACCTCGAGGAGCAGGACGACAAATTTGATCCCTATTCCATATCCTACTACAAAAAGCGAAGGAGGAGAAAGGATAAGGACCGAGATTCAAGCCACCGACCTAGATGCGTTATCCTATGATGATTTCTACAGCGTTTGCTCGGGACATATTTTGGGGGGATGCATGCAAAAGCTCATAGGTTTCGATACCATGAAGCGCGCGGTGGCTGAATCCTTTTGAAGCATCTCGACATCATTGAATGCCTATTGGCTAGACGCTCAAGCGCTCATACATCTTTGTACCGGATTTAAGCAGCGTCTTCATTTCAAGCTTCGCTATTCCCGAATAGCTTTTATGTTGGGATTTTTCTTTTTTCAGCAAATAATGGGCGAAAACATTTTCGTATTACTAGAGCGAGCGTTTAGGGATATGGAAGATTTGCATGTTGATCGTATCGCATCGCATCGAAGGCACAGCATTATTAAGCACGGATCGCCGGCGAACTTATCAACTCAAAGTATTATGTTATAGTGGTCTCATAATCTCTGGTACGGGGGACTAGGGTTACTTTGAGTATCTCATGTCGACACTTATGTTTATGTTTTTTTCTTGGGGGTGTTGGTCAAATATTTGAATAAGTGTATTAAGACGGAGCTTCGAAGATCCGAATCGCGCAGGGCAACCTAACCTCAACTTTTTTTACGTTTTCCTGTTTATACTAAGATGCTATTCGCGGGAGACAATCAATGGAAAAAGAGGTGGGAAAAATAGGCAACAGGCATTTTCAACCCGAGATTCTTTCCTATTAGGAATATATATAGGTATATACCCCTCTGACGTCAAAATACTGCTTAACCCTCTTTTGAAATTTTGATCCGACTTAAGAACTTTGAAATCCAAAAAGGGTAACCTGGCACTTAGCTATGATAATTCTAATGCCTCCTAACTTATAACAGTATATTTATTTAGGTCGAGCTAAACCCCAGTTTCTATTTTTATAACGCCAAGAATTTGTTGCTTCGTGCACGTTTGATCGAGACACGGTGAATAAATATCCAGCAAAAAATTAGATCGCGGCTAATGTAGATGTGTGGCGGGTAAAAGTTTATATTTTCTGCCTCGCAGACCGCCAGAGGTCCCTATAAACTGGATAGTGGGGCCAGATGGGTGTAAGGGGGTTGGTTGATGCGGTGAGGCTGGCGATAAGCCTAACGAAAGGCATCGTCTCCTAGACCGCTTGGTGGAGTATGGCCTGACGGACAATTGAGTTGTTCATACTATTGAAGCCTAACGATAGCTCTTGGGTAGCCGCGGTTGGTGTTATCTGGGAACTAGCGATTCCCGTGGGACAGATGGTTACCAAGCGGCAAAGCATTTCGGTAGAATGATTAAGTTAGGTTTACGGGTGCCACTCGTGGCATAAGAATAGCGCGGCAGTACTGTGTAACCAGGAAGGGACGGTGAACTAGATATTTCAAGCATTGACGGATTTAGCTTCGAGATACCGCTGCATTGTCTTCTTTTGAAGAGCACGTTGTTCGTTCACGACCTCCCATAGCTCCTCATTTTCTTTCTTTAGTTCCTGATCCCCTACGGCGTCCTCCGCTGGGGCTTGGAAGGCGAGGATGGCTTGTTCCAACACATCGGGTGGAAGTCCGTTGGATTTCAACATCTTGCTAAACCTGGTCTCCTCTGCCATGTCAGAATCTAGCTGGGAAGTGAAATTATAGCTCCGACTTCCTAAAAATGGCTTCACGACTACGACGGGTTTGGTAGGTCGTGGAGATGGGAGTGGCGAGATGAAGACAATGTTTGTAACCGAAGCATTGAGATTCGCCAACTCGGTAGAGTCGGCGCGGCTACTCAAATCCCATCGGAGGATCTGACCTTGTGGATGGCCCGATATCAAAACTGTGCCATCGTAACTTACGGCCATGCACGCTGCGGGTCCTGCTTCCTGAGGCGCGGCGCCGAAAGCGGAGGACACCTGAATAGCCGTCGAGCTCTCCGCGCTCTGTGGGCCAACCAACGCTTTATCGGCGAATAAGTCGACTGCATACAATGAACCATCATCAGATGAAACGTAGATCGCCCGTGCACAAGGATCGAGTGATAGACACAAGGGTGCGCTCGGAAACAGCAAAGTCCGAAGTGCTACGCCGAGTTGGTAGTTCCAGATGATACATGATTTGTCCTTGCTTGCGGAGACGCATATGTTGGTGTCCGGATTCACACTTTGGCCCACGGCAAGGGACGTAATAGCGGCTCTGTGATTCGATAACGTCTCCTGTGGCTCGTGCTCGATAGTTGTGTCGAGCTCCAACAGGTGGGGGATGGACCAGACGTGAAGATTGGAGTCGTCGGATCCTGTGATCAGGTGGTAGGGTGTGGCTGCGATGCAGGTCACGGCTTGGACGTGACATGCAGGAGTAGTCACTTGCCTACCAGTGCAGACCTATTGGAGAATTAATAAGCTGTAGCGGGGAGAAAAATTGTGTTTCTTATATCGGATAAACTAACCTCCCATATAATGAGTCTCCCCTCTTGAGTACCTAGAAACAAAACATCATCTTGTAAAGTGACGCTTTGTATCCGTTCTGGAAACGTGACTAGGGCTTCCTGATTCCCCTTGGCTCTTGAATAGACATGCACCGTTGATTTCTCATCCTGTGCCGCAAACACATGTGTCTCACTCACAGCTAAACAACTTTGAGGAGCGGAGCTCTTCTTGAAAGTGTTTGTAGTGGAATGACTAGGATGAAGCGTATGTTCGTAGATTCCAGCATCCTTTGAGATGGCTGTATTGTTGGCCAAAGGCAGCCCAGCCACGGAAACAAAGTAAGTTTCGGTCAACATCGTGGCTTATTCATCAACTACCAACCCCCTATACTCGACTATTGGTATGGAGTATTGAGCGCCTCTTTAAGATGCTAGTTGACAAGGTACATAGCCTATTAATAGGCGAATTACCATAGGCTCTTCAGGATTGGTTAGATCTTGTATACCGTTCTGGGTATCTGGTCTGGGAATAGTGGATTCGACGATTTGGTTCACCGTAGCTTCATATGATGCTGTATACTTTTTTTCGATGCTTGTATGTTTTGTCATTTGTTTTATTTTTTCTCTTGCTATCCCCACAAAATCCTATTTGTAGAGCAGAGCTTTTTTTCTTTGGTTTGACAGATCCACTAACATGCAGGTCGTGCGTGGCTTTCGGGTGGGGCCGGCTATGCGGCGTAGCCTCACGAGCTTGGCGTTAGAGGCTCAGCAGGGGTTTGCGGGGTTGACTTGGTTGACTTGCCCAGCAGCTCAAGTGTTTCTGCTAGGTACCTTTGTTAGAGAGCACCTTCTATTCTTGAGTCTAGAATTCTGGAGTTACACACCGCGGTTCCTGCCTTTTGTTTTACCTGGAAGCAACCCTTCCTAGGTAAGGTTCGCCCATACATGTGTAGGCAAGGAAGCGGATCTCCACGATGTATGCAGATTGATACTTCCACCCTAAGAGGTATGTTATGTACTGTACATGCAGACATGTACGTAGTAGATTCATCTGCAGGTGCGACAAGAAGTAAGTGCGATACCACGAGATTATACTATTAACATTAAGTTTGTTAAGTTTCTTGCTAAATCGGATAGTCAAGTAATTTATTCCAACTTCATCATTTCTCACCTTTGCCACCATCTCATCATGAATATCAATTTAGCTAATTGAGGCAAGTCTACCGTGAGAACTTCAAATAGCTCCCTCGACTATCTACATTATGTTCCAGATTTACATAACCCCTCCTCAGTTTACACAATCCACACCTACATAACCTTGGAACTCCAAACATTCATCATGTACGGCACACCGACCGGGTCACTGCATGTCTTGGACTTGTCGAGATGCAAGGCGGGAACTCGTAAATCGGGAGCTAGAGAGCTCCAATTTTATCCCCTCTTTGGTGATCAGTCGAAAAAAAACTGCTGTTATCCTGCCGTTCATATATCCTTATTGGATATTGTTTATTCCTCTTCCCGACAACGGTTTTGTTTCTCGGAGGCGGTAACACCTTAGCTCTACCCTGGCTATCTTAACGTAGCCAAGCTGCATCACGCTAAATCCTTCAACTGGCGATAGTCGCTTGCAAGTACGCCTGGGTGCCCCGGGCGTCCAATCCGACTCAACGCCCCTTCAGCCTCGAAAACGGGGTGGAACCTGAACTGCACAATGATGCATACATTGTGCGATACCGTGCCCGTCATTTACAGTATACAATGCATCATGAGCATGCAGAATACCAGATTCGGGTGCGACGTGGTCACCCGTCTATCGTGTCGCCTATCAGGAGCAGCATCGGACATCGTAGTTCTGCAGAACGGAGTTTCTGTTGTGATGCAGGGGAAGACGAACTTAGACAATGCGATCGCTATGGCTTAAGCAATAATTCATTGTCTGCCTCTCCGAGTGCTACGTATTGGACAAGCAAGGAAGGGTGGGCGTACACTATTCAAGTCCATGCAAGGCCCACTGACTGATCTTCTCGCTACCTGCCTTGCCTGCCTATGCGCGGACTCTGGAGGAGCGCGTCGCCTAGACCCCCGGACCTTTTCTTCTCGATCGCCCGCAATTGTCTCTCTCCCCCATCCATCATTGAAAGGTAGTTAATCTTGCGACATGATCACCCTTCGCCAACCAAGTTCTCTTAACGACGATTAGCTCGTCAGAAAACTCTCCGCATAATAAACACTAAAAATATGGTATGGTACAGAGAAAATGGTTTAATCAATTGGTTCGTTAGACTTGGATAATTTCCATAATGGAAAACAGCGTTGCATCGTTTTCACTTGGCATATGGATTTCTGGATACCTCAATTAAAATGGTTGATTGGTTCCTGATAGGACGTGGTATGGCCAATCCAACCCTGGAAGCGATCCCTTGGCGAGAAGATCGGATGGTCATGTCACAAACGTCAAGGGGTCAGCGATGTCAACGCCTCGCTGCCATGTGAGAAAAAGCAAGGGGGTTCCAAGGTTGCTAAGGTGCTAACGTTCCTTTCGCAGTGGACGGGAACGCTGTGTTAGGTATAATTTACAGGCACTGACACAGGTACAAGTACAGGAGGTAAGCAATGTCTCAAGTCCAATGTCTGTCATACTTGGCTTGCCGTGACTCGGGGATGAAAGGGTGGGCGCCTGTGTAAGGACATCCCGTCACAGTATCGGCATCGTGAGAAAGGATGAAATGATTCTTTCTCCTTCTCTTTCTCTCTTTATTTCGTTCCATTATAATTAACTGTGACTTGGAGAATGAACTGAGGTCCCATAAGTTTTTTCCGCATTTCTTTAGCTTCTGCGACCCTCTGCGACCCTTCGCCTTCGCAGAGACCCCCTGGTTGTCAAGGGTCCCCGTGGGATTTTCATCTCTTTGTAGAATTACGAAAAGCACCCACGTACGAATACAGCTCCATCCCATGCTCAGACCCCTGCCCAACACTCAACCTTTTCTCTGGGTCTTCGAATCCAGTTGGATTTCTGAGCCAGTAGCTCTAGCATTTTTTCGCACGTCTGTTTTCTTGTTGCTTTTAGTCACTTAAAATTCATTTTCGACGTTATTGCGAATAATTAGTGCCTCTTCCTTTTGCGGCCCTACTAAGGACTAAAAATAATCGGATTGATTGAAAGTGGAAAACATCAACGTTGGAAAATTCGCATAAAGAAAGAAGTTCATGTAGGAGATTCCCATTTTCCCGACCTCACACTCCCCTGCAACGCCACCTCGATCAATTTGGATTACGGAACGAATAGCACGATGGGCGACTTCGAGCCCCTTATGAACTTCAACTTGCCGGAGCTTCTAGCTGGTGACCTAGAAGAGTCGGAGCAAGTCTTCAAGTCGAGACAATTAACTGCTGGTGCTCCAGCGCCTATGTTGGCTGATGATGGGAGTAAGAGGCGATACTCGCTACAGGATAGTTCGCTGAGCGCCGCCCCTACGGCTTATGCCCTGGATGTTATGTCGAGGGCTAGATCGCTACAAAACGTCCACGAAAAGCGTGCACAATTCCTAAACATCTGTTGCGAACCACAACCAAACAATAGCGATTCTGATACGGCCAGCAGTGAATCTTCCGGTGGCTTGGTGCCCCCATCAATCGACACGCGGGACGCATCGGTTACCACAACAGCTACTTCGGTCACATCAGAGAGAATGGAACCTAGTAAATTAAAGCTTGTCATACAGGATAAGAAGCAAGTCGGTCAGAGTTGGATGGACTTGGATGATGCGACATCACCGGATCGAAGGCATAATAGCATGGTCAATTTTCCATCGCCGGCGCAATTACTATCACTACAACATGATCTGGACGAATCGAGGAGTATGTCCCTAAATTCAGCGGTTCCACGCCCCAAAGTTGTGGGTGCCTCCGCCCCATCGCCTACTATTCTGAGAAGTCCGGGTGCTGAAGAACGACGAAAGCCAGCCAAGAAGCCTCTGGTGTGTCCCACAACATTTCCGAAGCGACATTCGTCTTTATTATACCAAAATTATCCCGTGCTACCTGAGATTAATGTGTCTCCATTAATACATACTCCGTCGACTCAGCACTTCCCGATTCAAACCAACGGCATGCCGTCATCCCCAGGTATCAAAACGCCGACTTCCGCTCCTCCTAGAACTCCTAGGACATTTAGGGCGGAAGCGAACCCGAATGATAATAGGGTCGATGATGACATCAGGATGAGCTTCCCTTCCCCGGCACCTTCAAGACACGAGCACAAGCGATTTTCACGGACAGAAGGGTCTCGATTTCCGGAAATCGCACCGCTCGGAATTGATGTTGAGTCTTGGCTGGAGTCAAGCGTCGATAATTTCCCTTACCATGCTCAGACCAAGGCCGATGGCGGCCACACACCTTTACCGCTTCCGCCAGATGTCATTGATACACTTCGAGTGTCCATTACGTGTTTCCCTGAAACGATGCTGCAGTGTTCCAGTCTCTCGATCGAGACCATACGCAGTCACTCTAGAAAGCTCAGATACAAGGCTACCAGTCCTGCGAGTCTCTACTCAGAGTCGCCTGTATCAGCAGACTCATCGGAGCCATCGAAGCAGTCTAAGTGGAAATGGTTACCATTAAAAAAGCAAACATCATATCCCACCCAAATGCCACCTAGTCCACAACGAAGCGGCTTCTTTGAGAGCATGGATGGAAAATATAGCCCAACTTGGCCTAGGAGGCCAGATTGGACAGCCATCCAAAATCTCTTCCCCTCTGGAACGGATTACCTTTGCGATGCTCTTTATGCTCACCTAGTTGCTTACAACTACATAACTTCCCTATGTCCCCGATCAGCGCTTGTTAATACCCCAGCTTCGAGGCCTAGCTCCAAATCGTCGGCGGCATCAAATATGAGTCTTGGCCTATCCATCGATCTCCGTACTTCAGTTGATATACGTTCATCCACTTCAGACGGTACGGCGATTCCGTTGAAGGCGGCTAGCTTGCTTGGTCTACAGGATGACCCGAACTCACCTATCCCCGAGCCCCCTTCATCGCGATGCAATACACTACGCAGCAAGCGGTCATTCTTCGCGATCCCTAGATCAGCTTCATTCTACGAGGTTAACCGACCGACGACATCTACAGGCGGCTTTGGCCGTCGTCCGCCACCGTCCGATCAGAACGAGCAAATACTGAAGGACTTACGACTGGGCCTTGCGAGGTGCGTCTCAAGGCTTGTCGCAACATTACGGATGACTAACGGTGGAGGTCTTGCTCCGAGTCCCGATGGTGTGGCATCGCTAAAGCGCGAAGAAGATCCGGATTTCATGCGAGCGCTTTGCGAAATCGTGCGCCTCTCCGAAGAGAGGTACATGTAATAAGTGTGGTTCATGCTTATACCATCGCGATATCAGGAGTTACTACAACTACACCCAGTACATTATGGGATGGGATTAATTCCCATACCCTTAAACAGATTTTTACGGTTTTGACGAAAGATAGGTGGCATTGTGGCGCTGGCGATTTGCCCACCCTTCGACTATACGGTGTCTTACGAGAGACCGCCAGACTTGGCGTCTACGAAGGATTTTTTACTGCGTATTCCTCCTATACTTCCGACCATCTTGCGAATCCCACCCGAAGAAACTTAATATCAGTGTCGTGCGATTTTACTATTCGATTTCCGCTACTTCGTATGTACAACATATAATGCATTTCGCTTCGTTTCCACTCTCGTCATCAAAAGGGAAAAAGACGCTCAGGAAGACGGAAATAAGGGCTTTTAGGCCTCCGACATATTGAGCGGCCTCTACCGTCAGACAAGAGCAGGAAAACATTTAATAATCTTGGACGTTGAGAAGTCGTTTACAGAAGGCGTGTATAGCATGCTATGCGCAACAGGAACATGGTTCAGGGGTGGTCACGCTCATAGATTTCATTTTCCGGCGCAGGCGTATTCAAGGGATGGGAAAATGCAATCACTGGAGTTGACGAATATGGATTACTATGTACAATATACCCCCAAATACTGTCTTTCGTTTTTGAAGGACCGGCCTCAAACATTGGAATGGAATTAAGGGATTGAGGTTAGGAGATTATTCATTTGCCGACGATTTACTTACGGACACTGAATTTTCGGTGATACCTATTTCTCCTACCTAAGTAGGTACCTACTATCTCAAGATCATGGATGCTACGGAATTTGCCAGAGCAGCAGCTAGGCAAGGGACAAAAGTCACCATAGACAACCAATTATATCTTAATAATCAATATTTATTGATTTTATCCTTGTTTAATGATGTTTCGAGCGTGAATAACTGGGCAACATACCTAGGAGATATGAAATCCTACGAAGTTCATGGGGGGCATGAGGGATAGGGCTATAATAGGGGATATTATACATATACACTTAGCGCCGTACCGGCGTCTCGGGGCGGTGTTTAGGGGGTACATTGATGGTATGGAGGTATGCAGTCAGAGTAACATACGGAATCTTACGCGTCTGACAGTTCGCACTCCTGGAGAAAAAAAAGACACGTCGGTTACCTTACCTTGCCAGTTGCTAGGAGGGACCTGGTGCGGTCAATTAAGTCCCAGGGAGGGTATAATCAATTATCAGTTGTCACCTTGAACCCCCTAATCTGTCACCTGCATGTACATGTACCAACGCCACGGTACGCGCAGAGAAACAGAATAATATTCCGTAGAGCAAAACAAGACGTAAGCGCTAAACAAAACGTCTAGAAACAAATTGTATATGTAAAACACCATAAAACAGATATCACGAACCATCACAGCTGATAACACTGCCACGAATTAGTGGTTTGAACTCAAGACTTTTACCTGCTCATTCGTTGCTAGAATGAAACGGAAACGTGTTACGGGAATATCCGAGCGTGCGTAGCACGCGGCGCGCCGGGAGTTTCTTGCCCCTGGTTTCTTTAATTGCTTCGTAGCACATAATAATAATACAGACCAGACCGGGTAATGGTGGTAAATTGTGTAAGTGTAGGGGTTGCATTGTATATCCTACCTAACTTCGGTATGTATCTTCATATACCTATTGTGTTATCATACAGCAGCATCTGGGAAGGCATTTTAATTAGACAAGACGGCAGGTAATATCGCTAATAACTAGATGGATTTTATTATGATATGATCTGATATGATGATATGATATGGCATCCAGAATATTCCAAACCCCATAATCCATACATGTACCGCTTAACACATGACGCCCTTAACCACCCACCGTAAATGCAACATGCCTCGCGACGACGTTCCCATACGTATACAATAGGTAACTACATGTATCCCAAAGCGTGCATCTCGGCCGGCATACCCGGCGTCGGTACCGAGATTCTTCGTCACCTATAATCGAGCCCGTCGAATGGATACCGATCCCTCAATACGCCGCCGATCTGTCCCTTCTCCGCGAAGTCCGACATACCCGTGAACCCACTCGATGTTCTTGTTGTCGTGGCCGGCCATGAGACACTTCCTCCCTTACTATCCGAACCGAATGACTCGCTAGGTGGATACGGCGGTGCGCCCTTAGTGCCACGAGGCAGGTTGTCGACGGTCGGAGTGGCTAGGCGACCGTGCATGCGGAAAGTTTTCGCGTGCGCGTTGCTCAATCCCAGAAGCCCGGCTGTCACGAGTAACAAGAGCATGAAGATAATGGAACCAGCCTGCGTAAAGTTACCGCTGAATGCAGCGACTACGAAAACAATTAGCTTAGCGGCAGCCTCGAGGTAGCCATCTAGGTGTGTCTTGGCGCGCAACCAACTTGTCGTAGTGATAGCCTGCAGGTCTTCCGCGACGCCGCGCAAGCAGATATTACGGCCTTCACCTAGGTCAACAAGGTACTCGGTTAGCATACTGCTGACGTCAGGTTTCGGTGGTGGAGCCTCTGGCGGCTTCGAGCGTTGTTTAATGACCCAGATATTAAGAACCCGGGAGAGCATAAGGGCTAATAGGGAGGCGACGCCCCACCACTCTTGAAGCAATATCATAAAGACAAAAGCGGTGACCGTGAGTACGGGGCTCGCAAGGTACAAGACATGCGAGAACCACCCTAAGTCAGCGCCCTGGTCGCGCCAGATTGTAGCGCGCTGTCCCCGCCGACCGCTCCCCCGGAAGTTGTAATTACGGTCCGGCATCATGCCAACGTCGACGGTGACGGTTTGGCCGGCCATGCCGACTCGCTCGAGGTAGCGGCGGGTGGCGGAATTGGTGATATTATAGGCCGAGCTACGGCCCTCATACATCTCAATGGCGCTGTAAGAGGTCTCAGTCTCTCCGGCGACCGCATCGGCGGCCTGCTGATAGTGCAGACCAGGCGCTAAGAGCAGAGCGTCGAGCCATGATGAACCTCCTACAATTCGAGTACGCTGGGCGATAGTACCAAGGTCAGCAAGAGCGATGACGCCCGATGCCGAAAGCTTAAAATCGGGAATGGGGTTCTGAGACCAATTCGGAAATGAGGCCGCACGTTTCAGTAGAGCCTATGTAGATTAAGTAGTTTGTTAATAAATAATTCTATATCGCGTGAGGGTCTGCTTGGAGCTGTCTTGGCATACCTCCATTTCTAGTGGTCCGTTAAGCTAATGAATAACCCTCCAATGGAGCCCCTAAATCGAACTCGCAGTGAGTTTTAGTTGAAAAGATGGAATTCGATCTGATGCATTAAGGGAGAAATATCACACCAAGTAAGGCTGAAGCGTGTTCGAGATTAAGAGGTCCATTCCGAAGCAGCTCAATCGGAGATTAAATAGAATCAGCAGCCTTTTGCCCCTTTCAATAATGAATCACAGCTAGCCATAAAAGCAGCACATCTTTGGTCGAAAGGGTTGCAATAAAGGCGCGAGGCTTTTGGTTACCCCTCGCTGATCAGTGGGCTAGCTCGTTGTCGAAGCAACCATAAGCCTAGCTACAAGCCCGTAAGCAGCCCGACATGTGAAGGATCTGAAAGATTGACCAATGGCATTGCGAGTATAGGATCACGAGCACCAACCATCGTAACGCAGGGAGGCTTAATAGATGATTACACCCTCCCTAAAGCGGTATATAGCTAGACGTCCCGCAACACCCGCGGCATCTTACGGTCGATAAGACTAAGACAGGACTCTTGGCATCACAATTCGGAGGGGGCGGCAATACAGAATCCATGGATAATGCTTGTGGGCTGTGTAAAGTGTGTCAGTTATAATGATTGGAATTATGAAAGGTGGTAGATGTAGATGGATAAGTTCCAAAGTTGGAGAAGAGAAGAGAAAGAGAGGAGATAAAGCTCTATTGTAAAGCCCTTAAGCCCTAGTGAAAGATAGCTAGAGTGGTAAAGACACTATAATTTAGCTGCATATTCCCCGTGGCACCTGACCTATAACCATTAAGCTTGTTCTGTTCTACACATTGGATTAAACCACTAATTATGCACAATTCATTAGCTATCTGTTTTGAGTTGGACCTATGGAAACCTTCGGGACCACTGACAGCACCTAGCTGGGTCCGCTAAGTAGCACCGGAAGAAGACGGACCGCCTGAAACATGCCCTACGTTATCGATAAAAGCTCCTAATCCGATAAGTGCCGTCGATCTCCGTTTCCAGTTCCTACCTAGCCTACCTAGCAGTTCCCAACTCTCTCTCTCGTAAGCTTCTCTATCTTCTCTTTTTCTTCCTATCATCAACCAGTATCCCTTCAAGGCCTGCAGATCTCCCACGGGATTAGGCCTTAGTTAACATGACTTGACCGACATGGCCCATCCACAACCAGAACCGACCTTTACGGTCTTTGTCCGACTTCCTTTTCCGAGAGGTGACTTCATCGATCCTCCACCTGTACGTACCAATCTACCTAGGTAGTTTAGGTATCTACCTTCCTCTTCAGCCTAGCTAATTATCATATAAATCAAGTCAAACTGGGACTCGTCGAAAGATGAAGCTCTCTGGAGTATCATATCCCGTCTTTCCGGCACTGAAGTAGATTGTAAGTTAGTCTATCAATATATCTACCTAATAATAGTCGCTTGTAACGAATAAGCAGCTAACAAGTACTAGGGAATGAAATGTAAGTATTACCAGTAACTGTCCCCTTATCGTAGAACATCCACCAACTCATCTACCTCGATACAGTGCAAATAGGTTCGAAGTTACCGTCGACTTCCTACTCCAGCAGATCGCTTGGCTCACCGAGCGCCATGCCTCTCAAGTTCGAGCACATGTGCGCAAGGCTGTCGCTGCCGCTAGAGGCTCATCAGCTCCGTCGCCCCAACCTGGCGCCGAAGGCACATTCTCTTCGGAACCCATGCGACGAGCCGGATCTGGTGATAAACCAACCAGAGCACCATCGGCATTATCCATCCGTAAAGACTCTCCGCTGCCCCGGAATGATGGCAGCCTACCTGGTACGCCCATGAGAAGCACTCCACGACCAACAGCCACACGCACATCCTCATCGAATACCGCCGTCTACACGACTCGCAACCTAGGTGGTAGCAGCAAGGCTCCGGTCAAACCCGGCGTTGACGCACAACGACGTCGTTTATCATCACTTCCCATTACTACCACCGTCAACGATGACGACGACGAAAACATCGACCAAGCCTCGTCCAGTCCACCCGAGTTAAGCGAGTCGGAAGCCTCATCATCTGACTCAAGTCCTGCGCAATCACGAATCATCCGACGTCCGCCGCGCTTCCAAGGCAACGACGCCGCATACTCCGCTGATGAGGAAGATGCCGAGCCGGCTTTCTTGCCCTACAAGCCAGAAGGAGGATCGTCAACCAGTAGCGGGCCGCATGACCTTAGCGCTACTCTCCGTGGTAACCTCCCGCGAGATTACGCGAAACGACATTCGAAGGGCAGAGCGGAGCGTATTCATCAATCCCACACTTCCGACTCGTCTGCTAGTTCCGCCACTCCATCCGGGGTGAAGAGTTATTCGGACCAGAGCCGATCAGGTGGTGGTCCGCTCTCGCCTCGTCGCACTATGGAGCTTATGAAAGGCAGTCCCAGCGGCAAAGGGAAGAGTTATTCGCGCGACAGTGACGGGACACCTAGTATGAGCAGTAGCTACAGCGATCTTGACGGTACGTTATTTATTCCCACGCTTATCCAGTATACAGAGTTGCTAACGAGATCCAGATGCATCTGTAACAAAATCTGCCCTGGAAGAAGCGCTAGCTAGCCAGATGCAAGACGGCACTATTGGTAGTCTTAGAGGGACTATCAGTGCCGCCTTCAGCAGAAGCAGATACCATCTTTCGGGCAAGGGTAATCCCTAATATCGACACATTCCGACTCTGTACTTTATCATGGTTTGGATTCACTTCTTTTCGTATCAATGTTTTTCTCCGACGTTTGTTTATTACGGACTGTAACGAACGGGTTATGGCGGGCCGGCTTCATGGTTAGGTAGGCGGGATTCTACGGTGTTTAGGTGTTTTCTCTCTATCTTGGCTAGGTTATGTCAGGTAGGTAGGCAGGCAGGTATACTGGTAGTTTGGAACACGGTCTGTCTACGTTTTGCTAACGGTCATTTGTATACGCGATATTGATCAGTATGCTTTGGAACCAGGTGATTATATTCATTTTATTGTGGCTCCAGTGTCCTATAACTCATGCCACTACAGTCTCTAACAGAATCATCTTTCACACGCCCCGGCGTTCCCATCCTGAAAAGCTTCTTCCCATATCCCCATGATTTATCTAGCAAAGCATCTAACTAAGCGGAAGTTCGAATCGGAAGTGCGAGTGTAACTCCGATCCCATTCCTTCTCGGCCATGTCACTGGCCACTTTTGCAAGTCTATCCCGCCATCCAGGGCCAAGCATTAGATATATCAATTGGCGCAAAGACACCGCCAATTACTAGCATAGGCGGGGGTGGTGGGATGCACGAACAACCGTAATTTGTGGTCGACAAGCCGAACAACAATCTACTCCATAATTATGATGGTCAACTTCCTGTCCGTCTAACGCCTCGAACGGCTGTCCAGGTGTGGTAATTTTCCCTTGACGTCTTAACTATATCGTAGGTTTCTCATCTGCGACTTCCTTTTTGGGTGACGTACGTTGCTGGGTTGAGCATCTTCATCTTGCTTCTGATCGTCGTGTTCGCTTCTGGGTCGCCGGTTCTTCACTTTCGTCGTCGGCTCCGTTGTCTGGTTCCGAGTCCGAATCCCAGTTATTTGGTACAACAGTCGATTTATCGTGATAATGTGGTTTTGCCGATGTAATGAGTGTTGAGGAAATGTCTAGAAGAATTGAAGAACAAAAGTACCTTTAGCGAGGCTCGTGCTATCCACCATCGCTGCGAAAACGATCGAGATCGTGATGATCAAATGCTCAGTACTGCAGAAGGTGTTCATGGTGTTCTGCAGAATACTGTTATCGAAATTCGTCTTCTTCGCAAAGTATGTATCTTCCTATTTATATATATTCTCTCGATAATGTTTATATTTTTTTTTTTTTTCATTTAGGATCCCATTAATGTTGTTATTCCTCCACGTCAATCTCCTAGTCTCCGTCGACAATTGAACTATCTAATTCCGAACCTCCCGCGCCTTTTGCTTGCGCATATGCATCAATATCCTTATTTCGTGTCGTTTCGGGTTCTGAGATTGTCCTTCGTATTTCATGGTTGGCTATTGTCGCGGTACGTTCATCCATGTGGGTGCTGGTGACCCATCCCCATCCTACTCGCCGCTCGCTTCGGCCCGCTGTGTTGGGTCGATAAGGTCTACTAATTACCCAACTAAGTCCTGCTGTTTTGCTGCACAGCAGTATATGGCTAAGGAGGGTAGTAGTCCGCAGGCATGTTTGTAGTTGTCGGACATGATTGGGAAGCCAGGTCCCCTCATTATCGAGGTGGTTCTTGATTTTGTTTATTAAATAAATAGAAAAATATGATAGAAAGAAGTGGCTATGCTTATGGTGTTTAGATATATAGACATCATGTCTAGAAGTTCACGAAGAAATTAGATTAAGGATGAGGTCGATGATGAAAACAAATCCCAGGATCAAGGCTGAGGACGCAGTGATTAAATATTATTCTCGTGAAGCTTGTCTGTACTGAATATCGACGGGGTTAGATATATTCTACCATGAAGTTGGGACTACCAACGCGTCCAAATACCTGGGGATTGCTGTTGGGCAACATGCAGAGTTTGGTAAGGAAACAAGTTCTAATAGACATTGGCAAGCGAGTGTATTTTGTATTTGTTGACATGGCGATGTATGATTATTTATTTAGATCACGTACAAAGCATAACAATCTTGTTCTGTATATTGACAGTCGCGTAGCAAGCATAACATGCGAGTCACAACAAATAAGATCACAGTCATAGTGGTAAACAAGAAGACGTTATGTGTGAAGTGCCAACGACGTTGCGATTCTATCTGATTGGGAACTAGAGCAATAGGTAATGAACAGAATTAAACCCTTCAAAATACATCAATTTGACCAGACTCGTAGCCATTGAGAATATGCATTCAAACTTCGACCAAATCCCTAGAGTAAGGCGATATTGGGAGAGCTTTGCTGCGTTAGTCGGCGGTACAATGGGCAAGAAGATTGTTACCAAATTTCCTTTTGCTTCATGCCTCAAAGATGCCTTCGGTTCCTCCTACGTCGCGTCTCTGTAACGGGAAAAAAAGAATTGAACAGCCCCTCTCGATTACTTCGTTAAAACAGGTGAATGATAAAATAATGCTCGTCAACGTGATGGGGGCCAAAAAGAGACTGGATCCGTGACCGTTTGTTTTAATATCCTCCTCTTCCAACATGGCCGTGCTCATTAAATCGGATCAGTCGTATGATGTGCCGTTGTAGCAAATCGAAAATAGCAATGTGAAATCACAAATGTCCGCCGAAAGTTGCTAGTGGATGTAAAATGCGATAATGCAATTGGGTATCCAGGGTGAACAAATGCTTAGACACGATCTGCTATCTCGTGTTCCTCGACTGTTAAGAAGGCAGTTAGTAAATTGAAGTAAAAAAAATAATCAATAGGAAGTTAGTAGATTCAATTATAACTTACCATTCTCGCGGCTACCGTTGCGGCGCGTAGTGTTCCAGGAGTTCCACTTCGCCTGAGGGACGACAGGAGCGGGATGCTCGATGGAAGACAGGTCGTCGTTCTTGATAGTAGCACCGGCGGCGTCGTCCTTAGGAGGAGGCATAGGCTCGAAGTGCTCACGGTGGCTGTCGGTAAGGGGGGAGGCGCCTTCAGGGATGGTAGTGGCAATGGCAGAAGAACCGGAGTCAATGTTCTTAACATCGCGGTTCTTGCGGGATCGCCAGACGAAAATACCGACTACGGTGAGGACGACAAGGAGAACAACGCCAGTAATGACACCGATCTCCAGACCAGAGGGGGCAAAATGCTTAGAACTACCACCCAGCTCGGCCGGGCTTGCGCCGCCGTCAAGAGGCGGGGCGGCGTCATAGTGGTCGTTGGGGTTGGCAGTGTCATCAGGAATAGGCGCCATTGCGTCGGGTAGGTGTGTTTAGAACAGACCGAAAGAAGATGAATACAGGAAAATTAGGAATGTGATTAGCACGATGACTAGATTATTAGTCAACGCGCTGTTGAAGGACAAGATGGATCTTTGTTTGACGTGATATATATCTCGTGTGTTTGTGTCTTGGTGTTGGTGAGATATGTGAGAAAGAGAGGGTGGTGGTATTTGGGCAATTGGGAGAGAGACGCGGCGAAAAGTAGAAATTGTTTGGGGGATGAAGGAGAGAGGGTGAGAGACACGACGAAAAAAAATCAAAAATAAACAAGTAGACGCCGAAATTGGTCAAGGCAAAGTAGAAAGTAGGTAGAAAGAGAAGGACCTCTGAGGAAAGAACGAAAAAAGTTTAACGGCGACTGGTTACCCTAGGTAGACTCTGTGAGATTTAGGAAGGCATGATCTGGATACAGATGCACTGACGTAGGTACACTAGTACACCAGTTGGACCAGTGGTACTAGGCAACGACGACCTGTACCTGTACCTGTATCTGTATCTGTATCTAGGGAAAGAACGAGGGAAGGAACGTATGGACGCGTCGACGAATGGTTGACTCACAGGAAGGTACCTGCTTTAGGGTTGTGGGAGGTTACTGGGTATTCCCTTGGTGAATTTTTATGGTTTCTTTGGTTACTCCAGTTGTTGCGCCGATTGCCATGTCCAACAATCCCATCCCATTGTATTATTGTATTATTCCAATCCCCAATCTTGAACATTTAAACCACCATCCTGACCTATGTAGCAATCCACGGAATTGATTCCTGGGGGGGTGTTTAAGGTTATAATCCCATCCAAACTTCCATCCACCTTTAAAACAAAACACATTGAAGATAATTGGTTGTTCCATGAATAAATATTCTCAATTGGGAAAACACTCCTAATTAATTTGCTCGAGTTCTAGACGTTTCATCGTTCGTAAAACGCTCTAAATGCTGTATCCAAAGGACGTACAGAGCGTATGGTTTCCTTCCACCGGCAATGTGCGTAGCCGTCCGAGCACCGAAGCATTTAACGGTTGCGTTACCATTGCCAGATTAAGCCCGCTAACATTAGAAAAGTAATAGGTTTGTAGAAGATGGGGTAGGTAACCGGCACCTGATTTGACTTGACCACCTCGATTCAGCCAGCGGCATCAGTAGTACCTGTGCCAGGTTGGTATAAAAAGGGTGTTGTCCTCGTGAACACCAGTCCCTGTGTCTCCCTCGAGGCCTTCCTTTTCCATATTATCTTGCTTCAAAGATAGAGTACATAACTCGATGGTCATACCCATCAAATTTCCCTTACCATTTTCTTGAGATATCAATTACTCAATTATGGAATTTCCTCGCCCCTCGTCTCTCATCTTGCCCCTTAGCAAAGCCAGTTTGTTGATGTCTCGGACACTAACAAGTATTTAAACACAAGAAACTAATAATATCCGCGTCGTCGTCATGAAGTCGATGTGGAGGGGCTAGCTTACAATCAATTGCAAATTCCAGGAGGAGAAAGTGAAGGTGGCCAGAGAACGAGGTCTAACTAACATAGCTGAGACGACCAACATCTTCACAAAAAAAAAGGACCACATCGAATATGCTAAATGTCCACATAGGTACGTAACACGAGCAGCTGTTTCGGCAGCCGAACTATAGTGAGCTTTGGTACCTATGGATCGTTACATCAGGTGTCGTGATCTGTTTCAGGACAAACTGACCTAAAGCCGTTGAATATTCCACATAGCTTCCAAGTCTATTGTTTGCTTAACTGAGCTTATTTTATCTCAAGCCTGAATAGGTACTTTCCATCCCATTATGTTTGCATCTTTAAACATGTTGTTAGAAAGAGCACCAGTGGGATGGTCAGCCGGTTCCCAATTCCTGGATCCCGTCGCTTCTAGTACTACGGTGAGTTGATGGATGACACCCGGATTCTGAGGAGATATTCATTAATATGGCCCGACTCAATAGTCGTTTGCTTGTTTGCGAATACCTGATCTCCATTTGCTTCCGAAGAAGCAGCGATAACTAGCATATGCAAGCGTAGGCGGCGATGCAAAGATCAGTAGGGCGCGTAGAAGATATGGTGGTACAAGATCGACAGAAAAATAATTGAGGCGCACTCAGAAATTGGCGATAATGGATGATATAAAGTAAGGGATATGAGGTAGTATTAGTAATCTGTGAACATAAATTAGACCTCACGATAATGGTAGGCGGGGAGGTTCACTACTTACTTCGCGCGGGAAAGGGACGCCTAATAACATGGCTGCTGGACAATAGTAGGTCGCCCCAAGAGAATAAAAACATTTACGAAGGAAGGCAAATATGTAGCTATTTGTGGTATCTTATGGCTTTTTACATGTAAATTCCTCCACCCATCTGTCTGTGCGTTCATTCGTGTATTCTATCCCATCCTAATGCATGTCTATGCCTAGACCGATCGATCGTGCTATCGTAATGACGTTGAAAGCCAGAAAAGTAATTCCCATGGAGTTTAGCCAGTCCCTCCATACAAATGCGAAAAAAGCCCCTTTGATAAACGCCGTTCCTAATGCAAAAGCCATATGTTTTCTGTATCCGTATGTACAATCGAATCCAATTATTCTTCCATCATTACGATTAATCAGATTATTACTGCCTCTGTTTCCGCAGCACCGATGATCGCTGTCCGACACTATTCGAAGATAAGCGACGGTCGGTATTAGTCGCCGATGTTGTCGTAGGGTCGGTGGCGGGTGCGAATATGCCGGGTGCTGACATGCGATTTCTAGTCTCTCGTCGTGACATACTTTCCGGACGTTTCTGTAACCTCCCGGCCGAATAAACGGTTGGAATCTTTTCGCCTGTGTCGGTACTCGAGCTCCTATCCATTGCAACTGCTTTACCCTTCTCTTCCACGCTAGGCTTCTTAGCGCCCGGTGTAAGGGCGGCCAGGACCGCAGCACCGGAAGCGGCCGAGAAGGTCGAACGAAAGCTAGCCCAGTTATCGGCCGCCGATTTCGTCTCGTCCGTCATCATGAAGGCCAATCCGCTCAGCAGGGAGAATAGAACAATAATGGTTAAAATAGTTGCACCTGCTCGGTCGCCGGTAGATACCGTCTTATAGTATCTTCCGGTGGGATCGACTCGTCCTTCGTCTGAACCGCCGGCCGCTGGATTGCCAATACTAGTTCCACCAGTGCTATTGGTAACTGGGGCTTTTGATTGCTCGATCATGTTAGCAAGCACCACCTCCATTGCCGACATTTGCTGTCCAACACCCGACGTGCCATCCCATTGCCCGCTATTGTTAGCCCATTTTTGTCCGCACATGCGATGATTATCGCCACCCGTACATTGCTTCGCAGCTGCAACGGCAGAATTCGACAAGAGGGTTTTGATGCGATTGAATGTCCAGGGCGCCCACTTCGTCGTTGCTGCCATCCACCTACTAAGATATGCCTTGAAGCTAAGTGCATCGGTATCGCATAGACTAACAGGTTCGCAGGCGATCTCGATCATGACCTTATCCTCGGTGGTGTTGCCGAAGAAGAATATATTCTCCGTGCTGTTGAGAAGCCCATCGACCCGTTCATGCCACATCTCGACATCGCCCGAGTTCTTCGTCGTATTAGAGTATTCCACCATAGCTGCGGCACCAAGGAGGAACGCGCCGACGTTGTACGAGAATTCGTATGGGGTTAAAGTAGTGCAATTGTCCTCAATATGCGTTCCGTCATAAACCCTGTAGTTGTCGTCCATTAACTTGACACCAACCATCCAGTCCCAGGTCTTGACTGCCCAGTCCGCGTAGGAGCTATTTCCAGTGTAAAGGGCTAACCGGGCTGCGATATTGAAGAAACAGGCCTGCGAAATTGAATTCTTGTAATCGAAACCATTATTCCAAGTGAAGATCTGCCATCGCAAACCACCCTTGCAATTTTCCGGGTCCCATCGGGCAGCTTGTGTGTTGAAGACAGCCTCGGCAAGAGCTAGCCATCCCGGTTGGTCTGATGGCGGGTTTTGAAATCCATACTCGGCGGCTGTCATAACTGACATTCCCCAAAATCCTTGGTCATCGTTGCCCTCGGTTAATGTCTGATTGGGCGGCATATAATCGTTATAAGGTCCAACTTGGTGAAGTAAGCCTTGCTCTACGATGTGGTTGTAAGTAGTGTCCCCGGTGTAATACCAGTAATCGATCAACGAGCCCATCATAGCACCGGCCTCCCACCCTGACATAATCAATTAATACCAACTGGACTAAAATCAGTTTGCACGTTTGACTTACAGTAATATGGTTGTGGGAGAAGACCAGGGGTCTGCCCAGGTTCGTCGCCATGGTAAAACGATACCAAGTCTTGAGCCATCTGCTTGGCGGTGTTCTTGATGGAATCTAATATGACGTATGAGAAGGCTGCGAGCGGACGATCCAATTGGCACTGTCAAACTTACCTGTTGAACCAACATCAAGGTCATATGAAGCTACAAGACCAGTGGCCATTAGGATCGAGAATGCCGTGAATATGGCATCTCGACATGAGTACCGTAGCCACATGACGGGTGACAGGCGGGAGTTGAGGTCAGACCGAGACCGACTAAGCAGGCACAGTAGGAATCTAGTCGAACATAGAACTTCGAAAGAGGTAATAAATTTCTACTGAGTGTGTAACATCGCTTAAACTGCCAAAATTGTGAAATTCTCCAGCGGATAGGTTCGTCGTTGGGAACACAAAGCGTGTCGTGTGTGTATGTGTTTGTAGTCCTAGGTAGCTTGGCCAGATTCTTTATGTGTTGGAAGAGGGTACGAACAAGTGAATTAATGAGTGAGATTGAGAGTGTGTGCTGTGTTATGCCCAAAAAATCCAAACACCAACAATGTAGCACCAAAGAATGATGACAAAGTATGATGATCCGGGTGACGATGACGGGAACACAACACAGCCCCGGCGAATCAAGACGGAAACATAGGATACATAAGATACATTTAGGTAGTAAGAGTGGGAAGAAAAAATGGATGAGGCGTTGGTTAGGATGGACTGGATGTGTTAGGAAATCCAGAAGAGGAAGGAAGCTACATTCCTAATGACGCATACCCCCATATCCTATCATCTTCGCTAGGATACATTGGTACGAAGCAGTAATCCTGAAAATACGAGGAATGGGCCCCGCGTATTATTTTTTTTTTTTCTCCAACACGGGCGGAGCAGGGGTTTGCAGATCGTTCGATCTTTCCCTCGTGGTAAGCCAAGAAAGTAGTAGGCTAGCCTAGAAATATTAGAGTATAGGGAAAGAACAATAGGGAATTATTAATAAAGTACTATACTAAACCTGCAGAGTAAAAGTATCAGGAATTAGTAGTTACATATACATGTGTACATGTGAAAAGGGTGCTTTAGTCGGCGCATATATTGAAAAAGTCTCATTCTCTTATTCGTTTTTCTGGATAGGAATGATCTACTTTCTCTCCGGCAGTCTCGGATCTGACACTGCGGCCGCTATCCGTTGCCGCTAATATACATAATAATATTGCTACGTCGAAAGGTCGTAATTGACAGTTGAATGGACAGGGTCTACTCCAGCTGGTCGGTAGGTTTTTATTTTCCATCCTGTCATGGTTGTAGCACTAGCTGAGGAAGGTCAATCATGATGACGCCGAATAGCCTATCATTTGAGATTTCGGCGACCCTTAATGCGGTTCTCGAAGGCTATAAAGACTATGAGGATGCGGGGAAAGGCCGAATGAAGCAAAAAGTTACAAACTAGCATCGCTTCATCGCTCTTATTAAGTACCTAGATGAAGACTTACATGAAATTCGCTAAACCATATCACGTATAATGTGGTACTACAGACTAGGATAGCCTGTCAGAGGAGAGACAGTGGGACCCCTAAGTGAAGCTGAACGGAGAGCCGACCGAGCCTCGCTTATTAGACTCTTTAATTGTCGAAGTAGTAGCATATTGGCGCGGTTGATGGGACCATATTCACCATTGTTCAGTTCGTAATGCGAAAATATCACCTCTTATTAGGTAACATCGGCCTTATTGTTTAGCTATGGTTGGATTGTTTTATTGATTTCAATGCCTAACAGCCGTGCTCGGATCTATGCCAGTGTACCGAAAGAGACGCTTATCTGTCACGCGATTGACGCTTGCAACACCATCTCATGGTTAAAAGCCGAAAGAGCGGCAAGAATAAATAGAAGAACGAACATGATATGCTCGGAATATTCAGATATTATAGGTTATTATAAGCTTAATATCAACCTGCAGACCTGCATATACGCGTAGGCTCTGAGTTAGCTTTGCTTCGATGCGTGCAACGATGATGCTGAAACGATTTCCATAAATTCATTGGATCCCGCAGTCGAAACGTAGCGCTAAGTAAAAGTTCCAATTAAGGACCCTTGCAAAATGCTAGAATTTGACATCGAAACAATAAAGAATTGGTTGCTAAAGAATTCAAGTCGAGCGCGTTACCAACTGCATGTTGGAAGAAAATATACATATGCAAGGTCCAAATGATGGAGAGTGGAATGTTTGATGGTAGATCACTTATGGATGGATGACGCCAACCTTCCGTAGCTATGGAGGCGGAATCGCTCTAATGCTCTAGGCAGCAGAATTATCGTGCCGCGAGAGCTCGGAGATCTGCCAACCATGGATGTAAGATTGATGGAAGTAAAATCAAGCTCCCCAATAACTATTATTAGGGAGGATAGGCGATCGATGATTACTATGTCGGTACATGATCAACGTACTACTGCATATCCAGAGTCAAATCGGACTGTGAGAAGACCGATGAATATATATCACGTGATGCTATTAAGATTATCTAAGCATTTGCTGAGTAATAAGAGCAAAGTCTCCAAGTTTATCCTTTTTCCCCCTTCCATCCTTCTTATCCTCCCTTGAACATAAACAAAAGCATACGCACTTGTAGGCCTCGAATGTTGACCTAGCTATGGTGACGTCTCAAAACATAACATCGACAGTTGAGCTGGAGATGCTAATGAATAACACAAAAGATTCTGACTATACTGTCTACTCCGCGAATGGTTTGAGCCTTCGGAGCAGCGGAGTCTCCCAGATCGCGGTGAGCACCTACGCCACCCAAGATTTTAATGAAGTCACTTCCCTAGGTAGATACATATGTAGACGGTAGGTGCTCATACCGGAACCTTTAGCTTTGACATTGGTCAACACACTTCTCAGCTGCCTCCTAATCCCTTTTTGTCTTCTCTCATCTAACGCGGAGGGAAATCATTTATGCCAACAAGTTTGTTGGGATGTCTCCTGTTAGACATACCATCTACTCGTTCTAATATCAACTTGACCACGTATGCTCCGAATCTTGCTGACACCATCATTCACCTATCGATATATTAAGGTGGAAAACAATATTCAACAGATTGCGAAATCTCGTGGCATGAATCGATTTCCAATTTCAAGATAGCGCCGGGATCGGAAGAACCCATGAGAGCCCCGTGTCTACCCTTAGTTATCGAGCATTTTGTCTATACTAGTGATGCAGTATGAAACGGTCTCTTCTATTATTATACCCATATAGATTGCAAATACCACGCTGATATCATCGGGTCATCCAAACCCGGTGGGCCTTCCGTTACGAACCGAAAATCAGCGATAACAAGACCCGTAAGATCATCGAATGAAATCAAGCAACATCTACGTCTCATCGAACCCACGTGGAATATCTGTGATACCCCAGATCTCAGCTGATATTACATGGGACGGCAAATTCGCAACTTGCTACTTTTCCCGGCTGGGAGCAACACCGTATAATATAGCGGCCCGATTTCACCGTATGTACTAGTTAAGCTTTTGCGCTTTGAGCCGCTTTTTCCTAAATCGGGCATAAAAAGTTGGTTCTCACATCGGTTAGAGTTATAGGGCTGAATGGTTGGCGATGATGCTTATGGCTGACTTCAGCTCCCGGAACCATTCCGATTGATTGGTTCGTGAGCACAAGCTGAACGCCTCGCCTCATCGGAACCAGCATCCGCACCGACATTGGACTGAACTTCCATGGTCAATAACCTTTCTTCTAGCGGTGACTAGAGTTCTGAGGCTTCAAGACACCATTCACGCTACAATGGTCCTACTCGTAACCTGACCCTTCATAAACAAATTTTTAACATCACAACGAAGAAGGATGATGGATCTCACCTAATCCGCCCGGTCGTTAGATCGATTTAGGTTGATGATATGGTCGATGCCGGCTAATATGGCAACCTTTCCGCTAAATCGAGACTTCATGTGGTACGGATCCTCCGCAATTTCCACCATAAGCTCACGGGCCCATCACGAGATTTGGTACCAATTTACCGTTCTTTCACCCTAGACAAAAAAAGCAAGAAAGATACGGTGAACTGTAACCGATTGGTGCATTCAAGGAAGAGCCCATCAATAACGGCTGGTTGACTTCGTCTTACTCGAAAAGGGGTATACGCCAAGAAAGTATATAAACCTCAAGCACCTCATCACTAGATTTGAAGATGCAATACAACACAAGCCAAGACTTCAGACAATAACCGACATCTTCACCTTGACCCCAGATTCAGCTGTCAAACTATTACCCACACAAGCCGTCATCATGCAGTCCTTTACCTACCTTACCATCGCCGCCGCAGCTCTGCTGCAAGGGTAAGCCACCTCCACCCTCTTACCCATCCCATTCTACATATCCATATATACACATCTTCAACTTCCAAGACCGAAGATCGATACAGGTATACTAATATCCTACAGTGCCGTCGCCATCCCCGCGATCACCACCGCACCTACTTCTCTTCCAGGCCACTACGCGTGCCCGACTCTCGCGACGGTAGTCACGACATCGCACCTCCCATACAAGTGCGAATACCAGTGCCCAATCATAACCAGCACCTGCAAGCCAGGCGAGCCGTCTGAGTCTCCCCTATACACCGAGACCACGACTCCACTACCTGGCTGCACTGTCTCGGAGATCGTACACGAGCGCTGCGAGTGCCCTACTTGCTTCTCCGCCGCGCCGACACCTACGCCTACCGCTTAGGTTCGAGATGGATTTCTGCTAGACGAGGATCCGTAGAACAAGGGGTGGTTTTGCGATTAAGCAAGGTTTGGGTTCCTGGGTTTGGATTGGATAAAAATGGATGGTACAATAAAAGGCTTATATATTATGCATTTAATCCATTTATTTGAATAGATGATTGTTCGGACATAAAAGATCATTTTCTTGATATAAATTAGCCTATCTGTCTAAGAGTGACGTGATTTGCAGCACAACTGAGTATTGCTACCTACATCTTGGATGTCTACTATGCTAACAGGACGGTAGTTCACAGACGCTGAGAGGTAGTCTAGAAGAGCCACTTAGGTAAAACTTAAGGCTCAATAGGCAAACCCTAAAGCGTTGCTTGTGATCTTAGTTTGTATGTTGCGCATAGTAGTAAGAGGCGCTATGACTAAGATATTACGTGAGGTAGTTTTGTCCTAAAACGACCTAGCGGGTGTCACGTAGGCCTCGCAAGATTTGAAGGTTATAGGTATGCTTTAGCAGCATTAGTTACTAAGTCAAAGCATCAATCAGAAAAATCAGGAAACTGGGGCACTTTGGCGGAGTGGTTAACGCGATGCCCTGCTATATCCTAGTATTAGGAATCAGCTTAGGCATTCCCTTCGGGGGCGTGTGTTCGAATCACACAGGTGTCGATACTTTTACATTTTTCTTCTACTAAAAAGATATATTCCTTTTTCCTCGTACCATTTATTTTAATAGCTTTTTATTCCTCTTTTTGAGGTAGCTACATACCCTATTCTATTAGTATCAATTTGTCGTCAATTATCTAATGTTATAAAAGAGAGACAGCTATGACTTCGTGCAGATAGAAATATAATATCAAGAAGGAAAAAAGCCCACGGCCACATCTTTAATAAATTATGTCAAATTATAATTTTGTATTATTTGAATTATTACATCCCTTATAGCCTGTTGCATGCGACAAAAGATGAGTTACCTAGGTATTAAGTCCTGTTGGTCATCAGTAACTCCTATAACGTATCACAAATCACGGCGACAGCCAACATACATTCGATCAGCCAATCCAAAAGGGCGCGGGTCTGTAGAAATATTTTATTTCTTAGGCAGCATAGCTATAAACATTGATTCTATCATTGCCTAGATACCAGCAGGTGTTATAAAATGGTATCAATTTACTACGACATCAAATAATCTAACCTATCGATTTAAGTAACTCTGTATATTCGCAAATCTTTCATAATGAAAGCCTTCAAATTAGCCCAATGGGGCCAACCCGGCCAATACGTCGAAGTCCCCAAACCCGAACCTGGACCCGCGGACGTCCTAATCCGCGTGAAAGCCGCGGGTCTCTGCCGGTCTGATTTGGATATGGTCGACAACCTCCCCGGCGATCCACCATACGCCAATTCCCTCGAACCGGGCTACATCCTAGGCCACGAGAACGCGGGATATGTAGTGAAAGTCGGCAGCGCAGTCACAGATCTGAAACCCGGGGATCCGGTTGTTGTGCATCATATGCGACATTGTGGGAATTGCGAACACTGTACCGATGGCGCGGAACAGCATTGCGATGCTTTTAAACGCGGGGCTATTGGTATGACGAGGGGGTGTGGTATGGATGGCGGGCTGGCGGAGTTTATGGTTGCGCCGCGGTCGGAAGTTATATTTCTGGGTGAGGGCGTGGATCCGATTCAATACGCACCGCTTACTGATGCTGGGGTTACTGCGTATCATGCTATACGTATGGTTGCGGATCGGCTGAAGCCTGGGAATAGTATTGCGATTATTGGCGTTGGGGGACTTGGGAGTTATGCTGTGCAATTTGCGAAATTGCTCTCGGCGGCGCATGTTATCGCTATAGATATTAAGATACCTAGACTAACTAAGGCGACTGAGTTAGGTGCTGATGAAGTGGCGCATTTTTTTGATCGCTCTGGTGAGGGGACTGCGCAGATGATCATGGATCGGACTAAGGGGCGTGGAATCGATGTTATTGTGGATTTCGTGGGCAGTGCTGATACGCTTAAGCTTGCGGCCAAGGTCTCACGACCAAGAGGACGTATTGTGCTTGTTGGTATGCAAGGAGGTACGCTGGAGGTTGGTTGGGGATTACTGGCTACGAGTTGTGAATTCATGATTAGTTTGGGGAGTACGAGACAGGATTTACGGGAGGTGTGTGAGTTGACGAAGGCCGGGAAGTTGACAATTGATATTGAGAGGTTTGCGTTTGAGGAACTGGATAAGGCTTATGAAGCGTTGAGATTTGGGACTTTATGGGGAAGGGCAGTTGTGGTATTCCCATGAATATACCTTTCGTTTATTTCTAATGCCTTGTATTTTTGCGCCAGGTGAAATAGAAATTCCAGGCGAAAAAGAAATGAAGTATTTGGTGCGACATGCTAAATTACTATTCTCAAGAGCACTGTTTTCAATTGTCTCGGTGTATATACAATGCTATTGACAGGGTCGAATCAATCTTGTGGAATTATAGGGCTTTGCACAACCCCTAGTCTTTCGTTTCTAAACTACTTCATCGGATTTCTCGCAGGTTTGTTTCGGCTGGTTAGTATCCTGCAGCGGCGTGGGACGGTCGACCAGTTGCAGTATGTCCTTGCCTGTGTCACGCTTCTTGTAAACTTGTCTGCTAACGTGATCATTTAAGTGATGGCCAAAGTCACGAATGAAAATCGCTGCGATAATTGAAACAATGCCTAACGCCAATGCGGTATAATAAGGATAAACGTATGCAGCGGCATAAGCTTCCGAAATCCTCACTGATGCTAGAGTGAAAATGTCATCGTTCATTCCTGGCACAGTTCTGAGGGCGTCTTCAGTTCCGACGGTGATTGCTTGAAGAAGGGCAGGGACTGAACTCGTCGGTAGACCGGCAGAGGTGATCGCCGGGATGACGATCTTGTTCAGCTTCTTGGGCAGTTTATTCGCTATTTCGGCCGTAAAAATTGCGGTGAATATGAACCAACGATGCTACGCATCGCGGAGACTACGGCTACTTCAGTGTTAGTATAATGCTTTCGACTATAGTCTGGAAAGAATGAATCATACCAAAGGCGACACCAAGATCCGGATCTGAAGCCACGTATTGTACCATAAGCATGGTGACCACTTCACCCCATCCTACGGGAATGGTAGCAAGAAAGGAGAACGCTGCAGCCTGGCTACGTTCAGTCGGGTCGATCGAAGCCATGGCACCCACGAATGCGGACATCCAGATACATCCCACAATAAGCTGCCAACGAATGTGCTTGATAATATGGAATAGAGATCCGACAAAGACAATCCCGGCCCAGGCCCCGAAAGCAACTGTTGTCGTAAGCCATGCTGTCGTCTCCCAATCGCTCGTGCCAAAAACCCTCGTAACTTGTGAAGGCCAAGTGATTTGAAGCGCCACGTTGAGGCAACCAGTGACGGCTGAGATAACCACGATCGGTGTGAATCCGGTGAAATCTTTGAAGAAGTGCATAGGGATGATAGGACGCTCGGGTCCTCCGAACACTTCATATAAAACGAATGCAACAAGGCATACAGCTCCAGAAATGAGAAGGCCTAGTATTGTCGCGGAGTTCTAGGCTAGAGGTTGACCTCCCCATGAGACCCCTAGGAGAAATAGCGCCAGCCCAGCAACTAGCAAGAAAACCCCTATGAAATCTATCTTCTTGATTTCATCAATCGTTTTCACCGATTTCCCATGCATTTGCGTAAAGGATGGCGGAAAATAGAATAAGTAGAATAGTATTGTCCCAGGAACCATAAAGATAATATAGATAATGAATATCCATCTCCAAGTGGTTTGTAATACGATTCTCTGACCCAAGTATGCGCCAAACCCTGTCGCAATAACATTCGGCACCGCCACGAGAACTGTAGCGAGATATTTCGTCTTGTTGGTCGCAAGTTCACCTGTGAGCAAGGGATATGACGCCGGGGGTCCAGAGGCAAGGCCGAGCAATACGTTAGCCCCTATCAAAACATCCATATCCCTCGCTGTACACGCAACGATACCTCCGATTATCCCAAGGATATTCGCCCCAATAGCTAAACCGCGGCGGCCAAATCGATCCGAAAGCCGACCAAAAAGAAGAATACTGATACAATCGCAGACTGTCCACACAATAGAGAACAAACTCGTATTCGCACTAGGGCCGATATCTCGATTGATCGCTGTGATTACGGCAGCACCAACGGAGAACGCCCAGTATGTGCCCAAGAGACTGAACCCAATCCCACCAAAAGTTCCAATGACTCTGATGCTGAAATAATAACCAGATAGTAGCTGTTTCGAATCAGCGGCTAGAGCCTGGGAGCGAAGCTGGTCCCCATCTTCCTTAGCCCCTGAGGACACTACTGTCGGTTCTGTAGTCTCTGACATGGCGAAGGTCGACTATGAGGAGAAACGGTAGTCGGGAAAGTGATCAGGAGGACGAGGCATGCTGGTTATATATATACCAATACAAAACTTTTCCTGATATTTTCGACCCTTGAAGTCCAACCCTGGATTTCTTTCATGGTGGATCTAAGCAGTGTTGATATCGACAAATAAGACTTTTGGACTGATTATACCCATCAGTAATTATTATATGCGGCTTACCAACAGGTTGTGGTAGATACCACTCTGGCATGGGGTATCCACCTCAATTCTGGAGATCAATCTGATCGCATGGCTTCATGTTTGAAAATTGTAAGTAATATTGAAATGAGATGACGACTTAGATTGAGAAATTTTTACCAACACATCTATAACATCTCCTATAGAAATGTATGATCTTCATAGGTAGACATATTATCGGCTTTTTTAGGCGATGAATTGCAACCCTTCTTACCTCTCACACTGGCGGTTCTCTTGTAGCACAGGATACCGTATCGGAGTTTTATTTTCTTATAAGACGTGATATCGGAGATACTATTTCGTGAGAAATTTGATAATCAATGGAATGCGAATTTAGTGGATCGATAAGTATAATCCATCGCTGTCGATCGTATCGTAGAGCGTGTGTCGTGTTTACTAATTAGCTACAGTTCAACATGATATTCTGATACTAGTGATTCGGGACTTCTTCATTTGTGGAGTATTGGTGTAACTGCCTCAGTAGCTATAGGCTCGATAATTAGCGATCTATGGATATCTACTATGCCTAGATAGTCAGCAAATACCAACTAAATACACTTAGAATTGTAGTCGAGGGTACGAAACGAAATGTTTGCGATGTGTGCTGGGTACCCCTCGCACGATGGAAACTCGTTGATGAACCTATGCGCCTATTGTTTCAGCCTTACAATCAACGAGAATTTCAGGGTCCAGTAGATGTAAGGGAGATTCCTTTCCTATCGTGGATATTAATTGTTTGATTGCTGATACTATTACCTAATATGGCATTGTCGCAGACAAGCGAGCAATTCGCATGGAGGGAACTTTATATATCTTCTAGCAACAGGAGGTATAATATTGACGACCCTGTGATGCTCAATCTGGTATTTCGTGATGGTGCATCACGCGCAACACTGCTAGAGTGGGGAAGGGTCAGTACATGTTAAAAATGGTCATCGCAGTACAGTGTTCGATGTAATGACGTAAGTGTATCTTAGCCACACATGACAACCTGAATTATGAAGGTCGCAGTGGGGTATCCGTGTATTTAATTCAATAGATTCAGCGTTGTGAACTCGTAAATGTGGTTGCCTAATACTTGGATATGTGGCGTTGTTCAAGATTGCGTGTTTCTTTGGTGAAGCTAAGAAGATGATGGGCGGTTAATGAAGAGAGTAAGGGGCTGATGCTGACGCGCATAGCCTCGATATAATTATTGTTGAGTGAGTATATGAATTTATCAAGGCTTACTAAGGCAGTTATCATCACATGATGGCCAGCGCCTTCTTTCCCTTTGTTAGAGCCATTTGCTGATTGTTGCTGAGTGTACAAGGATACTTTAGGATAGTTTACGTAGGTGACACAGACGAAACGGCACTAGCGCCCCTTTAGGCCTTTAGGTGCTAGAAATGAACCAAAACTTCCGGCGTTGCCAGACAACCAAGCGTCTCGGATACGACTTTAGCCTTCGCAACCTTTCCTGACCTGATTCCGACCTCCCTCCAACCTCTCTAACCTCTCTAACTCTCAATCTTCCCTGCTTCATCATCATCCACATTCTTCATCCATTTTTTCTTCGCCACACGTAGATACCATCAATCAAACCCAAAATCCCAATCTCTCAATCTTCGCGACGAAATTGCTGCTTCTACTGCATTTAATCTGCGACGTGTTCTACGACTTACGACTCATTTACTGAAACGTTTAACCCGACCGTTCAATCACAACCCCAACTCGCCAAAATGTCCAACCAAGAAGCTCCCTACGATCCCTACATCCCCAGCGGCCAGGCCGCAGGTCAACAGGGCGGAAATGCTCGAACGCAAGCATTACAAGCTGTAAGTTTATTATTATTGAAAAGCCCTCAATTTTGATGCTTTTATTCCCGGATCACGAGATACCGATGGCCTTCCAAGAACCGACCGCGCTCCTTACCTGTGACGACATTACCTAAACGCCCAACAACGCCTATCGCATGCCTATACTGCGACGAAACCCAATATTTGTATGTCTTTGATTGAAAAACAATAGCAAGGAATTAAATAAGGATACGAATAAACATTCAGTTGATGGAATTTACTCGGACCAGTATCCCTTTTTCGAGGCCTCTTATCGACCACAGTATCATCATTTAACTATCGCACTAGCTTCTTATCTATCCATGCGATACTTTCAGCAGTTGCGACATAATTGGAGCCTCAAACTTCCATATCTCATGATCCAGGGGAACATCGTAATCTACAATTAATAAACAAAGAAATGGAACTAACAATTGGCCTTTTAGCAAATTGACGACACTGTGGGTGTAATGCGAGAGAACATCAACAAGGTTTCCCAACGTGGTGAGCGTCTTGATGCTCTACAAGATAAGACAGACAACCTCGCCGTCTCCGCTCAGGGCTTCCGCCGTGGTGCCAACAGAGTGCGCAAGCAGATGTGGTGGAAGGACATGAAGATGAGGATGTGCTTGATTGCCGGTATCATTCTCTTGATCGTAGTTATCGTCGTCCCTTCGGGTAAGCTATTATCACCGCAGTTCGAGCTAAATATATTCTAACCTATCTACTGCAGTTCTCGCTAGCCAAGGCAAGATTTCCAAGTAATTTCGACCTGTACACTTAACCGGGTACATCAAGTTATGAATCTACCTAATGGATGGACTTGGTGGCATGACGAACGAGGGAAAGAAAGAAAGAGCAAGCAGTGAAAAATCTCGCTGGCTACGAGCAAAACGCATTGTGGCGATTCCCGATTTGTATCAAAAAGGAAATTCGGAAGTCGCAGCAAATTAGCAGCAGCACAGAGGAGTTTTAGTCTTTGATTTGACCGGGTTCTTTCTTTTTGGCTCGCAAATGGAATGAATCTTTTTTCGGAAGGGCTTGGGATACCGCCGAACGACACCACCCCGATTCCCCCCAAAGCACTGTGGACGGAGCGGTGGATGGTCCGATTTGTATGTATGATGGCGAGGCGTTTTTTTCGACTAATGCAAGATATCTTATGACCCCTGAATACCAATAATTGACGTGGAGATCCCTAATATTTCTGTTTGTTTGATGTGAACCGATGTCACGGGATTGCGAATGAATATGTGATGACTAGGTGATTGTAGTGTTAGATTTGATGTGACTCGCAATTCCTATTCTTCTTGCCCTTCCCGTCCTTTCTTTATTATCGATGGTTTTGTTTGTATTCCTTTTATCCTAAGAATTTACATGGTGATGCCAGCCGGAAAGTCGATGCGCTACCCATGAAGTAGGGGGTAGGCATCATTACCTCGGACACGAACAGACGTCATGCTAATGCTCTTATCTCGCTATCTAAAGAAAACTAGGCGAATGAGACCATGAGTTCGAAACACGATGTAAGGGAGAGACGTTGAAGATGACTAAATGTTTTATAGATTTGTTTCGTTCCTGAGACAGGCTGGGCATGCATAGAGGCTGAAAATGATACTACAGTGACGTCGTTCTCTTAGGTAAGAGATACGCAATGTTTTCTTCCTGCCGGTGGTTTTATTTGGACATATATCAAATACGGGCTTAAGGATTGGTAGATTACTTGATATGCGGAGTTTGTTGCTATCTACGTTGGTGCACGACTTAAGGGTGTTTAGCTTGCGCATATATCGACGGCTGGATATTTGAAGGCTCGTCCGAAATTGGACCAAGAAAGCTAGAGGAGTAGGGCCGAGCCGCTATTATTTTGGATGATCAATGGAAGACGTTTGAGACGCTATTAAGCTCCCAACAGCGGCCTTGCCCTTAGGAATGGCGAAACCTTCAGAAAGATAAGGGCTATGAAATTTATAATGCGAGACCATAAATCGCAAAAGCAGAGAAGGCACTTAGTCCGTCCATGCTAGTGTGTGATTCAAAAATCAAGGTCTTTTATATAATTTAAGTTAGCATATGTGAAAGGGAGGAATGCTACACCTTGATCTTTTGCCGTTTAAATGTCAACTATGCATACGCAAGATAAAAGTTGCATGTTCTCGCTACTAGAATCTGGCGTTCCCAACGGAAATAAATGAATATCATAGCGATTGTGATGGACTTTTCAGTCCATTAAAGGGTATATCAAGAAGCAGGAATTGGAAATGGATGGACACGTGATGGCCTGATATCTTTATTTTCAGAATTGATATTCAGGGGTAAGTGGTAAGTGTCTGATAGCCGACATCTCATGATATTGGCATATAGGCAGAATGTCCGCCGCACACCTCACAGCAAACCTCGATCGAAAATAGTAAGTCGAGAAGACGAAGCCGGACTAGAAGTCTCAAAATAGAAGCTCAACATATTGATCCTATGACCGTAGAAAAAAATGAGCTTGCTTGTAGAGCTGCATACGGTAGGTAATAGCCAAATTTTCGGCCATGCAACATTTGGAGAAAGTTGGAGATTCTGGCGCTCCAGTCGGTATATCTAAGTCGTCTCCGCCCTAACGTATATCATAGTAGCCGGAGGTTGGATTTTTCACACGCTCAACATCAGGTAGTACAGAGGTCAATGTCAGGCGTGTAACTTCGGCTCACGCTGTGCCGGAGCAATCCAATCCGCTCTGCATGAAGCATTGCCTTTCGTGTACAGTCGGCAAGTGGATAGATTTAGAGTAGAAAGGAGGCCTCAAGAATATCCATAGCTAGCGGGATTTTGAACAACTCACTTGTCTAGAGGAAGTCTCCATATTATCATCATCTACGTTGAGCACGTTGAAAACCTGGTCTGCTAGCTTCGAGCACAGCCTCGACTACGAAGGTGAGGGGTGTTGCTACCGGATTACTGGATTGGGAAACTCTTCTAAGAGAATGAATGTTTTCGATGTCGCGTCAATTTATGATGAATGCTGGATTTCTGAATTTGCTCGGCATCTCAGGGACTGGCGGTGATCTTGCGCATGAAAGGGGCCGCGCAGAATCAGCAGGTCTCGATGTCGCTACGACTTTGATATTCAACTTCGGATCCATGATAGGGCAAGCTGATTAGACGTAATGTTGATATCCTTGGCTGCGTAAGGCACGGTAACGAAGCTTTTTGGATCTGCAGCAGCTCAAAGCTTGAAGCCGTGAGTAAAATGCGCCAAGCTAGGCGATGGTGTATTGATGTGACGATTTGATCCGGTCAAGGGGTCCAGATGAGAGTACAATGAAGCTGGTCGACAAGTACATTGTTTTAACTGACCGGAAACGGTGGTCATGTTTTGTACTACTCGTATTCATATTTCTTCATTTTTCAAAGTAGATAAACCGTGTAGACTATTGCTCGGCCTCTTTGATACGAGAAAGGAGATAAGATGAATAAGAAGAGAGAATCATGGAATGTATGTTGTTCCTGTGAACGTTCACTAAAGTTCGCCATATGCCATTAGCATGTACACTATTTTAATGTGACATGTACCTATCGGTATGCAAATACGAAGCCCATATACGCCTTAAAGATGAAGTAGCTTTCCAAGTAGGGTAGGTTGTACCACGATGAGTCCCACCTTTTGCTTTCTTTTACGTATAAATCAATAAAATGACAGATTATTATGTATTTAACAAGGATTAAACCGTTCGCTTCTCCAAATCTCAATGGGTACCTACAGGGTAGTTGCGATGTTCGGCGTACTAGTACTAGGAATAATTTTTTTTTTCCCTCTCCTCGGTCATTGTACATGTTCTCACCGCGGATAACACTATCGCGGCGAATTGACCTGCCCCTCCTCATAACATCCTAACAATGTGAACTTGACAACATCTACATTGTAGTTATTTTTTCTTAATCAATTCAGGTAATTAATTTCTTTTATGCTCAATTGGTTCGCCTATTGCGCCCTGTACATCCCTCCTTCGAGCGTTTTTATGGTCTAGGGTATTTATTTTAAACTGACTCACTGTAATTTTTGACTTAGATTCTCTCCCCTCTTCCCTCTCTCTTCTCTCCCTTCCCAGGATCTTCCCAAGCTTCGCCGGCGGCAGCTTGATCCTCGTCGCGATACCACGGCTGTATAAGCCGTGGAGGTATCAGTTGAACAAATATACCTCTAGTCTTTCGCTATTCCAACATAGACTATGCTTTCCGCGCGCGCAGTACGAGTAGCCGTCCGGGCTGGCTCTCGCCGAGTCTCTCCTCGAGTGACACGTTTGTCCCCAGCGGTCGCCACAAACTCTGCCTTACGAACCTCGCGAGCCTCATACTCTTCCGCTCGATCGAACGATTCGACGACTCGTGCCGCTGTTATACAGGTCCTCAATAATGTTGGCTCTAAGCGAGAGGTTCAGCAGTACCTGTCTCATTTCTCCTCAGTTTCCTCCCAGCAATTCGCCGTTATTAAGGTCGGCGGCGCTATCTTAACCGACTACCTTGACGAACTCTGCTCGTCACTGTCCTTCCTATACCATGTCGGACTTTTCCCCATCATCGTCCACGGTGCTGGTCCCCAGCTTAACAAGCTCCTCGAAGATGCGGGTGTCGAGCCCCAGTTTGAGGAGGGGATTCGTATTACCGACGGTAAGACGTTAGGTATTGCGAGACGGCTTTTCTTGGCCGAGAATTTGAAGCTGGTTCAACGTCTGGAGGAAATGGGTGTCCGCGCTCGACCTATCACCTCCAGTGTCTTCACCGCCGACTACCTAGATAAGGAGAAGTGGAAATTCGTCGGAAAAATCACCGAAGTCAATAAGGAGCCAATCCAAACTGCCATAGAGAATGGATACTTACCCATTCTCACGTCTATGGCGGAGACGAGGGAAGGCCAAGTGTTGAATGTCAATGCCGATGTCGCAGCAGGCGAGCTAGCGCGCGAACTTGAGCCATTGAAGGTGGTTTACCTAAGCGAGAAGGGTGGTCTATTCGATGGTAACGTACAAAAGATCTCGGCTATCAACCTTGATGAAGAGTACGATCACCTCATGTCCCAACCCTGGTGCAAGTTTGGAACCCGATTGAAGATTCGGGAGATCAAAGAGCTTCTAGATACTCTACCGCGCTCATCTAGCGTCGCCATCATACATCCTGCCGACCTTCAGAAGGAATTGTTCACGGATTCTGGAGCCGGTACTCTCATCCGCCGGGGAGACAAATTAATGACGGCAGAGAGTGTGGCAGACTTCAGCGATCTTGGAAAGCTGAAGGACGTGCTTGTTAGGGACCGTGAGGTCCGGGATGCTAGGGCCACTGTGGATCGATACCTTGACTTCTTACAGGGACGTAAATTCAAGGCCTACTTTGACGAGCCAATGAAGGCTCTCGCTGTCGTTCTTGACCCCGCCGCAGACCAATCCTATTCAACACTGGCTACCTTGACAATAACGAAATCAGGTTGGCTCACCAATGTTGCCGACAACCTTTTTGCTGCGATCAAGAAGGAATACCCTAGCTTGGTCTGGACCGTCAAATCAGATGATGAGAATCTTACCTGGTTCTTCGACAAGTCGGACGGTAGCATCGTTAGAGGCAACGATGTCATGTTCTGGTATGGAATTGAGCCAGGCGACGAGCTCAACAAACTAATGCGAGAATTCACTCTTCATGGCCGAGCGATGCTTGGTGACTCCAACTTGGAGTCTCGACTCCACCGGGCAGCTCAGGTTGCTTCTGAAAATCTACGAGCACATTTCGCCTCTGGTTCTGTTGCCAACCAGGCACGTGGTTACTCGACTCTTGCCCGTCGTCCCGTGCTAGGAAATGCCGCTACGAGCACCTTCTCGCGGGGATCGCGCAGGGGTTTTGCGACCGAAACCAACCCCAACCCGCCATATGGTAAAAAGCATGCCTCTAACACACAACCATCCAGAGTTGCTCTGATTGGCGCTAGGGGCTACACCGGACAGAATCTCATCAGTCTAATTAACACCCATCCCAATTTCGAACTGAAGCACGTATCATCCCGAGAACTAGCAGGTAAGAAGCTAGAGGGCTACACCAAGAAAGAGATCATTTACGAAAACTTGAGCTTCGACGACGTTCATGAGATGGAGAAGAAGGGCAAGATAGATGTGTGGGTTATGGCTTTACCTAACGGTGTTTGCAAGCCATACGTCGACGCTATCAACAAGGCCAAGGAATCCTCTACAAGGGAAGACAACAGCATTATTGTGGACCTCTCCGCCGATTACAGATTCGATAAATCGTGGACGTATGGTCTTCCCGAGTTGGTGAAGCGATCACAAATCGCTCAAGCCACTCACATTTCAAATCCTGGTTGTTACGCAACAGCGGCCCAACTCGGCATTTCACCGCTAGTGGAATTCCTTGGTGGCCAGCCTACTGTATTCGGTGTTTCTGGTTACTCGGGAGCTGGCACTAAGCCCTCTGCGAAGAACAATGTGGAACTCTTAACCAATAACCTCATTCCTTATAGTTTAACAGATCACATCCACGAAAAGGAAATAAGCAACCAATTAGGTGTTGACGTTGGATTTATTCCCCACGTCGCAGTATGGTTCCAGGGTATCCATCACACAATTAATATCCCTCTCAACAAGACGATGACGTCGCGAGATATCAGACAGATGTACCAAGATAGGTATGCGGGTGAGAAGTTAGTCAAGGTGGTGGGAGAAGCCCCGTTAGTAAAAGCCATTAGCGGGAAGCACGGTGTTGAGATTGGTGGATTTGCCGTCCACAGTTCAGGAAAGCGGGTGGTTATCTGTGTGACGATTGATAACCTATTGAAGGGTGCAGCGACACAATGTCTACGTGAGTATTTCCTCTTCACTTGAAATTGCAATTGATTCTAATATGACTTATAGAAAATATGAACTTGGCTCGCGGATATGCGGAGTTTGAGGGTATACCCCCTATGGATTAGAAAGGGGCTTATTCAATGTTTCTTACTTAAGGAAGGCCAAGGTGGTAGGCATTTCTTTCAGGGTTTGAATGCTTAGGGGTTTAGAAGACACTTGTATATACCTAGTACTGAAAAAAGCTAAGCGGAGCCTTCACGATGTTAGAAATAAAGATGTTTATGAAACCCACAAAACTAGAAGTCATATTAGATGCGAATGATCATATGATAATTGTCATCTCCGCGGTATGTCATATTGGCATTGGTTTTGTACCTGTCTCGCTTATATGGGGAATAGTCATTATAATTTTAGGGGGTTTGCTTGGTGGCGTGATTCAAATAGCTCTATAAATCCCCATATCTCGGGCTCTGTAGAATGAAAACAGATGGCGGACTCCGCCCTAAAGATGCCGTTTGATAGCCCTAAAGGGCGCAGATCCAGACGCCGATGTACCTGAATTAGGTGCGTTTTTATAGTATGGTGGGGTAATGGAAATTCAATCGAACCCCCCTGAACAAGTGTTCCGATGGCGGATGGCGGGGTCCAATGGCGGGGCAAATTTTTGGCACCAAGCACCCGAGCAACGGGGGACCAGAACCTTGGAAGCTCACTATAAATCTATCAGCGCCTGTAAATCTTTACGGGGGCAAATTGACACACATTTAAGGGGACCTTAAAAAATAAATATTCGCGACACAGTACTTGCGCAGGAATTTAATATTTTGAGGAGGCAATTAGCTATAAGACAATCATGGCTTCCCAATTCCCTACTAAGAAATGCGGTATGAACCCCTCCTCACGATCAATGGCAAACCTACGTTTACTAACCTGGTTCTTCATGCTTAGGTGTCCTAGGCTGCACAGGTTCCGTAGGCCAGCGATTCATCCTCCTCCTGTCGCAACATCCACACTTTGTCCTTCACGCCGTAGGAGCCTCATCTAGATCAGCCGGCAAAAAGTATAAGGATGCTGTCCGGTGGAAGCAAGCCTCTCCCATGGGCGCCGTTGGCGAATTAGTTGTGCGCGAGTGCAAAGCTAGCGAGTTTGCAGATTGCGATGTAGTCTTCAGCGGTTTGGACTCAGACGTTGCTGGTGAAATCGGTACGTTTAACCCCATCAAGCGCCTTCTTCCCACACAGCTAGCTAATATGTACGGTCACTAGAAATGGAATTCCTCAAAGCCAACCTCGCCGTATTCTCCAACGCCAAAAACTACCGCCGCGACCCTCTCGTTCCCCTCGTCGTACCCACGGTTAACTTACCACACCTGGACCTAATCCTACACCAACGCCAACACCATGGCCTCGAGAAGGGATTTCTTGTTTGCAACTCGAACTGCGCAGTCATCGGTCTCGTAATCCCCTTCGCAGCACTCCAAGCCCGCTTCGGCCCCGTCGACGCCGTCAGCGTCGTAACCATGCAAGCCGTCTCCGGCGCAGGGTACCCGGGCGTGAGTAGTATGGATATAATGGACAACGTAGTCCCCTTCATCTCCGGCGAAGAAGACAAACTCGAGACCGAGGCGCGTAAGATCCTAGGCGGTGTTAACGACGGGAAAACCGCGTTCGTCGAACAAGAAGGGCTGAAAGTGTCCGCAGCTTGTAACCGAGTACCGGTACTTGATGGACACACAGCTTGTGTTTCGCTGAGATTCGCGAAGAGACCGTCGCCTCCGGCGGAGGAGGTTAGGAAGGCGCTTAGGGAGTATGTTAGTGAGGCGGAGAAACTGGGGTGTCCGAGTGCGCCGAGGCCGAGTATTCAGGTTTTTGATGAGCCGGATCGTCCGCAGCCTAGGTTGGATCGTGATTTGGGAAGGGGTTATACGGTTAGTGTGGGACGTGTGCGGGAGGATGAGAGTGGGATTTTTGATATTAAGTTTGTTGCGCTGAGCCATAACAGTAAGTTATCCAATTTCCTGTATACTTGATTGAGAGGGAGGTTGCTAATGATATATAGCTGTTATTGGAGCTGCTGGCTCGTCGATATTGAACGCTGAGGCGGCGGTGCTTAAGGGGTTTATCTGAGAAAGAGTAGGTAGGGAGCAAGCTTGCATCTTGCATCTACAGGCGTTTGGTGGACTAGTTCATTTGCATGGGAAGACAAAAAGGAGACAAGCATTTGTAGATATCGTGGTAAAGATGATAACCGTGGAAATGAAAAGTGATTTATTCTTCGACGAGAAAGTGTAGTTGTGCGATGGTGATATGTGTTAAAAGATATTCCCTACGAGCCAGAGTTTCAGGGCTATAATAGTCTTCCTAGGTGCAAAAACTGGTAAAACCTATTGCTTGATTCTGAATGGAGGCAATATGTTTTGCAACTAAAATTATTCTGATGTATTTGCAAGGAATTGATTATTTTATGTTATTAGAGATAGTCCTTTGTTCCTTTGTTCGAATAGGTATAATTTAACAAAATGCAGAAGCGACGTCCGTATATAAACTGAGGAGCTATTATTCGAACTTTATTCTCACCAAATCATCTTCACTATAGCTTTAGTGGATGGCGCACTAAATTTTGGCGTTGTTCGAATTCGGCGGGGCAGTGTATAGTATATAGAGCCCTATAAGCAGCCAACTTTTCATCACCTCGTCAGCCAATGACAAGCCATCATCCACTTAGCTGAGCACAGCTAACTCCCCCCTCTCGTAGAGCGGCTTCGTGGTCTAGTGGTAGGATACTCGCTTAGGGAGAACCCTAAAGCAAACAAAATTGCGAGTGGTCCCGGGTTCGATCCCCGGCGAAGCCCTTCTTTTTGCTGATTTCTCTTTGAAATTGGTGTAAGATTTGGTGTTATTTTTCCCTTAAAGTTTGGGGGTTGATATAGGTGTTGGTGAAGAGCTGAGGAAGGTGGTAGGCGGTTTATAATTGGTTTCGGTTCTATGGTACACTAGCGAGTTAGTTTATGTGATAAATTTTTGTATTCGCGATCGTTGGCATCACTTACCTAGTGACGTCCTCTAGTCTTTTAGTAGTTCCCCTATCACCAAAGCTTGGTATGATACATATGTCGTCACACATAGATCTTTATTTGGAGTCAAGTTAACTAGCACATACATATGCAATGTTGAACATCACTAAGCTTTAACCGAACCTGATCTATTATATGTGGGTAGGTACGGCAACCAAATGACTATGGCGAGTCCGTAATATACAAGTACAAGAGAGCCTGTCGAGAAATCATGCAGTGGTACCTCGACAGGCTAACTGTATTTTTAAGGTCATAAAAAACCTACCCCCTTTGTAGTGTAGTATAATATAAAGCAAAACGCTCCTGGGACTCCGTGAAATCGTGCGGACGTAAGCTCCTTAGATAAATACAACGCGGTTAAAACCGCTAGAAAACCTGACTACTTGCAGGAAATCCATTACAGCATAGAATCATGCCTCATCTTCTCGTACGCCGCTGACTGTCTAGATGATAAATAAGAGATAGATCGTTTAAGGTTAAATCATTCCTCTAGAATCCCTCGAAATAACGGTCATATTGACGGGACATATCTTCGGTATACGCGTCTCGCTTGCCGTCGTCCTCCGGGTAGACATCAAAGCATTGCGCGTCACCCGGGAACCGTACGTTGGGTTGGATCGGCGGTCTCAGCTCTCGGCGGAAGAGGGCGTCCCAATTTATGCCCTCAAAGAAGGGATGCTTCTTGACCTGCTGAGTACCACCGATTAGGTTCCCTAGTCGCCGGGAACGGTCTACCGTACAAAATGAACGGATGATGTTCTGCGCATTAGGCGAAATGGGAGGATCGGCGGGGAAGAGCACCGGTTTCTCGATAATCCTAACATCTTGTTAGACTCCTGAACTTGTGAAATAAAATATTAGAAGTACTGACTGTTTGTAGATCTCGATGGGATTCTGGTGCCAAAACGGGGGATATCCTGTGAGAAATTCGTATATCAAAATACCCAATGCCCACCAATCAACAGCTATGGTGTGCCCCTTGTTCTGAATTACCTCTGGTGCCAAATATTCGGGCGTGCCACAAAGAGTGTATGTCTCAACAGGTCTACTATCCCTGCTGCCAAGTCTCTTCGCGAACCCAAAGTCCACCAGCTTCACATGACCCTCACCATCCAATAGGAGATTCTCGGGTTTCAGATCGCGATACGCCACGCCACCTTGGTCATCGTGAAGGTACTCGAGTACTAAGACAATCTCAGCCGCGTAAAACTGCGCCCATTCCTCCGGAAATCGTCGATGTCTTCGCAAATAACTAAACAACTCGCCGCCGGGGATGTAGTCGAGAAGCATGTACAAGGAGTCGTGGTCGGAGAAGGTGGTAATTAGTTCAGTAATGAAGGGGTGGCCGGCGACGTCGCTTAGGATACGGCGCTCGTCTCGAACATGGTCGATTTGCTTTAGCTTGATAACCTCGGTTTTGCGCAAAATCTTAAGTGCGAAAACCTTCTCGCGTTCTTCGTCGGTACCGGCAGCAGGTCGGACTAGACATACTCTAGCGAAGGTACCTGCGACGAACGTACATTTAGCATGGCAAAAACTCAGGCGCATATCATAATTGATAATATTTTGGTAGGTAGGTAAATATTACCCGTTCCTAGAGTCCTCACGAGAGCAAAGTCTCCCAGCTTCAATCGTTGGTGCTGCGGGGGCACTTTGGGGTCCGTATCGGTCTCTACCGGGGAGACGGCAGCGGCGGTGGTAGAGTCGGGGTTTGCGACGGCCCGCAAGCTGTGTTCTTGTATGACTCGCGGGATAAGGCCGGGTTTGGCAACCGTCGCGGCCATCTTTTTAAGATTCATCCGAAGTTGTAGGGTGTACCGAACGAGTGGGTAGGATGTAGGTATATAAATCTCCGGGTTGGGTCTGTATTCTTTCTCTTTCTGCCTTTCGCAATTGGCAATTATAAATTAGGCGAAACCCATCTCTCGACGCTAGATTAGTATCTGCGAGAATGGGTCGTTTTTCTCGACTAGAGACCGTTGGGAGGGAATTAAATAGCTTGATGCGAATTGGTTGGGCACTCTAGAGGATACCCATCATGGACGTTTCCGAATATGTAAGTGGGTTCCCGAGTAGAATAGAATAGAGAGTATAGAACGGATGGAATAGCGCAGGAAAAAAACAACGAATTAGATTAGCAATCCGGACTAATAGAGCAGAAGGAGGACGCAATGGATTGCTGTCGCTCCTTTAGCGCATGGCAAAGATTAGAAACGAAGAACGGACGGGACAGGGCAGGGCTGGCAGCTGGGTCAGGTAGTAATAAGCGGCGCGGTGCGGTGGTGCACACAGTGGGTGGGTGCTGCGGTGCAGTGCGGTACGGCACGATCAAATAACCTGGGAACACAGGAGGGTGCTGGGTGATAAATGCTAGGTATGCACTGTATGTAGGGCATTAGGATCCTCCCAGCCTTGTTAGCGATGACGTTTGCTGCAGAACGAAGCCAAGCGGGGAGATGATTTCAATTGTCGCAGGTCATAGAAAGTGGATTTCTGGTTTTCTTCCAATAGGATTCCTCTGATCTAGACCGGAAAGGCAAAGTACGTTCGATATGTACCTCCCTGTAATCTCTCATCCAGTCTCCAGTCTCCAGGGCTTTCAATGCTGGTACCTGATTTCCCAAACGTATCGCGCGCGTGACGAGCTGAATTGATGGAACATAGGCCGGGTAGCCGCAGGAGGTCGCATTTCATATTCCGCATTGATGTTCCTGCTCCTCTTCCTCGAACCAACGGCTTTGCTTCTCTTTTTAGGAGAACCACGAAGAAATAAGTAGGCATGCATTTATAATAAAATATATTTTTAGTGGTAAATTAAATTCAGTATCTGAGTAAATTCACTGTTCTAACTGTCATATAGTTTGATTTAATGGCGCAAATGACGAAATGGAAATGATAAGTGAGTGTGGAATAACCTATGAGATAATTATTCGTGATGGAAGGGAAGAAAAGATTTGGGGATTGTTGAACTAACTTGGATTGGTTTTTGCTCCATGCGACGGGCAGAACGGGATGCCTAGATGGGGTAATCTAGTGGGGTCCAGTGTCAAGCTGGGGTGTAAACGTTAAACTTAGTCATCTTAGGTAATCCTCACTACTTACATTTTATTCTTAAAACAGATATACTTAGTAAGGGTACTTTAGTTATTACATAAGCGCACGTTTCAAGACAGAGCTTCAGCCACATGCGAGGGTCCACGGTTCCTTCCCCCCCTATCAGAGGCTAGAGTCAGAAGACTAGGCCAGGTGCTGTGCTGCTGCTGCTACCGCTGCTACTCTATTACTACACTTTCTTAACAAATATTAACCCCACGGATGAACGAACGAACACAACTCTCCCTCTCCTTTTCAACTACGACAATTACCCTGACACGATATCGATCCTACCACCACCACCAAGACCTTACCGACAAACTTATCACTGATTCAGACACATTCCGCATCCGTCGCTGACTAAGCACTTCGCTCCACCGCCCATCTCTAGAAATGAATTGAGCTTACAAGTTCATGGACTCGACTCTGCTGGAAAGTCTTGAACCATGTTTAACCTCAGCAACTTCGTGCAGAAGGCTCAGTCCGCTGCCCAGCAGCTGATTGATCCTATGCAAGGGTTGAACTTGACAAACTCCGACCGACATCCCTCCAAGGCTTCTCTCTTCCAGCAACAGTTCCGACTCCCTAGCTCCCAAACACCTCTAATCGAAGTACCCGCCGAGCTTACGATACCTCCTTCAAACGTAACTCAAGGGGACAAAGAACGTGATCGAGGATGGCATTATGCTGGAAAATTACATCTATCTGAGGCATTCATCTGTTTCTCTACAACACCTACTAGTTTCTCCCAAGGGTCTAGTCCGTCAAGCTCCGCTGCATTTACTGGTCAGACACATGGCGCCGGGCCTAGTGGGAATGGCTTTACTTTTCCTCTGTGCGCCATCAGACGTGTTGAACGGCTTAACAGTCAGAACTCACAGGTACGGGATACCATTGTGCCTGATTGCAATCATGACAAATAAGGCTAACGTTAGGGATTTCTAGTTTGCTCTTGCTATAACGACTTGGAATGGCATCACACAAGAACAGGCCAAGGACAAAGATGTGCAAAAAGACAAAAAAGAGTTAAGAGAACAGAGGATCACCGTGCATCTTGCTGCACCCCGCCCAGTCTGCGAGAGATTTTGCGATGTCCTCAAAAAAGGCCTGAGGGGTGCGGTCGGTCATGTTGGGAAATACAAAAAGGTGGTAAATGAATGCTACTCCGAATATCTCCTCCGACCAGAAGACAAGAAGAATGCGAATCCCCCCGATGCCGGTTTGGGTATGGTTTTCCGTTATCCTGGCGACCCGAAGAAACTTAGAGATCGAGCGAAGATGAGGCTATGGGCTGAATATCTCCGCGATAATGGCCGAAATGCCACACTAATCCGTCAACCCACATTTCACAAATTAATCCGAGTCGGTCTTCCAAACCGCCTTCGAGGAGAGATCTGGGAATTAACTTCCGGATCTTTGTTTCTGCGACTTGAAAATCCTACCTTATACACAGATACACTCGCCAAATTTGAAGGAAAAGAATCTTTGGCTATAGATGAAATAGAAAAAGACCTAAACAGAAGTCTTCCAGAATACCCCGGCTTTCAAAGCGAAGATGGAATTAACCGATTACGACGAGTTCTCACGGCCTACAGTTGGGTAAATCCCGAAGTCGGTTATTGTCAGGCTATGAACATTGTCGTCGCTGCCCTGCTAATATACATGTCGGAAGCTCAAGCGTTCTTCCTCCTTTCGGCCCTGTGCGATAGACTAGTCCCCGGTTATTATTCGTCCACCATGTATGGTACGCTCTTGGATCAGAAGGTGTTTGAATCCCTCGTCGAAAAGACCATGCCGATATTGTGGGAACATCTCGTTAAGAGCGATGTACAACTTTCCGTGGTGTCTCTCCCTTGGTTCCTGTCTTTGTATATCAATTCAATGCCCCTAGTGTTTGCATTCAGGGTTCTAGATGTCTTTTTCGTCGAAGGTCCTAAAGTTCTCTTCCAGGTCGGACTAGCCATTCTCCGGATCAACGGCGAAGAGTTGCTGGATGCTACGGATGATGGTGCTTTTATTTCCGTGTTAAAATCGTATTTCTCACGCCTTGATGAGTCCGCACATCCGAAATCCGAGAACCCGAAGTTGCGAGCCATTAACAGGTTCCAAGAACTCATGGTCGTCGCCTTCAAGGAATTTTCGGGTGTCACGCACAGTACTATTGATGATCTACGTTTGAAGAATAAAGATGCTGTTCTCAATAACATTGAGAACTTTGCTAAGCGTACAGCTATTCGGAATCTCGGGCCTGATAGCAAATTGCTAGGTCAGGAAGAGCTTGGAGCTCTATACGATAGATTTTACAGAATTCTGTATGAACGACAGCAGCGAGATCACATTATTCAAGAGCAGTTACGCCGAGCCAAGGCCAACAAGACCAGAGCGGCCGATGCATTCTCAGAGCATCATGACCATGGTGTAGAGAAGGGTCGGGTCGGCCTTGGCCCTAGTACTAGTTTGATGGATTACGACGCATTCCGAGAGTTCCTGGCTAGTGTATCTAAATGGGCCATCTCAGATGCGCCGCCTTCACCAAGGCGCGATACATATTCAGACAAAGACCGCAATTCTTATTTTAGTAGTTTTAGACGTTCTGATGCTAATTTGTTATCACCGTGGGGCGGAAATCCGGAGCCAGCAGACCACGAATTCATGCAGAGACTATTCCGGAGATGGGACGTGGATTCTAGCTCGACGTTAACGTTACAAAATGTTGTGACAGGCTTTGCGCATATCAAGGGAAAGCGTGATATTATGGGTACGATTACATATTTCTTCGAACTTTACGACGATGATGGCGATGGAAAAGTTGATCGTGAGGGTATTTTACGGATATCCGAAGCCCTCTTATTCCTTTCGCGTCGTGGCCTCGAGGGAACGTTAAGTAACTCCGGTTCGAATACGGCGAGCAACGTATTAAGCGATTCTACCAACGGTTCGATGAGCCCTCCTATCGGAGGTACTATAAATGAGCGGTTCTTGGGGAGTGTGAGCGCCTTCATTAGACGTTGTTTCGAATATGCCGACCCGGACCATCCTAGCAACCAAAACGCAAGTAGTGGAGCAGTAACATCCAACACCAATGAGACGGCAGAAGACAACAGTAATGCATTTGCTATCGGCGATGATGAGGACGAAGAGGAAGATGAAGATGAAGAGGATTTACTTGCCTTTGAAGGTCCAGCGGAAAGTCCCAAGCCGGCAAAAAAGAAACCGGACTTTGGAGAATCAATTCCTACAGCGTTGGGTAAACCTGATACCGGCAATGAGGCCAGGCGTGCAGTATCAAAAGCGCAATCTGAGAAAGCCAACGCCGCGCTGGATCCGTCAAACCCGTTACATATCACTTTACCCACGTTTCGTATGGTTGTACTCGCGGATGAACTACTGGAGCAATTCTTTGAGTCGTCATTCCCCACCTCGCTACATCTCATTGATGGGTTGGCAACCTCTGCTAGCCAATCGACGTCATCGCTTACTACATTTTCCAATATGAGTTTCGGACGTTCACCTGCTGCGCCCATTCCTGTTCCACAAGCTGGCGTTGCGGGAGCTGGACGCAGCCTACGCGGTGTTCTCGATAATATTGTTACAGATGCGTCACGTGTAGCAGCCGAGGTTCGACGACGAATGGAAGAAGCACAACGTGAACTAGAAAAGAATGCAGTGCCTGGACAAAGGGATGAAGAGGAAGAGGAGGAAGAAGATATTCAGGGTCTCCGTCCGACTGGATACGGTGGGGACCCTGAGCGAAGAAGTGTTCGGTCTTCGGATAGAGACCTATTGGATGGTGCCGATGCGGAAGCAGGAGCGGCAAAGGGCCAAGAAGGGCAAAGCCAATCAATTGTTAGCACAAATGTTGTAGAAGAAGGGAGACCAAGAACAGCAAGTTCTACGACGCAGAGGATAGTGGAGTTTGAGGGTTGAATTGCATGTAGAGGATAGCACCGGACATCAAGGGAGTTTAGGTATCGGGTTGGAACATGATTGGAGGTCTTGGTGTTATTTTTTCATTGCCTCGTTCGCAGGGTGTATGTATGTACGACTTAATGCCACGGGCAGCAAGAACCATGTGCAATTCAAATTCTGTGAATCAACCCCCTGGTGGCGCTGAGACATGTTGCGCCTATCACTTATCCGGGTATCCCCTCCGGACTGGACTTCGGACACATTTATCTCCAAGGTTCGTCAATATCCCACAGGAGAGAATTGGTATCCAGGCTAACCTAGGACATTGATAAATCTGTCGTAACGAGTCGCAGTTAAGACAGGAGTTAGAATACGAAGTTATTTCTCTTGGGTATTGTATAGGAACTCCCAAACGACTTTCAGCTATATGTGTTTTATCCCGATATGCCTCCAAGGGGGCATGTCTTAGAAGCACCATTTCTTAGTATCGCTTCTTCAATTATCCCTAGCTCGAGGAGCTAGATTAACTTAACTATGTTTTCTGGTATCATTTCAAGGGGAGGCAAGAGATTTACGAGTCAAATAGTTACTGATCGACGAGACTTTATTGTCGTTGTAGTTCACTCCCTAACCATGGGCATTCCAACCCCAGCCATACTATCTACATTGACATCGGAGGCTGAAAATAGCTCCTTTCCCTTTCCTTACGAAATATTGAATTCAAATATCCCAGGAATACGCCTTCCTTTCCTTTTTAATTGATCACACTTTCTACGCTCCTTCATATCCTTTCTTTACACAACTTTATCATACATTTCACTTGAGATACTTCACTTATATTGATGCTTATGAATAAGGCAACCAACCGAATGCCAATTCAGTATGGCGCCGTCATATCAATCTAGAATCAAAGCTGCGGCTTGTCTATTAGCCTCATCTACCCTCACCAACGCCCAAGCCTTTTACTACGAAGATATCTTACAATCCTGCAAGCCCGAATACGCATTCCAAGAACTCGGCTGCTACACCTCTTCCTCACCACCGTTTCCTTTCGCCCCGCAAGCCTGGGTCCCGAACCAAGACCTGTCGTTCGCATATATCCAATACAATAGGGGCGACCACATCAATACTACTGTAACACCCGCTCACTGTTCTAATGCGTGCCGAGTGCATGGCTACAAGTACGCGGGACTATGGAATCAACAATGCTTTTGCGGAAGCACATTAGCATTTACGAAGACGGACGGAAAGGCGGTCGCGCTGGGAACGACGAGTGCGTCAGCCTGTGCGAACACTGCTGATCCGTGTCCTGGGGATAGGAGGGAGAGTTGCGGTACCAATGCCGCAGCACGAATCTTCGTTGATCCTTCATTTAGTGATGTATTAAGCACCACACCCGCAGCCTCGCTTGTAAGCGGGTATGGGCTATTGGGATGTTTCCAAGGCCTTAGTCTCCCATCTGGGGATTCATTCATTACTTCTCCAAGCATGGTCTTTACGAGTAGCAATGGGTGCCTGTCCTACTGCGCCGACTTGGGATTACCGTATGCATACATGAGTTCGGATTCTATTAGTGGTACTCCGAGGTAAGGCTTTCAACCCAAGCAATGAGAATTCCGTTACTAACAATTACTCTAGTATCCAATGTTTCTGTGGCGCAGCTTTCGGTAACAACGCTCAATCCATCGCCGTCACAACCAGCGATATCAGTTGCTATAAATCCTGTGGCAACATCGACCAAGCCTGTTCAGCGCAAGATTGCTGCGGAAGCAGGGGCGGGCCGTTCCCGGTATACGCAAACCCGAATTTGATGGGCTGTTACATCCCCCGGATTCCCGAATCCCTAGACTCTTCTATCGCCGCTCCAGTGAGCGCGGAATACAGCTGCTTCGCGACACTCTCGAGCATCGCAAACCGTCCCACGGCCGCATGGTCAAGCTACGGCCCACCGATTTCCCGCACCGCAACTTTCGTCGCGACCGCCCAACCTGCGGCGACTCCGTATGTCCTATACGGATGTTTCTCGCGGTCCAGTCTCGCGGAGGTACTCCCCTCCGCACAACAGGTCGAGAGTTTTTCCTCTACCGAAGTCTCAGTTGACTCATGCATTGCATACTGTGACATCAATAGCTTCCGCTGGGCGGCGCTTGTTGGTTTGCCCACGGTTGCATGTCACTGCTCGAATGGAGATATTGTATCCCCCACGGGTGAGATTGAGAATATGCAAGATTGTAACCAGCCATGCCCCGGATCTGATACGCAGAATTGCGGTGGTGCGGGGCCGCTTGTGTATGGTGTTGCGAAGGGGACGGGACCTTGGGAGAAGTCTTGGAGTCAGGCGTATGCTGTTACGCCGACGTATTCCTGCTGCGATGAATGTGAGTATTTACAATCCAGTCAAATCAATTAATACGCCGAAAACTGACATCTTTCCAGCCACCACGAGTTACACAACAACCGGGACCTCTAGCTCAATTCCAATAGCTGAAACCACTACATCAACCATCGCAACATCTAGTAGCTCCACGATATCAAGTACTTTAACATCAACAGTCTCCTTAACAACAACGACAACCTCGCCCCAAACAACGACAACCGCCGCCACCACATCAACACCTACCCCCATTTCACCCACTACTTCCACATCCCCGTCAGGCATCCCAGGTATCATCGACATACCGGGTACATCCATAATCCTCTCCATCATCCCCACCCCCAACTCCGCCAACACCAAATCCAGCATATTCATCGGCCCCGGAAATCCCAACACCTGCACGCGCGCCACACCCTTCCACCTAAAATCCGGTCAACTATCCAACAGCGCCGACGGACAATTCATCTCCACCAAAAAAGACATATCATTCCAACCTTTCTCCGCATCATCACGTCAAGGTCCCATCGCGACAACCTTTAGTGTAGTCAATGGCCGATTACACTGGTATGATAGCGCGTTTTACCAGGGTCGGGCGCGGTACTGTCGTGTCGCGTCTTCGGGACAGGTTTATATCGTATTTCATATTGATAAGACTTGGCCTGATAGATGCGAGGAGGTTGATATTGCCGTGCATCTCGCTTCGCGATGTCAAGGTGGTGAGATTGTGCCTGGTGAGTTCGTGTTACCTAGCGCTGAGGCCGGTGCGACGGGCACTGCGAGCAGTGGTAGCGGTGGTGTTTCGAGGGAGGAGTTGTGAAGAAATCGATATGCAAGTATACTTGTATGGATGATATCTCGCTGCGCAGACTGTCAGAGGAAGTATGACTGGTTGGGCGGGCTCCAGCCATTGCATAGATTCATACCCGACAGATTGACGGATGCACAGAAATAAGGGAGTGACGGGAGGCATCAACAGCATCATGAGATACCACGCATAATTATAAATTTATATTTCATTCGCCCCGTTCCTTGCATCTTTACGTATCATGCATCTTCCTTTTTGCTGTTGTCTGACTTTCTACGGTATGTTTAAGCAATATAGATGTATTTTCAAGTGAATATTCGTGGATTTTCCTCTATCTAAAAGACTAATTATACCAATGATAGTGGCATGTTATGGTCCACCGTTAATTCCAGTATATTAATTTCCATCCAGAAAATATATTAATGCATGCAGAAGAAAGAGGCGCCCAAGCGATACCCGCGGAATCCGCCTAACAACCGCCGCAATATGGATATCGGAAATATATGTTATCAACGATATTATTTCCCCACCATCTATCCAAATCAGGACAAATGGAACTTTCAATAGGATCTTGGTGTCACAGTTTTAGTTGATTCTTGCCCTGGGTTGGGCGGTTGTTTCCTTCCTCCTCCCCCCTCCCCCTCCTCCCACCTGATGGTTGTGGCTGGTGCTGTTCCGCACCTAGCCATTGCATCTGATCACCTCCGTAGATGAGCTTCCCCTGGAGCCTGCACCTGCACAGGGGGAGGAAATTCCTCATCAAGGCCGGCCTGGACAGAGCGCGCCCGCTTTGCTCGCCTGCGGTCCCTGATGCCCATCTTTAAATACGTTAGTTCGTCCACAAGCCCCAAAATTAGAGGAATATCAGAAGCGTTGCAATTTACTATGAGGAGAACCACTGCCAAGAGGACCATGGCAATATGCAGGCTCAGGAAGAATATGGCGAGACCGGTGAGCCATTTCTCGTCGGGATAGAAGTCGTAAATGACATAGCATGTCACCGAGGCCGCCGTGAAGAGAACAATGAGGCAGAAGGTTATTTTTCGTGCCATCTTGGTCCTCTTCTCACCAGGATAGATTGCAGGCAGAGCAGCCGGGGCAGTGGCGGAGTTGTCACGCATCATGCTCTGCGACGCACCCCTTGATGAGGCTTGGAATGCGTCCAGAAGTTCTCGGTCCTCTAGTTCAATCCAAGAGCTGACGTCTCCTCGATGGTGGGCCGGCCAATGTGCTGAGAAGGACGCCATTTTATTCGAATGGTGATGTTGGTGGTGGTGTTTTTGTGGTTGATGATGGTTATGTCCTTGTACTATTATTTAGTGTATATAATTAAGATCTGAGAGATGATTGAGGATATCAGTGTGAAATTGTCAGAGGTGAAATTGTCAAGTCGAAGGGGGTGAGAAAAGAGGAGGGGAAAAGGGGTATTTATACGCCAGGTATGAGAAGATGAGAAGTCTGGAAGGTTTGCTGAGGAAATAAGATTAGTCCTGGCGTTATATATACTTCGATGGCTTTGAGTCATCTGAACCTTCAGAACGTCTTACCCCACGAGGTTATTCCAAAGATTATTCCAAGCTAGCAATAAGAGTTGTTAGCTTAGACTTAATATCTCTGCCACGATATATCAAACTTAACATTCAAGTCAAGGCTCAACTATTCAATAGGATACTGTTCACACTGGGCCATAGTATCATACTCTAAGGGGAGACTATCAGAACCAAAATTACCAACTAAGCAAATAGCCCCAGGGGATATTAACTGTAACTAGATCACGAGTATTGAATTGAATATAAGGGGGTAACGTAAAAGCGCTATTAGCGAAAAGAAGGCGAGAGAGTCAAGGTCGAGATCAGACTATAAGCTCCCATCTAGGTAGTTAAGGACCGTGTACGCATGTATCATCCTTCGAGACAAAATCAGAGGACTTGCTATGAAGCACTTGTACGTGGCCATAGGTCCAAAGTGTTCAACACCGAGTCTGTGTATATAAGCCGCCCATCCAATATATAAGTATCCTGACGAAGCAAAGCCACTTATTTCACCTCAACCATATTTATATACTTTTCGAACGCGATAGCATACGAACCCATCCTCATCACATCCGATTCTAGACCACATATTCATAACTACTTCTACATAATGGACAGCAGCCTCTTCATCGCCCACCTAGGCGCCATCGCCGCATCGCTATCATGCATATTATTCAACACTTTACCGCTCCGACTATTCATCATGTTCATACTCGGCTGCAGACTCGTGTCGATGACAGTATCCGGAATATATAACTATCTAAGTAATCTAGGCTACCCCCATCTGTTTTGTTTATTTTACTCCTATCCCTTATTCCTCTTCTTAATGTTTGAAATATACGCATCACAGCTTCGGTCCAACTACCCACCAATACAGAGAAAAGTGGACATAAAATCGTATATGAGACGCTTCCACGCGAAAGCATGGGAGACATGGCGATTCACTGCCCCCTTACACTTGCCGAACATCAAGTGAGCGACTTATAATATTCGATTACCAATACGCTTATTTCTGAACCTATGCACCACCCTTTCCCCCTTTCCGTGTCTTGTCTCATCCCATCCCCATTTATACAACACCAGACAACAGAACCTAACCGCTAGAAAGGAAAATTGAAACGGGAATTTTTCCACCTCTAATCGACCTAACCCCGAGCGAACCAGGGGAAATGTGGAATATACAAATTCTCAATCCCAAACGTCTCCTTCATTTCCTTCACAACCGTCACCAGCCCAGCGAGATAATACCGGCCCTGCATCTGCATCTTGCCGATGCGCATCCATTCCTCTTCACTTCCCGCTATCGCGCTCGTGGCCGCCTTCTGCTGCGCGATCAATACGCCCACCAAGTCGAATATCAAGGTTAACACCCATCGTAACTCCGGCTCCAAGTGAGTAAACCCCTGCGCCCAACAGCACCACCAACGCGCCTCAAGTAGGAGCCAGTCAACCTTTGCTCTCCCACCGCTGTTCGGCAACATTCCTCCTTCATCGTTGGTGAGCGGTTGGAAATACGTCTTAATGCGCCATTCGCTAGCAGCCGGTTGCACAGCAGGCCAACCGCGGAAATCCGTGTACCGGAACAAATACACGCCCTGGTGTATGCGATGCCACTGTGTGGGTTCCACGCTAAACACGACTGGATTATCGCGCGGCACAAAATCTGAGAAATTGTAAAACGACTCCTCGCGCCGGCAGATAGGGACGTGCACAACGGTGGTGCCGTTGGGTTTAACGGAAGGAGGGGTAGTAGTAGGTGAGGGAAACCAGGTGTGAGGCGCCGCGGGAGGGAGGACTGGTGAAATATCTCGCATCACGATGTCGCCGTCGCCATTAATTACGATTCGCGAGCCGTTCTCGGATCCGGAGTACTACTCCCGGCGACGCGAGGCTCGTTGGGTAGTGCCAGCGCTGTCACGAGTGGAGCTCCGACGGTTACGTTTCCGACTGTAGTTTTGCGATACCATGCCCATATTTCCATTTCGAAAGCGATCATCGAAGAGTGTAAGTGCTTCCTCGATAGTGCGTGGCGGATGTGCGTGCCCGGCTAGAATTCCGGCGCTAGTCACGTCACCACCGTGGCCGAAGGGGTGGCGATGATCGTCTCCGAAGATCGGAAGATCTGTGTTTAAGCACCAGACGTCGTCGGGCCCGGCGGTGGCGACGAGGTCCGACTCCGGGTACCTTACGGCCTCCACAGGGAAGCGGAAGAAGAGCCAAGCGCACTCGCCGCAGAGGGGTTGAGGAAGACGGCGGTGGGGTTGGGGGACTACACAATGGTAGACGCTATGGATGGAGCAGTAATAAAAGGCGGTACCGGGGTTCGTGTTCTTGTCATGGTCGAGCTTGGATTTCCATCCGCCGGTACCAGGCTGGATGTAATGACATCCGGGCATGCGACAAGACATTTTGGTTATTTGTACCTAGCTTATGATTTTTATTAATTTTTTGTTTGTTCTTGTTAATTGAGTATGAGATTTGCTGGGGTAACGAATGCGTCTAAACGGAAGTAGTTGTTTGGGGAGTCGGTACAGAACACCTATGTCCGTGTCATCAAGAAAGATGATAAAGAAAGATGATATGTGACGAAAGTACGGAAGCATGTAAGAGAAATGAAGATTATGAAGTAAGCAAAGAAAAGACTACCTATTCTGGAGGGGGTTAGGGATGTGATTGGAATAAGCTGAAAATGCCCGATTAGGTAAGTTCTGTTGATCTTAAAAGTGAAAAGGCGAGAAGGAAATAGGAAAATAGGAAATGGCAACTTGCTTATAATTCGCAAGGCAACTAGAAGCGATCAAGGGGGATGGATGCTGCATAGTAGGTCTTACCTAACGAAGTTACTCCATAGAGGTATATATACCTAGGTATGTAGGTACTTCTTCATGTATCGGCTCATATTCGCCCGTTCTCATTGAAACGACATTACGTACCTAGGCTTAAGTACCTAAGTAGGTAAAAAGGTAAATTAAGTTAAGCTCGAGAAAGTCGTAAGAGGTAAGAGTTTATTACTAATGTTAATTTCCAAATCAGGTATTTCCCTTTCAATAAGGTTGGGCAACGCACGTGTTTCGAGAGTATTTTAACTCCCTCTTTCCCTCATTCCCTCTCCCGTTGGAGTCCCGGTTCGAAGTCGGAAGCTGCTATGAGTGGCAGCGGGCAGCATGTGATCGTACGGGGTACGGGGAACCCCTGAATACTTTTCCCTACATATGTACCTAAACCAACCCATTTCCCAACCTTACACCTTTTCAATAGTTCGATGTGATGAGTTTTTCGGGAAGAAAATAAAGTTCCATGTAACCCCTTATCTTCAATGCAAGGGACAAGTGTTATTATCCTATCTTGACGTCAAATCAACCTCTAAGCAACTTTGAGCCATTCCCCCGAGGAAAGAGACTTACCCGACGCTGGTCTACCGCTTATAGCAGGTTTATCCTTCAACCCAACCCAACCCAGCTAGTTCTTACATACGCACACTTAGGCCCTAGCATCACGGATGATGTCTCATTTTTTCGCATCCTACGGCTCGGGGATCCGATGAAGGTTTGGTTCCAAAGGAAGGGATCAAACCCTGGAAAAGTAGGGTGAGCGTTGTGGCACAAGCACGCGGTCCGGCCAATGGCGAGGAGATCGGGACCAAGGATGAAGGAGGGAAGAAAAGCTTGTTCTGTTCCCGGTCTATTGGAAAGTCAGGTACCGAGGGGGAAGCGCCCGCAGTTCTGTTGTGTAACGTCGGAACTTCCAAGCACAGAAATCCGAACCAAGATTGGACGCCGGAGCCTCATAAGTAGCTGCATGTACTCTTTGACCGGCCTTATGACTAACCTATATTACTTCCCCCCGTGTTCGGTCATCTCTGGGGTGTGGTGTTACCTACCGGTGACTTCCTTGGCTGTCTGTTCGAAACGTGCATCTCCGTCATCAAGGTGAAGACCCTCGTCGGGAAAAACACTGTGTTCACCAGGTGTAACCCCTTGAGCCTCACCTTCAAGCCTCACAGGGCTGACAGGGACCGAGGACGAATGGTGCCCAGGTATTTAGGCCCCTACGAGCCCACTTACGTTTAAGATTTAGCGACTCCCGACGAATCATATTAAATCTTTCAAACCGGTCATTCTCCGGTTGTCGACCCAGCACCCTTAATTCATCTACAGCAGCTATGATTCGCTAGAACTCAAAGGGCTGGTAAGGGTTAGCGTACCACCTGACTCATAATTATGAAGATTGGTCGCTGACACCGTAATGGATTTCTTGTCTTGTCTCGTCTTTGATAGACCACGTGAAGGCTACACCTCTCACGCTTTTCTGGGTATTGCCCGCTCTACATGCTCGCCTAACGTCTAACCAGCCGATCTTATAATCTATTGGGACGCCCCCGTACCCCCATATCCCCAGGAAAGGAAAAAAAAAAACAAAAAAAAACAAAACAATCCACAAGACCGAAAATATATCAAGTTGCATGTTTGAGATCCCCATGGTAGACACCGACTTTTCGAACCCAACAAGCCAATGACTATAAAATGACGTGTACTCCTGGAGTGTACCACTCCGACTGATTTTCTTTTGCAGTAGACGCTAGGTCTTAGTGAATTCGATAGACCATGCGGTCGACCGGGACAAGGGCAAGATCGATGCATGGAAGACCTTCGAACCTGCAGACAAGGGAATTGAGAAATGACAGTGGCATTCTGATGGCTGTTTCGAAGCGCATGGGCGCTCATCTTTCAAACCACACCTAGATTTCTAACGTCAGCTGATGGCTTCTTTTATTTCAAGTATGATTATCGTTATACGATTGGCAACTGACTTCGAATGTTCGACTTTAGCAACGTGATTCAGGCAACGTATGTTCCGCAATACGGACAGTCTCGTCCAGGCAAGACCCAGACTTCTGTGCCCTTGCTCTGACAGGTGGGACATCGTTTTCCTGGGGCCTTTCAGGGGAAAGTTAGAGACACGTTCTATTCCTGTAGATGGGCAATGTTACAACATACTGTTCCAGACGTGTCAACCAAGGGGGAAGCATGGCCAGCAGCTGGGCGAGAGCAGTGGTTGATGAGGTGCTCTTGGTGATGGGAGCAGTGAACGTGGGAGCAAGCCATCGTATAGATAGATATAAAGTTGTTAAGTGTCAAGTGTCAAGTCAAGTGACGAAGTCAGTTGAGGGGAAGAAGACAATGAACGTATGGATGGTGGGTGGGCGGATGTATATGTACGTGTGTGTGTGTGTGTGTGTGTGTGTATCAAAAAGGAACGATGATATGATTGATAGTAAATTGATGAGGAGAGCGACGAGACAATTGTGAATACTGATGGATGGTATGTTCGATCAGGTCCGGTACTACGGCCGTACTTATATAGTCAACACCGAAACAAGGGCCAGCCTAAGAATAATGTATCGCAGGGGCGGACACAAAATAGGTGGATTTCAAATGGACCACGATTTGCCGCGTCGTTTGCGGCTGGCGTACTTTAGTCCCTGTGTGGAAAAAAAAGAGATGGGGCATCTGATAGTAGTACTAGCAAAGTAGCAAAGTAGCAAAGTAGCGGTAGCAACAGGAGGAACCTGTATCTATCCGATGAGGGAGCACGAAATCACGTTGAAAGGGGCGGGAGGCTCGCGGCAGAGGGGGGTGTGCCCTTTCTCTATTCGCTAGTAACACGGGTTCTAAGGAGACGTAATAATATTGAGAGCGAAGTCCTGAGCAATATCCCGGTAAAAAGCACCATTATGGCGACTGAGCCCGATGCGTCCAGCCATTGCTTTCGATAGGGGGGCAGAAAGCACGGTGATCTGAATTATTTCTGACAGGACACAACTCATTAAGGTGGGGTTTGATATCGAAGGGAAACGTGGGACATAGTAGAGAAGGTGGACTCTCTTGGCATTTTTGGATGGCATGTGTTTCGTTGTTGCGGATATGGCGTCAGAAGACTCTATTGGGCTGGTGTCAAAGAAAGAAAACGATCGTGACAAGTCCGGTCACTATGTGTATGTTGTATGCGGGTTCAAGCGTGCGTGTATGCGAGTTATGAAGTGTGTGTGGGCCACCGTCTGCTAGGAAAGTCTCGACGACACTTCAGGATCAGACAGGGCGAGTTAAAAAACGAAAAAAAGAAAATCGAAAAAAAACAGGGATTGTTTCTCTGTACTGCCAACTACGATAGTCATCGACCGGGTTGGCGGGTACTCGGGCTCGTCGGGGGGTACGTTTTTTTCATTTTATTTTTATTATGAGATCGGGAGAGTGGGGAGATACAAAAGGAAGAGAATGACAGAAATAAGGAAACAAAACAGAAACATAAGCGAGAGCGTTGCTGTTTTAGAAGGGCAGAAAAAAAAGTAGGGATTAATTACTTAGCAGACAAAAAATGAAGAAATATAGGTAGGGAATAGGAAGAATTAAGGTGCATGTTGTATGGAAGGGGAATTATTTTGGAAGGTTTATTGGCTTATACTTGGTGGAGAACTATAGGTAAGGTTAGAAGGTACTGTACCCCCCCAGCTTATTCGTACCTACCTCTTCCCACCCAGCTTCCCCTACCTGAGCCCTCTACCTAAATCTAGCAACACCGCGCTTTTAGGGTGCATACCTGTAGGTATGATGTAGGTACGCATGAGATATACATGAGATATATGCATGTATGTGGTACCTTACGCAGGAGAAAAATATGCACGTATGTATGCACGAAGTATGCATGTATTGCACACACATACATTGACATGTAACTTTTCCAACCTCTTAGAGGGATGAAAATCCATCCCAATATCCGGGTTTACCAAGTTTTGCCTTGTTCCAAACGATCGGATCCCCCGCGTAAAAAAACAGAGTTAAAGTTGCATGATTGTGGGCAGACCAAGCAATGGAATTGAACGGTCAGGACGAGGGAAGTTTCAGATATCAAATGGGGAGAGCTACATATACTTAAATACTTATATACCAGCTTACCCAGGTATATAGGTATGTATGTATCTAAGAGGCTTATTGTTCTTCGAGGGGAACTTCCCCCCCTTTTAGCGCGGCCCCTGTCAGACTTTGACTTGTGCTACCTGTACGACCTTAATGTACATTACCTACATTACCTCTGTGCAACCTACATATGTACTTTCGGTATGATGCGTCTTCTCCGAGAAGGTGCTTCTGTTCGTTCTTTTTTTAATTTTCTCTCTCTAACCACATTCCAAACTTACATGTCCAGCTAACCTAACCTAGTTCGCCGTATATTAATGATGGAAGTGGGCAGGTGCACCTATGTATGCTTGATAGGCGGGCAATTGCAATTGACAAGATTGAATTGACAATTGCGTATCTATTATGTATGTATAATCTAACTAAACCTTAGCTACATATCCTTAGCTAACTTTTTAACTTTTTACTAACCTTACTGAGGTAGTTTACTGCGTCTCCCGTGTTTTTTTCTCCCTTTCCACGACTTCTTCGACTTTGTCTAGCCTTCAACACAAAATGTTGTCATCTTAACACCTTCTACTTCGCACCTAGTCTAGGACATACATACTACATACTCAAATGCCCAACGCTGCGTCACTCGTTTTCCCCATGAGAATACGTAAGTTGTGATCGTTGGGCTCCCCAAATGCTAATCCCATCTAAGGGGTCCGACTTAGAGCGTTGGAACCTTGATTCGATCCCATGCGCGTCACGACGCACGTTTTCTCTCTCTGCACCCTGTCTCTCCTTGGATGCAAAACTAGCGTAACATGGAAGAGTCAAATGCCGATTCGTCAACTACCCTGTCAGTATCCCGTGCCACCACCGCAAAAAACCTACGCGACCTCGATGCTGTTGAGCTTTTTTGATATCGTTACCACCTCAAACCGAGTCACTTGGCCAGCCCAGGGGGGGCATGAGAGCTCGTCCTGACTTTTAAACCCCGTCCCGCAGCTAGATCCCCCCCGTTGCAACCAACCGAGTTAACCTCGCAGAGTAGCAGATAAATGGACTACTTTTATTTTTCGTCCTTTTTTATTTGATTATTATTTTTGTGATGATTTTACTCTCTCATAAAGCAATTGGACCTGGTGTCTCGGGACCGCATTCCTTTTGTGGAGATCCGGGTTGAGCTGTCTACAAGGAAGATCTCATACGTGTTCGGCAAGAGAGATTGCAGAGGGTACTGAAGGTTCAGGTAGGTAGGTTTTGATATCTGACGCGAAATAACCCGATCGAAAAAGCTCAAAATTTCATTACTTCGGTAGGTACCTGGGAGCACTCGGTAAGTAAGATTCCCTCTCGTTGCCTAAAGGAGAAAGTCGATTAATGGCTGTCAAATCCCAGGTTTGGTTTCCCTGCCCGCTGCGCTAGGTACACTAAGGTACACCACGTTAAGGACCCCTTCGAACTTATCCGTTCAACACCTCTCTGGCTCAGCCAGCCGTCCAGTATGATCGAACGATGTTCCTGCTGACTTATAAACGCGCCCTCGCCCGAACAAGGGGGTCTATCATATGTCGCGGAGACTGCTCCTTTCTGGCAGCTTCGACTCTGCACCTGTCACCTCAGGGCCTCCTCACGAAATGCAAAATGGATTTAAGAGCCCCACAAAGTAACCACATGAGCTGGCATACATGAAGCCTTTCCCGGTGGATACTAGCCCATTCAACCGAGCGAGTCCCGCAAATGGTTTCTGAGGAGGTAGTATCCTTGGGTCCGGCGTATCAATATTCAGTTCCTCACCCATTGGTCCTCATTCTTGTCAGCCCACCGAGTCGCGATTTTTCTAACTCCTCAGATCGTCCGCTTAGCCGACGATCCACCCATATTCCTATTTCTTAGATCGCTTGGGAGAGGCGTTGGGCAAGGACAAGAACAAGACAAGACAAGGTAAAATGCATAGACCTATCTAGATTGACTTACCAACTAAACAAGCACCTGGAAAAAGACGCCTTCGGCCAAGTAAAGAACGTCCTAGCCAAGTTTTAAACGATCGTCGACTCGAGCTGGAGCTAGCCCAGCAAGAATTGGGGGGGTTTAATCTTCGGGAGTCGTTTTGTCAGAATTGCAGCGCCTATTTCCTTCGCGACGCGGACCCTTCAATTCGGAGTGAAAACGTCCGATTCTAAAATAGCAGGGTCGATAACCGATGCGCTACTTGATGAAAATTGAATTTGTAACAAATTTGGCTCATGGCGACTCCAAGAGCCGCAAAGCGCATTCTACTAAATGTTCACCTTCGACACAGTCATCAATGGTGGTCTCGCGATTCTGCATGGCCGACCCGTTATTCAACATAACGGAATTTATGCTAGCGGGGGGTCCTTGCAGGTTTCATCATACCGGATGCATCTTTAACCCGGTATTGTGCATTCGTCTAGTCGCGGTCAAAAAAGTGACAGGTCACAATATGCTTCTCCTTTACCTGCTATAGTTAGGCTTGACAAGCAATTAGTCGTGCAATTCGGCTATCGCGATATTCAGGATGGTATGCAGCAAGTCTTGCGGATCCCCCAGTCCCACACCGGCAACGACTAAGGTCATTGGACTTGGACGACGTGCATCGACATCTACGTCGAATTTCAACTTTCCAAGCCCAAAAGACATGTCACCTTTGTCAGCTCTGACCGCATAAGTACTCCGCTGTCGATCAACGAGCAGTAATAATTTTCCATGAAGAAGAATAAAACGCCATCTGTAAAGTACACGCGTTTTTTGTTATGTCCGCTTATCCGTCTGTCCAGCTCGAAACTATTCGTCCGTTTTGAGTTCCGCTCTATCATTTCTCACGCGCAGCCAGCCTCGCAATGCAAACCGGAAATGCACAGGTGTAAGCGTTCGCCTACCTGCACCGGATGCCGAACATGCTATAATGAATAGAACAGGAAAAAAAAAAATCAAAAAAAAAAAAAAATCGAATACTTATGTACATGTCTGTCTTTCTTCGACAACTAACCGGAAACAGGTAATTTAAGGGCGTGTTGATACCGGCGTGATACATCCTTGACGACGCCACTTTGATCTGTTCGCCGTCCGTGGGTTTGGGCCTTATCCCTGTTTCGATTACAAAGGTTCGGCGACACGAGAGGGAACTCGCAGGAGACTACGGTGTACGGTACCATTACGCCGGGACGAATGAGAGAGGCAACGTGTTTCCTAGTCTTGAGCGTCGTACCCCACTACCGACCTCAAGATAACAGCTGCCGTGCTATGGAGTCGCTTTCTCGAGGAAACATCCTCGACCACATGAGACGCGCAAAATTCCCCGATTGATGCCATCCGTATTTGTCATCTCCGAGGTCATCACTACTTGTTTCGTATAGCAAAGGCACAAGCTGCATGCAGTCTAACGAGCCTAGTAGCCCGTGGCTTCAATTTCTCAAGGGAGTCCAATCCACTCAGCCTCGGGCTCTTAGATACCGGGTTTGTTTTAACGATAGTATTTTGTCATTATATCTTAGGCCACCAGCGATGTCGACTTGGCTCGGTACCTAGCACGTACGGCCTAGTTTCGACTAGTAAAACATTTCTCGATGGAACCCTAATTAACGAGCCACGACAATGAGGTCATAAGATCCAAGTAACTAATGCGAAGGATGTTTCTTCATCTTAGCTCCGTCTTTAACCATTGGCAGATTTCCTGCATAGTACATATGATACCTATGACACCCGGGTTGCGGCAATGCGTCGAAGACGACATCTTACCTTAGAAAGACTCGCTGTCAAGCGGCAACCAACTTATCCTTCGTTGCACAACAGAGAGAGAATTAAAATAACAATAATAAAAAAAAGAAGCGCTGAGTTTCTGTGCCTTAACGGAAAGCTACATGCTTCAATGTGGCACGACGTTCGGTCCGTTATTGACAACAGTCTACTACGTTGGGTAGTGTTTTTCCTTTGGGAGGATTTTCCCTTTTGCAGATCTCGAGAGAGAAGAGTCCGTCGCTATGGAGGGCTGCCGCGAATCAAGTCGTTGCGGGCAGTACTAGTTCGCTGGATTGCACGGGGTTGGGTAGTTTAGTGTAGAAAGAGGCGTACTCGCTGCAACACGTCAGTTTGTTGTCGCCAACTAATAAGCTGTACTGTATCTGTACAGTTCATAGCGAGCACCCCTGCCCACCTTTTCACCAATTGTGGCGGGATTACCCCCTAAAACCCGCCACGGTACATACCTCAATAGGTACGGTTGGTACGGTTACGGTACCTATGTACGGGTAGGTGGCTACCTAAGCTACCTAAGCTACCTACCTAAGCTACAGCTAAGCGGCCAGCAGCCAGCAGCCCTCCCGTCGATATCCTTTCGGGCTTGTGCTTGTGTGAGTGTGTCTCAGCTGGTACGTGCCAAGACATGGGGATTTACGAAATATAAGGTCGCTTTGACATGAGGCACCGGCCAGTGCTAAGCCGACAAGTTCAAAAGCAACCCATTTTGTCGTTGATCAGGTCCGCGACAGGAACGCGAATGCCACGCACCGACGCCGGGGCACCCCCCTTCTTGAGTTTTGTTCGTCTCGCTCGTCTCGCTCGCCTCTGCCGAAGTAGGCGTCGAAAAATTAAAAATAACAAATAAATACAAGAATACATACATACATGAATACAAGGTCCCCTACTCGGAAGAGGAAGGGGGAAAAAAAGGTAGGTAACTATCAGCTGCTACCTAGTATGGTATTATGACGGGACCGTGGTCCAGTAGCAATGCTAAAATAATTAACCTTAAGGCTGGCCCATCCCACCCTCCAGCTCGGTTATTCGGTTGTGGTAGCAATTGATCTACCCTGGGAAAGTCTTTAGGGTTCCCCTGGTTTCTAGAAGACGAAGTCCGCTACGCCCACCATGTCCACCACATGTCCAACTATAGAACAAGAACCAGCTATTGGTTACACCAACCTGCTTACTGGTTGATTCACGAGCCGACTGACGTCTATTCTACCGCCTAGATCCCTCGAGATCTGTCATCGTAACGTTGCCGCATAGGCCAGCACAATCCTCGAAAGTGCTATATGCCAGGGGTAGTGATAGTTCACATCCAGGGTCAATATGAGAGCGGCTAAGGGTCCGAAAAATACGACAAATCAAGTATTCTTATATACCGAAGCCAGAAGATGCAAATATCGAGATAATATACTTAAGCAGGTCTACACATATTTGTACCTGTTTATGACAGCCCTTATGAGTCCCGTCTATACAAACGACCATGGATATTCATCTATCGGAGAATAAATTCAAGGCTAATCTTGCCGGTTTCAAGGTGCATACGCCTACACCTACGCCTCCGCCTCTTAATCTCAGCATCAGAAACAAACGGGGCTGGCTGGCTGGCTAGGCGAAAATAAAATAGCGCTGATTACGCATAAGCAGTAGAACAGTAGGACCGCACGTGCTAAATTTGCACACCGGATTTTGAAGTTTCTCGCTCACCGGGAAAAAGAGGGATGAAATAGATACCTAGGGTAAGTCAATTACTTCCTTTGAAAAAGAAAAAGGAAAACAAAAGCATACGTCGTCGAGTCTAAAGATGCGTATGTAATATAGAGCCTCATGACGTGGTAGCTACGTATCCGCTACGGGAAATCCCACCGCTAAACGCCCCCCTCACACACCGAGAAAAGGGACAGGCTGACACAGAAGGGGTCCCCCTTGCAATCGCGTGCTTCTATATTTGTATGCAAGGAGGACCCTTGATGCACGAGATAGAGATGCATTAGAGGTACAGATATGACAAGATATGACAATGAGTTAAGAATGCCAACAAGGTCCCTGCCTAGGTGGTCCGAGGGGTTAGTTACCGTATTAACGGAACTAGCTCGTCTCCAGAATCTGGACTATAGACTAACTTAGTGGTGACAGCGCAGCAACGAATGCCGTGTCTCTTTCCGGACTTTTAGACAGTTTGCTTGTCTCAACGGCACTTCGGAGATCCGTAGAACAGGCGGTCACGTTGCGGCGCGGAGTCGTTGCCGAGTCCGACTCCCGGGAGAGTAAGGGGTAAGGAGGAAAAAACAGACGGGAGAATGAGGAAATGAGAAACCAAGAAAGGGAGAAGAGAGGAATCACAGATGACCACGGATTACCTCACCCAAGTCTCATCCCTCTCTGTTTCTTCTTCGCGTTCTTCTCCCATCCCTTTTCTCACCGCCCTCTCACGAGGGCCAAGAATCTAACGGCTAACGGGTGTACCCGTTGACAGACGTGTTGTCTCAGCCACCTCTTAAGGGGACGCTGCCTTACCTATGCTAAGATCTAGATGCGGGATGCGAATGAAATGAGAAATGATTACTGAGCACATGGTGTAAGACATGAAACTCAACGAACACTACACGAGACGCCTAGACATGAGATAGCCACCTGTTTTATTTGGGTAGTTATTTAACACTAGGTACTCTATAAGACATACACCTTTAGTGCGGCTCCAATTTCTTATGTATGTCTATAACTCGGACTGCATTACGTACCTTAGACAAACAGCCACGTAGATATAATTGCCGAAATCAACTACTTACGTACATTTACGTTGCTAACGTCGAATTATTACTGCACGTGCTTCAATACATCGCGTCTCTCGGGTCTATCTCTACTCAAATTGCAGCCCAGGTGTCGGGACGGGGAGTCGTCGTCATAGCAGACTAAAATGATCGTCTGAACATGAGAAAGGGGGCATATGATATGAGTCTAGACGCGAGATATAACCGAACTTGCCGTGGCATGGGGGCACCTGTACGTAATATAATATAGCGCTCGACCTAGTCGAAGCTAAGCACTAAGCTATCACATATAATACATCTCTTATGAATCAACCATATAATGAAAACATCGATATAGCATTAGGTAGCCACAGCATAGTCCCAAGCACGAGTCTCTATCCTAGACAATGTTTCTGATTTAACCCCGTCAATTTTTCGTCTAGGCTCATCCCTGTGTGTGCCCCCATTCGAAAATCCGTTCGTCCCAGTCAGGAAGTTACACATAAACGAATGTCTCGACCTAGATGTCTTTCGCTTAAGGTACCTGGAATGGCTTCCTACATCTACCCCTTGGGTGGGTAACAACTAGTTACCACATTCTGAAGATACGGTCAGTCTGTGTGCACATCGTGAACCCGAGGGTCCAGACTGTTACCCATCACATGTACTCAACTCAACTATAGCAAGCCATCTCTGCATCTAGCCAACTTTTCGAGTACACAATAGCCGAGCCAATGTACAAAACTAAGGATCAAGCGGTCTAGCCACCGTGTCGAAGCCGACAACCGGCAGATACAGGACTGGGTAGACAGGTAAGAAGACTAAAGCAGATAGCCGTAGAGTTCGATTCGATTCGCGCTTTCTATTCTGTTTTAACGCATCAATGGAAATTATTTTGGAAGAGGCTCCGTATTTTCGTTTTTTTCGTCTATCTGCCAAACCAACTCCTTGATGCTATTCGCCCCTTAACCCCTTATCTTTTTTTCTCTCATCCCGTCCCGTGGACGGGGGCCTAGGCTCAGCATCCATGCTAGGAGGACTAAACCAACCCGATGAACACATTGCATTTAATAAGGAACATGCTCATCGCCCTGGGTATCTATCCAAAAGATGCAGCAAAAAGTATGTCCAAGAAAAAAAAGATAGAAAATCAAACGCTCCCGATGCGGATTCCCAGATAAGTGAAACCAAAAAGCCCGTAGGATACTCATGGTCGTACATGGATATCCCCATCTGATAACGCGCCGTGGCCCTATTCCTAGCAGCGTCCAGACCGCCGCTGCTGTGCGCCTCATGTACTCCTAGCCCAGTTACACCCGAATTCAAAGACAAAGGAAATTCGCCGATCCAAAAGTTGGTAATGATGATGCCCAACCTGTACTTTCCCAACACAATTTACCAAAAATGCTCGGTCGCCCGCCTTATTTTCTTGATTTAGTACACGGTGTGTCAGATTGTTGATATGGTGAAATGATTCGTGGCTTTTGGTCCCGGAAATGGGGGACAGAAAGGGAAAGATAAGACTCGTGGCTTTTGATATATGCGGTCCTACACGGCAAGTAGACATGGATCCCCCTTGTTATGATGTGCAAACGGCAATGGGCAGAGTCGTGGCTTTTCCAATTAGCTCCGACTTCGCACCTTCACGTGAAACCCCATCGATGACTATCGGTAATTTTTGTCGATACGAACTAGGAGACGTCCCTGGGTCTCGTTGCCGTTGGCGTCCAAAAGATGAATGAGGCGGTAACCCGTTGCCAAGCGGTCAAGACGGATGCATGCCCAGCCGAGTGAGGAATCACGATTTAGTGAGCGGAGGCGCGTCGCGTCGTCGACTTTGAATCTAGAGCTATTTGTCAGCTGGGGCTCATGTGCGACTCGGAATGCAGAAAATGCCCAATGATATCATATTAAGAAAGCGCTCGTGTCGCATAACTAACAAATGAGATGGTTTGACATGTAGCGGGCATGATCAGTCAGGAAGGGGATGGCCAAAGCTAGGGAAATTGGTTGCTCCAATACCCGCTTCGTTTTCGCGAACCATTGGAAGGTGGTGGCAGATTATCATATATCATCTCTCTCCCGTCACTCGACGGGTTGCTGCGCATGTAAGCTCAGCCGCCGGCTTCCTCCCGGCTCGGAACACGTGGCTCACCGTCCATGTATCCTACCTACATGAAGACCCGACCGTTCGGATCCGGCTATGTAGGCATCCGGTAGGCAGCCGTAATGAGAGTTTTTGTGAAATAAAAATACGACGTAGATGAAAAGGGAAGCGAATGCACTTACTTCACAAAGCTTAGCTGTTCCATGACACCCCGGACACTTAGAAAATGAATGTCGTTTTTGGTGTTGCCGAAGTCCGGGTGATCCGTCTTCCCAGCCCTCGTCTTCTGCTTGTATTCACATTCGTGTACCCTCCCGCCTCCTTCTATCAAGTCCTTGAAACGCTCTTCTGCCTTCTCGATGTGCAGTTCACACCTCACCACGGGCCTCAAGGATTTCAAATGGGTGTTGTGACCGTCTTCAGGTGGTGAAAGGTGTTGGCCCGCGAGTACTATGATGATCAAATCGATAGTGCGGGTCGGGATGACATCAAATGGTCCCGCTGGGTCATCGCTGCGGTAGCCTGGGGGCTTTAGCACCCAGCCTTGCTCGCCTGAGAACATCGCTTCATTAAGCATCATGCCTTCATCCCAGGATTGCCAATTCATGGCCACCATTTGTACACCTTTACGCCAGAATGGGGAAGGGTCAAGGTTTGATGAATCGACACGAAGACCCTTTGGGTAAGCTCGCATGAAGAAGTGTCGGTTATGGGAAAATAACTCTTGATGTTTAGAGGTTATGAGTTCCAATATTTTCACCTCGTTTATCGAGAATATATGCGAAGGGATTTTGGCGGCTGGGGACTCGAAGTGCGTAAAATGTTCGCTGTGGGTGTAAATAGCAAGAGCACTTAGGCTTTCGCATATAGGCACCTTTGGTTTCTTCGGTCTGTCATCTTCTGATGCATCTCCATCATCGTCTATTGTTGGATTAGGAGACAGTGTCGACATGGTGGCCGCATTCTCCAATGATGGCGAAGCCCTTTTGACTTTGACAAGTATCTTGTTGAGCATATCTCCTAGTTTTGGCATTTGGCCATTAGGACAGGTTTCATGTGGCTTCTCGACTAATAGGCCAGCCCATTCTTCCTTCATAATCTGAACCATAGTCTCCTGTTGCTCTGGGTCGGCATGGACCTCTAAGCTAATAATGATGGGTAAATTGGTCGTCTCAAAGCCAACCTCGCGGACTGCTCTACAAACTTCACGGAATCCGACGGGCGAGGTAAACGTATAGCCATGCATCACAATGGGTTCGTCGGGGGGTATTGATGGTCTGGATCGTAGAGAAGAACGTTCCGTGTCGATGTCGCCAAGGAGAGACGCCGGGTCGAGATTTGCGCCGAATTCGCGGCCAAAGGGCGGCGGTGATAGCTCGTGTTTGTTGCATTTTGGGCTACGGCTATGAACTTTCTCAACGCCTAGCCGCTGTCGAGTTTTCTCGATCTTATCTTCCACTGTGTCCTTAATATGGGCAGCAACGGTATGTAAGCTTCCGCCGGAGAGGCCACGAACGTGCTGGAACCTAGAGGCTGGCTTCGCTGAAGGGTCCCTTGATTGCTCCGAGGTGTTGTTGGGAGAGTCCTTGTTCCAGACATCTATTTCCACGCACCTGCATCCCCTTCTTAGGACACGCTTATAAGCATCCGCCGTGCTTCGGCCGGTCCATTGACTACCAGATAGGTATGTGTTGTGGCTGCTGCTAATGAAGTAGTTGCTAAGAGGCTTCGAAAGATCTTTGTCTGAAGTAGGAGCAGGTAACTGCGCTTGAAGGCCAAAATGAAGCAACCAGACTTCGAGAAATTGTTGGAAATTATATCCTTCCTCTGTCAGGTCTGGTGATACTTCGCCTTGTTCCGTCTCAAGGAAGTTTGCGAAAGTTGTGCGGGATAGGATGGGGTCTCTTTTACGGAGAACATCGTAGACTCTCCGCAAATGGCGCTGGATAGAAGCATTTAGGTAAATCTCTTCCCCGTCCTGGTGTATGACCGCTGGTGTAATAAATGAAGCTAAAGCGATCGCTCGTTTAAGTCCCCTCATCGAATTGGGGCCGAGTTCGGGATTGAAAGAGAGATGGCGTCGCATAGTGGCCGTACGCGTCGGCGTCGCGCTATTCGTTCGCTTCCGCATCTAGCAAGAAACGAGCATTAGATCGGTGTCCAAGCCTGTATTTAAAGTGTACTTAAAAGGGGGTAATCCCCTATGAAAACATTCCAGCTCACATACAATGAAGCACATCGGGGACGCGGTCAAATAGGTCGGTTTATTCTTTAATTCGCTGCTTCGGTTAAGCTCTAACAGAGCAGAAGAAGTTGTGTTTTAGAACATCAGGATTGGGGATTTGCTGCCCGTTTGAAAGGGTCTCGAGGGACCGCTTCAAGGTGCAACCAGGATACGCGAAAATGGGCAATCGATGGTCAAGGATTCATGATTATGAGCTTGTTGAGTGGAATTGACCTTGGCAAATGCTGACTGAGTTGAATGGGTTGGTAGATAGGTGACTCGAGTAAGTGAGGAGTAGGAGGCGTACAAGTAGATAGGTGTGTAGGTAATTGAGACAATGGAGAGATTAGAGATTGTGATGCGAGATGACGAGAAATGCAAGAAATAAAAGGGATCTGGTTCGAGGTCTTGTTGTCTAAGATTCAGCTGCTGGCAGGGTGCAGCCTCATCCCAGCACCAGCAGAAATAAGGCCCCGCTACCACTGGTAAAGAACTAGAACAGGGCCAATCCAACCGTCGCAGGCGAGCCGATCCCTGAATTAAGCTACCACTCGTAGGGCTGTACCGTCCAACCGGGCCCTGCGTGTCTTGGGTTCCCCTCCACTACACCAAGGGGTCGGGTCGTATGTGAGAGTAATAAATGCTGCACTTTGTAAGGAGGGGGAATTTCGTGCCTTAATATGTAGGTTGTGAGAGTTTCAGGCGAAAATATGTATCCGCAACGAAGAAAATGTCAGGGCGAAGCAGGGGAATTATCAGACGAAAGCAGGCGGATCGATCAACCTTAGAACCAGACCGCTATTGTCGAGAATGGTTAGGTCAGACGTACCGTGGCCCGCGGACGATGGGTCCATTATGGAGGCGGAGCTTGCCAAAGTCGTTATCCAATATACAGATTGATTATCTTAGGTGCCATTGGACCCCGTTGGATGACTGACAGCTGGAGGGGGTAGAGTGGTAGAGATGGGCATGTAAGTCAAGGGACAAGTCGATATGTTCACTAATGATGGTTTTGGCTCTCCACTCATTGGCGCAATACTATTTGCCTATTTGATGCCTGAAAGGAGCTGAAAAGGTTGGATACCACTCCAGCATGCACACCCAGGTAATATCAATGGGTTCAGGTCAGACGAAATCCGGAGAGAACGGCCAAAACGGGATGTGATGCTTAGCCCAGCGACAAAAACAAAGTGAATAAGATCGAAGTGTAAATCCCGAATCTCCAATTGGAACCCGATCTACACAAAGTGGAAAAGGAAAGATAAGATGACGGAATAGGATTAGGAATGACTTCACTGTAACCCCAGTCGATTATTGCTTGTTGCGCTGCGCCACCCAAAAAAATACCCCAGCATACAACTAATTGATGTGTTGTAAATGGTTGTAGATGGAAGAAAGTGGAGGAGGGGTTGTGAGCACAGGGGGCACTGCTCGTTTTAGAATGCGTTGTGCTTGCAGATGGAAGTCGCAGTGCGGTAAGCTCAATTCGATAGTCGCTACCTAGATAGTATAGAAGCACCTGATGTAGGTGCGATACAATGAGTTATAGTGTGTGAAGCATGTGAAGTTGGGGTAATTTGATGTACCTATCTTCACTGGTCTAGCTGCAATAAACACAAGGCTGCCGACCGAAACAACGTCATTTACTGGACCACTAAAGGCAAAACCATATCGCCTAATTCCACAGCCACGCCCCTAAGCACGCCATCTAGTCGTACCTCCTGTACCTACATTCACTACATACACCCATTATTCATACATTCAAATACTACTCTCTTTAGGGCTGTGCTTATACTCATTCTCGTTCTTTATCCCATCTCCAGACCGAGAAAATCTGTACTACAGAGCCGCAAGCGGCGCAGCCAATTCCCGGAAAACCGGTTATGTCGCAGAAAACCCGAAAGGATTATGAGGCAGAGGTGCGATCGTGGGGTTTCTCCCACGTTTTCACCTGGACTGACGGCCCGTACGTTACGATAATGCAAAAGAAAAGCCGGGGGTAATCACAGGTAGAGATATGACTAACCACCCTCATAATCTGCAGAAACGCGCACTACAGACCGCATTCTCATCAGGGCTTGACAACGCATCTTATCCTTGATGGCCAGTTGACGATCACTTACCCGAAGGACCCTAAACCTGAGAAAAAGACTTACGGTGTCGGCGACCGCATCGACGTTGATGCTGGCCGCGTCCATGAGGTCTGGATGGGCAATCAGGGCTGTACATACGTCATCGGAGAATGATTTCTCGTATTGTTAATTGCTAGCTTAGGTGGAATGAAATGCCTAGTCAGTATGAAGAGTCATTACAGGTATTCGTAGCTGTGATTCAGGTGTTAGTCGGAGTATACGCCACCACCATATTGTGTTCAGGTACTGATATTGGGCCCCTAGGTGGATAAGCAGGCTGATTGTGGTGGCAACATATAGCGTTTCGCCGGCAATCTTGTTTCGGATATTCGAGACAGAGGCTGGTCTTCTAGTCAATCTAGGAAACAAAAATACCTGCTTTTTACGCCGCTCCCAGGGCGCGGGCTTGGAATTGCTTGGTGAACGGAACAAGGTAATTCAATATTAAGTCTGTATTCGGTTCTAGCAAGAAGATCCGGCCGCCACTTATGTCAGACTCGGCTCCAGGCGTATTCGAACACGGGCTGTTTTGGATACCGCAATTGAGTGTGTAAGAAGCATTCGCCCTACACATACTTGTTCAAGTATTGATTAAGAAATAGCCCCTGAAGATTTTTTTTTCTGGGAGTTTACTGTCTGGTGCTTTATGGTCATTCCATTCAACTTTATAAGTTGTCCTTATCAGATTTATACGGAATTTATAATACTCGTCATAAATGATGGTACCTGTAAAATTGAGCTGACATCGCTAATGCCTATCTCGGTAGTTCATCGAAATCGTCTGCAGATTGTACGTTCACGAAATATGCGCTCGCTTGACCAGCGACCCATACGTACATACATGATGCACGCACGGCTCGGCTTTAGAGCAGTTCAAAGAGAAAAGACCATGGAATAAACCGTCGAATATTGCAAAAATAAGGTTCCGACAGCTTGGCTAACTTAAGTTGACAGTGGAATAATCTCCCGCGATTTGCGAAGAGAAGGTCGATTCGAATGGTTCGAAACTTCCCGCGAATGTGTGGGTTCTAAGGAATGGTGGTGATCCACGAATATTAACGGATCGGGTCGTGCCGATAAGTCGCTGCTAAGGAATTCCCCAAAGTCCTTTGGACTGAACTTTCAATTGGCGATTCAATGCAGCCAAGACTCCAGATTGTGCGTAAGCAGCTGAACTCGTCATTATAAAGGTGTGCGCAATGTTCGCTAAAAGGCTTCTGCTTGATGCGGGATGTGGTGTAACTTGGATCTTGTGGAAGCTTTGTACCACGACGTTATCGAAAGCTGACGAGGCCTTTTAAGAGCTATGAGATGCACACGGGGTGAAGATTAATTATTATATTGGGCGGTGTGAAAAAGCATGCGTAAAGCCATCGGGAACTATCGTTTGACGGTGTCTGTTGAGTAACTGGAGATCAGTTGAGTTAGCCAAAATCCGGGGATAGTTGGGATGATCGTCTTAGCTTATTGTATGTATGAGTGAATATATGAGGGGGTTGGTAATGGAGGATATATGAGGTATTATCAAATAAGAGCCAAATATACGTATTATCACTGACAGATAATATCCTCATTCCTAAGATACTGTTTCAGCTCAGCTATCACTAATAGAGTGAGACTTCATGGGTTTAAAGTGGGTGTTTCCCCGCGTATGTATGTTTCTGCACTTCTGTTAGCTCGCTCATCATCAAATAACCTCAACTAAATTCGATCAGCCGCATGCTCGTGCCGCGGGGTTTCATCAAGAGCTTGCGTAAGTCCTTGCATTAGACATGCGGTGGCACGATGGTCAGAACGAATGAAGGTTGGCGATAGTGAATAGTCGCGTTGCAATCTGATGGAACTTGAGATGTCTTAGTGGCCGGTTGATCAGCGATCCGGATCAAGGGTATTTAGAGGTCTAATCGTACATTATCAACAATTATGTGGCTTCAAATACCTAGGTAGCTATCTTAAAAGGGAACCCCGAATATTCTAATGTCTGAATATTATGAAGCTGTATAGATGATTTCGCCCTCACATAGGATTCGACATTAGGTCCCGGTACTTGGGTTAGAAGTTTGTTGACCGCCCTCAACGAATATCAGAGACAAGCATCCGAACTACCTAGGAACTACCTAAGGGCACGTTCATTCTTGCGTCAGCTTTAGCAAACGACAACAACATGCATTGGACAACTGGCACTTGCAAGATAGGGCGGTGAATAGTACTAGCTATCATCGGACCTCTCGCATATGTATCATGTAGGCCGTCGGCAAGAATAGAAGCTTCGGGAGGTCAAGGCCGAATCATGGGTTCGTGATATCTCTTGAATTCTTGGATTCATGGTTAGGATCAAAGTGGGGTGGAATTTCCAAGTACAATACACATCCCCATCCCATACGATTACGACGTTACGGGATCGAGCTCTCCTATCATCTTATTTGCTGAACACATAATCCTGGATTCCCGATCTGATTGATCGAGGCTTCAATGAAAGAAAGCCACCTAAGACATGGGTTTGTTTGTAAACGCGCGGCATGTAGTAGATCCGAAATTGAAAATTGCCTAGATATCCATCAACAAAAGTGACGTCCTTCATGTCATCAGCGGCTTTAAAGAACAAGATTAAAATGGTATGGGGAGTAATATCGGGAAAAGACCAGAAACAGGAGGTTGTTCCTTTGGTCAAGAGAAATTGGATGGTTGGATGAGAATGTTAAGACATCAAGACGCATCAAGACTTGGGTGCCGAATTCAGTGGATAAGAAAGCAAGGCCGGAGTATTTAGAGCGGTAATCCCTGGCATAACCCCTGTAAGATACCTAGGTAGTGTCCCCCGGCTTCAGGATGTAGCTGTTCTTGGTCGAAAATGTAACAACAATCGAAGTTGTGTTATCGGAGCTTGAAATTGTCCAACGGAATACAATTAGACTAGGCAATTCTAGTATTGTTATGATAAGGTAGACACTAATAATTATTCAAGTGAGCTCTAAACTCGGCGTGTAGTAGATTGAGTGTGGTTTGCGTACCTACATGTAGGTGCACACTATAAATGTTACAGGCGATCTTTCAAATCATTGTCTGGGCGCAATGGGAACAGCTGCCGAAGTACCAAGCTATCGTCATGAAAGTCGAAGGATGTCCAATAGATAATGGAATAACTTCCAAATCTAGCAATACGTGGATACCAAGAACGTATGTATGTTGTAGTTATAATAGCTTGTTAAGAATGTTAGCATTGTCGGAGAATATTCCTTTTTATTTCATACGATACCATATCTGAGGAGGTATTCGGTTCCCCTCCTGTATGAACAAGGATTAAGCTTAATATCCATGTGGAATCTTCGGGGAGATACCTCGATTTTAATTAGGAGAACGAACTGCCAGTATTACAAAACACAAAAGGTTGTAGCCTCATTGTGATAGCTTGCGTCTTCTGTTATTAAAATCCCGAATCTTTTACTAAAATGATTCTAGCGTTGACTACCGGACTTCCTTGGAATATGTACCTAAGAAATATAGAAGTTACAGCTGGCCGCGACGCGCCTAGACTAAAAGATTAGTTCGTCTTTTAGCTTTCGCGAAGCTGCGAGTTTAGGTCTGTTCCGGTGGAGGAATGGAGATTACAGGGGTATGAAGATCAGACAGGAGCGAGTTGGCGGGGCTGTGAGTGGCCTTGCACAGGTACATGATTTTAGTCCATAGAAGGAGCCATACAGAGGTACAATATTTAATGTGTACTTTGATAAATGCCTGATAATCCCCTACAAAATAAGTACATTTTGCTTTAAATCTAGGATGCCAATTTCCGTGCTTTCCATGGTTCGCAGCATGGGAAAGCTACGCGTCTCAGTTGCCGCGCAGAAGTAACCTTGAAGTAGCATCCAAGTCTCGTCTTAATTCTTTCCTTAATTCCCCAGCCTGCCGGCTTGCCTAGCTGCTCCAAGATCTCGATGTCCCATGTCCCGTTTAAACTCCTTCAAGATCAAATCCTAAATTCAGGTTTTCTTCTGCGTCAAGACTTTTCTAAGACCCGCATCTGCTACTTCAGCTCGCGGGCTAAATAGTTTTCCAGTAATGGACCACGGTGTTTCTCTCACCTACTCCTTCACCTCTTATCCACATATTTACGAATATATGTAGCTGTACACGACTTCGACAAAGAGCTTGCCAATACACATTATCTTTTCTCTTCCTTGTATCTTCTATCCATTCTATTTGTCTTACCTCTTCTACACCTTTTCTGTGGTTATGGATGTAGATCTATCTCTTATGGGATATATGTGAATAAAGCAAGCATTCTTTTTTTTTCAACTAATGCTACTGCATTCGTTTCGCTTGGATGTGTAAGTACTCGGTCAGTTACCCGTAACCACCACACCCCCCTTGTCCCTTGTCTTCCTCGAAAAAGGTACCTACCTACATACCACAACTACCTAGCAGACGGACCGAGATAGATGGACTGGGGGTTAATGCACTCGTCCTATTAGTCCTATTAGTTCACCCATCCCGCACCTCTTTCCTTACATGTATCTCCCAACCTCCAGTTCACGAATTAAGCCAATAACCAACTTATTCGCCCACATATGTAGCTTTGGATCCTTGAGCATAGTTTATGCTACCTTATTGCCAATGCCAAATCCCCCAACCTAAAATATTGCCTGCCCACCACCGAGCTGCCCTTACCCGTCCCTCTATATGAAATCTGGAGAAAATCGTTGGTTGCTAACGCTTCGTTGAAGCATCCGGCATGGAACCGTCAATGCTCGCATAGTAGTAAGGTAGTGCCGGTCCTTCGGCCTCGTGCTCTCTTAATATCATGGGGAACTCGCACTCCGCCGAGGCACCATGGAGGGGTCAACGAACGACTCAGAAGCTTTCAAAACCCAAGACGGGCAACCCTACCGCAGCTGGCCTGTTAAGCCCTCTTGGTCCCTCGAACTCGGCGCGTCCTTCTCCCGTAGCGAGACGTCTCTCACTTCCGCATACTTCCTCCTCACCTACCATTTCGCCAATTCTTCCTGAGACGAATCCCACCGCGACAGCGAACGTACCGGGCGACAAAAAGAGTTCGGGGCTTGGAAGCCGTCTATCGAGGGGGCTCTTCCGTTCCAATACCTCCAAGGAATTTCGGATCCGCCGTCATACGAGCAGTAGTGTAGAAGTGCCAGTTCCTCAGCAAGAACTCTGGTCGAGCGGGGCGGATTCGTTTAGAAATGGGCCCGGGGACGGCTACAACCATAGCCAGGCTCATATTCAAGGGTAAATGAATGGTTTCGAGTTTGCCCCTAAATTCTATGAGCTAATGAAATATTCTTAGGAGTTTGTCGATGAACGTATCACGATCCTCGTTTAGTAACTATGAGCCTGGCACATATGAAGCGCAGAGATTGCTGAATCTTGTGGAAGTACCGTCTCATGAAGACCAGTCGGTAGTTTCGGAGAATCAAATGCACATTTCTGAGGCGGTGCAAGCAGAATTTAGGGGCCGACGACCCTCCATCCCTGAGGTAACGACTACAATAACTCGAAATGGTTCCGAGGTGTCTTTATATACTCCGATGCGAAGACGGTCTTTGATGACTCCGGGTGTTGCTACCCGCGAAGTACGAGCAGATCCAGGCCCTTCAAAACCGAGAGTGAGACATAGCCTTCCCTCTACTCCATCACGCCGAGAGTCTATGGAATCGATGGCCATTGGATCGAGCGGCTTTCTCTTACTAGAAAACCCGGAATTAATACCCCGTGCTCTTACACCCTGTGAGGCAGAGTATAAGCAAACAGGTGCTTTCAGACTTGGCACTCTTCGAATCACGAATGGTAGCCCTGCTCGGAGCCCAGTCCGTGACCCTAAGAGCGATATCAAACGCGATGGTCATAGCGAATTGTCAAATAATGAGCTGAAAGAGGATTATTTTGGAACGGAAAAATCGCCTTCAAATGGCAATACCAAGATGGACTTGAATGCTATTCAGGAAAAAACTGAACTCCTAACAACCGAACAATTAGACAGCACAGTTGTCCCGTCTCTTCCCAGCATAGCACATTCTACAACCGCTACTCAGCCTCAAGTTTCTTCCCAGATTGTATCTGAACGTCAGATGGGCCCGCCATTGTCTAATGACGAGACGTTGAAAATTCCGCAGATACAAGTGACTAGCAAGCATACTGCCGCCGAAGATAGGTTGTTTGACGACGACCAGAATGAATTTTCTTCGGTTGAGGTTCTAGACGTGCGAATTGACCCGAATGCAAAACCTGCACCCCCACGTCCGAAACCGATGCCGGAAAGGAAGGAAATCAATAGATCGGATAGCGGCATTGCGAGTCCAGGCTCGGAGTACTCGGCTGCACCTTTATCGAAAGCGGACTCAGGCTATAGCTCAAATGTTTCCCTCCGCTCATTTTCTACGAGACCGTCAGCTGCCGAGAAAGATCGTAATTCAGATATTGAGGTTGACGTACTGAATAATGGTACGAGGTCAACTGTACATATTAGGGAGCCTGAACTCAGAAGTCCAACCACTGCGGTGAATAATGCCGTTTCTCCGTCACCTCTTGACGGGATATCCCCTCCACCAGTCCCGGAAAAAGATCCGCATCTCATGGCCCTTGCCAGTCCAAAAACACTAAACGAACGATCCCCGTCTTCTCCACAAAGTCCTAGGTTCATGAATAACACCAAATACAACCAACTGCCAGAGAGAACCCTATCGCCAAGTAGCGCCCGTGGCCAGGTTAGTCGTAGTATCGGAAGCCGACAATTCGTTTCGATGAACCCAATCACCTCTAACTCTCCCCTCAGCATTAGCACCGGTTTTCGAAAGCCTGGAAAACTCCAGAGATTCCTGAGTGGAAATCGAACTTCTCTAGTTGTTCACAATACACACTCTAGCGATTACGCAAGTGTACCTGTTGTCCCAGGAGATTTGCAGGAGAAACTCCAAACACATGCGGGGATGATGCCAATTTCGTTTAGGAGATTAGCTCTAAAATCTGCTGCTAGCAAAGAGACTCTTGGGACCATCCTTAGTGTTGGAAGCGCAGAGCTGCTTCAGGATGACGATGTATCCCCAACTAATCGAAGTCAAGGAACTTCAATTCCGCTTGGGTCAACAATTGCAAACCCTCGTCCAACCTCCGTCAAGAAGCCGATTCCTCGAAAACCTGTGCCTATGCGTGTCAGGGATGTTAATACGGTAGAGGTCTCTGCCAAAGCTTCAGACGTAAGCTCACAAGCTTTGTCGCCCCGTGGTAACGCGGGAGAAGCTTATAGTTTACCTGGTATTTCCGCGACAGGCAGAAGATCGAGATATTCCGCACCTATTCCTAGGCTCAATAAAGCGAATACCATGACAAGTGGGATAGAGGAAGACTTGGGAATGTTGTATGCTGATATGGGGCATGATAATGGATTTACACAAGGAAAATCTTACTCAACGACGTCCCTTGCGCTTCCATCAGCGCCCAACGTGAAATTGGCAAAAAGTCCACCCCCAGTAAGCATGAGAACTCGGAACATGGGACCTCTAAGAGTTGCTCCGCCTGCAAGATCCCAATCTACCCCTCCCGAGAACATGATAAGGCTGGGGCGGTCTCAGTCTTCTCGTAGAGGAAGCCGGGATGGGAGTTTTAAGGGACCTGGATTTGACGGTGGTTTCGCGCCGAATCACTCTTTAGGGCCCAGATCTAGCCGTGAGAGTTTTCGCAATCCACCCTCTGTGCAGGCTTATCCACATGCTGATAAGCCTTCCACTGGGCATATGAGCCTTGGAGCAGAACCAACGCAGGCCCGAGCTCCAAATTGGGACGTTCGGGTAGATCATGGCCCTTCGCTATCTCGACAACCTTCAACTGATTCTAGCCGTCGAAGTTCCTTGGTCAGTCAATCAAGTCAAAGAACATCAGCAAGCATAGGACCAGGCTTCTTCCAGCACCAGCATCACTCACAGCCCAATCTTTCAGCACTTCATCGTAGGTCGAGCTATGACGAATACAATATCGTGCCGCAAGATAGCTGTATTCGGGACAACGGTCCCTACCCATCGATTTCCCGCAATGGACAATCATACGTGTCAGATCCTTGGAGTGGACGTTCAATGTCGATGCCACAGCAATGGGATCAACAGTGGGACCAACCACATCGAGAGCCTCAGTATACACCTCGACCTCACTATCGACGTCGAAGTGTGGATCAGTACGGGAACCCCACCCCTTACCGAATCCTTCACTCCTATAATTCCCCTGCATATCGCCATGTTCCTATTTGGAGATGAACAACCTGTTAGTCGAAAGGTGTCGATTTACACCTTATCAAATTTGCATGAGACATCTGTCTCGTAATATTTTCTAACTCTATCCTTGATATCCTGCATGTCCGGCGTTTTTGTTTGTGGCCACATATACGGATTCATCCTACGACAAATGAAGTCCTCTACATTTTGCGTTCATTACTACGAAACATTCATCCAATACTTTCCTTAATTAGGCGAGGCGACTTGGGGAGGATTTGGAAGCATTTTACAAGACGAAGCTACCTACGAAGGTACAGGCCGAGGGAAGATTCTTGATTCTGGATGATAACGGGCAACAATTTACGACACCAGGCAACGGTCATGACTAAAGGTAAAGGGGAATCTTGATTTGATTTGGCCCCTTTTTTCTTTCTTTCTTTCTACAAATGGGAGAAAATGATACCACGTATACATGTTTGATGGAAGCACATTCTATACCCATTCGCAAACGGGCTGCGATTTTTCTTCTTTTTGCTGTTGATGCCCAGAAGGACATGGTTGGTAAACATACGAATAGCCATTGTTGGCGCCATTGCGGTGACCTTGTACATATAACATTGCATCGGTGAAGATGTTGGAATGCAAGGTGATTTTACTTATAATGAGGTTGTTCGAGTGTCATTCCTCCCTTTGGTGTGACGAGTGGCTTGCGACATAGGGGATTAAGTATTGCTAGAGCTATGTCCTTCTGCCTCTGTATGTGCCTTTATGCACCTTGGTGTGGATGTCTCAGATGGCTCGACTTTCACTGCTTACAATAACTAAGCGTGTTTTTCTTCCCTTAGATGGATTGGTGCTGGATTCTAACCCCTCTTGTGTAAGGGTGTGTGGGATTAGTGGTACCGAGATTTATTCGTCTGACGCAACGAGATAGCATCATGATCAAATGGTACGGAAGCACGAGCCGACTAGATGTAGGCACAATCGTTGAACATTGCCAAAATTGGAGAAGTCCCGATTTCGAGCTGGTTACTCGGTAAGTAAAGGCATTGTCAAGATGATAAACAGGGGTTTCTCGGTATGACGTTGTGACATCCGAATTTCCCCATTGTATCAGAAGAGGCCCCCCTATCGACGTGAAGTTACGATACAACCTCACTACTAATTTAAGATCAAATGATTGTAAACTGTTTCGAAGGACTTGGTGGGTATCCTCTTATACAAGTAGAAAATGAGCTTAAATATTCTAATATGTAAGGCATATCTTAAAATCAAGACTAATAATCGCTTGAAGGTGAAATCGTAAGTGTTATAAGAGTTGGGGTGGTACAAATCCCGACTATGCGGTTATAGTTGTCTCACTAAGCTCCTAGTAAGAATACCTTAATTACCCCTCGCACGGATTAGAATTTAGTGCTTGAAGGCGGGATAGGTTAGGCGACCAATTAGAGACTTAGCAGGCCGAATCTTCGCTTGTTGGATCCCGCACGCTAAGTCAATTGAGCGCTACCTAGGTGCAACTTTTAAAAAAAAAATTAGCACTGTGTTGATACGGGCTACTTTTGGGTAGGTTTAGGTACCCTGAATACTAGTTAAAGAATTACGTAGCTTGAACTGCTAAGCCACAAAAGTTTGTGTTGCCCGCCTTCTGATTGATTCTACTCTATTTGCTTGCACTTACACTTACACAATTACATAAAACTCATAAACTATCGTGTTAATAGACTTCACACTTTTAACGCGATTCCTTGTTTAGCCGCATGATCCCAGGACACGGAAAGAAAAATAAGCGAATCCACGAACAGGTGCATACGGGAACGGTCCACTATTGGATCACGGACTGGACTGGACTGGATTTGAGAAAGACAAGGCCAGACAAGACAAATTTATTGATGAATGCCTGACGCTGGCAACGCTCGCATAAACCTTTCGAACGACGAACCCGGGAATCCACGTTTCACAACCCTACCTAAACCTACCTAACCTTACCTTGCCTTACCCCGTCTAAGGACCAAGCTTTTCCCATGACAAGGTCCATTAGCTGTATACCCCGGATCTGTATCTTAAAAAGTGACACCGAACTTAATCGATCCCACGCGACCCGCGCGACCTGTAACCCGAAACTCAGAACGTATAGTGCAAAGTCAAAAGCATCTATCTAGCCTTTGCTCCCGCCCAAAATGGCAGACTACACTCGCCAATCTCTCGACCTCACCTCCCCCCAAACCTTAGACCACGAACGCGAACGGACCGGCAGTATGTCACTAGGAAACAGCGCTAGCCCCGCGCCTGAAGATGGCCCTGTTTCGCCGAACGGTACCGGAACCGAAGCTATCACCATGATACCTAGTTCAGTCGAGCCCGAACAACCCAAAGAAGTACAGGAAGTACTAGCTTCAGATGTAGAGACCCCCAAACAACCAACCTCCGTATTAAGAGATAGTAGGGCTAATTTATATAGATTGGTGTTTCCACCATGTTAAATAGACTTAAGCAAAGCGTTACAGCAGCTAGGGTAAGGAATCCCCACGACCTTACCTTCCCTCCGTTACCTCGTTACTGACTACCACTCTGCCTACAGGAGTTTGCCACCTTCCTAAAGAAACGATCCGACCTCGAAGACCAACATGCCAAGGGCCTGAAGAAGCTATGTAGGTCGACACAAGATAGCATTCACCACTCCGACCATAGACAAGGAACGTTCGCCCAGTCATACGAAGAGATGCTTATGATCCACGACCGAATGGCCGAAAATGGAATACAATTTGCGCTTTCTCTACATCAGATGCATGAAGACCTACTTGAAGTAGCTGCAGTAGCCGAAAAACATCGCAAGGGATGGAAACAGAATGGCTTAGCGGCTGAACAGCGCTTAGCTGACTTGGAGAATGCCATGCGCAAGTCTAAGACAAAGTACGATTCGCTGGCCGAGGAGTACGATCGAGTGAGGACGGGTGAAGCAAAACAGGGACCCAGGGTTTTTGGCATCAAGGGTCCCAAATCAGCAGCACAGCATGAAGAGGACCTCTTGCGCAAAGTCCAGGCAGCCGATACGGACTACATGGGGAAGGTCCAGACATACCAGTCCGAGAAGGCAACTATGGAGTCTACAACACGTCCGGAGACTGTGAAGGCGCTGCAGGATCTTATACGAGAATGCGATTCAGGCACTACTTTACAAATGCAAAAGTTTGGTAAGCAGCTGCGAGCCTAGCGAAAACCGACTTAATGACGATACTAACTGTATTGCAGCCTCATTTAATGAGAAGCTATTGCTTAGCAATGGTTTAGTAATAAGTCCACTGAAGAGTGCTACGCAACCGGGTCAGCATTCTCGGAGTCTAAAGGAAGTTGTTCAAGCCATCGATAACAAGAAAGATCTTGAAAACTATCTTATCAGCTTCCATAGCAAGGTCCCGATCAGATCATCGGAGCCTAAATACGAGAGAAATCCAGTATGTATCACATCTGCCTTCCAGAATGATCGATGCTAATATAAATTAGGTCCTCAACCCTCAACAAAATATGTCAGTGAATCAAATTTCCCAATTCAACCAGCAACAGCAAAGACCTGAATCTCAACGGCAAGGATCCCCTCTCCAATCTCAGATGCCACCGCCAGGATCCATGGGCTCTCGAACCGGAGGTTATGATACGATATCGTCCCCGTCGGGGTTTCAAGGTCCGGCTCGGACTTTCACTCCTCCACCTGGCATCACACCGCCTACGCAACGACCGTCTTCGGGTCCGGGACATGAGAGAAGTTTTAGTCACGGTGCCATGCTGAATCAAGGCAATACCCAACCCCAACCCCAGTATAACGCACGAAACTCGATACAAGCTCCCCCACCCCAATCACGGTTTAATGGTGGCATGGGTGGCCCACCACAACTAGGTGCTTTGCCTTTCCAGAACCAGCCATCTCGAAATCAGAGTCCCCAACAAGGTGGAGTGATGGGCTTCCAACCGCCTCGAAACGAACAGTCACCAGTGCGCTCAGCGTCGCCGTCTAACGCTCTCGTGCCTAAAGGAGATGCGTCAATCTCGAGAGGGCCAGTTTTTGGTGTTTCTCTCGAACGGCTTTACGAGAACAGCAAGGGCCCTGTCCCGATGGTAGTCTACCAATGTATCCAAGCCGTCGACTTGTACGGTCTTGCCGTTGAGGGTATCTACAGATTGTCTGGTTCAGCAAATCATGTGAATAAGCTAAAGCATTTGTTCGATACTAGTAAGTTACTCCCACTTCACTACTCATAAAAGTTGATGGTAGTTAACCTGAGCAAAATAGACGAAGACGCACCCATCCTCGACTTCCGCAACCCGGAGAACTTCTTCCACGACGTGAACAGCGTCGCAGGTCTCCTAAAACAATTCCTACGGGACCTACCCGACCCCTTACTCACATCAGAGCACTACGCGGGATTCATCGAGGCGGCGCGTAGCGACGACGATGTTGTGCGTAGGGATAGCCTGCACGCCATTATTAACGCGCTGCCGGATCCCAACTACGCGACGCTCAGAGCGCTGGCGCTGCATTTGCATAGGGTCATTGAGCACAGCGCTGTGAACCGTATGAACTCGCAGAATTTGGCGATTGTGTTTGGTCCTACATTGATGGGGACTGCGCCTGGTGCTAATATTGCAGATGCGGGGTGGCAGGTTAGGGTCGTGGATACGATATTGCAGAACACGTATCAAATATTTGATGAGGATTAAAAATGTGGCGTATTGGCTTAGACTAATAGAGGGAATGAGGAGCATGTGCGCGGAAGGAGGCCCATTCGACGAGGCTACTGCGCGTTGTTCGTTACGTATTCAGGGGAATGGCTATAGCATAGCATGACAGACAAGCAAGCAGGCGAGCAAGCATGGTATAAGGGCGGTGTAGGTAACATGTACACCACGGGTAATTTATTGTCTAACAGTAATTTCTTGTTTTCTAATGAGGAGGTTCGGCGGTAGGGGATAGGAAAGGATAGGAAGGCACCGGGAGGGTTGGCACGGCATGCGCTGAGTTGTGCATTGGCTGGCTGGCTTGCATATATTCGATGCTTTATTTAGTTTATTTAATTTTTGAAATGCCTTCCTCTTTCTTTGGCCGTTGACTGGATGGTGAGTTTGCGATGATAAAAATAACGACTTTATGTCTCTTGGATATCGTGGTAAGTACTATGGTACTCTTATCGGGTTTAATAAGAGTTAGTTCCTATTTAGTATCATTTGTATCTTTTGATTAAAGCTCGGTCTTCACGACGGTTTTGAGCTAGTTGTATTGGAAGCACATAATTTGCGAAATCGAGGCGGTCGTTGTCGAAACTCGTCCCTCGATTCAGATCTATAATTAATGTTCAATATCCAATTTTGTCAGATTTATTTGTACAAGACTTGAGCTTCTGAGTGATCATCAGAAGATTACAAGTCCATAGCTTCTCTTTCCGATATACACTTCATCCTTCATCAAACGAATTGGTGGTATACGCTTATAAGCATCTAGTTTATTAATGTCCTTCCTCTTGTCTGTATAGTCTTACAATTGCGCTTTCTCGCCGTTTAGCTCTTTTCTACCTCGACTAAGATTGCTCCTTTTCAGGCATGTAGGAAGGAACACGGTCGATTTATCGTCGTAGCTCGTGCACTAATATTGTAAAGCGGGTGTTTATGCGGCGGCAGGCATGGGGGCGGGAGCTCCAGTACCAGTGGCGCCTCGGTTAAGCTGCGGTGGCATGAACATGGGAAGGTAGGTCACGGCGAGGGCCATTACTATTAATTCGTTAGAGCTGCTCCGAACATACTGCGGAGAAATAAGTAGGCTTACAAGACATGCCAATGGTAAAGTACCCGGGCGTGCTGTTGCTACTCTTACTGGCCTCCTCACTCTCACCAAGCCAACTTTGAATGCTGATCACGACGGAGGCCCAGCCGATATATCGGTTTCGAGTGAATATAGCAGCCATAGGTAACGTCGAGGATAGGGTGGAGGAAAACTCGGCGCTGTCGCCGGAGTTGGCGGCCGGTTCTTGGTACGGAACGACTGTACGCGCGTATTTTATCAGTAATGCGACGCGACGCAATGCGATCCTCATGCAAGTGAGAGGAGAGAGGCTTACCTAGGTCCGGCCGGCGCATATCCTTCTTCGATGAGGTTGCCATATTTTCGGTAATTGTATGTACTTCGGATTACTCGGCTCCGTTGATAGTAACCCTCCGTGTAGAAAACGTAGATCTTTTTTTTTTTTTCACTGATGTAGGAGGTCGGAGCTTTCACCACCAAAAAAGAGACACATAGGTATGTAAAGTTTTAGACGGAGATTGGACAAGATTGGGATGCGATGTCGTTGAGATCCGTCCTGCAGGGTTGGACTGGGGTCAACCAACGCTAAACCCTCTTTAGATTCAATTTTTCCCCACTCGGTGTGTAGTACATAAAGCCACACGGGCGGGGTCGGGGGTCGGTCAACTGCAGTGACAGATCTACAGTACCACAATACAGTGTTTATGGAATGTCTTAACTTTCGACCTAAACTTGCCTTAGCTTAGTTATGAGCAATACTATGTAACTATACCTCACCTACCTCAACTAACCTAAGACCCTTACTCCTATACCCAGGTATTACCTACATGCATGTGCTAAATCGACTAGCACTATTAGCTTCGCATCACATCCCCAAGATGTGCAAGGCAAAGAGTAGTCAAGAACAAAACAGAATAAAACAGGAAGAGGCGAATGATCTCAAGTTAGCGTCGTCTCATTCCGTCTCGTCTCATTATAGGTATCGCATCGCATCGTATCGTATCGTATCGTATCGTGTGTTACTCGTGTGTTACCCCATCGCGCATACATGAGCAAAATACCGAAAAAAGATGAGAGGCGGAAAATTGGCGGAGTAGATTTCTTACATGCCTATTCGACCCGGCACTTTTTGTGCGCAAGTATATGGTTATTCCCTATCAACAAGGTATCAACGATGTACTAAGCGGCTTATACTATTTATTGGTTCAACAATACGACCCCGATATCCATTGCCTTATGATAAAATGGTAAGCCTATTTCGGCCAGATGCCCGGTCCCCGGAGGCCGATTCGTGCGGTGTACGGATACATATTCCATTATTACCGGAGTCTCCCTACCGTCGCGTAGGAAAGTGTCCGATGATGTGTGAGAAGGAAAACAGCAGCTAGAACAAATCCCGGAGGATGTGCCGTGTTGCCAGTCGAGTGAGACAAAAATGCAAAGACGCGAGAATCCCCGGCATCTTACCGTCATATCATTGAAATCTCGGCCTTAATAGGAGAAACATCAACCGTGAGGGGATAATGATCATTGCTCATCCACAATTTCGGAGTCTTCTTGGCCTTCATTAGTTAAATTTGGCCGATATGGCTACATACCTTACAACACTCAATACCTCAGCACGCACCAACGTCATAAAGTCAGCTTGGCTATTAGGCTATCCTCCTATCTCCGCAAGTGCGTAGACCTATCCAACCACATCTCGATGTTGTGACAAATTAGGTGAAGACAATCATGACCACCATCATTGGACAAGATCATATTCCCCTTACAGGATACCGACCAACAAAATCGAATCATGTCCAATTCCAGCTGGCTAAGCTAGCTTATACGCGCCGGGAACATCCGAATAAGGAAGGACCCGAGTATGCTTACCTATTCTGTCATATGGAACTCGGCCTCTATTCAATCTAAATCAACGACACGGTTGCATTACTGTTCGCCGTCGATTCCATCTAGATAATGTAAGATAGGGAATCGCCGTGCTGAGATGCTACACGTTCCGGGGAATCGATCCTGCAAATAATATGTGTGTAAGTGTGTGTGTAAGTAGGCTTTGACACACGACAGTTATTCACGGCCGAGTGGGAACCCCCGGCGGACTTAGAGATCCCATTGATATCCACTCCGTTTACGGCAATTGGTTGCGGGGGTCCCTTTTTTGTCTGGGAAGGGCGGACAAGATTAAGTCCATCATTTGTCAGAGATATAATGTTGGATGCGGGTTATTGATGACCTGCGTTTGGGGGCTGGCTGTTTTGTCTTTCTAGCTGACTGATTAGAGCCAATAACCCCTGATGATAATGATAGATAGAGAGGCACAGTTGGTTTTATTTCGTAAGCCACATATGTATGATATGGGGCATCGAGTGAGTAAGGTGGTCTTTGGTGACACAAGGATTTTTTTTTTTTCTCTTTTTCTTTTTTGATCGGAACAATCCATCCCCCCTAATTAATAATAACTTGCGTGTTTACCTATGAAGAAGTCTTAGCCATCTGGTTGCTTGTCTCATCTTATGATTTTTATTTGCTTGTTTGTGTGTTGTAATTTTCGGGCATCATGACAGATGATGGCCCGGGTAAGTTAATCACACTCGCCTTGGTGGCGGTACAACGTGCCATCATCTCGTGATAGTTTTCTTTTCTATAATGTGATTGTCATCATTGATTACCTGATTTAAAATTTGAATTTGAATTTTTGTTCTCCCCTGATTCTTCTAATTACTTATCTCGTTCTTTTGCTTGCGGACTTAGAGGAGTGACTAACCTCGATGCGTATTAGACGAACTATAATTACCAAGAGAGAGGATCACAAATTCCGGGCCCGCCCAACCCGGCGGATTAGTGTACGTATATGCACAATGCAGTACGTGTTAGCGCGTACGTAGCGAGGTAGATTTAGGAGATTTAGGTTTGTTCAGGGGGGGTTATCCTCTCTTACCGACTCCCTACCCCCCCTACCTCCTACCTAATCACTAACCTAGGTGCCCTACATGAGTGGATATCTAGGCGGCTTTCTCTAAACTCCGCGGCGTCTATCGCAAAATCTCGCGAATTTGGCGAAAGTCCTTTTTTCCGTATACTAGGTAGGAAATGCGAATATGTAATCTACACTTAAGCTGCTTGCCTAATATGTCAAACGGTCCTTGCTATCTTACGTATCTATCAGCTGCCGAAATCCCCCGAAATGGGTCCTGTTATAATAATCAAAAAAGTCCTAGAGGCTTGTTGTTGCGACGCGGAAGGAAGCCGAGAAGGAAGCTGAAAAATATTACTGTATGGAATTATGGATATTTTATGTATTATGTGTAACGTGAATTTCACGATAGCCGCAGAATACATACTATGTAGGGGATTTTAGAGGTAGGTATGTTACCTGTCGCCTGTTTACGACGATACCGTATCACTGCGTCACTGCATTGCCTCACGGCCCAGCCTAAGCTACCTAGGTACCCAGCTAAGGTTAAAACTATATATGTATGTATGTGTCTACTAAGCCATGCCTAGATGTCCGATGTCCTCGTTTAGAAAAGACAAGCTTAGAAAGCCTAGAACAACGGACTACCCTACTGTAGTGGAAGGTTGACAAGTCATGTTGCGGAGATGCCTAGCAAAGCTGAATTAGTAGTATAGTGCCAAGTGGTCAAGTCGCACATGTGAGTGGATGAGTGAAATATGGATGATGTATTTCCTCGGTTTTTATTCTTTCTCATAATTGTCCTTTTTTTATGTTGTCACTCCGGTTAGGAATTAGGTACGACCTACATTGTTGGCCTCTCTCTTTTTCTTGTAATACCCTAATTTATCATTGAGGACTCCGCCGTATCTAGCGAATCTGCACTAGTACTGTGCCACTAGTAGGTATAAGTAGACTTTATACGATGGGATAATGGATGGGTGTAACTTACGTTATACAACTATAATGCAAATTGTACCTTCCCAGTATAGAATAGGTAGGTCAGGTACACACGAAGTTTATGAACAGATGATGGTTTACGATAGGCGGGAAAGTAGGCAGGATGGGATTATCAAGGTATGAATATGGAACAGTAGGTACGATGGTGTCAGTTCGCATATTTTCCCGCGCTTCCGATCCCACCCAATGGATCCACCCATGCCACGCAGATCATGCCAAACCAGAACCCAACCCAACCCGTCGCCCATCCCCCATCCTGGTAAAAGCCGCCCACATGCTTGCTCCAAAATAATCACTTGGTTCAAGTGGCCCACTGGCCCTTAGATGCGGTCAATGGGTCTCAATGGGTCCCCCAACTTCTTAGGTAGGTCACTGGTTACTGGTTACTGGACCATTGGCAGATTGGTCCAGCGCACTTTACCGCATCCCCCGATTCCCTTTTTTGCCGCTACCGCTTACCACTACCACCGTATCGCCGCTACGGGATGTTTGGGATGTGTTTATTCTCTTACTATTGCACTTTATTGCACTCTATTACACTCTACAATATACCTAATACCCCCCGTACTCACAACTCACACTACCCATACTCGAATATACATCCCTCCCCTTTAGTTTGTCTACCAATCTACCTAGTCAAGTTAAGTTATGTGTAATCATAACTATCATAACTGGGAAACACTTCTCTTACCTACATATCGTCTACCTACTACATACATTCTACATATTCTACATGCCTGCTACTTCTTACCAAGCTAAACAACATCTTATGTACACACGACGTACATATTGAAATCTACATACTAACTAACTACTACAATAATTATACACTCTTTTTCACTCTTTCTTAATCTTCGCTTCGTTTCGCTTTTACTACCAACCCCTGCTCGTTTGTTGGCTTACTATCCGAGTCGTCGATTTCGTGCGTTCGCCGAACCTCGCGATAATCGCATCCCTGGACTCGACTTCGCCTCCCACATCCTACCCTTCTTCTACCTCCAACCATCTAACGTAACATCCATCTCGACTACATGAAGATATGGCGCATCAACAGATCGTTCGCCCGCGATGACCTCTAGGCCCCCTATGGCCGTCCCTCAGCGACAGCCTCAGAGAACTTTAAGCGGCTCGGGGTTGTCGCAGTCCCCTACCCACCAGCGAACACTCTCCCAACAATACCTACCTCAATCCCCTATACGAAAGTCGGAGAGCTTCAGCGAACAGTCTTCAGATGTCGGCGATGTATCACAGAGTCGGTATAACACCGTCCCTAGGAGGGGAGGTTCGAGGCTTAAGCTCGAGTTGGCCAATGATGGTATTGAGCATCCCGGTTTTAGTGAATCCCCGCAGAACTTGGACGCCCTATCCGCCAACAAGGCCTTTACTCCATCACGAATAATGTCGATGAATGATGTATCTGATGCTGGCGATACCACTCCTCGTACTTCGAGATGTCAGACCGCAGACGATGACTCGGTTCCGTTACCCATGCCTCCTCGTCGAATCCGATTGGTCGTGCCCGCTAAACGACCAGCGGAATCATCAACAACAACGAATACACCTAAAAAGGACGCTCGTCCCAAGCCATTTGTCCTCGAGACGCCTTCGATCGCTCCTCGCTACCCGAATACGGGCAAGGCAGAGCCCTCCGGTAAAACACGAAATAAGGATGTCGCCCCTCGTGCGTGTACTAACCTATGCGTAGGGATTGCCGATTTCTATCCCTGGACCGGGAATCATCCAGAGGACCAATTCTCCGATAGCATTATTAGGCATGGGTTTTTTGATAAGGCGCCGGCGCAATCCACGCAAGAACCTGCGTCTGCAAAGGCTCCGTTATTTCCCGCCTTAAAGCACAAGAGCGGACTTCACACACTATCAACTATATTCACCAGCATACTAAATCAGAGGAGGCATAGTGGCCAAATTAACTCAGCTTCTACCTTCAAACCTCCACCTCGAGTTACCCTAACCGACACGAAAAGGGAGATCTGGCTCAAGGATCTTGCTAACCCTGCCATATCTCTCAGGCGCCTTAGTCGAACGATCCCTCATGGTATTCGTGGCAAGGTCCTACTCGAACAATGTCTGAACAAGAACGTCCCCACGGATCGTGCTGTTTGGTTAGCAAAATGTGTCGGTGCCAATGAAATTCGAGCATTTAAAAGGAAAGGGGTTAATGGTATATTCGTTATGGGCGGAGAAGCCAAATGGATTAGAGACTGGACTGTATTTGTCGAACAATTTGTTGAGGCCGTCACCAACGCATTTAACGATAGTAACTGGAAGACCAAGGTGACTTATGCGTAAGTATCATCTCTACCTTCGAGTCGATGGACGATGCCCTGACTGTTTATAGTATCCGCCTTGCTACTCACCTTTACGCCGAACACCTCTTAGACCGCGATCATTACATGGAGTGGCTAGTTTCTGGGTTGGAAAACAGCAATCAAGCGAAGCTTCCCATGTGGCTTTTAATCATCCAGATATACTGGAAAGATTTACTTAAATTGAGGAGGCATGGACGCCGATTGGTCCACGCCGTCCTCTCCCATCACTCTTCTGTATGTTCCCTTGGTGATTCTTCGCTGCTACTACACCTGCTAACTCGGCGATTAGATATTATACCATCCCGATCGCGAGATTTTACTACCCCTTTCTACACGCTTACAATCCCTAGTAGAGTCCTTACTTCTCGCTAGTCCCGAGAACTTCGTCAACCCCGCGACTTGGTTGAAATTCCGCGATTCTCTACTCGAACATACCAGATCGAGCAATACCGAATGCAGGTCACGAGCCTTCAAGTCGATCGATTTACGCAATGACTACTTGACGAGTTCTAATGCAAAGTCGCAACCCGCCCTTCGAAGCATTGTGGTGCAGATGCTTGACAACATACAAAGGGCCCCTCTTAATACTACGATTCCGAAACAACTTTGGAAAACAAGCGAAAATAAACCATCCATAGTGAGAACCATTCTCGAATGGTCTACATCCCTATACAGACCAGGTATTGCGAAGATATACATTGCTGCCGCACTCTTGCGATCGTCATCCGAATTAGACGTCGACGTTACTAGATCCGTTTTAGATTTCTTAGATTCCGATCCTCTCGAAGAAACTGCTCGGAAGCAACTCGTATACCACCTTGTATCGGAACTTTCTCGATCTAGCCACTTCTCGGTTCCTCTATACATACAATGGCTCATCGCTCGTGGTGGCATTTTAAATCCTGTCGAGGCAGCACGAGACGGACCATGTGCTACAAGGCTTCTCGTCGAGATTCCCCTCCATTGTCTAAGCGAATCCATGAAAAACCTGCGAGGTACTTTACTACGACGAGGGTCTTTCTCAGTTGATGATGAGGCAAGGGACATGGCACTGGCGATCAGTTGCGTGAAGAGCATACTCTCCGTTCCACTTGACCCTAGTGACCCCTTATTTAACAAGAAGCCCATGAGCCTGAAGAAGCTGACAAAACGGATTGACTTAAGTAGTCGCTCCCTTAAGACAACCATTGCTTCGTGGCTCAGCAACGACTTTATTACCGAGTCTACTGAAATTTTTTCGTCCGGTAGTGGCGTCGAACTTCCCAAACCCGCCTTCGAGACGGTTCGAACTTTACTTGAAGCCGCCGAAGACTATACAATGCTCGAGAATGTCTTGAAATCGATGGCAGCGTACTCGAACGCCGAACTCCTCGCATGTTGTGTCGATACTGTCAATCTCCATTTACCAGTATTTACCTCTACTGGATCCGCCAAGTCGCTCTTCGAAATATACTACGAACGATTAAAGACGATCATTGAAGAACAAGGTGTGGGTACCCGCCCACTTCTTGCGTCTCTTGCAAACTTGGCACCACGATTGGCTGGTATAGAAGAAGCGGCAGCACAGTTACAAAATGATTTGATTCGGATAGACCGCAGCAGTGCTGCTGACGCCTCTTCGCCTTTATCCGACAATATGGCAACGCAGCTCCAAGACGCCGAAACAGAACTAAGCGAGCAGATCGAGAAACTTGCTAGTTATACGAGTGCGGATAGACCGACGATGGAGCGTTTATTTTATGCGATCGTGAAGAAACTACAAACATATTGGGGAAAAGACGATGAACGCCAGCGGCTGTGTTGTATCCTTCTTACGAGACTACGCGTATTCGATATCCAGCATTTTAACGAGCTTATGAAGATTTGGGTCCAACATCTTCGCAAACTTACGAACCGACCATATATCGCGCAGCTATTTCCACCGCTCATTAGTTCAGGTTGTTTATCTCTTGCAATTTTGTTTGCGACGGCTGCAAGGAATCAGAACCAAGTTTCCCAATCTCAACCAACCGGGGTTGGATTCGCTTCTATTTACCAGCAGGAAGTATTGCAGATGTTGATGATGCCTTTTAGCCCGAGCCCGGTTATGACGTCCGAGGACTGCTATCGCTTCCGCATCATCCAAGATCATGCCAAGCGTGACCATGCTAGGGATTTAATGCCCTTGATTCGTGGGGCGTTGGCAGAATACTCGGCCTCTCACAACCAGCAAGCATCGATACCTCAGCCACTTGAAGACGAACAAACCGAGGCGACACTCCTCGAACTCATTCGAGACCTCGTTCTAGTTGATCCTAGTGCTGCTAGCCAAATTGTCTCACTCAAGGGTCCCGATCCGAAACTAGCAGCGCTTATCGAGACTTGGACTACAAAGTTATTAGTTCCAGACGGTGGTGGTGGTCAAAAGTCTTTCGAGCAAGTTTTGGAATTGGCCAACGAATTCACGTTGCCGTTCTGCCAAGTCAAGCTTTCCCTAAACTTAGCGACCGATGAATTAGGCGGTGTCGAAGGGTCGGAGAGAATTCAGTCGCAATTTGAACAGCTATCAAAGGCTCTCGATAACGCCATTGATGCAAATAATATCATGTGGACGGGCATGCTCCCCTCCCTAAGCCCTGATATTACGCAGCATATGAGAAATAGAGCCGAATCACGCTTCCTAGAGATCATCCCATCTCTCAAGAATCCTCCAGAAGACGCCCTTTTTCACAAGGATATCCATATGGCGGAGAACTTACTAACGGTTATTGATTCCATATTTCGCGGGGGGTCAGGATCGAAGGTATCTCCACTTTCAAGTTCTTTGGTGGACAAACTTGCAGACCTATGGGATATCCTAGCTTCAAAAGCCGATGAGTATGCGTTACTGAAAAACGCAGTACTATCACATTGGTTACCCCTCATCTTTTCTTACTTAACCCTTTATACATCACCATCCGCAGGAGCAGTCGACGTGTCTAAACTAACCGGCGGCGAAATTCGCGGACGCGCTTTAATTGTCCTCGCTGGTCTCGTTCAGGAACTCGATAATTATCCAACCTTCAACCTTGGACGAAAAGCCTTCGATATTGCTCTCGCTCTCGTAGACGGATTACCTGAAGAGGCACGCTTACAGTGCGTGCGTGCAGTAAAAGACGCTACAGCTGATCCCAGGATCAGGTACCTATTTAGTTTCGCTCCGAATCCGGCGGAAGATTTCATGTTAGCCCATCGCGATAAGCCATTACTCGGGCCTAATGAGAGAAGGGCGATGGCAATGGGTATGGGAGCTAGCATGATACCGGAGAGGTTGACTCCTTTCGTTATCAGGAGGTGGGAAATCCTCAACGAACCTACCCCCAACGTTGGCGAGAACGACACAAGCTTGAGCTTGACATTATTCGACGCTAGGAAAATAAAATAATGCATAATAAGGAGTTTAATCAACCTCGCTCCTTCAATTTCACGTCGGCTTATATCGATATCGAAGATAGTATTCTAGGCGAGGACCCGATCGGTTTTCGAAGGCTTTTAGAAAGTGGATTGCGGCTTTTTTTGCGGGAGGCGGAGACGACCCTCTTTCTTTATTCATACCTATATATGGGCGCGTATGATATACATACGCCATGGGACCACAGAAGAGGTCCGAGCTACGACTTCTACCAGCATCGCTTCTTGCTAGCTTCTTTGGGTGTGAAGGGTTTATACATATCACAGCCTACGCATTTTTTTTCCCGGGACGCTCATGGCATTTACGAATGACTATTATGCATGCATCTGCTAAGTTGGAGCATTTATTGCGAGTGTGCGCGCGTACGAAACGCTTTTGATATTGATACCTGGTACGCGGGAACGATGCATTCGGGCGCCTTGTCTTTTTGAGTTTTTTTACGGGGTCCCGGGGTCATGAAAGGGGGGAGAGGAAGGGGAAGCGGAGTTTGGTTGCTTGGGTCTTATTGATGGGTTATTTTGCTGTCATTAGGGAGTGTATAGAGAAAGAGACGGTTGGTGGAGGTGTAGGTAGTGAAGAGCGAGGATAGCGAGAAGTAGAAAGAAAAGATGAATGCATTGAAATACTTATTATGGGCTTGTGTTATTACCGCGACTTAGGGATTTGAGGTGCTGAAGCGTTTGACCCGGCAGCCCAGCCCCTTCATTTTTATCGTGTATGCTGACTCATCAGGACGGCATATAAACTCCACATATCTTTCGGCTTTTACCTCCGCCTCCGTTCTTTATGATGGGACCAGATGATCGTCGTCGTCTTGCAAACGGAGCCGTCAAAGACCCGTACAGCCCGGATGGATTATTGAGGACTCGGGCAATGGTAGCAGTATAGGCAAACCATGGATATTTCACAGCTTCCTAACATAGATAACCTGCTGGTCACAGCGGACAATCCACCCCGCGCCGACTTATTAGGCGTAGGGCTGGACCACGCAAGATGTGCAGCTCTCCATAACTACCTGGTTTACTACGCCTGGCTCGCCGAAGGCCGTCTAGTGGCTAGTCTACATAATAACGCCAATACGTTCTTCACAGCTCACGGCGCCGAAGCTGAAGCTCTCCGTCCAGGTCTACATCCGTCATTAACAGCTTTCCTCGAAACTGCATTGTTACCCCCAACCTACGGTACCGAGGTTATACCATTCTTTTTCTGGGCCAACCAACTCTCAGACCCAGATAACCTGATCGACGACCAGATGGCCGATCTATCCGACCAACCACCGGGTAGTCTTGTGAATTTGTACCTATCTAACACGGGCCAAGGCGGCGAGGCCGGTGGTGGGTTGTTTTATCACCAGGGTCATCATAAAGTAGCGGTTTTTATGCATATGGATGATTACGACTTCGCGTTGCCTGTTGAGAAGCATCCTGAGTTATGGCATCCACTAGAGACGGTGCTGTCGAATTGGATTGAACAGATTCGGGTTGGGAAGATTACGGCTTCGCCTGCTGAGACGCCGCCGGTGTTTGTTGGGGAGAAGGTTGGGAATTGGGAGTGGATGCCGTATGGGGAGGGACAGGTTGAGAGTTGTTTGAGGGCTTGGGAGGGGTTGTGTGAGACCGTCGAGGCGCGGATGCCGAACGGTGGTAATAATGTCGTTACGAGTAATGAGGTTGAACATGAACCGGAACCACTGCTCGCGCCAGCTGCTTTAGATGCGGCGTTGGTACTTAAACCTTCCTTTGCACATGCTTTCTTATCCCGTGCCCGCCGTCCGCGGTTTCGCTATATTGCGCCGGGACTTACTTTGCCTCCGGCGGATGTATCCACGTTCGCGGCTTCTCAGCCTTTCACTAGACTCCTGCGGGACCCTAGTGTCGTACCACCGGTCCGCCTCTTCCCTTCGGCAAGGCCGGATCTTACAGTGGATTTATCCGGGTGGTCTAGTCCCTTCCACGGAAACTTCCGCTCCATGTCCGCCGACTCACTCGCCCCATCCCAGATTTCTGTCGGCGTGTATAGCGAATCCATCGATAGAGCTGCTCTCGATAGCGCCGAGGAGGGATTCCGTTTAGTATTGCCATTCGGCTTACAAGGGCCCGACGGCTTTGAACCAAGTGATGCTGATCCGGGCGCGCGGAAAAGTGACGGATCAGGTGTTAAGAGGGGGTCATGTACGGATTTGTTCCAGCATGGGTATAAGCCGTTTGGAGGTGATTACTATCGCCCGCAACGACTGGAGCGGTTGTTAGAGCATTGGACGAAGATGGTTGAGAGAGGTGTTTGGATGGTTGGGGAGGATGGGGTATTGGGGGATATTGAGATGTTTAGGGGGGCGGATGGAGAGGGGTGGAGGGATTATGTCATTGAGCCGAGTTGGTAATATTAGAAGGCGCCTCTATTCTCGATATCACTTTAGCTGTGGTATATCGTCGATGCGAAGTGTCAACGGATGAGACGCATTCAGCGTTCGACCAGTGCTACCTATCGTGTAGGTTATCCAGGACTAGCACTAGCCTGTTTCGATAACAGTGGCACAACCTATACGACGAAAATCTGGAGTTGATGCAACGTCTATGATTTCCGAGGTAATCCGACCGATAGGCACTACTCGCGCGAATATGATACAGACGGTGGTAAACCATTGACCAACGGCGAACACGATATTCCTGAACTTGGACACTTATATGAGCACCTGATTTCGCGGGTGTCCCTCCAGAGATTTGAGCAATTACTATCTTAAACCCAACCAGTATAACGACGCCTGTATGGATTATTAATAATATACTTAGGTATACACATATAACGCTTACACAGTTCTAGCAACTATTAGAAGACGACCGATCGATATACCGCGATTTCTAGGATCAAAAACTCGAGAAAGGTCGAATAATATTGCTAGTTAAGATATGAATATAAAATATATCTGGCGAGTAGGGGATATAACAAAATTCCTTTAGAATCATTTTCTTCTACTATACGAAACTGCATCGGCAATTTATATGATTTTCTTATTGAAGAGACATACGAAGACTAAGCATTTGGGTGTTCAGGCAGATAGCAGTCACTACGTACCAACCAAAATGACTATATAACAACGTAGGTGTCTCCATACCTAAAGTATCGTTAGATACTATGCTCTCAGCTAGCGGTTATCACGATAGTATTAAAACCTCAACAATTCGTCTTTTAGCGCTCGCGGATGACTTTCGATAAGTATAGTGCGAATATCGTTCTACGTCTATTTTTTAGTATTATGTAGACTAGTCCTAGACTATACTATGTACGATCTGCTAGCTTAAAGAGCTGATGGATAAAAACTACAATATGATTCCAGCGAGGACATCGAGAGTAAGGCAAACTGCGTTAAGTTACCAGAAACACTGGTACATTTTGCTTCGAAACTTCCAATTCCCTGGGAATTATCGAACGGCGCTTATGGATAAATCAACATCTACCACGACTTACCCAAGTATCACAAGATGCCAAAAATAACCACCTAGACAGGACTATCCAAAAGCCTCAAAACGGCAAAAATAACTATAAATGACACAAGTCTAAATGCATAATAACCAAGCGCGCGCTCAATATTCAAAACGATAAACCTAGCCGACAAGAGCAAGAAAGGCAGGTGTATAAGAATACGACGACATACAATTACAAACCACCCTTTCCCATCCCCCAATAACCCATCCAACCGGCTCATCGGCATGCCCAAGCCAGAATTAGCTGCAATCAATCCAAGTAGGTAAAAATAAGCACGGTGATACTATACCTGGAAACACACGTGCATAAAACAGGGGAGCCGCAAGACAGGGGTTCGAGACGTCCCAAGCGTTCCAGGCTTTCCATAATAGTTAGTACTTACCTTACTATGTCTGGGTACAAATGTAGACTGGGTGCCTCGGCTCGCTCGAATAAAGACACTTAGATAGATACATAGATCGTCGGTTTGAGATTTGAAGATTCCACCTAGCTTGCAGATTTTTCTCCTAGATGGGTATCTACCTCGCTTATACGGTGAACCAAGATTTGCTGGGTCCCTGGCTTTACTACCAAGGAATTTTGTTAAGATTCTCGTATGCAATTTCGCTCACCATATTTTGCTAGTATAATGGACATGTGGATAGTTGGAGAGTTCACAGGATTATGTAGAGGGTATTAGTTTCTGATATGTGCATCCCATTCCCTTCTAGCTATTTAGACTACCCACTCCATATCACTTCGAAGAAAAAAAGAAAAATAAATATGGAAAAAACCAAGCCTCATCAAAAATGTACACAGTCGGAGCTTTGGTGTTGATCATTAAAAGGTATTGCCATGCGCCCGACCGCCGGACTCTCTATCTGCCACACACAGCGTGACAATTACATCAACATCGGGGATATATCGTAACAGAGAGCCATACGAATAAAAACTCAATCGTGCACCGCCCGACAGTAGAACCTGCCGCAGTGCTGTTTCAAATCTTTTCCTCCCCAAATCTCAACTATGCTGCCGCTTGGCAAGCCTGTAATTGCGCTTGGCAGTCCGAAAGTTTGAAACCAGCACCGGCATTCGCCGCGTCGCTACAACTGTTGTTTTGTATCTGTGTTACCAGTTAGAATGGTTCATCTGTTAATACTCAAGTCTTGTGGGTACTTACATCGCAAACTCTTTGCTTAGCAGCCGCCTCGTTCACGAAGGTGTTCCTAGAATAGACAAGTCAGCTACCTACTGTAGAGTATCAAGAGTGAGGTTTCGAGGGTAAACTGACCCGTTGACAGCAAACGGCCGTTTGGCATCTCCAGAGTTTGTTACGCTCGGAGCTGCGCCGCCAAGGTTCTTAGTCTGTTGGTTGTTGGCGTTAGCATTACCGCCAGAGCCTGTATTTGTGTTCGACTTATTACTTTGGCCTTGACCCTGGCCCTTGCCACCGTTCTGACCGGCTTGACCATTCTGTCCTGCCTGCGCATTTTGACCGTTCTGTCCATTTTGACCATTCTGGCCGTTTTGACCGTTCTGGTTGCCTTGGTTGTTCTGGCCATTCTGACCGTTGGCATTGGCGTTACCATTGTTGGCATTGTTACCGTTGTTCGCGTTGTTGCCATTGTTGTTGTTGTTGTTTCCGTTCCCACCACCAACTGGTCCTAGTTAGCGTATGCTGCGTATTTGATATATAATAATACTCACCAGTGAACTTGTTGCAGTCATCCTGGGCACCACGCTGGGCAACGGGCATGAGAACAGGTTGATGGTTGGCAGAAGAGAACATAGTGCAGACACGGTAGTTACCAGCTGGGAGACCACCAGTAACAGTAGCTGACAGAAGTCCCTTGCCGTTACCAGCATCGTTGATACCCTTGAAGAAGACAAACTGGGTGGCGTCGAGAGGTTGGCTGGGAGTTAGAGAGTTTCCGAGATCTTGAACAGTGACGTGAGTGTGACCAATGATGTTTCCTTGGCCGTTGAGATCCTGGGGTGCAGAGTAGTAAGTGTTGTCAGCGTTAGTGAAGGTACCAGCCTGGAAGTTATCGACTTGAACTTGAATATCGAAGTCCTGGTTGGCCTGAACGTTGTCGTTGTGCTGCGGGTTGAGCAGAATACTCGACACCATGTTAGTAGTCGCGGGGATTTTACCCATGGCTAGACGATTCATCAGCACCTATTTCTAATAGACCGAATCTGACGTATACTTACGAATACCGTTGCAGGAGCCTTGCTTCTGCTGAAGACCGTTCGTCAATGTCTCACCGCTACAGAAGTTGATAAAGTTGGCGTTGTCGCTACACTAGTTAGTGATCGCTCCTAAGATGCGAGAAGTAGTATCTTACGTAGCGGACGCGGATTCACCCTCGGCTGCGTCCGGGTTACCATCCTGCTGGGAACCAGTCTGTACAGCATTGGCATCCAATGTCAACGAGGCCTGGTTGTTATTGTTGTTCCCGTTGTTCTGGTTGTTGTTGTTCTGGCCATTCTGACCATTGTTTTGGTTGTTCTGGTTTTGGCCATTCTGTGCATTTTGACCGTTCTGACCATTTTGAGCGTTTTGGCCGTTCTGACCTTGCTGCCCTTGGTTTTGACCTTGTTGACCCTGGCCCTGCTGACCCTGTTGGCCTTGACCTTGACCCTGTCCTTGGCCTTGACCGCCACCGAAGCCGCCCTTACCACCGCCGAATTGTCGGGTGCTGAGAGCTCGGGCAGCTCTTCGGTTCATGATTTGTTCATAAGGACGGATAGCCGTAGCCTCGGTGATAGCGGCGATGCCTAGCAGGCCGATGAGAACACCCTTTGCATGCATGGTGACTGAGATATCCTAAGCAGATCGAGCGAGGGAGACAAGTATCTTTCTTTTTCTTTTCACTCCGAATTTTCCGAGGCGAGAATGAAAAAAATGGAAATGGTAAGATCCAAAAATGGTTCCAGACCGTTTTCGAATTAGCTGAAAGGAGTGGTCACAGACAACACTGAAGTGAAATGGAGTGGGCAGGCCCTAAATGCTGTCAAGAGAAGAGAACGAATGTATAAAGACACACTACCAGCGCATTCTAATAGGAAGAGAAAGGAATGATAGAAACTCGATAGAGAATCCGAAATAGAATTAAAAGCTGATGGGGGATAGAAATAAGAGAGACAAAAGGCCGAAGCCAAGACATCGCCTTATTATATACTCCACCGACAGGGTGGCAGGCCTCTCGGACGGAGTGTGCCTGAGTTGCTATGGAATCAACGGCATCCGCAACGAAGACTACATCATGTTCCCTTGTAAGTTCCATCCACAGGAGCTGTATCCACAGTCTCAAAACGCGGACGGGGATGGTAGGGAAGAGACGATGTCGAGGATAATGACAGGACCTTGCAGGGTGTGGGGGCAGGGGTATGAGATGGGCATCTCGAGGCTCGAGTGCTTGGCCAGCCTTGGCTTTGGGATCCACCACCACTACCACTACTTACCACCGCTACTACGCGATGGGAGAGCGTGCATGGGAGGAGGCAAAGCTTAAACGATCCCCGTCGAGTACTTGACTCCATCATAGGAGGTGTATGTATGTATGTAGAGATGTACTCTCCGTAGTCCTTGATTTTGATTCGAGTCTCTTGAAGCGGCTCAGCCTAAGTTGAGGCTAGAGCAGGTGAAGGATCTGCTACCTGATACTTCCATCCTGGTAATTCAACCAAGCCAAGCAAAGGAATCTTAACGTTCATCTTGTTATGCTGGCATATTTTGATATTTGTTGCTATGTCGATCTGATGTCACGTACGTACGTCTAATTGTTGTTTGAATGGTATTACAATAGTATTCCGTGTAAGCTGTCAAACTTGAGATGACACTTCGGAAGAAGAGACAGAGCTGAGCAAAGACGATTTGCGAGTGATGAGCCAATTGAGAATCATTGGTGATTCCCGCTCAGACTGTGGGCGATCCATTGCCTATGGTGTAGGTACATGGGCTGGGAGATGAATCCAGGTAGCTTGACTTCAAACTGCGGTAGATGATGTACAGGAGACGATACGGAAGACGGAGATTTGGTGCACTAGAAATTCGTGAGAAGTACCTAATTAAGGTACCAATTAAGGTTGAGTTCAGTGGAAAAAAAAAGAAGGGATAGGGGGGCGCTAAGGGTTCGGGGTGCCGTTGCCCGAGTAGCTGAAGTGGATCTAGCTAAGCGGACCATCTGTCTTTGCGGCTCGATACGTCGCAGATTCCCCTCTTTTTCGTGAAAGCAGCCAATCAAAATCACTAATTGTGCAGTAGGTCAAGCATATGACGTTTCGGCCCCCGGGCGCATTCTGAAGCAAAACATCCATCCCGACAATGAATTAGGCGCGGAATAATCTGTGCGGCTTCTTGCTAGAGATTGGCGCCAACATTGCTATTCTTTTGGTAGTATACAATTATACAATAGTTTTCTAACCAATCACCTATCTCGCATATCACTAATTCTGAGAGAACCAAAAGTTGGGATGACAAGTATCTGAGAGTAACACGATCATTCTTGATAAAATACAAGATTACCGATCCTCTAAATTCATATCATCGGTTAAACTCCTGCACTGTTAGGAGCTTCACTACGAAACGAACCTGTTAATCCTACTTTTCTTATAATAACGTCCATAGTATTATGATGCGAGAACTATATACAAGTTAATAAACATCTAGATATCTACCTAGGTAAGTAAAAGCGATATGGAATCATAAGTCCTACGCAAGGCATACTCATGCATATACTACAGATATACAGAAGAACAGACAACCACCATCGTCATCGTCTAAACATGGGATCGACATTCCCTGGTCTATCCGGTCCCGTTAATGGATGATGTGAAAACAAGCTTAAAAGATCAAACTCGAGCGTTTGCACTCCTATCAAGATGACCTAGAGATTTGTCAAGGTACATATCTCTTGTATACACAGTACACTCGAGTGTACCTTCACGGGGTTCTGCCCTCTATCGTATGAACCCCTTGTCAACCAGCGAGCCGTGTTGGAGTCATTGTTGAGACGTTGTCAATGCAAGAGAATCCGATCCAAACGTCGATCTTCCCGGGACCGGATACAGTAGCCACTCTAGCCACGAGTCCATTCACAAGAATACGTACGAATGCCGTGACGGCCGCTTATCTATACCCAAATAACTTTAATTGATTTGTTAGATCGACCGAAAAGAAAAATAAATTACTTTTTTATTTTCTTGGTTCGTGTTCTCAATTCCGGTATCAAAAACCGGACTTATGGACCGTGCGGTATAAGTGACTGAGATTGGTCTAACAGATGCATAGATGCGTCTACTTGCTTTTTGCGGTTATGACGATACCTAGGTGCCTTTCGGCCCAACTCCGATGGAAGCGAGCACATCGTATTCTCCTTCCATTTGATTCTCTACTCCAACTAGACCGGTTGATTCGGATCTATTGAGGGGGATCGAGAACCCTCGCGATACTTTTCCTATTTGTCCTATCTAGTCTCAAAATTCCATAGTAAAAGACCCCTGAAACTAGCTGAAGGTTCTTTTACGAACCCCTAAAATTACGGCACGACACCTTCGTCGGCAACGCCATCCGAAATATCTCATTGAATCTTAACTAGGCGATTCCCTATAGGCTGTAGCTTAGATGCAACCACGGTCGGTTAGGCAAGTAGCTGCATATAATAGATACTACGCTAAAGAATAAAGATCCCATCTAATAGGCCAAGACTGTATACCCCTGTAAGTCCCAACTCCTGACATAGCACTAGCTGTCCCAGGGAATTCTAGAAAGTCCCCTAAAATCTTTATTGGCCTCGTTTTGTACCGTTACATTATACCTCCGTCTGCACGGGGCACACAGCCAGCCCATCGTTACCATGTCGCCAATAAAGTTGAAAACGGAAGAAGAAACATTCAAAGAGGGGGGACTAGAGTTGGGATGAAAATGACGTTTTGAACATGTCGACTTTTACCTTGCCTTGGTCTGAATGAAACAAACGCTCTAGCATCTTCACGAGAAGACATCCAAAAGTGTTGATGTTTTTCTTGGCACATTAGCGGGAAGATCTTCAGTCTCTTGGTAATGTGAGGATCGCCTATATCCACGAAGATGAAGAGCCTCAAACTTGCTCAAATCGATATTTCGTCGGATTAGACGCTGGAATCAAGCAACCATCCTTCTCTGCGACATAAGAATTAAAAATCATAATGCACAGCAATGCTTACTATACTAACTGAAGCCATTAATCTCTTTCGGTTAACCTTCCAATCCGCCGTTGATGCCTTTGTATGCCCGCATCTTCACTTAATCGGAGTCAAATGAACTACCGCTTCTGAACGCCTCAAGCGCCGGTTCCTCTGGCTTCTAACTAGCTCAAATGCCAATGGGGAAATGACTGGCAGCCGGAGCTGCGAACTCCCTGAGTAGGCCGAGTTTTAGGCGTGTCCCATAATGCCATGATGAAACTCAGCCGACCCCTGATTCACGATCAAGGATATCACGTGGAAAAGCTTTTCTACAGGGGAACCCGAGATGGCAGGAAACGCCAAGCGCCAGTGCGAGGTGGAAGAATTTCCCGCCCGTTTCTAGGTGGGTAAATCAATATGCCCATTGTCGAGGATTTGACAACGGCTAATGGATCAGCCAAGACTTTCTGCGAGCCTCATCCCAACTCTGTGCAAGGAGAGAAAGCATCATTTCCATATAAACTTCTACATAATGAGCATCAGCTCGAAACCATCTAAATTCCCGCATTTCGTTGCTTTCGCCAAGAAGCTTGAGGTCTTGTCCGCCCTAAGTATTCGGAGGACCATCATACAACAAACTGATATAGAAGCCGTCTGGAACGTCTCCCAAGACACGGGGGGATTTTCGCGGTCCGTATCAAGTCTCGTCCAATATCGAAATCATTTTATTATCTAAGTCGTAACCGAAAATCCAAACGAATTCCCTTCAAACATGACAGCGTTAAAGTTTCTAGATTTCATTCCTGATCCCTCCAGGCGTATTGTACCAACCGACATAGATATTCAAAAACACGAATCCCCCAAGATCACCCGTCTCATAGTTCCTCAGGTGGCTGAGCCGTTCCAGAAGCTCTGTCTGCGATCAAATCCAACCAAGCGGCAAGACGATACCCTGCCTTAGCGACCTGCAATTCGATCACGGGAGCAGCCTTTTCATAGTAATCGCCCGCGAGCTCTTGGCCGACAATCGATTTCGGTCCTTCGGGAAAGACTACGAAAATATCAACCACTGGGTTTTTCGAAACTGGAGATGGGAATGAGTTACTTACCATGAGTGCACACAACTGCATTGGATTCGTTTGCCCAGCCCATCGCAGTCTGGATAGGGTCGTCGAGGTTTACACCGGTGTTCCAGAGTTTACTCGCGGTCTGGTATTTTCCCGACTTAATCTGCTCGGTAAGGTTTGCAGCCCATACGAGTCCTGCGTCGTAAGGCTTCCTGTGAATTCCGCCTAACATCTTCTCCGCAATACTCGTGTCCCAGACATGGTGTAGGTTTACCTCGGACTGGTCCCATTTCACGTGGATGCCGTTGCCGCCTTGTGCGACATTTTCCACGTGTAGAGGTTGGTGAATGTCGCCGACGAAGTGAATGACGAATTTAGCAGCTTGACCCCTTCGCCATGACCATAGGTCTGTGTCTAGTAGCTGAGAGGTATAGTTTTGGATCGAGCTCACAACACAGCCTTCATCTTTACAATCCCGTTCAAAATCCACACCACAATAGTCGGGCGGTGAGTCTTTGGCATCAATGAAATGGAAATTCTTAGAAAATCGACCCCATTTCGTATACCTAATGCTATCGGCCCAGGTAGCTACTCCAGCAAGATAATGCTGGGTATCATTTCGTAAGATATCCTGAAAGTAAGTAGTCGTGGTATCCTTCACGAAGTTGGTTGCAATGTAAGCTACGGTGATATGGCCCAGACCTGATAACGAGGTTAATTATCCATTCGTAATTGTTTACTAAGGTGTTTTTCGGTGGTTTCACTTACTTCCCCACGCCACAGCGCCTGGTAGCAATAGTGCGCTTAAGGCGGTAGCTTTCTGAATAAGCCTCATGACAGCTAGAGGATTCCAATAAAATATTAAACGACGTTCTCAATATGAAATATTCGTATTTACTTATTGTCTTAAATGGTGTGTATAAAAATCAACTAATAATAAAACGAATAGAAAATACACGATAGATGGTTAGTCATAGTGAGTCGAAGATGCGCGTCTACACCCACCAGATTTAGAGGGTGAGTCTGTTTTGGTTGTCGAGGGAACACACGCATGACTATGCCACCTGATTTGCTGATGCCTGTGGCCGCATCGCAGATGACCGACTGCGGGCGTCTAACATAAGACAGACATAAATAGTTTACTATCCAAAGAAAAGGTTGGCCGCCATTTCTTCCGTCAAACCATAATCAAGGCTAAAATACAAGAAGATAATAAACGATAAAATGAACGAATTCATTCGTTATGGGTTCGTTAAAGTTTGTCATAGTTTATTTGATCTGGTCGGGAATGCCCGAGATAGGTAAAATAAATTACAATTGATGCCCGTTGATTGGTACCATTGTCGGAAGGTGTAATGGGCAAAGAGACAGCGGGAAACCTGCAAAAGGTTAGTGGACTGCGTCACTGGATGTTATTGCGGAGGGAGACCCTGGGGGGGGGCAATGCAGACCGCGGGCGCAAGGCACGAGAGCTACACCAGCTTTAATCATCGACGCTAAACCTTATTCGCCGCAACCCACCTTTTTTACCCCCCATCCCTTCAATAATCCATCCATAGATGGATGTGCTACGGATGCACCTGCAAGTCCCTTATCTATGTACGACCTGACGCTGCACAATTGCTGCATAGTTGCTGCAAAGCGCAAAGTTAGTTCGGGGTTCGGTGGTACATTAGCGATAAGGGAAAGCAAAACTCGTTGAAAGCCACCAACTCGTACTTGCTTCAATTTTCTTCCTTCGCAAGCCCTCTTGCTCTCTCCAGCTGATCTTCTAACACTAAACTGGAAACTGGAACTTGCTAAACTCTTCCTGGGCGAAACTTCACCTGACCGATCGGATCGCCCTGGGCTGACTCCCCTCCCTCTTCTTGCCGTCTCTTAAGTCGAATTCCAAGCATTTTTCTCAACAGCTTGTCTTATCTCCCACTTTTACAATTGTCTACTCCTCTTTACTATAGTGAACATGGAAACGAGTCTCTTTGATACGGCCTTAACACATGGCCTCTCTATTAACGAGATGCTATCAGGCATCTTTGGTAGCATTAGTTTAACAGCATGGATTTGCTTGCTGGTATGCAAAGCTTTCTTCCCGTACGCACGTGCGAGAGCTCTACTGACTCTACGATAGCTTCCACAGCTCATCACCAACTACAAGGCGAAAAGCGCCGAGGGTCTGTCTATGGCATTTTTAGCTGTCTGGCTCTTCGGCGACATTGCAAACTTGTCAGGTATGCCTATAACTTTTCTTATCAGAGCTCTGTGTAGCCTGTAGCCCGTCTAAGGCATGACGCAATATTGTACCTGTCTACTATGACTCAACTTTACATGCGCCGAAACTAACTGTTCTTCTCCAACTTCTAGGCGCCCTCGTAACTGGTCTCGCGCCCACGGCGACTGCGCTCGCGGGCTACTTCTGTATTTCCGACATTATCCTTATCAGCCAATCGCTGTACTACAACACGATTAATGCGCGAAAGGCTCGCCAGCGTACTCGCTCGACCGAAACCAACGCCACAGAAGACGAACCCTTACTACAACCTCGAAGGAGGTCGTCTAGTGGTCTTCCCGGCTCGCATCGCCGCCACTCGATCCACCACTCCGAGTCTGGTCTCGATCCTATTAAGAGAATCGTTACGGGCGAGGATGAGACCCCCGATAGTAATCCCTGGTTGCATAATGCTCTAAGCGTTGCGGCGATTTATATTGTCGGTGCTGCTGGCTGGTTCGTGTCGTATAAGGTCGGCGCCTGGGATAAGCCCGACGATTTTGAGGAACCCAGTGCCGAGTCACCTGTTGCTGTACTAGGACTCGTTCTAGGATATGCAAGTGCCGTGTGCTATCTATGGTATGTTCAATATTATGGTAATACCTTTTTGAAACGAAATACTAACTGCAGAACAGCGCGCGACTCCCCCAGATTGCTAAGAATTACAGAGAGAAGTCTTGCGAGGGTCTTGCTCTACTTTTCTTCCTGCTATCTCTTACCGGTAACCTAACTTACGGCTTGAGCGTCTTCAGCTATTCTCCCGAACCGGCTTACATCATTAAAGCTATCCCTTGGCTCCTTGGGTCTCTGGGTACCATTGTTGAGGACTGCATTATCTTTTACCAATTTAGAATCTACTCTAAGAGCCCACAGTCGAAGTCCAACGGGGTCGACGACACTGCATAGAGGCGATATATATATATATTATATTAGAACGCAGGTCTCATTAGCTTTAGCTTCCACATTATCGGCGGTATGGCTGTCACGGCGGGTGCATTATCCGGCGTTTTGCATTGATTTCTTGGGGGCTTTCCTCTGTTAACTTAGACTAAAGATGACATCCTTCAGGACAGACTTCATATCGTTCGGTTCGGTATTTTAGGATTGAAAAACAGGAGTGAGTTGATCGAGTCTGGCGCGCATTATGGACCGGTCTATCATATACATTAATGAAATATATTATAAAATATTCTCAACATTTCCAATCAACCACATCATACTCGATGAGAGTAATAATTAGCACAATTTATAAACTCGATATAAAATATAGATGTTTGTATGGTTGAAGGTACAAAATACTTGTCAGCAAACAGACTTCAACCCCTGCATTTCCTTGGACCCCCTTTTCAGTACCCCTGTAACGAAACGGCCAATTTCAGCAAGTACGGGCTACCTCAGTTAATTTCTCCTTGTTTCCCTATCTCTACTATCATTATCATCATCATTCTTCATCCCTCAACAATCCTCAATTCCTTCTTTTTGTTAGCTGGTTTAGTCGAGAGATCACTCTTTTCATATCGGCTCCAGCATTTCACTCTTTTATAGATTGCTATTTTGCATATCAATTGAATTCATCTGCATTTCGAAACGAGTCGAACGAACGCGTCAGGAGAAACAATATACCCCAAGTCGAATTAGAATAGGAAATATTGTACACGATGCGCTTCTCGACTATCCTCTCAGCTGCCGTGGCCGCGGGCCCGATTGTTGCTTCGGCCGCCGGTCAACTGGGTTTCTCGCTCGGAAACAAGAAGGCGGACGGTACTTGCAAGGAGTCGGGCGACTACGAGGCGGACTTTGCTGCTATCTCTAAGGAGACTGGCTCTAAGGTCGTCCGCATCTACGCTGCTTCCGACTGCGATGTCGCTAAGCTGATCTTACCGGCTGCTAAAGATGCTGGTTTCAAGGTTATCCTTGGTATCTGGTATGTATTACAATTGCACTGCTGTCATTTAGACTGAGTACATGCTAATTTGATATGATTAATAGGCCCGACACCGACGAATCCTTCCAAGCCGACAAGGCCGCTGTCGTCTCCAACGCGCCTAAGTACAAGGACCAAGTTTACGCTATCACAGTCGGTTCCGAGTCCCTATACCGTGGTAACTTCACCGGCACCGAACTTGCTTCTAAGATCCAAGATGTTAAGTCGGCCGTGGGCAAGGGCTTCAAGGTCGGAACAGCGGACTCGTGGAACAAATTCGCCGATGGTACTGCCGATGCGGTTGTGACGTCCGGTGCTGCTGATATTCTGCTTTGCAACGCGTTTTCGTACTGGCAGGGTCAAGTCCTATCTAACGCCACCGGTTCCTTCTACGACGACATCTTCCAGGCTTTCGGCCACGTACAGGAGAAGGCTGGTTCCACCGACAAGATCGAACTCTGGGTTGGTGAGACCGGTTGGCCCACCGACGGTGACAAGTACCAGAACGCGCAGCCCGGTGTCAAGGAAGCTTCATCGTTTTACCAGCAGGCTGTCTGCGGTATGGTGGACTGGGGCTTTAACGTTTTCTTCTTCGAGGCTTTCGATGAGGAGTGGAAGCCTAAGGCTGTTGGTGAAGATGGTTCGGTCGCTGATGAGACTTCGTGGGGTGCTATGACGGCCGATCGTAAGACTAAGTATAGCCTTAAGTGCTAGATTTTGTTTTAGCGGTGTGACTTTGCATGGGGTAGAGCGGTGGATGAGGATGGAGATGGAGATGGAGAGATCTAGAGGGGGATAGAAGGAGCGCTGATATTTCCTGTCGATTTATAATTTGTTTGCTGTTATATACCACCAACCAGTTACGTGTCGACGGTAGCCGGTAAATAGGAGACAGAAGATGATACCATTGAAGCATCGGTTCCATTTGAATTTTGGCTTAGGCGTGGATATTCCAAGTTTCATGCAACATCCTGGGTATCGAGTGTTGATGTACCGAATACGCTAAGAGTGTCTTGACGAATAGAAGCCGAGGAGCACAATGCCGATGATATGTGAGTACACCGTTTTGATTGTCTATGTACATGGGCAGGGAGGTAGATCCGATAATAAATGATTTACAGCAAGAAATGAAGCCTGGATTCTTCAGTGCTAACGACAAAATAATAACCAAACACCCAAACAAATCGACACCATACAGTTGCTTCCATATTCCCACCGACCAAATAGTCCCTCAATGAGTCTAGAAGGTATTGGCTTGGCTAGACGAATGAGGATCAGTCGGGACTAAAGGTGGATTGGGACGATTGTCTATTCTCTTCCAGACCAGTATTATTTAATAACCCAACGCCATCGCTTTGTTTTCGCTTCTTAGATTAGATCCGATAAGACGTGACCTAGCATGTCGTGCATCAATTCGGTTCGACTTCCATCCGTATGAGTTTGTTTAATTGCCATTCCGAAAACTCGATCATGAGCGTTGGGGGCTATAAGCAAGCATTTGTTAGCATATGCGGACTTCCCTTACTCCCTAGCGCCGGTTCCCGAATGCCTTTAAATGTCACGAATGTAGAAAATTACATCACTTACCCGCAACCGAAAGGCGTCGACTTGCCAAAGAAACAATCACCAGCAGCGTTGGGCACGATCTGGTTTTGGTGGATAGGCGTAATAACCACACCAGCGCTAGCAAAAGTGGCGCAGAGAGCGGCGAGAAGTGCCGTCGTCGTAGCGAGTCCAGTCTTCATTTTTTTACGTATTATTTGTATTTTTCACACTCCTTTCGCTTCGCTTTCGCAGATTATTGTAGCGGCCGTGGGTATCGTGAGATCGGATATTTCGTGTCGGAGGTAGACCAGCTAAGTTGTACCAATTATTGTTCGTTGCGCGTGCCGAATGAATGGATGGCGGGATTGTGATTGGGGGGGTATTATTCCGTCGCAAGGATTTTTTGGTTAATGGGAATTAAGGATAGAATAGCACACGATGACCAGATCGCGGCGGAAAGGCAAGGCAAAAATGATTATCGAAGATCTACCTGGTAGACGAGAAGAGAACGGCGGGTACTAAAGAAGGGAAAAAGAGAAGTCGAACTAAATTGAAACTAAACTCGACGATGTTCGATACGAGGAGTGAAAGAGGGTAGGCGGATCATATGATCCTTGTTCGCCTTTTTCGTTCAGCGCCTCGACCAATACAGTGTTGCTGCTACTGTAACCTCTTACCACTGCTAAGCGATGTGTCTAGGGGACGGCTTAGCTGCTTAGGTAGGGTATTAAAGGGGGCCTGGGGTTCGTGGTCTAGGCCCCAAATACAGTATCACGTCTGTCGATTGGGAATGGCACTGTATGTAGGCCCCCGCTTCGCATCGGGATCTGCGACGGCCCTCGTCGCAGTCAACCGAGATGAACCAGTTTCATCAAGGGGCGGAGACGAAACTATGCGGCACCACCACATATTGTAAGGGGTCATATCTTAATAAGACTCATAATTGAGGTGGCTGTTCTTTTCTCTTTCATTCTCTCCTAGGAATGGAGAATATTCTATCTACGAACATCATTGCAAGCATCTATTGCTGTCTGATAAGTAGGTAAAGGAATAGGTAAGTCATTTCAACTATAGATATCTTGTATATCCGACGTCCATTCTTCGCTTTACCTACCTAACCAAGCTTGGTTTTATAATGATTATTTGAAACCAGGGTCATAACTGTAGCATGTAGAAAGGGGGCAACGAGTCGTAAGAGACAACGACGCTAGTGGTACGATGTGGTTCTACGTCGTACACTGCAATGCGATTTTGTGTAGAGGCTTACGAATCCTCATTTTAATTTTTGTTCAGCTTCAAAGCAGAATATAGTATAAAAGATCGTGGCCGTGCTCTCTGGCGACTTAGTAGTGTAATTGAAACCGTAAGATGAATATCCGACTCAAGCGTACAACACTATCGACCACCGCATTCCGGGAATTTAGGCAAATCAACGACGATATGAAGTACGACGACACAATTTAGTGTCGAGCTAAGGGTTCGCGATATGTATGGTGATTACAGTGGCCGGTGACGTCTATGTAAGACTCGAACATCAGGGATAGCAACATACATCAGGATACATGATCGAGGGCCGACGTACGACCTAATAGAGAACTAGAGCTAGGCGGGTACGGTCGAACTGATATACCGATGGTCGATATCGAACACGAGTGTACCCATATTGGACCTCCATTTATCGAGCGTCTCACAGGACCGACTACAGTTTGCCAGGCGCTATCAATGGGTGATCCAGCAACGTTAGATTTTGGAGGGGTGCCGACTCTCATTCGTCATGAATGCGATAACATAAATATAAGACGCACAACATATTCTAGATACCTGTTTAGGTACCTAGGTAGGGAGGCAAGTTCCCGTTAAGAGGGTTAGTAGAAGGTTTGTTCTTTTGGGGAATCCTATAGGGCAATGGGTACTAGCCTCGAAGTATGGGACGGGGTGTTTGAGTGAAATGGAAAGCGAGAAGAAAGGTAAGAGTAAGTAGACCAAGTTACAGTATACTTAGGTTCGCCCTATCAACTACATTTATGTAAGTTACCAGTCTCTCCCATTTGAGAACCTCGGTGGTACGAAGTTAGTGGATATGGTGAGAATAGATGAGCAGTCGGCCATTGCCTTGTTTTTGCTCGTGGTTGAATATAAATCAATCCAAGCGTTCGATATATGTAAATAAGGGTGGATTAAAATACATACATATATATATATATATTTAAACAAAAGTCGTTATTCTACGCATCTCTGATAACCACGTGTCGAACGCTCCGAGTTCATCCTAGACTAAGAAGCCTCCAAAGTTAAAAAAAAAAAAAATTCAATAATAAATCGATTCTCTTTACTCTTAGCAAGCTTCGTAGGTACAGAGGGACACCATAGGGGGCACGTGTAATCGTCAGGATTTTTCTATTCGTTCGGGTATGTCACATAGACCAAACGTTTCTATGAACATCATGACCCCAGAGGCGGCAGCTGGTGGTTTTTCTATCGTAAGGAGTTCCTGTGCCTTTACTTACGCCTGGGGAAGAACTTTACAAGCAATTGAAACTAGGTATTATGTTGTTCTCGTGCGCGAACTAAGACCTCTCGGTCGTCTTTAAGCCGCCAGGCTCTAAGGTTAAGTAAGCTGTGGCCAGTGTGTAACGAAGGGTTCTTGAGCACCGCGAGGGGAACTAACGTGTGTGCTTTTGTAACTGGCGGTAACCTAGAGATTATGATTTTTTTTCTCAAAGGCGTAAATGATTAGATGGTACTTGATAATATAAGAAAAAGTCAATATAGTAGTCTAGTCTCAGGCGGTTCGGTTCTATATAAGGGATATAATATTTTGTTTTCTGGTGAAATAATATAAATTAGACTATAGTATCTTTGGATTCATATAAGGCCGAATATATGTTAAAGTACTCATAGTTTAGGATATGACATGTTGACGAAGTGTGTTGGCTTCGGAAGTTGACTTGACGTGAAGGTCGACGAGGAAATAAGTCGCATAGGCCGACGGCGTAGGAAACGCGACCATGATACCTCAAACACTGAAGCTTATTCCACTCATAGACCTTACTTATTACCGTAGCAAAAATATCACACTACTTCAACATCATAGTACCTTCAAATGACAAAAATGGCAAAAAGACGGTTTGGATTCGAAGCTGGAAACGGATCGTACTCATTGCTGGAATCGAACCCACCCCGCGAAAAACCGCCACCGGTGGTCAATTGACTGGCTTGTCGACTCGGGAGCGCAGTTAACTGGGCCACCGGGACACGGTTTTTACTCCTAACTCGGCGGCTCTTGCGTTGGTACTGGGATAGACAATTACTCGATATTATAAACCTACATGCCTGGGTATCTACCTGGCAACCGAATAATCGCAGCTTCGCAGGGTCACCAACCAAACACATAACAGGCAAACGAGTTGAATACTTCATGAACATTGAATTATTCCCACAGCTATGGCAAAATCGCTACATTTAACAACACGGAAGAGGAGGCGCCGGTCCCGTAGGACACAAGCTGCTCCTCTTTCCAAGGTATCACATCTTCCCCTAATCACCAGCTCAGTCACTGTTTTAGTAGCAGCGATATTGTACATTAACTTTAGGAGGGGGTAATTCCCGATCATTCTTCGCACCCGGCACATCGTCTGATGAAATTCCCACTTTCCCGAAAAGAAAAATAAAATAAAAATTTATGACATTCCTGAATCAAGTCAACTCCACAGGGCATCGCATTCGGTCATATCTTCGGAACAGGTCTCCAAATGTTTTGGAATTGGAGGTTGGCGTGAGGGTTACGGTTCATTCCGTCTTGGATGCAAGAGGCACAATAGGGGAAAAATAATGATAAATAAAACAAGGACGCCGTCGTGAAGGCTTGAAAACGCCGATAAGGGAAAATCCACGAGTCGGTATGCTAGGAGTGTAAAATAGCAAATCGTCCTGAACTCGAATATAAGGACAGAATCGAAGTGAATCGAAATGTAAATGTCAGATGGTGAATGATCAAATGCGAGTAGCAAAACGTCAACGGTACGGTATAACTACACGCGGAATATACAAGGGTTTGTCGGAAGGTCATTCGGCGATGACACTACCGGAAACCACACGGCTCGGCTTCGAAGTCATCACGAAGCATGGTTGCCTCTTGCAACCCCGAGAGCGTCATTCTCGCGTTCGTCGTTGTCCAGTCGTTTCCTCCAATCAGCTAGAGTCGCGCTGAGACCAGCACCGTCATCGTCTTCCCTCTTGGCACCACCTGCTTCGAAATCGAACGCGGTCGAGAGTCTGTAATTCTTATTTGTTGCTTCCCAATGTGATCGCAACATGTCGAGCTCATTAGCCAAATTGTCCAAGGCTGTGCTATTTCTCGCACCGCCGACACCACTATAAAGGCTCTCGGCCTCCGAACTCTCCTGTCGATTGTGCCCCATGCCATTCGCGCTGGGGATGTTGACGGCCACCTGATCCGTGCTAATACGGCTACGTCTTCGGTAATTGTCAACCGAGCTTTCCACTTGGTCAAGCAATAGACTGACTTTTTGTTCGGCTTCTTGTACGCGCTTCTCTAGGAGAGCGTTCTCCTGTTGCATTTGCTCAAGTTCCTTCTCTCGGCCCAATAATTGCTCCGCAACGTCGTGGTGGGACTTCGCTGTGTTGTCGCGTTCCTGCTTGGTAGTATCCAGCTTCTTCCGGAGTTCCACGAGTTCTCGTTCAAGCTGTGCTGAAGTTGCTTTTACCTGTTCTTGGAGTACCTCAATCTTCTTTTCTAGCGACGAGCGCTCGAGTTCCCAGTCCGCCGGGGCTGTGCTATCACGAGAGATAGAACGTTCCTCTAGTTCAAGATTTTCGTTCTTTAAGCGGCTATTCTCCTGCTGAACTTGTGCTAGCTCTTGCTTCATCTTCTTCAGCATCTTCTCTGTGCCCTTAACATAGTGAACGGCTGACGAATAGTCGCTCTCCAACTGGGATATTTTGTTGTGATATGTGGTTTCGGATTGCTGGATCTGTACAACAAAGTTTTGCTTGGTCTCTTCGTGAGCAGCGATGGCTTGTGCTAGCTGTCGCTCGAGATCGCCGGTTCGAGGGGTATCGGGCGAATTAGTCCTGGATCCCATGCCTCGGACCCGGGCGAGATTGGTAGGGCTAATTCCCCTTTCGGCTAGAATGTCTTTCAGAGTGTTATGTTGAACTGTGATAGCGTTGGTCTCGAGTTGTTGGTTTGCGAGCTGATTCTTAAGATCCGTGTTGAGCGCCTGGAGTGATTGAGTATCTCTTAAGGCGGACTGTAATTGTCGACGGATTGTTACGCCCTCCCTACTTGATTGTTCTTGGTATGCTTCAAGACCGGCGATGCGTTCTTCGGCACTCCTGAGCTTATCAGAAGCGACGTCGGCCTCTTGCTGGTATTTCTTGACTAGGTTGTTTGCTGCTTCGACTTGACCCTGGAGAACCACAAGGCGCTCCGCATCAGCTCGGTTGGCCTTGCTAGGATCCTTGGTGATCTTTTCCAACCCGGAAATTAAAGCTTGCCGATGGGTGTTTGCCTCTGTCGCATGCCGTTCGGCAAGTTCTTCGGCATCCCGTAACCGTTGGGTTACGGTCTCTAACTCTGCAGCATGTGATTCATGCTCTGCCTTGA